TATACGAAGTAGGAGTATGAATTCGATGATTGTATTTAATTCGACAAACCGTTGATTTCGAGGAAACCCTAAAAATGATCGATTAATTGAAATTTGACAAAGTTTTCTCGATTTATTTTTTGCTGTTTTTGGCCCGATGATGGTTATGGAAGGTAATGTCCCACAATCGGAGGGCAGTGATATTATATACGAAGTAGGAGTATGAATTCAATGATTCTATTTAATTCGAAAAACCGTTGATTTCGAGGAAACCCTAAAACTGATCGATTAATTGAAATTTGAAAAAGTTTTCTCGATTTTTTTGCTGTTTTTGGCCCGATGATGGTTGTGGAAGGTAATGTCCCACAATCGGAGGGCAGGGGGTTAATGAGCGGATGAATTCCGCACAAAATGAAGGTTTTTCAAATTTATAAACTCTAAATTTAAACGAACTTAACGAACTTTAACGTAACAAATTGCGGAAACTAGGCGCACATTGAGCATGTCTCTCCACTGGGGGTTTCATCTTTTTAATACTATCAGTGTTAGGTGGCATGAGAACTGGTCATTGTGAAGAGCCAAAACGACCAATGAGACCGAATTTTAAGCAAAATTATGAAATTTGTTTTTCAATTGGATCTGTTGGTTCAAATTTGCACCTTATAAAATTTGTTTTTTTTAAGTTAATTAAAATTGATTATGTAAATCTTTCTTTAAAACTTTTTTGGGCTCGATGATGTTTGTGGAAAGTAATGTCCCACAATTGAAGGGCAATGATTATTCAATTATTTTAAAATTATTTTAAATAGCATTACTCATTCCTTTAACAAAAATAATTGAAACACGCAGTCCATATTTAGTAAATAAAATATTATTTACCAATTTCTTATCATTTTCCATTTTTGAAGTTCTGGTTGTTGACGATTTTTTTTTATCCGCGTGCGCCATTTCGCCAAGCAGATCTGAAAAAAGGCAATAGAATAAGGTGCAGATGAATGCGGCTGAAAATTGTAAGTGATTGAAACAATATTTTTGAAAAGTATATTGCCGGAAAAGAGAGAAAATTTACGAAATTCGATCATTCTAATTTAAAATTGAAAATTAAAAATTGTTCCTTATTTCGTCAATTTCGTTATATGCAGATTTTGTTCTACAGTAATCCCAAATATTCCACGTTTTCAATTGCCACGTTTTTGTCATTTTTTTTGTCATTTTCAATTCTCAGTTTGTCGATGTGTTTTGGAAACAGCAGACAAAAGCGAGTTTCGGTAAAACGGCGGTGAAAAAAAAAGCCTACGTCTCTTGAAATCACTCAAATACAGTTTCGTCGGCATTTCACCGGAAAAATCCATTACTCGCTTTTTGTACGACACGATTTTCTGAGATTTTCTTTAATTTTGTTGTAAATATTTGACTAATTTCACTTTTTGCGATTTATTTATATCGTCTATAATGAACTCGTATTCAACTTCTTGTATTGCAGGAAAAGTATGATGTTTCGTCCACTGCGCTCGGCATTTTTGAATTTGAACGGTTTCAAGGGCGAGGAAATTTCGCAAAAAAGCTGCCACGTGATTGGAAACTGACAACTATCCAGGCGGGGGAGCCAACGTCCAGGGGCTCGGAGGCTCTAACCCGCCAGCAAAAAATGCTTTATTTAGTTAGGGGTAGTCTGTCGGTTGTTGTCTCACAACAGCTCATTCGAGTTGGGGCGCTTTGGCGCGAAATTTTCTGAATGCCCTGGAATCCTCTGAATATTACTCATATCGGTAATCGGTTTGATTAAATTTTTTTTCGATTTTTTTAATTGGGTGTTTCAGAAAATTAGAAAACAATCAAATGTTTGAATGACCGAATGATATTAGAATCCACCGTGGTAAAAATCGAAGGACACTTTAATAGATTATGATATAGTTTGCCTTTTATTTTTGAATATAAATAATCGTCTTAATTTCAGATAATTGCTGTTGTTTAAATTGCTAAATCGGTTTCGACAACATCTCCCGTCCGGACGGGTTCTGTGTGACGCTTGATGAGTCAATGGTAAACCTCCGGACTGATTTTACCGAGGCACGCCTAATAATTTTCTCATCTCTTTCTTCGGTTTTTCAGCGTCGCGCGATTGCAGAAAATTGGGTGAGTGCCAACGATTCCGTGCGCAGTGTGCGTCTTTAACCTATCCTTATACTTACAACCCCTGACCCGTAAATCTACACTTCGTTTTGCGCCAGAACCACAGTCATTGCTTTTTGGCATTTAGTAAATTATCCGCGGTCTCGCGACACCGACAATATCATTTTTTTTAATTTTATCCTGAAAATTTCACATTTCCGGTATTATTTTTAATAAAGCAAGTCGAATTTCAGATAATAAAGATGAACGCAGTGCAGTGTGCAGTGTGAGGCGGGATTCCCAATCTACTTATAAGGCGAGTCGAAAGTATTATCATTTCTATAAGGTTGGTGGTTTTGTATATTCGATTTCAAATGTGTTTTCACCATTTTTATGAGATTGGCTTCTTTTTTTTTTTGATGCATTTGAAAACATTTTCAGGGTTCCATCGTTTTTGCTGTTCTCTATTTCCATTGAATCTCAATCTGGAATTGCGATGTACTTCGATATTACTTTGCTTTTTTATTTTGCTTTTGTTTTTATTTTTGTTTTGATTTTGGTTTTCGAATCTCCACAACAGACAGGTAGGTCTTTTTTTTTTTTTGAAAACGGGCTATGTGTGAAAATGTTTTAAAAGTGTCTGTGGAGTGTAGAGTTTTTGTGTGGTATTTTTTAAGACATCCATGCGGGTGAAAAAAAAAACTCCGAAAAATTAAAAATGATATTTTCGTGGACGGACGAATTCGAGACACCATTTTTTAAACATTGTATTTCCGCATTTGGTCTCTTGAATAGGAAAAACGGTCCTTGAAAAGTGGCTTATGCGTGCGTCCGCATTGCTTGCTCCCGTGGATGCTTTCGTTACTGCAGGAATGTGTGAGAAATTTTCCATCTAGAAAATTAGCAAAAAAATTCTGGGAAATTTTTCGAACGAAGATTATCGTAAATTTTCTAAGGTATGCAATATGGAAATATCTTTAAATATTATTTTAGCAGTACGAAATTTCGAATTTATGCGCAGGGCTTCGTTCTTACTGCTTTCTGTTCTAATAACATTCCTGATAACTCAAAGCCAATCGAATCCGACAAAGTTTGGCTCCGGAATCAACCTTATCCGATTGGAAATTCTACGGATGAGATTGTAAAATTGTCGCATCCGATTGGTTTTAGTTTTTTTTTTTCAATTCGAATTGTACTGTGAATTTGTCCATTCGATTGTTCGAATTCGTTTTTGTTTTAATATTTCAATTCCAATAGTACTCGAACAGTATTCAATCCCAAAATAATCGGATCCGACAATTTTACAATCTTATCTGCAGAACGGCTATTCCATTGCCGCACAGCTCTAGAGTTCACCCCACGTGTCTGTATTTCGGTCGCCCATATCGTTTAGTTTTATTTTATGTTTGGGTTCTTTCCGGGTTTCTGGGCGACGGGCGAATGCGTGTGCTTCGTTCAAGAAAAATTCGAGAGGGCGATTTCTCTTTAACGGAGACCAGACAGATACTATCAGGCCCGGATTGATCCCGTTCTGTCCTGTAACTGTATTTCCAGGAGCAGAGCTGACCTTCGGGAATTTTGAGGATTATTCAACCCTTCTCTCAGCCTGCGTGGGACAGTGTACTGATTAGCTTGAGCATGCTCCGCTGTGGTGACGAAATCCCCAGCTGTGTAGAGGAGCATGAAAAGTTTATGTTCTTTTCCACGAAGAGGCCCAGAAAGGAAGAAATAGGGCGTTTTGTTTTTATTTTTCATGAGATGTGAATAGAAATTCATATAGTTTTGTGTTGGATCATGTTTGACGGAGGGCTGAACTTGTCATCTACGAAATTCTTTGGTTTTTTGTACAAGGCTGATGTTGAATGCAAGGCTCAGGGCAAATTTCTTTTGGTAATCGTTGAGAGAAGATGATCTGACCCGAACTGGTGGCAAATGGTGGCCATACTCTTTCTCTGTTTTTGAATTTTTAGTATTCAACTTTTTTAGTAGTTGTTTTTAGTAAAAAAAAAACTAATGATGAAATCAAATTCGAAAATTTTTACGCAATTAACTTTTTCGGAATTGCCGGTCTTGTTGTTGTTTGTCAAAAAATTTATGTTAAATTTAAATAAAATATTCCAATGGTTGGATTTGGAAATTTTACCTAACTTATTTTTAATGCTGTGGGTTCCGAAGAATAACTCAAACTTTCTTTTGCCATGAGATTCGGGAGACTGACTGTGTTTTCACAACTAATGCAATTTTTACTTTTCCATTGAAAAAAAAAAACATTTCATGAGTATTACTGACGAAGCTTGTCAGTTGGAAAACCTACATTTTTTGAAAATTTGAACCAACTAAATTCGATTTGCATTGGCGAATGACACATTGGTTATCAAAAAAATATGACTGCGATTATTTGAAATTGTGATAATTTATATTTGCAAACATGCTGCTGATTAAACTGTACCTTCCGAAAAAAAAAAGAAAAACCGAAACAGACAATTTGTTACGTTACCCCGCAAAAACGGAATTCCGTGCAGTCATATTTCCAACCTGATCTTACCCTCATCGTTTTCCATGATTTCTGTTTGAGTCACCCTACATTTTCGCATTTCGATTAGTTTGTCAATCTTCTTGAACATTTAAATCCGCCATTCGATTCGATTAAACAAACAAACCTTGAAAAAAAGTGGCAAACATTGCGCGAATCGCTTTCAATTCTGAACTGCCATTTGAGAGCATCGCTTATCAGCGATTTTTACTCAAAAACTTATAAAACTCGATTCATTTAAGCAGCGATACGTCATTTTTAATATATGAGTACACTCTTCACAATTTTTCGATAAACGCTGTGCCTGATAAGGAAATCATTCGAGTGGTCGTTTCGATTATTATACGAACACAAACTTGATTTTATTTCAGAAGAAATGATCGGAGGAGGAGTTGGAATCAACTTCGCCAAGCAAGTTTTCAATGAGGTAATATTGAAACAATTCTTAAATGAATCAAAGTATGAGATTTTCAGCCAACTCCATTGGCTGTTCCAGTCGGAGGATTCGCTCCAGGATCTCGCTACCAAATCGTTGTGGTCCCATCAGGAGGACAAAGATTCCATGTAAAATATGTATATGTCATGAAGTTTAATAAATGAACAATATTGCAGATCAACATCCGCAATCCGGACGGAATCATCCTCCACCTCAGCGCTCGCTTCGACGTATTTCAAATAATCTTATACGCCAATATTATTTGTTTTTAAGGAAAGCGCTGTTGTTAACAACTCGATGAGCGACGGCGCGTGGCACAGCGAAGATCGTTTTGAACTTCCATTCCAACCAAATAAGGTCTACACCCTCGACTTCATTTCAAAGGGAGGAATTATTGAGGTGCAATACAAGTTGAATTAATACAATTTTAAATGTCATTTTCAGATCAACATTAATGGTGTTCACTTCACCGATTTCGTCGAGAGAATCCCATCTCACAACGCAAATCTCATCGAGGTCGAAGGAGATGTTCATGTTCACGCTGTTCACATCTTCCATTAAATATTGAAATCAAGAATAAATTAGTTATCATCGAAAACTAAAATTTGTTGTTTATGAGAGCTCAGCTGACGAGATCGCGCCATTTTCTTATTAGTAGAAGTCAATAAGACATTAAAACCCTTTGCAAAGAAATCGCAGTCACTTACCAAGAGGCATATTGATAATTCGACTTTCGAAGAATTTTCTTCGACGGTATTTGCAAGACTTACCATTAGCTTTATTTTTCGATGTTATCGAAACCGGTTTAGTTCATATTTTTCCTTAACAAAGAGTTTATTCAAACCGAAAAGTTTGAACAATCTCGAAAATGAAGACATGAAGACACGCCAAACAATATAGGACACCGGCCAAAACAAAAGTGTTCGACAATTAAATCTATCCGAATGAACTGATGGGATTAAGAAAGAAGATAGGAACGAACAATAATTAATAGATTGATTAAAGGAAGAAAATAACGAAATAATTAATCTCTCGTTCTCATTCCAAACACCATTCGGAACTTTTCATCGTATTCTTTATGAATCTCCGTAAGAATCAAAGCCAACGGATCCTGAGGCCGAGCCATTGATTGAAGTCCAACGGACAATCGTTGCAATCTCGTCTAAATTTCACTATTAAAATAAAAAGAATATTGTTTTTAAAAAACCAAAAAATCATTGACGATAAACCAAGCATTGTTCACTTTGACACCGTTGACAGTAGTCAGAAGATATCGGGAACAATGATAGAAGAAATCAACCGCAAATGCATTTCGGTAAATCTAAAAACTTGTTGTAAATTTCAAATATTTGATAAAGTTGTGAAACCTTGTTTCCGCGATGATCAACCTTGTTCAGCTCGATGACAGGCAAAAACGACTGATCCTCCGAATACTCATCGAAAACTGGCGAAACCAAATAATCGTCAGACATTGAGAAAGTGTTTGCATCAACTTTTCCCGAAGTATCGAATACAGATTCCTAAATATGCACTTTAAACCGTTCAACGTTTCAATAATTCTTACAATGAGCTTTTGTTTATCTGAAGCGGCAGCCATGAATTTCTTATACAATCCAGAAACAGTGGAATTATACTCAGCAACGAATGGCCGGAAGTATTTTGGGAAATCCGGAAGAACAATTGAATAGTTATCCTCAGAACGCACTCTTTCTTGTGGGTTGTACCAGGCAGTCATTCGCAAGTTGGTGAACAGATTCGCCAAAATTTCGAGCATGATTCTCTTCGCAACATCTGGTTGCTCGACATAATCCTTCAATAATTTGTGGAAGCATCCTTTTTGCATCAAATAAATGAACAACAGTGTTCCAGCCTCTCCAAATTGAGCAAACATCGCCAAATCGGCAAAGTTCTTTCCTGATCCGAATGGCGTCAATAACTGCAAATGTCTCAAAACTTGAAATGAGAACGCTGTATAAAGCTTCAATTGCTTCTGAAGAACTCCAGATTTTGCTTCGGGCCGAGTGTGCAAACTGAACGAATGAGCCAAAAGCGAACCAGCAGCCTTAACAAACACGTTTTTTTTAAATTTATACTTCTTGACTAACCATAGCTCGTTGTTTAATTGTAGTGATGATCTGTCCATGAACATCAGTAACATCTTTTTGATGAACATATGAGAAAAGTCTAAGTAAGAAAATTGTGGTGAAAGGTGGATTTCCGTGAAGATTTGAAAGTGAAGCGGTCAAAAGTCGTCGAATTTTTCTATAATGAACATTTTGCAATCAATTCAACATCTGCTCGCTACCTTGTCGGAATGCTCATGAAGATGACATTTCCAGAATGATCGAAACCACGACGACCAGCACGACCACTCATTTGGCGGTACAACAATGGTGTCAATTGTGGGGTATCAACACCAAACATGACAGTTTTACAAGGCATGTTGACTCTGAAATTGGAAATTGTTTTCAAATTAGACATGGACAAATCAAATCACCCGAGAGAAAGTGTAGATGTTGAGAACAGAATAGCCAAGTTTCCAGATCTGAACAACACTTCAACGGCTCCTTTTTCAACCTGATTTAACCCGGCGTGATGGAATCCGATTCCGCGTTCGAACAACCGCAACAAGAACTTCGTACTCTCCCTCGTCTTCTCATATCTCTTCAATCTTTCGATCATCTTTTGATAAAGGTCAACATCGCCACCACCACGTCCACGAAGTTTGAACTTTGCCAGAGCATTCGCCAATCGGGCTTTCTTCAGGGCGAGAACATCCACGTCATCATCTTCTTTGGGAGTTGCTTCACTATTCTCGCGATCTTTATCCGAATTTCCGATCTTCTTCTTCTTCTTCTTTTCAGCTTCATCACGCTTCCGTTTCGCCAATTTCAGAAGCTTCTCCTCATCTTTAATGGCGTAATTGTTCTTAAACTCGGCAGTCTCTTTGTATTCCTCTTCGCGTTGCTCTAATTCTATACAAAGCGTCAGTGCAAGCTTCTCACAAGCGTGACGATTTTCACTAAAACAAATCGCTGGCAATTGATCAGTTTCTTTCATTTCATCGACCAACGAAACAATGTAATCATCTGCGACTTTTTCCTGACATTTAATATTAAAATAATATCGAAAAACGTTATATAACAAACCTTATTGAAGGGAATCGCCCTGTATTCGAGCTGTTTCTTAACAGGCTGTGAAAGAATTTCCAAGAGTTTGTTCAATTTTTCGGCATCTGTGTGCAGGTATTCCAAGAATCGCGCTTTCAATGCATTCTCCAATTCACGAAGAGCTTTACGCGAAATCCAAACGGCCTTTGAACCACTTTGCCCGAAGAAATTGCATGGCTCAAACTCCTTCTTGGTGACTTCATCAACTGCAGCCATCATTGAGTACAAATGCAAAATTTGGCGAGCAGTGAGTTGTTGATCATCAGGAATCGAGAACATTTTCAATTTCTCCGGCATGTAAACTCCGTATGGCATAAGAGGAATGATTGTATTTCCATCAGCCTTTCTATGACATCTCCTCTTCTCGTTCAATGTTTCAGATAATTCTGTCTCTTCTTGCTCAGCGATCTCCACCGGGTTTTCAATGTTAAGAATTGAAAGCTCCAATTCAGAATATCTTTCTCCATATACGATCAGATCCACTTTCCGTTTTCCATTCGATTTGGCAACTTCACTCGTATTCAACCATTCGTGCAACTTCTCAGCGTTTCCGATTGTAGCTGACAAAGCCAAGAATGGGCATTGAATTAGGAGAAGGAGACGTTCCCAAATGTGCGATTCATCAGAAGCTCTGCAAATCCCCCCAATAATAAATCGAATAATACACCGAATAGTGTCAATTAAATGCTTTTGACAGCATATCGAACGAAAACAAATAAAACGGAAAACAAACGCTACCCGATAGAGTGCACTTCGTCGAACACGACATATTTAATGTTTGAGACTAATTTTTGGATAGCAGGAGTTTGCGAAAGCATCAGTTCTTCGAGACATTCGGGAACAGTGACGAGCACTTGACATTGCAGAGCATTATACGCATATTCCTGAGTGAGGGTTCCGAACAATGACATTCCTCTTTTCATCGACTTGTTTCGGAAACGAGCATAAACCGAACCGCAAACCTTGAAAACGATAAAGTTCGGAAACGCTTGAAACTACTTATTACCTGATTGATAAGAGCTCTCGACGGCGAAACATAGACAACAACATCGTCGTCACTCGATCGAAGAATTTTCTCAATGCAGTAGTATGAGACGAAAGTCTTACCAGCCGACGTTGGTGCAATAATAAGAGCCGAATTTCCTAGATTGTATGCAACATATTTCGAAGCAACCCAGAATCTGTTCCCTACCTCGATCCACAGAATCCAACATATTTCTTTGCCATCCATCTGGTGCGAATCCACTAACACGATCATCCTTCTTTGGATCCGATTGAATATCGATCAATTCTCCACCATATTGTAATTGATAATAAATCATGTTAATTCCAAGGTCAAGCTTTTTGTTTTTCGCTTCGGACGATGGTTTTGTGCCAGCTGGAGCCTCGAATCCAAGCGAGACCCACAAATCAACTATTTGTTCTCGTTGTTTCGGCTCAAGGTGTTCCCAATGTTTCGTAAAGCATTCCTTGAGATGACCAACGAGTTGGATAGCTTTGAAACGGCGTTCTTCTTGCTTACTAGCTCCTTGATAGAAATCAAATAATATTCTTCCTTCGCGAACCGTAACTTCATAACGACAAATTGCCTTGCATTCGGGTAGATCAAGAGTAGAATAAAGAGAGTTCAAAAAAGAAATAGCTTCCTTTCCTTGTTGGCAACCATATCGGATTTTCGCCTTTTCTCCTTCAGCGACCTTTTGATCTTTCACTTTTTTGTTGGCTTCCAAAATTGCATCTTTCTTCGACTTTCCGGCTTCCTTCCCCTTCTTTCCACCACCTCCGGTTTTTTGTCCTTTCTGTCCAACCCATCCACCTTTTCCGGATTTCTTTTCGTCTGAATTTTCCGATTCCAAACTTGCATAGCCCTTAGGCACACGGGAGAAATCGACAAGAAGGTTCGATCCTCGTCCTTCAAGCGAATTAGCGAACAATTCGTACCATTTCATGAGATTCTGCTTTGTGCGATTCGCTTTCTTAAGTTGCCACAGATTCTCGATTTTTTCTTCTTTTTTCGCATAGCTTTCCTCAATCGGTTTCAATCTCCATTGGTGGACATCTTTGAGGTATTCAGCATAATCTAAATAAAACAATTTCGTCTCAAACACGCAATTCTCATACCTTGAACTTCTCCCTCCACAACTTTATTGTTTGAAGCCAATTTCTGAATCTCTGGCACAAATTTTTTAAGCAACGGTGAAGTGACATCATATAGAATTGGCATATCGGTTAATGGATCGAGAACTTCTGGAAGCGGATCGAATAATTTCTCAGCGGTGTCAGCAGCCAATGGAATCGTCAAACCAGCTTTCCCGTGAAGCTTGGCAAACTCCTCTTGAAGGCGATAAGGAAGGATCTAAATACGATATACATTATTCTCGAAAATTGTGGATACATTACCGCTTCACTAGCAGCGATTTCGTCATAAATCGTTAAAACCATGCGTCCATCCCAGATATCAGCAAGATCAAGTTTCGATCCAACATGATCAGCTTTTTCAAGAAGAGTCGTGGCGGTGTTAAGGAGCAACCGACGATCACGAATCACATTCAAACCGCGCTTCGCATTTTCTCTTTCCGGCAAATAAACTCGTTCAACTCCTCGTCGCGTGCAGATCAATGAAGACAAAAGAACGGCAGCGCATAATTGTTCGAAAGTGTCCGATCCTTGTTTTCTGAAATATGATTTCTAAACTTTTCAAAATTTACTATAAATAAAAGATAATTTAATAAAATATGAACAATTGCTTACGTTGCTTTCGCGTCAACAATTACTTTAACCCAAAATTCGGCCGGTGACGCAAATTGGCTCATCTTCAAACTTTTCGAGTGGAACGAGCGAAGGAGCTCTCCTAAGTTATCAATTTTTGTTTAGTGGAAAAAAAATAACTTAAACACACCATTACATTCCCAATGTGCCGCCAAAAAGCATTCCCAATCTTGAGCTTTGACCAATTTCGGAGTTACATAGTAAGCATCAACTGAGACGAAGTTAACTCTGATTGAGTTGAGGAGAACAACCGGCATTGATCTCGAAAGCACATCAATAACTGAAAAATGAATGTCTGTCACTTCTCAAATTCCAAACAAATAAAATTACCAATAGTTTCGAAATGTGGTGTCAAATTGACATCTTCAGCAGCACACACATCTTTTGTGACATTGTCAGTGGAAATCATCAAAAATGACGGGGTCAAGTCGTCGAGGAATTTGCCCCAAGAAGCGTCAACGGGACTTGTGAATACAAGAATATCGTCAGCAAATTTTCCGCTCATCAAATGTGCAATTGCCGATGCTCGCGCAAATGACAATGTCGTATCTCTAGCGAATTGAGCAGTCAAATCCGTGAAAATAACGATTTTAAAACGACCCCCAATTTTCACAAATTGTTCCAGGAATCTATCAATCTAAAAACGTTATATATATATATATATATATATATATATATATATATATATATATATATATATATATATATATATATATATATATATATATATTTTATAAAAAGCAGAAACAACGAGCCTGTTTGTTGAGAACAATAGATTGTCCTGCGAGTTGCCAGTTATGATACGAATGCGCGGCGCATTCAACAATCAAAGAGTCCAACGAAATCAGGAAAATCTCGACATCGGCGAATTCTCGAATAATGTTGGTGTATTCACAATCGAATTGAGAAATTATCTAATAATGAAAATCGTTGTTTCTTTTTCGAAAAAATATTCAGTTCACACCTTCTTCATATTGGTAAAAGCATCAAATGTGATATTCAGTATTTCGCTATCTTCGTCAAAAACATCCAAGTCGTCGGAAAGTACCGAAATTGAATCAGAATCTTCGTCTGACTAAATTCAATGCATTTATTTTTTGTAAAATGCATATATGCAGTTGTTTTGGTCTTTTTATTTTTAATAAGTAAGAAGAAAGACAGTAATGGCGCATTTTTCATAAATTTTTCAATTTGTGATTGAAATCATTTTGATACACTTTTCCATAGCAAAAAACACGTTGGGATAATCATGACACTTAAAAAATATATGAAAATTATCTTTGTTTGTTTTATTTTGTTTTCGTTTGAAGACCCAAAATAACGTTTTTGGAGAAAATGAATTTGCCACGAAAACACGAAATTTCCCATTTATAGAAAGATTTTTTAGGACGATTCTATAATAATTAATGTTTTACACTGTATTTATAGCGTTATACATTTAGTGGAATCCGCGCGGGTACGATCATGCGTCTAAACGAGGATCAGGCTTGTCTGACCCGCACGGTCCACTCATTTCGGGAGCCGGTGCCGAGATTTAATCGGCACCCGGCGACTGCTGTGCGCAAGTAGATTTACAAGTTAGAAATTGTCTCGCCACAGCTGAAGGCTTATTTTGAATTTTTCAAGAAAAGCGTTTAATTTTTAAGAGTATATAATTTCCTTGGATAATTAATATGACTGAAATTAAAAATTAGCGGAAATATCTCTTCAGGGCAGGACATAAATATAGCGAACAAACCGCATTTTTTTCGGATCCAGCAACACTGTTTTCCAATATTTGGACTTTCTCAAGGCTTTTCGCTATGGATGGCTGCCTAGCACGCGGCAAGATCATTGGCTTTTCTTCAACAACAACATTATCATTTTCGCTATCTAAATTCGAAATTGTGAAAGATCGATTTCGGAAAAAAAAAACGAAATTCTTACCACTGTCTTCATCCCAATCTTTTTGAGAAGACATCTTCGTTATTAAAAATGTTTCTGATTATTTTTTTGAACCCTAAAACAAACAAGGCTACTTTAATGATTGAATATTAATAAAATATAAAAAATATGGTCAAAAACCGAAGTAATTCATGAAAAATAATAATTTTAAAACCACATTTATTAGAAGAAATCTTTCTGCTTCCCATTCCACAGCAATATCACATACATACAAAAATTCCCAGAACTATGCGAAAAGGCATTTACATACATGAAGAAATAAATTAATAAAAATAATATTAATTATTCTATGTTATTTAATAAACTCGTAAACCGGACGAATAAAAGCTGAATAACCAAAAATCTTAATTCTCAATTTGAATAATATTAATTAGATTGGTAGCTCCATCGCCTTTCGGACTTGGACGACACGTGTGACATAAAGGTAAAAGAAGTCTGCATAGAGAACAGTTTGAACGATTCCAGCAACAATAACGATCGGATCGAAAAATGACTCAGTGTAGTAGCGATAGATCCAATTAAGAATGTACAATCCGCGATACGATCCAAGAGCAAAGAGATAATGAGCAGTGATCACCTTAAAATTGAGTATTCGAAAATTCTTTCAGTTTTTCATTCTACCTCAGCAGATCCGGTGGATTGGAGAAGGAAAAGCTGTGGAAGGATGGCAACGGCCTCGAGGTAGATGGAGAAGGCCCAAAGAATCTCGAACGGAGTGAATTCGTAGTTGATGAACAGAGCGAGCACAGCGGCTGGGATGACAAGAAGTTCAACTCGGAAAGTGTCAGACTCGCGCATGTAGGTCGATCGGAATTTGAAAAGCATCAAGTACACGGTCGCATAGGTTCCAGCAAGGAAAGTCACCTAAATTTATTTATTACAAATTGATCAGCACGTTTTTTTTCAACCTTCATGATAGTGTTGTAGACAGAAATAAAGGTGGTGAAAAGATCAAGGTATCTGGCAGAAAACACGACAGCGAACAGAATTTGCGATCGAAGCGAAATTCCCGAGCATGATCTACTCTTCCATATTTTAACTAGAAGAATAATGACCGCAATCAAATGCGACATATCAGCGGATATGCGGAATATGTTCATGGTTGCGAAGCAAATACCCTGAATAAATTCAATATAGTTTATGAGTTTGTTGAAATTGATATTTGTAATGAAATATAGGCGTGAAGAGGTCACGTTGTTCATTAGAATTGCAAACAATGTTTTTTGAATAGAAAAATCACTTTAGCATTTCCTTATACCTAGACGGTAATTCCACATTTTTATGAACCAATTCATTCAATAAAAAAGCGTTTCACATTTTCTTGTCGTTTCACGATTGTGGAAACTTGGCTAAATGATAAAAATGTTAGTAAAGGTGTGCCTTTAACATATTCGAATGTTTAGCTATTTTTAATCTCTGGTAACTTAAAACTAATCGGATCCGACAAAATTCGGCTCCGGAATCAACCTTCTCTGGTAAATGATTCCTAGTCGTATACGAAAAAAGCGAATTTCTTCATCGTATAAGATGGTGGGTTTTTTGTGTTTCTAAAGCTTTAAATTTGTATTAAATTTTTTAACAGGAGACATCAATGTCGCCCAAATATTTTTGGAATTTCCGTTTATGAAGGCAGCTCTGAAGCATGTGATAAATACTACAAAATTACAATTCTTTAAAATTGCAAAAAAAATACCTTCAGACAATTCCCAAAAACGATCGTGTGAATTATTCAACATCGTTTAAGCCAACGCCGCCGCACGCAACGCTGTCAGTTCGGTTTGTCAACACAGCGATTGGTATGCTCAAATAGCGCAAAAAATGTTTAAAATATGTTTAAATTAATTTCAGCTGTTTTACAAAAGACGATTACCATCGCCAGAATGGCTGACGAAACGGCGAATTCTCTCCTATTTGGTACATGGTCATATGAGCCTGTGAGTTTTGGTACATGGTCATATGAGCCTGTGAGTTTTGGTACATGGTCATATGAGCCTGTGAGTTTTCATTTTTTAGTGGCACTATGCAGATTTTGAAAAGAAACGCAGTAAAAAAACCTTTCAAAGAAACTCTACAACATTATAAAGATTCGGCTAAACTAGTCTTAATCAGTTTTTTGCGTTTTTCTCCAAAATCTGCACATCTCCATTATTTAGCAATTTGCACGCGGAAGACTGCCTCATGATTAACCATCCAAATGAACTTAATTCAGAAAAAATTCACGATCGAAAGCGCGAGCAGTGGAATAATTGGTTGATGTGCTAATCAAAATTAATTTATTTATTCCTTTTTCTTTTTCAGCTTTTTTTCTTTCATTTTTTTAAATAAACAGGTATAGAAATCTTTACATCATATAAAAGCGTTAAAATGCCAAACGAGTAGTGTAAAGTGAAATGGAATACGAAAAAACTCTCGATCGAAAACGAAAAAATCTCAATCGAATACGAAAAAATCCCAATCGAATATGAAGAAATTGTTACCGTATATGATGAATTATAATCGTATACGAAGAAATCACAATCATATACGAATAATTATAATCGTATACGTAGAAATGCCAATCGTATATTAAGAAATCCCAATCGTATTTGGTCGCGTTTGAAGAGCGATATCAGCGTATACGATTGAGCTTTCTTCGTATACGACTCGGAATCATTTACCAGAGTTACCCCATTGGAAAGTATGCGGATGGCATTGCGAAATTGTCGGATTGGTAATTTGCCGTATTTTAATTTTGTCGGATCTGATTGGATTTTGAGTTGTTTTTTTGGACATTTAGTCGCGCGTGTTCGACAATAACACAATTTTAATCAAGTATTTTCGTTTCGAGCATTTTCATCGAATAATTACCTACTAGAGATTATTTACAAAATGTGTGTTCTTATCGTTAGAAAAAATGAGTAAAACAAAAAACGCAAGACTGATTAAAACAGGCATTTTAGGATTCGAGCAATGCAGAAAGCGATCAAAACAAAATGAAAATTGACGAAGCAATTGCGTGCAGTTTTGCGTAGTGCGATTACGGTAGTCACGGTGTTTGCGGACAAAGCTGCGGCCCCGTCGCATTCAAATGTGCTTTTATCGATTTTTTAAATATTTTTAGGCAAACTGCTTATCTTCGTAATAATATATAGCAGAAATACATATGATCGTAAAAGTTAATTTATTTAATTATTTCGGACAACTTTCAAAATGAAATTTTCAGATATGATCTCAGAAAACAATTATATGGATCTTTTACGAAACTGTATAAAATGGAATTCACGGGCTATGGATGATCGCAAAAAACGGCTACGATATCCGTACTACGATCAACAAACGGGAACCGCTCAAAGAGAATCTCAATTCGCTGTGCGCTCAATTGATCACCGGTATTCTTCAAACGATTCCAATACTGTTGTGCAATTCGCGACGGAGCGATGGAGGCGGGCAAAGAATATTCCGCCATCGGATGCTGTTGAAATGAAAATGTTTCTACGCGATAACCCAGCTCTCGAAGCAGCTGTAAACCATTCAACTCCGCAAATTGCTCAGCCAGAACAGCAACAATCTGAATATGGAAGTGAAGCCTTCACCTCAACGCCAAAAGAGACACGAACAAGACAAGCGGTAATTTTCAAAATTGATTTTAAAAATGTTTTTTTTTTTCAGCAGAAAGAAGATTATCGTGACGAGTTGATGCTTGACGATGACATGTCTCCAGATGAAAATGGCTCGGACGAGGATGACTGGTCATCGAGAAAGAAACGCCGCGGCGGTGCAACCGGCTCAAAATCGTCAAATAGAAAGCGGGTAATTGAACGTTTTCCCTATATAACCATGCACAACTATCTCACTCGCGATTGTCCTCTATGAATCCGCCGCCAAATGCTGATCTGTGTTGAACTAGCGTGTTTTTGAAAGCTTTCTCTTCACTAGGTACCACCCAATCGCTCTTCGAACCGCCACCAGCAGTCGTATCAGCAGCAGCAGCGTTCACCAGTTCTCTCGCCATCCGCCAGTTCTAAAAAATCACCCGCCAACACGTCAATGGAAGAGAAAACGCACGTGTGCAATAGTGAGTACAATTTCGAAACAATGGTGTTTCTCTCGCCCGTTTTTCTTTTTCGTTTTAATTCCATCGTCGAAAACTTCATATTTCTTCTTAATTTAACAAAACATGTATTTAAAATTCTTTTCGACGCACGTTTTAGAGGAAATAAATGCCTTGGTTCAGCTGCCAGGATAATTTCAAACTTAATTCAATTTATTTTGAATAAAAAAGACACAGTGTTGTTTTTGTTGCGTTTCCTCACATTTTCTTCTTTTTATGGTCTCTTTTTTCACTTTTCTTTTGGGAAATTGTTGTTGTTGTTCTTTTTTTTTTACTTTCCGGGGAAAAGGGCGAGAGAAATGCCGGATTTCGTGAATTGGCGAGGAACGGCAGATGGTTTTTTGTATTTAATTGAAATTTTTCGGAAATCCTGGTAACTGAACTGAGCACCAAACCCCCATCCCATCCCTCTGCAACGTTGAACTAGCAATACCGTGATGGATTTCTTTTTCAGAATGCACAGCGCGGTACAAGAGCCTCGCGGGTCTAAGTTATCATCTTGCTTATTCGCATGATATGCCCTCTTCTCATCCTACTTCCAAATGTAAGTCAGCTTTAACATTCGAACCATTACACAACTTTTCAGTACTCTCTCCGAATATTGAAATATCCGATTTTTGTGATCTTTGTCTTGGTAGCGCCTTTATGAATAAAAATACAAAGCAGCCTGAAGATTTGGTAACATGTCACGATTGTGGCAGATCAGGTAAGGACATTTCGAGATGAATAATTTTCGTGATACAATTAAATCATTTTTAGGGCATCCGTCATGTTTGTCCTTTAATAAGAACGTGACTGTCATTATATCGCGTTACGGGTGGCAATGCATCGAATGCAAAAGTTGCACAATTTGCGGTACATCAGAAAACGATGTAGGCCACGATTTTTCAGAATTTCGGCATTCTCATTTCATCATTTCAGGATAAATTGTTGTTTTGCGACGATTGTGATCGCGGCTATCATCTTTATTGCCTAAAGCCGGCACTCGAAAAAGCGCCTGACGATGAATATTCGTGTCGTTTGTGCCAGATCGAGTTTGGCGACAAGGCGAGTGCTCCGCTCAAAAAATAAATCTCGATCTGTCTTTATTAACTATCGAATTTGCATAATTCCGGCAAATCGCTCACTTCCGTTTCTGTCTGTATCTATTATTTATAATATTATATTATCTAAACTGTCTCCAATAAAATTACTAACATTCCAAACTCAACTGGACAAGCATACAGGCCACCCTTATTTATTCAACAAAGACTCTTCACGCATTTAATAAATATTGTAATCAAAAGGGGTGAATGATGTGAGGCGAATACGTAAGACGAGCCAGCAGAAGCGATGGAAGGGAAATAAACTAATATTATTCAACAGAGAGTCAACGAACTCATTTTTCCAACCGAATACATAAGCAGACGACCCGTAGTACCATTAAATAAAACATGCAAATATAAAATAGTGAGGAGTGACAAAGAGAAACAACAAACACACAATCATCATAAATATTATACAGGGTGTCATTTAAGTTCCCGCACAAAAGTTTGACGCCATGAAGAGCTTGGCTGTCGCACTTTTCGTGCACCAATACAATTTATTTTTGTTAAATAAGGTATATTTTACTTACTTTCCAAGTTTCACCTCATTCGGATGTGTTTCCGAGAAATGGCGAAGGCTAACATCCATCGCGTTTCCATTATCGAATTTCATAAGCAAAATGTGAGCCCGAGAGACATCATTCAACGGGTCGGTGTGCCTCGTAGAACGGTTTATGACACCATCAAACGATTCAAGGAGCTAAATACGACCAGTGACCGTCCCAGACAAGGAAGACTGGTCTCAGTAATCACTCCTCAGAAGATCAACGCCGTTAAATCGAGGATCAGGTGAAAACCCCACAGGAGCATGAGAAAGATGGCGTCAGACATGGGAATGAGCATCTTCGCTATGGAACAAATCGTCAAAGCGAAGCTTGGACTGACCCCATATCGTGTCCAAAAAGCGGCAATTCTATCGGCCGTCAGCAAGCAGAGACGCTTCGAAAAAGCAAAACGACTTCTTGCTCGCACGCGGCCTGGAGAACACCTCGTCACTGTCTTCTCCGACGAGAAGCTGTTCAGTGTGGAGGCGGCATTCAACTCACAAAACCATTGAGTACTTGCCCAGACATCCCAGCAAGCTTCTGAGAAAGGAAGAACAATTCATCCAGCCTCACATCCTGCCAGTGTGATGGTTTTCGGTGCCATCTGCTCAACCGGGAAGTGCCCCCTGGTTTTCGTGGATCAGGGGGTGAAAATGAACAGAGAAGTCTACGTTCGGGACATTTTGGAGAATCATGTGATGCCCTGTACCCAAACGCATTTCGGTGGGCAGAAATGGGTCTTTCAACAGGACGGAGCACCCGCCCACACTGCCAAAACTACTCAGGAGTGGTGCCAGACCCATTTTCCCGACTTCATCAAGTCATCCGAATGGCCTGATCGCTCCCCAGACCCGAAACCGCTTGACTTTTCCGTGATGGGGTCTTGCAGGAGAAGGTCAACGCAAAACCCCACTCAAGTATAGAGGCTCTGAAGAAGACATTACTGGCGGAATGGGACAATCTTTCCATCGAACACCTGCGTACCACAGTCATATCCTACCCGAAGCGTCTCCGTGAAGTCATAGCTGCGAAAGAAGACCGAATCGAAAAGAGTTAAAAGATAATTATTTGTTATACTATAGAAAAAAATATATTTCGAGTCTCGTTTGATTTGGACTTTTAGTTTCAGAAATATACGTCTTCAAAGTTGTGCGGGAACTTAAATGACACCCTGTACATAACTGCCGACAGAGAAGAGCATTGACAATATGTCACGCCTAAATGTTTTCGAATGCCGATTTCGCGCGATTCATCGATTTGGCGAGTTCGTCGAATTTCGTCAAAACTTCGCGTTTTTGTCGCGAATCCGTTGCGTTGCCACGCGACAAGGCAGCAATCAATTCGTCGAAAATCTGAAAAAATAAACAAGAAGCGAATGAATTGAAAATTATTGAAGATTTTTGTTACCAAAAGGTGAATGCAAATTTTAAAACTGAAACAGGATTAGAAAGTTTCTTTTTTCAAAAGTCGAATTCCGTTTTCAAATAAGAAAAAGAAAGCTCATGACACGAAAATTTCTCCAATTGAATTCCAATATTTCAAAGCCAACATTCAAAAGTTCTCAACGCCTTCTTCAAAAAATGGCTCGATGAACGCTTCTTCGAAAATGATGTTAGTCACTTTTATGCAAATAGATAGCACAATTTGTTCACATTCATTTTGATAATCTAGAAAACAAACGAGTAAATATGAAGATAATGAGGCCATCTTCGAACGAGCTAAATTAGTTTTTTTTTCACAAAGCCAAACAATTTCGCGCTTTTCACTTTATAAACTAGACCAAATACGCATACATTCTAATTAACAATGAATGTTCGCATAAATTACCTCTCTTGATTGTCGGACTTGCGCAGTTACTCCTCGCAACTTCTCACTCCTCTCGTGCGCTTCGTACGCTTCGTCATCCTCGTCGTCAGACTTTTCAATTTGCGGCGGCAAAAAGATTTCTTCGTCTCGAATCGGAGTTGCATCTCCAGAACCTTCAGTTCCCATTTCTTTTACTCTTAAAACATTAACTGACTGGCATAAATAAGCGATAAACGAACCTATCCGCATATCTCAATGTATTCAGCGAATGTTCACTAGAAGAAACTCCAGGCGATATCATCGAAATCATAACAGTTCGAGCATTCTCGCCAATAAAACTATCACGAAGAACCAGAGTAAGCTTCGACTGACGGAATGGAACATGTGACGAATTTCGAGCCATAGCGCGAATGCATTCCTTTAAAAACATTGAAATTTGAAAATAGAACATTAAAAAAAACCTTCAAAGCCAATAGCGAAGTATTGATTGCAGCGCCTTCTTGTCGAGTTTCGCGATCGCATTCGCGAGTGTCATGGCCGCGCTCATTTCCCGCCAAATCGATGAGCGAAAATTTTCCCCAAACCGATTTCCCTCTGAAATCGTTAAACTTTATGAGTTTCCGGCGGAAAAGTTCATGAATTGTTCGCAAAACTGGTTTCGAACAAAGTGTTCCGCCTATGAACAAAATTTTCATTTAAAAAATAGCAAATTTTTTCGTTTTTTTTTATTCAAAAAGCAGATTTTTTTGTGAGTCTCGGAAAAATTTTGAGAGTAAATGTAATGTAAATAAACACTCGAATCAGAAAATTATTCATGTTATTATTTTAATTTGTTTGTTTCAACACATCGAAAATTTGAAAAAGAAAGTAGCAATTAACTTACTGCCTAAGAATAATCTGGAATACGGCGTGCGATCTGGACGAGTTGGCATTGGCTGAAGTGGTTCCAGCGGTACGAACCAGCGATCCCTTGTTGATCAAGTCGAGGACTTCTTGCTCATTCGTTGTGAGCTCTTCCTTCAATCCAACGACTTGCACTTTGTTCTTGTTGTCTTCAAGAACACGAAGCATTGCCTTATCGTTAAGAAGATCGAATACCTGTTGAATGATTATAATTGAGGAAAGTGTGCAAAAATGGAAATTAAAACCTTAGATCCGTAAATTTCGAAAAATGCGCAGTGAACACTTAAATCCTTACGCCTGTACTGCGGCATTTCGAGCATTCGGAATACATCGCGAGCAGTCAGCGCGTATATTCCCAGTGAAGCATTCTGCTTTTTTCCAGAGAAATCACCACCCATGGTGTGCGTTTTTCCTGATCCGGTTTGCCCATAAGCGAAACATGTTGCTGTTCCTTTCTCGAATATCGTCTTTACGAGTGGTTGAGCAGTAAACCTTTAAAAAATCAGCAATATCTCACTTCATAATTTTTTTAATAGCTTACTTATAAACTAGGTCATTGCTTGAATTCTCATCAAAAGCATAATCAAAGCGAAATTTTTGATTTTCCAAGTATTTCGTGAGATCAACTCGAACTTGCGGTTGATGAAGAACAATAATATCGCGGCTCGGAATTGTCACAACTTCGATTTCGCCTTTTGCAATCTCCTTTTTGTTGAGCGGTCGTTTACGCACGCAAACAGAAATGCGATTTTCAGAAACGGGATCGTTAATGGTCAATGGACGATAATCAATCTGCAAAAGAAATAGAAAGTTGAAGTGATAAAATTGGTCGTAAAGAGATTTCGCAACAATTTGCGAGAAAAGCACTATAATTGAAAATTTCGATCGGAAATAAATATATATTTCAATTGAAAATATTTTCTTAGACTTGATTACCTGATTCCTATAAGCTCTAATCATTTCAGCAAACGCATAATTGACGTTTCCCGCGGAAACATCTTGCTGCGGATACGACATTGGTGTCGGCGACGGCGCTCTGGCAACAGGTTGCACTTGCTGCGGAGCAGGTGTCGGAGCTGGGGCAACAGGAGCAGGTGGCTCCTTTTTTGTAACTGGTGATGGCGCTCGATATTGAGCTTGTGGGGCGACTTTGGCGGTTTTTTGCGCCATCGGCGGCGGCGGTTGTGGTAGACTATTACCATTGTCTGGAGCCATCGATCGTCGCGAATTAGCTGGCCGAGTAGCAGCTGGAGGATCGATTCGTTCCCTACGGGTAACGGGCGGTTGCGGTTTCTCTATAATTTCGCATGTCATAGATGGAAATAGATTCCGGAAAAATGCACCTCGATCTTCCATCATCGCATCTAACAAAAACGTATCGTCATCGTCTTGAACATTTCTATGAGAATTCATGAAATTGTGGAACTCGTGAGCTTGAGAAGGTCTCTGCGTTTGCGGCGGGTGTTGTGGTTGTTGTCTTTGCGACGCTACGCGAGGTTGAAGCTTTACTGGTTCCGGCAGACCTTGCTTCAATGTTGGGTTCAATTTTGCAAGTTCTTCATACGTCGATTCTTTTCCTTTTGTTTCACCCTTCAAATTTATCGATGAAATCTAATTTTTGCACAATTCGCCCACCTTTTCGTACCATTCCACCATATATCGACCATTATTTTTGATTTCCGCAATTACCGCACCGTGAATTCGACCATCGCTTCGCTGGATCTCCACGTGCATTCCAATAGCCAACATTTTCTACAAATATACTAAATACATCAAAACAACGAAAAATTGAAATGAATTGAGCGCGCGAGTGCGAGAACATTTGAGGAGACAATGAATGAACACTGCGGCGACGCGAGACACTGGAGAGCGCAGAGAAACAAACGAAAGCGGTATTGATAGTTTGAACGAATAATGCATGAATTTGGCTCGTCTCTTCCAACAAGCCTATTTTTCTTTGCACTTTCAAGTTTGGAATTCGTTCTAAATTAGAGCATCTTTTAATGAAACCGCAAAAAGGACTAAAATATCTTTTTCAATCCCATATTGCGAAATACTTGCATCAATTTTCAAACATCATTGGGCGTGGCCTCCTATTTTCTTTTGGTTTCGTTTTGCTACAGAATAAAAAATGCGAAAAACGAAAGAAGCTGTGGACTTTTATTGCGTTTTGACGTTTTGACTTAAATATTGAAATATTACCATCTTGGTAAATTTCTTTTTTTTGCTTTCGTAAAAGTGAAAAATATAGGAAGAAAAAATGACGGGAATAAACGACATAAATTTGTGTTTTCCATGAATCGACAGAACGGCGTGAAATGCGTATTTAACGGAAAATCCGTTTAAAGCGTTTAATGATGGAAAAATGCCGCAAATTATTTGAATTATTAAAATTTTCTGAAGAGTAAAGGAAACAGTGTTAAGTTTTAGAAAATATTGCGTGGAAAATTTCTCTAGATCGAGATTCGAATATTCGAGCTCACATATCTATTTATTTAATGTGAAAATTGTTTGCGTAGATTTATTTAAAATGATTATTTCATTTAAATTGAAAAAAAATAGTTAGTTTATATCTACGCAAACAATTTTCACATTAAATAAATACATACGTGAGCTCGAATATTCGAATTTCGATCTAGAGAAATTTTACACGCAATATTTTCTATATACCGAAAATTTTCAAAAATGGAGGAAATCGAGATGTCGCGAATATTCATCAATTATTCCTAATTTAAACAAACAAACGTGAAATCAAAAAGTAATCGGAACTACAATTGACCCGACGAGAACGCGCATGGAAATGTCTCATATTTCGTAATGCGCAAGGGCACACAATCAGCAGGGACAAAACTAGGAGTCGAGAAAAGAAAGAATGCATGTGGCAGTGGTCCGAAACCGAGCAAAGAAGGGCTCAACCGGCTGTGCTCTAGTTTTTATAGAAAAAAAGTGTGTCTCATTGAAGAATTCCATTGCGGTGTTATGAATTCTGCCACAATATTATTTCCAATGGAAACTACCTTTTATGAGTAAAACGGATATTATTTCATTTATTTTTTATAAAAAAAATTATGAAACAACTTGCGGCAAATTTCCCTAATTTTATTGCCAAGCGAGCTGATTAGATTTTGCATGAGTTTTTTCTTGGGCCTTACAATGTTAAACAATCAGCAGTTTACGACACTTTATCCGTTAAGTATAAAGAAAATTCCACAAAACATCTAAAAAAAAAGCATTTTGAGCAAATGAGATCTCTAGTCAATATCTAACAACCATAACTTTATAATATTCTACTCTGCATTTATAATGGCGGTTTTGGAGTGGCTCCACGTGCATCACTTGACATGCTTCCATCGCTGTCCTCTCTGCTGCTGCTCTTCCGGTCCGCCTTGTTGCCCGTCTCATTTTCCGATTGCGATGAATCATCATAGAAATCACTTTCTGCAATGGTTGATTATAAAAAAGGAAAGCAAACGTTAAATCACACCATTAAATAACTCGTCATCCAAAAGGAAATTGTCGCCAGCTCTTCCAACCGGTTCATTCGGATTCAAGCTCATTGAATGTCGCAACGTCGGTCGTGCCACCGGGATCTTCGACATTGCCGCGGCAAGATCCGTGAACGACACTGCCCGTGACATATCCGATTTTTCACGTCGACTGGGCTGCCTCTTGAACCTCTTCGTCTTGCGTTCATCTCCAAGAATCGCCTCGCGATCCTTGGCAACCAACTCGCTAACCACTTGCCTTCCATACTTCAATCCAATATTCTAGAAAGTAATAATTTTGTCCGAATCCGATTATTTCAGAGACATACCATGATCTCTTCAAATCTCGGAAAGTCAAGCGTTTTGAATAGCTCAATCGGCGGCCGCAAGTACCTACAGTATGACGCCTTCTTGACAACTTCCAGCTGTCTTACACATGATACATAGGCCAATCGACTCTGAAACCCAATTATTGTAGACGATGCACACAACTCCAAATTCCACACCTGAATTTCTTCCATATTCAATATTCGGACCGGTTCGCCGAACGGATTCAATTTCTTGAGAAGCACCCATATTCCGCTCAATGAATCACCATAATCGTATAGATTTGTCTCTTCGATCGAACCAACATCGCACGCGATTACAATTTTGGCGCCAAGGTTGCGCATCACATCAGCCGGAACGTTGTTCACATAACCGCCATCCAACAGCAGATGTCCATCTTGCGGATCACATAAAGGGGGAAGATAGCCGGCGAGCGACATCGAAGCCCGACAATATGACCAAAGTGGACCCGATTGATGTACCCGCATTTCCGAAGTACTGATGTCCGTGGAAATACAAAAATACGGTATCCAGAGATCCTCGATTAGTCGATCATCGAACAAATCCTTTATTGAATAATTGAACTGTGCACCCGTAAACATCGCGCTGTGAGCGTATGTCAAGTCCAATAGTTTTCGCCATAGCGATGACATTGCATGGAACCATGAAGACGCTCTTTGCTCAACAACCACATCATCAGGAGTTTCAGCATAGAGACCACCGATCAACGATCCAATTGAAGTTCCTCCAACTATGTCAACCGGAACACCTTGTTCTCGAAGTGCGCGAAGTACGCCAACATGCGCGGCTCCACTGAAAACAAAACGATAAAAATTCGGATGGATTCAGATAGCGTAAAATCTAACCGAGCTCCACCTCCACCAAGAACCAAACCAATAGCATTTCCGGTTAAAATTCGAGCCAACCGTGAAAAATCAGATCTTCGGTCCGATGTACAGAACACGTTGTTTTCATAATAGTTGATAATCTCTTTCTCCAGCTTAAAAAATATTTCGAAGAACGTTAAAAAAAATAAACGATGGTTAATACATTTTCGGCAGTCTCAGGTCTCCTGAGACGTTTCTTGTTCCATTGTAGCATTCGTTTTGGTGCTCTAATATGATGATGTCCAGAGTAATAACTGTTTTTAAGCCATTCAATAGTGCCTAAAAATTTCGAAATAATATAAAATCCAAAATGCATCTTGCCTGAGGGTGTTTTCGTCTTCTCAGGCCACAAAAGGATCAGCTCCTTGTTGGTTCGCACACCATCCTGATTCATGCTCATCAATTCGCGCATCTAAATATTTTTTTAATTGAAAATCAATTCTAATGTAGTTTCTCACCAATGTCTGTTGCTCCGGCTTTTTGCCACCAATCGCGACAACGAGAATCGCATCAGCTTGCCTCAAACATCTTCGCGTCCAGTTTGTTGGTGTGAAGTCGCACTCATAAATTACCAATGGATACGTATCCTCTTGCACATTCAACCAATGCATCAAACGGAAATCAGCCTGTCTAAAACAAACAGTTGTCAACTTCATTATTGCAAACACACTTTTCTAGAACGGCTGGATCAAGGTAAGTCGCCACTTTTTGACTGCTCAATCTCAGAACTCTTAGGTTCGCAGACAATGCATGGTACAGCTCGCAGGTGAAAGAAATCAATGGCACATCTTGAGAAGCTGGCACAACAGCAATAGTGTGCAGATTCTACAAATCCCATCAATTAAATCAATCTTGTGCTCGAAACCCATTTACTTTGATGTGACTCATGGGATCCGTCGAATTGTTCTCCAATGAGCGCACAATTCCACCAGGCGCCAGCGGGATTCGTCGATTCATCTGACTGTAATACTGTCCAAGCAGCTGCACCAGCCGAAATCCGACTTGCGGAAATTGCATTTTGATAAAGTTAAGTAGTCCTTCCGGAACTCGCGCTAATTGTGAGAATCGAACTGCCAAAACCGTGGTGTTTCGTGGCTTCTTCGTCAAAACTTCCATCATTCCGAGCACATCACCTCGTCCAAATTCTTCAACAACCGTCTTCTTCTCGACTGAACGCAATCGACCACTGAGTACGACAAACAAAGAATCAGCAAGATCACCCTCTCTGCAATTATAATTTCAGATTATCGTCTTAGAAAGTGGAATCTCAATTATTCGTTATCATTGAAATGTCAAGTGGGTTCTATTCTATTATAACGTATTTCAAATAATATAATTTCATTGTTATATAATTCAAAAGTCTACCGATAAACGGCATGTCCCGAATCAACGAGAACCCAATCAAGCGCAAAATCGACACCGCGTAAGAACGGCGAAAGCCGCCGCAAAACCGAGTGTGCGACTGGCAAATAAATCTGGGGGTGTGCTTCGAGGAACCTGCAAAACACACAAAATAGGCGACATCGAACAATTTGGAAAATCTCGAATCTTACGCGGAAAAATCAGTCTTCTTCATTATCGCCACATGTGTGGGCACAATCGCACGAATTGTGTAAAACGATGGCTCATTCGTCAGAATTTGAAGACCTCCGACTAGTTCGCGTGCAGTAACTCGAATCACAGCTCGATCCTCATCATCATTATTCTCCTCATCGAAAAGCGCATCCTAGAATGAAAAAATTAATGATAATTAAAAAATGAATAAAAATATTTGGTTAAAATCGGTAGGTAATTCAGAAAGCTCTTCAAATTATAAATAAACAAAACTTATTAAAGTCGCATAGGCGGTTTGAAATTAGCTATTAAAACAAACTGATCACACTTAACTTACCCCGTCGAAAGTTTCCGGTTCATTCTGTAAACACCATAAAAGGCATTCGAATGAAAGGAAGTTTGAAAATAAAATAAACCACACAAATACCTGAGTTAGCGCCAGTGTTCCACTCAAAACGAGCATGAGAAGCTCTTCTTCAGCACCTTGTTCAATTACAACATGATTCGCGTCGTATTTGGCAATTTGAATTTTATTGCCAATTTCTTCAGCACCCTGTTCAGAATTCAGACCAAACGCCTCCGCCATCCATTTTCGCGCTACCACCAGCTGTTCTTCTTCGCCTAAACCATCAAATCTTTCTCTAAAATAGTCCAATAAATCCTAAATTACTGTCATTGATGTTGAACAGTTTTTCCTTCTTCTTTACTGGAAGTGGAAGTGGGAATTTCATTGAGTTGTTGGGATTACGTGAATCAGCACCTCGTGAACCCTCTGGTGCTTTCTAAAATATCACGGATTTGTTACAAATACGATTGTCGCATTCTTACTCGTCTCATCAATTCCGAGCTGAGCCCCATATACTGATGAAGAGTTGTCAATGTTACATGAAGGAGTCGGGTAATCACAATTTGAATTGGACGAATCCAAGCTTCTGGGTTCTTGTTATATGACGATCGGAATGATGTGATCGGAAATCTAAATCAATCCGTTGACTGTCATCTTGTGCAATTCTTTCTAATCTTACTTTGCCACTCTGCACGGTTCGGCAGCTTTCAACGCAACAGTTTTGAACACAGAAGGGAAGTCCATGAGGATGTCGAGCATTGAAAGAAGCGAGAAAAAGCTTCCACCAGCCGGAATTCGTTTCACCAGGTATTCTTTTTGTTCCATATGTCTAATATGGACTGTTAATTCTCCATCAATCGACACATATATTGCATCATCCTGGTCTCCTGGCTTCACTATATATTCTCCAGCTTTGAATGTTCGAACTTCGATCTCACGAGGATCCAGTTTCCATTCAAGCGGCAACTCGAGCATTCTGAAAAAAAAAGTTTTCAATTAAATGATTTGTTTCATATATTTACTTCAAATTATGAAGAATATAGAAAATTTCTGGTTGCAAATTGTGCGGTATTTCAGGCAAATCTCGAGGCTCAAAAAATTCCTGCGGCGGTCGTAATCGAGTCTCTCGACCTTGTTCGGCATTCGCTTTGAAGTAGTTTCGACTGCCGCGTCGAAGCAGACTAAAAATCGAAATTAAAAAAAAAAACACAGCATTTTTCTGTTATACTCTCGGGCTAATTGAAGGGCTGTGGATTGTCGCCTTCTTGTCCATCGTCGTTTCCTCTGTGTACCATTTGGAGTAGAAGCTGAATTATCCGATGAATCATCGCTGGGCGTACGACGAGACGATTCGTGCTAAAATCCAAAACCGTATGTGAAAATTTATGACGTTCCGAAAACATTGGATACGCATCTATTCGAGATTCCCAAACAATTTCTATTCGAATATTTTTCCAAATTGGTTTGAAAACCGCGAAATCCCCATTAAAATTCAAGCAAAACACACCACTAGACTCTTGTAAATCTTCTTAGCCCAATCGCGTTTGCGCAACCGTGCGGCTCCCTGCGAATTTACCGAATTAACGAGATTCCCATTCTGCAAATTCAATGAATTCGGCGGTTGTATTAGTCGTCCGCTGCCCGTTGGCGTCGACTCATCATCCTCGTTGTCCGTTTCGAGAATCGTCACCACATTTCTTTTTTCTTCTGAAATATTAGAGAATCTTCAGCTAACTAATGTTGCTTGTTTTAGGGAATGGGGTAGGTGAACTTAAAACGTTGAGTGTCTTAATCGCATTAGAATTTTTTTAGAGCAAATTTATGAAAATACGTTGTAAAAAAAATGAGCGGAATACAATGAAAAACTAATGTGCCGATGGTTTCTTGTTAATAAATATATTTATAACATCGCCAATTTCAAATACATATTTAGTTTTTAAATTTTCCTTTGCCTTCTCAAATTTGTTTTTTTTATACATTCCGCGGTTTTGAAAAATTTATAAACCATAATTCTTTATTAATAATCGGCGTGGAAATTGGTACATTTTTTATTATCCCACAAAAATTTAAACGAAACGATTTTAAAAATATTAAGAGCGATAAAATAACAAAGAAAAAGAAATGTTCACATTTTTAAACTCACTATTTGGCGAATTTCTCGCTGATGTTGCTGCACTTGAGTTACTTGACTGATTTGCAGGATAGGCGAATAGATAATATGAAGTGAAAAATGCGCCAACGCCTACTAAAAATATTGAAAATAGAACTAACCAAACCTTAAAAATATCAAGTTTGATTAGAGAATAGCCATATAACACCTTACATGACTAATAATTAAACTGCACAATGACAGAATTGGCCAGAAGAGATAATAGATAAATCCCATTAATTTCACCGCATTCAATAATGTTGACCCTGAAATATCGCCGAATTACATGTATTTCAAAGAATATAAAATATTTTTAAGATCAAATTTGAAAAGAAAAACATAAACGAACCGTTAAAATGGCTATAAATGGCAACATTTGACCCGATTTATTACGCAAAAAAACATTTAAAATTACATTCCAGAAAACGTTTTCTTTTATTTATTGCAAGAAAAAGCATTTTCTCGAAGAATAATTAATGACGACAAAAAAATGCAACATGATTGGATATTTGGTTTGTCCCATTGGCCAAGCAAAGGAGATAGAAACCTCTATTCAATTCCCAGAATTTTTTACACAAAAAGAGACAATCAAATCTGCATATAAACCCGTTTAAAATCGCAAAAAAAAGATGAAAGAGGAAACGAAAAGAAGCGAAGCAGTTTTTCTCGGCTCGAAATGGTGGCATACTTTCTGGGAGAACGACTCAGTTAATTTAAAATAGTGGAAAAATCGAAAGAAAAACATATATTCGATAGAAATAAAAGACATATAAAAAGTGAAGGATTAAGTACATTCCAGAATGTAAAATCAAAAATCACAACGATTTTTATTAATGAATAATTCAATTCGCATTACAAATTGATGGAGAAATTTTTTTATTTTCCGAAATTCTTATAGAATTTTTCAGGTGATAAAAAAATGTTTTTGTTTAAACACGGTGTTTTTTTTTCGAGAGTTCTCAAAAGCTACCGCTATTCATTCGAAACCTTTTTAACACTACCATTCGAGGCCTAATTGCAATTTTCGTAAAGCCAGAAATCCGGAATTGGTTCAAGGATCATAGCAACTATCTTAAAATTACGTTAAATTTTTTAAAATATTTCAGTAAGAAACTTTTGAAATCATAGGGTTCTCACGAGGTTCCCCTCCCCTTTTTTTCGTCACTTTCTAATCAAGGTCATGCTACAATGAACTGATAAATGCCTAGAATTGATATTGTTGGTTTCGAACGATCGCTAATTGGTGCCAAGAAAGCTGAATATTAAATGCGCATACACTTGCGTTGTATTACTCAGACTTATTATTATTTTAGTTTCGGCCAGTGATTTGCAACCGACGATATTGTTCGAAAAAAGTTGACAAGTGACGCACAAAAAAATCGAAAAAAAAACAAATAATGAGAAAATATATTTAAAAGTGTAAAGATACACTACAAACAAATGTAAATGAAACTCACTTAAATGTTTCATATTAAACCAACGTCTTTTAAAATTCCAAACGCTTGAAAAAAATATGATGCTTCAAAGTTCTCGCAAATTTTTGGGAAAATATTCCAAAACACAACAACAACGAAAAATAAAAAAAAGCGCCTAAATATTACATTCAAATTTTTCATGTACAAAAAGAGATGCATACAATTATTTAGTTGTTTTTCTTTTATTTTCGACACAATACATTTGGGAATGCTTCAAAGAACAACAACAATAAAACTACAAAGAAACGGTTCTTGTATTCGTCCCTTTTTAGGCGATTTCGAACATTAATTGGCAAAGAGGCAACCCGTCAACTAATAATGACAAAAGTGAGTGGATGGTGTTGCGGAAATAGGCGAACCGTTCTACTTCGCGTAGATAACACACTCATATTTGTTTTGTTATGCGCCAAAAACTGATCAAATCATTTCATTCTTTCAGAATCTCACACATATTGACAGTTGGTGTAGTATCATGTGAATAGTACAAAAATGTGACCGAAAATTTCTGAGCGCCAATAAATGCAACACATTTTTTTCTTGGCTTTGCGGCGAACACCAAACCCTTCGCGAATGTTCTGAAAAGCAAACACAAGGAAAGCGACTATAAAAAATTGATTTTCAAAAATTGAGGAAACAATTGCTGTTCGATTCCGCTAGTAGTTTTCAGATAATTCAAACCCCACCGGAAAAAATTGGCACAATTTTCAAAAGTTTGACAGCAAAAGATGGGAGAGCAAAGGCATACGAACGCTAAACGGATTAGAGATATTAGTGGACATAAACGGAAAGTTCGCCATCCGAGGGACAACTCGAAAAGGGCAATGTATTGTTGCGTGGACTCCTAAAAACGGTTGCCTAAAATGCAAACAACTGAAGAGCAAGACGGGTGGGACGAATTCGATCCTTCATCGTTGAGGTGCCAGGGATGCACACAAATCGCGAGAGAACGCGGCGACGAAGAGGCGCCGACGTGTGGCGAAAAACAGAAATTTTCACGATATATATTCGCGAGCTTTCCTTGTTTTTTTTCGCCTTTTTTGTGTGAAATTCGATAAACTCGCCATTCTTTCACTGAGAAAACGAAAACATTTAGGACGTCTTCTGCCGATATTCTATGAAAGAACCGGGAAAGAAAATTTGAAAAAAAAAATGACGTAACCAGAGAAGCAAAAAATCAGAAAGCGATGAGATTTGAAAAAAAAAGAAGTGATTGAAAACATCACGAATCACATGCCGAATTCCCTCGAGGAACATAAGACGGAACGAAGAAAAAGGCAGGCTTCAAACGTTTTTTTTTATTAAAAGGAGCCGATGAATTGGATTGGCGATTGGAACACGAGATGTCACGGCGCTCGTGTACAGACGTTTTAATATTGAGGGGGGGGGGCAGAACATTTGCAAAAGAAACATTTTTCCTCGCGACCAATTTTTTGGAAAATTGGAAAAAAATTTCGGCAATGTCCTTGACAACTATTCAGCGACCTATTTCTTCGAAAAAAGAATAAAATTGTAAGCTTGTCGTTTCGGTCAATGACAGACTATAGCATTTTTCTCATATTCGGCCGAATATACTGAAATTATCAAGTTTGACAACAAACCTGAAAAGTTGAGAAAATTTCGATAAACAGATTTCCAGTTTCAAAAAATTTTTAGCGCCATCGAGTTCTGGAGGACAATCATTTCTTATTAACCATAATTGAAATTATAGCTGTTCTCATGTATTATGGAAATGTAAATAATTTTTATTATTAACGTAGAAGTTTCGAGATTAAATTGCATTCGAATTCAATTTTGTATCATTTCCGCTTGAAAAGAAAACGGTTTTTATGTTTTTAATAGAAATTCTATTACGGTTTATTTCTCAGTTGGATATTCTTATCGGGCATAAAAATGCTTGAAAAGTATTGAATGTGGATGTTTAAAGTTCGTTTCAAAAACTCTCCTTATGTGGACGACTATCATTTTTAAAATTTTATTTTGGGTATTCAAGATGGAAGAAACCCTCAAACCAACTCGGTCTTATGACAAAAGACTCGAGACGCGATAAGAAAAATTATATTTTAAATAATAAGGTTGAATTGATTTCAGGGAAATTCAAAAAAAAAAAAGAGAGACACGAAGAAAACACACGAGGTTTGAATTAGAAAAAATTGAAGGAGATGAGTGAAAAAAAAAAGAACAGGAAACAATATCGGCGGTATACTAAGAACATTTTCGAATAAAGCGTTTTAATTCATGATTTTCTAGAAAAAAGAAACGGCAACACCCAAAAACGAGACGAATAATAGGCTAAAATCATCACAACTATATACAAAATACTAATAAAGGCATCATATAGCGCACCGAATATACAACAAAATCTACATTTTTTTTTCTTTTGAGGGATTTCTTCTAAATCACGGCAAGACAAATTTGTTCATAGAATTTAATCACCGTAAAATAATTTATGTTTGCGCAGGTCGATTTCCTTGGCCTGGTACATGATGGGACCAATCAGCAACCTGAGGGCCCATTGTTAGATTCCTGCGGGACGATGTACTGTATATCGGTAACACTTCACTAGCCTCAACGGGAACTGCCTAAAACTTTGAATTGAGCAATCAAAATGAAATAGTGCGAACCTTTAAATAAATACAAGCGTCTGTTCCATGCCCTTCCATTGAGACCAAGAACAAATCTCCAAGGAAATACCGGGCATACAAGCGGGACAATGGAAGCCCATATCCATAACCGGCCTATATTGAGCATACATTAATAATAGTAATAATAAAAATAAACAAATATATACATTTAAAAAAGTTGATTCTTCAACACACCACCCAAACTCGACAATTGCCTAAAAAAGAGAAAGGCGTTTGAATAGGCGCCAAAATCCCATTGTTTGCGAGCTTTCGGTCTTTTTGGATTTTCTCGTAACTATCATTCTCACTTACTTATCTCCTTCCGAAGCGAGTCCGACCATCTCATTGGAGGCCTTTATCTTGGCCGGGTCCAATTCCACGGCCGCCTCTCCGTTAGAAGAGTAGTTCATCTTCCATCTATTCTTCTAGCAACGTGTCCAGCCCAGATCATCTTTCCCTTCGTAATGAGATGTAGGGGGGTCCCGAACCCCCCCCCCCATGATGCGGATGTCCTCTCGATGAATATCTTGTACATGTTGTTGTGATAACGTGAGACCAACTAATCTTCGCTCAAGCGCAGCGTGACTAATTCGGACTCTTTCAGCAAGAGCTTTGGTGAAGGTCCACGTCTCTGCTCCGTAAGTCAGGGTTGGGAGAACGATGGAGAGAACTGTCAACTATTTTGCCTAACCCAAAAACACCCATCTCATTTTATTGTTTTGTTGGTATTTTTTAGCAACAATGTAGCAACTTTTGACTTTTTGATTGTAATTTTATACTACTATTTAACTAATGCCATATAAGCATTTTAAACAACAAATCGAGTTTGGGTGGAATCTTTAAAATTTTATCTCACCAATGGCGCTTGCGTTCCATCTCTTGGCGGCGGAGGAGCGGTCGAGTACATATAATTGTAGAGACGTTCGAGAATTGTGCGAGAAACGCCGCCGCCACGATCGCAAATCTAGAAATCCTCAATTTTGAATTCGATTCAATTCTCTGGAGGGTGAACCTTGATAGAAAGATCTTCGTGTCCTTTCACAACATACACTTTGATATCCGGAAGATCATCGTCAACACCATGAAATTCAACAGTTGCTCTCATCGCATTCTGTAAACAATTGTGAGTTCTGAAAGCGAAATGAGCAACAATACCTTGAAAAGCTCGAACATCATGTGATACAAATGACTGGGAACCGCAACTATTGAAATTGGTTTCCCTTTCTCAACTGCATTGTGCATTTCCAATTTCATCGAAGGGCTGGTTAAATAATAACGATCACAAAGAAATCTGAAAAAAAAAGTATATTACTTTACATTAAGTTTTCTAATTTACATTAACGATAATCAACAATTTTCGATTAAATGCAGTTTTAAAAAATTATTTTGATCATTGAGAGTTTAGAGCACCACATAGCGTTGATTTATGAGCCACTAATAAAGTTTTTGCTAAATATTTGTTGCAAATTTAGCTTTTAGCTTCTTAGAATGATTTCAGCGTCATGATATCCGCACAAGTTAAAGTTATATCGTAAAATTATTTTAAGGTTTGTTTTCTAAAAAATTACCTAGCATTCTCAAAGGCATCATAGACTACGCTTTCGACATTACAAGCCGGATCAATACATCCGACATGTCTTGGACTTTCGGGAAGAACATTTCCAAAAACAACCTGAAATTTTCGAATGATTTTCAAATTTCGACGAAATTTGCATACTAAATGTTGATTTTGAAGCATTCGAATCGATATTCTGTTGATATAAAAACGATCTAAAAAGTATTGAATTCCTTTTTCACTGGCAATATCGACGCCATCAGATTCTCTGAGTTCGATGAGACCTTCCGCCATTGTTTCAACGACATGTGCGTGCCGTTTCAGCACAAGTGTCAGCTGATCATTGAACCTAACATCGAATCATTCAATATTATTACTTTTGAAAATCACACAAACATGGACACGTTTTCATTGGAAGCGTCCAAATTTTCAAACTTGAGCAAATCTTCGAAACTCTCCGCGTACCAGTTCGACACCATTTTTGAACTTGGCATCTGGAGAAGTTTCGGTGGAAGAAGCGTAAATTCCTTAAAACAAATTATAAACAATTGAAGAGGCAATTATGAAGCAAAAACCTGCATAATATTCGCAAGTCGGACTAAAAGCTCATTTTTAAGAAATGAATATGAGTTGGCGGCGGTTCCTATCCTACCAAAATCTAGATACTGTTGAATAGTTAACGAAGATGGTTGAAATTGACTGTAATAGTCCAGCTTCTTAGCAAGTGTCCCGACAAACGGGCCAAGAAGTTTTCTTGAAAAACGCATCTGAAAACAAAAATAAAATTTTTTAAAGCAACAGGAACATTTTAATCGCAAAACGACAAATATTGACTTCCTCGTAGATTGAAAGAGATGATAATAACAGTATGACTGACTGACGGAATGATACGATGAACAATTCAACGTTTTTTCTATAAATAGTGAATGATAAAAGGAAACAAATCGATATACATATCAAGAACAATTATCACAGCCAATTTGAGAAGAATCACTTCACAACGGACGGATGTCGACACGGAGAAGCACGAGTATTACGCTCGCACTGAGCATTGACACAAATCGGGCGCATACTTCTTATCTCTTATGGGATTATATGAAACTACTACATTTAAACATTCTGAGGTTTTAAAGAAAATAATTAGTAGCAACTGGCAAATTGCGCAGATAAATGTGGAATGATCAAAATGAAAGTTTTGAAAGTCAACCAAATGGCCGAGTTTTCGCAACGTGACTTGACGGCCAAAGTACACAAAATGAAGTCATCAATTGGGTGTTCTTTGTTATTCCCGATATTACAACGGGAACAACCGTTTTGAACAGCTATACAGCAACGTGATTGATACATTCCTTTATGAAAAAAAATTCAAGCTGCAATAGAATTAAATTTTTGAAACGTAACTTCAAAGAGTTTATTTTGGTTTAAATACGAATAGAAAGACTTCCGTGAAGGAATTTTTTAGTTATCAATTTCCAAAGAAGGAAAACGTGAAAATATTTATTGAATCTCATCAAACTAATCGGACGAAACAGGGATTTTTCTCTCAAACACGCAAGTTACACTGTTTCGCCACTTTGAGAAAAACAACAAATGCGTTCTATTTTATCCGCCACTGTTTCTCCCAGAATTTATCATTGTTTCGCCAGAAACGATAAATAAATGTTTTGCCCGATGAGTTTCGAGAATGCCCAATAAAGTTTTCACTATAAGAGATGTGAAAACACGTCCACGCAATAATTCATTATTTTTCATACCGTAATAACAACATTTTTGTCCGGTTTTCTTTTATCAAAATTTTTTTACCCTACCAGAACGACACAACAAAGTACGACACTCGATTATTGTTTCGACTAGTTGAATTTTTCCCTTTTTTTTAATCTTTCAATTTCGGATCCGACAAATATTTAATCGGATACGAAAATACCCGAAAAACCAATCGGATCCGATAGGTTTCCATCTTTTCCGTAGAATTAGCAATCGGATCGGGTTGATTTCCGGAGCTGAATTTTGTCAGATCCGATTGGTTTTGAGTTAAATTAAGCTTCCTTAAATCTATATTAAAATTATAGTGCATGTCTTCTTCAAAAACGTGTTTTTTTTTTTCATTTTTTTTTCCTATTTATTTTAGCAATTTGGTTGTTTACTATTATTAAATTTTGTATATTGTAGTAATTAAAACAGGAAAACAAGGGCTTCATCTAAAAAGAACAAAACAAGTTTAAATGTAAGTTGAAATTTATTCAAAATTAAAAATCAATATATTGTTGAAAAATGACAAATGTATCCAGGTGTCGTAGGATCCTGCGTTTTGTACGCAATGCTAAGAGACAATTACCGTAATCCTCGCAGCGATTTACGGGGACATTTTATTTAATTTCGCACATTAATTTTTTATTTTTCGCTTAATTTTCGTATTTCTCTTCGAAATTTTGTAATTTAACTTTCGCAGAAACCGAGTTTAATAACTTATTTAGCAGAATAAGCACTTTTAAACTATATTTTTTGGTAAAAACAGCAGAGATTTAAAAGAAAACATTTTTGTCGGTAATAAATTTATTTTTTCGTGTTTTGCTTTTTGTACGCGTTTCTATTATCTTGTTTTTTGTATTCTTCAATTTCAAAATAATTTTTAGAGCGTCAAAATCTTCACAATAATTCCCAACTCAACTTGTCAAGTGGAAAAGTGCATATTCTGAAAATTGAATAATTAAACTCGGTTTCTACAGGTTTTGAATATAAGATTTCTAAAGAAAATAAGAAAATTCAGCAAAAAAAATTGCAAGAAAATGAAAAAAAAAAAACTCCGTAAATCGCTGCTAGGATTACGGTAACTGTCTCTTAGCATTGCGTACAAAACGCAGGATCCCACGACACCTGGATACATTGTCAGTTCTCAAAATATACATTTTTTTAAATTTGAATCAATAGATTGAATTTTTGTAAATCTTTTTTTAAAGGTGGATTTTTTTATAGCGCATATTTTGCGCCATTTTGAGACACATTCGAATCAGAGCTGCACGGAACTTAAATTTTCTCAAAATGGAAGGCGGAACAAATAATTTTTTCAACGGAATACGGAAAGATTTTTTTTTTTGACGGAACACGGAATAAAATTTTTTACGAAAAACGACACAAAGTTAATCTAACTCGAATATTTTGAAATTAACAGTACATAATGTGAGATTTTTCAAGTGCTCATTCGACAAACTTCTTTTTTTTTTTCTTTTTGTCGACACAAATTTCTGTGCTAAAAACCTTATTAGATTCGCTACACGTGCTAGATATTGATAGATATCTCAAACAGACCACGGAAGTCGGCATAATTTTTTTTTAACGGAATACGGAACACATTTTTTTTTGGACGGAACACGGAAATGGAACGCGGAACAGAAAAATGTCAGGGAAAACGGAAGACGGGATTCCGTGCAGCTCTGATTTGAATTACACAAAAAAATCTGCCTGCCGATTTGTATGTCAAAAACAATGCCATTAATTCCATTGAGATATACATATATATTTTGGAAAATGTTTTGCTTGTAGTCTCTCCTACAAAAACGGTGAGCTTCTTCCACAGCGTCATAGAATTGTTCAATTTCTTCAGGTTCGGCGTCGGCGGTTGGAGCATAGACTTGCACGACTGCGCATTTAAGCTTATTTCCAACCTTGAATGTTAGCAAGCCGATTATGTGGCTAAGAAAAAATACTTCGTCTATACAGGGAACGAGGGTGCTATGAACTTCGAAGCCGACCCCTCCAACAACAGAAGTGTCATGACGTTTGCCTAGGAAAATCGCTGTCCCATCAACGTGTTTCATGTGCTCTTGGCCTTTTCGTCTCACTGAGTCCTATTATATCGAATTTGATTCGATTGAGTTCATTTCGGAGCTCAGAGAGTCTGGCTTCTGTAGCGAAATTAATCTCTAACGATCTCTAATTAATTCTAACATTAATTTTTCTAGCATAAATTACTAAATAAAACTTTATTTTAACAGTTGACTTATTATTGTAATATCTGCGACCCGTTGGTGTAAAATTTCTCGTAAATCGTTAATTATTAAAACAGGGCTGCGTGCATATCGCAGTTTGGCATTGTGACTCCGAGACTGTCCCGTGTAACCTGAAAGTTTGGAAACGTTCAAAATTCATAAATTTTTGATACTAAGTAGAAAATCGAAAAATATTTTTGGTGCGTTAGTTTTTAAAATTTGGCTTGAAACGTTTACCGTTGAAACGAGTGTCCACGCATTTTCACCGCATTTTTCCAAAATGATTGGATGCGAACACCGCAAATATCCATCCATTGCTCGACACATCTCCGACAAATATTCCTCCGTTGAGCTTGCCTGGAAATTCGATTAGATGATTAAAACAATGAAGGAAAATAAACCTTGGATGTTTGAGCTTCTGAGATGGCCTGTGTGGCTGCTATTTTGCAGCTGATATATTCTCGTTTTGATTCAACCTAGAAACAAAAACGATAAAATCGAATTGTGATGAGTGGTTGAATTAAGTTCGCAAAAAACCAGCGCCTCGACGATTTACGTTGAGTTTGATTCGCAGGTTAGCCAGAGTACGGTATCCGAATTCCTACGGTTTAAATTCGAATTTGAATTACCGCCTCGAAAAAGTGCGATGGTCCACGATGCGATCGGTTTTCTATTTTTGCGATGGTAAATATAGAGCGCCTTGCTTTATTGTGGATTATCGCATTTTTTTTTATGAAGTAATTCAAAAATTTTTTGACAGTGAGAATACCATACTCCGAGTAACCTAGGAAACTACATATAGTCGGCGACCGGCGACTAGAATCACGAGTACGCTTTTCGAAATGATCTCGCATTAAAAATAAAATTCAAATCACACCTCTGCAAAACAGCCGGCGTATTTATGGAATTCCGGTTGGCCGGTTCCGCACATGTACCGATAGGATGCATGAACCGCTTCAATCGACAAAGAGTCGCAGTTAACCGAGCTCACACATTCCTAAAAAATAATGAATCGTTAAATTTCAAACGGCAAATTTCAAACACCTTGAAATCGTTGTAAATTGAGCACAATTGATCGAAAACATGTCCACCTTGAAGCGGAAACTGCATCGCGCCGGTTTCTTCTTGGAGTTTTGTCGCATAATTGAGCATCGGCTGAAAAACAAAGTTCATCGGATTAATATATGCGCGAAAAATCTATTTGCGATTTTAGCATCCCACCGATTTCTAAACACAGTTCCTCCTTTAATATGACACACATATCGAAAACCATTTTTTTGTTTCAAAAATAATTGATTCGTTCTTTGTTTTTTTTTTAATGTTAGAAATTCTTTATTTCGAATCGCCGACTCGTTTTCTACAATTTGTCAAATCGCCAAATGAGTTGCGTAGAACCCGTATGTGTGCTTTTGACAGATGGACGCCACTTTTTTGTTTTTTTTTTTTTAAATGTATATTCACATATTCAATTCCCTTGAAACTTTACATTCTCAAATTGTCTTTCGTCTGAGCAAAACCGGATAATACAAATCTATAGGTGATTGGTTTGAACTAGAATTCAAAGACATGAAGAAATAATTCAAATAAAATATTTAAGATATCAGACCTGAAGGCAATCGTTGACCTTCTTCTCTTCGTCATAACTGCATTTTGCGGGCGTCTCTGTCGTCGCCACCGTATGTATGATGACGAGCAAGACGAGTATGAACATGCTGAAACAAAAAAAAAACGAATGCTAAACTCGGGAATTGTAATATGCACGTGTTCGAAATGTTCAAGTGTGAGCTGGAGAGGTGTGAGGACGGCACAACGTGCTCCGGCTCGGCGACAGCGACGAATCGGCGGGCCGGCCGGACGCCGTGGCGCGCGCACGAATAAGACGTTGAAAATGTTGTGACGAGATGCTCGTCGTAATTCAATCGCGGCGCGAGAGGACTCCTCTTATCTTATTTTTACGGCGACTAGTCCTTTGCTAGACCTATTTTTATTTTATACGTCCATCTTTGACGAATTCGCATAACACATAAAAATACGAGAAAACAACCTTTTTTTCGAAAAATTATTCAAATTCATGTTTCTTTGAATTTTTCCGAAAAAAGAAGAGAAACCATTTAGCTCTCAGCTAAATGCGCCTTTAACCTTGACTAGTTGGCATCTAACCAACATTCCGTAGTGGCGCTAAAAATATTAATATAAATCTGAAGTCGTATGAGGAAATTCGCCACCAATGGACGATCGAGCCTTGAAGAAAACTGTTGATTGGTCCTATGACAATGCGCCCATTATTGTGCTAGCTAGAAAGGCTCGAATATCGATTTTTAAGCTGTCTTAAAATTTTTTCTAAACGAACAAATTTAAACATTTCCAGAAACTTCACAAAATTGCGTAGAATGTCAGATATTTTTTTCACACAATTATTTTTTATTATTTTCTGATTCTCCGTTATGACAAGGTTTCAATCTCAAACAAATTAATTAAGAGAACAATTTCATTGCTTGGTTTAAACCTTTGAAAAAATAAAACCCACAACAATTGCCAACGGCGACATAAAAAATTATATTCTCGTAGCTGCGAAACTCGATTTTATTATGTTATAAAAGGTTTATTATGCGCGTAAATGCACTCATGAAAAGCGAATTGGACGGGACCCACGAATTTGGGCGAGTTCGATTTGTTGCCAAGAATAAACTATATAATAATAATATATACATATATAATCGATTAAGAAAAAAAAACCACACAAATAAGTGGGAAGAAGGAGAAGAAGAGGATGGAATCGAAAAGGTGATTCTGTAAGCTTTGTGGCGCATCACAAATTGAATTATTCAAGACGCTCTAAATTCAATAAATGAAAGACGGGCGTGCCTTTTTTTTATGGACATATTTGGCTAGAAAACGGCAAAATCAAATCAATTGAATGAAGCGACGGAAGGAGGGTAGAATGTTGGAGAGAAAAGTGCGCGGAACAACAAAAAAAGTTTTGTTGCAACTACGGACCATCCAGGGGGGGGGGTGGCTTGGGGCTCCGACGGCTTTTTCAATGAATACGCTCTAATTAATCGAGAGTGAGTGATGAATGTCACTGGCAGCGAATGTTTAGAGCAGCAGCTACGATTTTGATTAATTTGGCGCGTTTTATATGTACATCGAAAAAAAAAGGGGAAAAATGTTTTTTTTTTTTCTCGGAAACACATTGAAACCTTCTGGAGGTTTTGAATGTGACACCAATAGTATTCAGAAGCGAATGATTCACCCCATTATTTGTGCATTTCAAAATTTCGATCTGCGAATTCTCAGGACAAATTGGTATTTTTGAAAACCATTATTTCTGGTTTCTTTTTTTTTTTGAAATAAAACAAGTGATGAAAAATGGCAAAGTTTTGCAATTGAAAAAAAAAATGCGGCGAAACAGAGCTTTTTGACAATGTATAATGGCGTTGCGAAGTGCTTGAATCAAACGACACCTGCGTCCTCCGAATGTTGAAATGAGTTAGTTGGGAGCCCATTATATTGAGCCGGAACGACGAAGAGTAAAATGGGGGGAAAAATGAAAACGTTGAAGCAGAAAAACACGGTTTTGGTTGGATGAATTCGTATAAAACACACATTAACCGACGCCGGCGACAAATGTGCTTCTTCATCTTCTTCTTCTTCCTCCTTCCTTCTTCTCTTCTTCGGAGCCCGACCACTGAGTCACGGAAATTGGGCTCAAGAAATTTTTGTAGAGCATAAAACGAAGAGTGCGATTTTATTCGTGTGTTCAAATATTTAAAGTAGATGTATGTAGTAGAATTCTCGTTTCAAAAAGTTTCATTTCAAAATCAGCCAATTTTCAACGCCAAAAAATTGCACCACGCGGATTTGGCGCAAGCCTAATGGTGTCACCCGTTTGAATAGACTCATTATGGCGCCACACTCAATCAGTTGGTGTTTGTTGAGACTTGGCGATGAGCTGGTGTAAATATCTTCATCTCAAAACTTTTATTGCATCGTCGTTAGTAGGAAGCACACATAATATTGTGGGGGGGGGGGGTGATGTTGAAAAATTCGTTGATAGTAGAAGACTAGCATCGCTCAGAACACCTCTTCCTCTTCGAAATATGTGACATCCATCGGGCATTGAGCGGCGAAGTGATCATTTCCCTTAAAGTCAATTCAATTAAAAAAAACCGTTCTAAACTCTCATTTATTTTGATATGATGAGCTGATGCAACAATTCGACAAAAAAATGAAGATGGAAAAAGTGAAAATCAAATTCTGCATGTAAGGACAAAGGACGCTTATTACGAATAGGAATTGATCAATTCATAGCACCTCAAACAAATATTAGGCAGGTGTTAATGCAAACGTATTGTTATAACATTTATGGCAGAACGGCCTTCTGTCGACCTCCTTGAATGTTCCCTTGGTGAGTTGATGATTGCAATATGAGCATCGGAAGTGCTCGGGATGGAATTTGCGGCCCATCGCCGCCACACATCGTCCGTTGATCGGCTGCCGACATTGCGAGCACACAGAGCCACGAGCTTCATGATAATGACGCTCACAAAGCGGAACACCGTTGTGCTCGAAGAATGAGCTTCCGTCGAATGAGACGCCGCACGACTGAAAAATCAAATCACACTTTTCAATTCGATTATTTCAACGCTATCTAGAAAAAAAAAGAGAAAATTTGACAAAAACCAAGGATCAATTTATCATATTTGGAATAAATAACTATTTTTTTTCGATTTTCACAACATTCCAGAAATCGCCATGAATGTAAAATGATGATTCCAAGTATGATAAAAATTTTTTTTACTGAAAGCAACACCCATTTGGCGATGACTACTACTGAGATGCACCAACTAAGAAATTAATTTTTCCTGGCAAAAAAAGCCACGATTAATAGTAATAAAGAAAACCAGTTAACCAATCGCACAATAAAAACCGAAAAATACGTACAAGGACACGACAAATAGATGTAACGTACCGCACAATCAGTTTTTGAAGGTTTCTTCAATTTGTCCAGTTTTTTTTCGGATTCAATAATAAAACGGGATTTGGAACCAATCGGATCCAAATCGGATTGAAAACAAATCTTGAAATACCTGACAAACGAAGCAATCCGGATGCCAATGGGTTCCTAGAGCAGTGATGAAGTTAGCGGTGATCGGCTGTGAGCATCCGTTGCATTTCGGCGCAAACAATTTGAAAAAATCGCGTTTGCAATATGTTTGACCATTCTGAAAGAAAACATTTCGATATTAAATAGAAATGATGAATTATTGTTTTTTTTTAAACCTTCTCATGGAATCCCTCCTCTCCGAATTCGCGTCCGCATTCGCAGCAAACAAAACACTCGAAATGGAAGTTCTTGTTCAACGCAGTTACACATCTCTGAAATTATTTAAAGTAGAAAAACAAAATAAGAGAAAGAGAAAGCTTCTCACATCCTTAATTGGTCCGTGGCATCCATGACATTTTGGACTGAATTGATTATGATAGTCTTCCTCGCAATAAGCTTTTCCGTTTCTTAAATTAATATTAATCAGGAATTTCGAAACCCGATAGTTGTTCTGAAATTTATTACCTCTCGAAGAATGGCCGATGTCCGAGCTCAGTTCCGCATTCGCAGCAAGTGTAATGCTCCGGATGCCACATTTTTCCTAGCGCGATTACAACCTGAAATCCAACCCTGACCGAACTCATTTCAAGACTCCCTAACTTGTCCAATAATCGGTTTCCCGCAATGAGCGCAATCGCCTTTCGGAATTGTGTTGATTCCGTGTGTCGAGCTCACATCACTAGTCATTGTTCCAGTCATCGATTGATACGGATCTCGCGATGGTGATCTACCGCCGTTCGAACGCTGCAAACGAATTGTTCATGATTAAAACAATCTGCGGACAATTTCAGGCCCAATTCCCAAGGTTTCTAATCTTCAAATATTGTAACCAACTGCTTAACTATATTGTTTATTTGAGTCTTAATTTTGTCAAAGCGATTTATTTGATGCTTCTTCCTCTTCTTCTGCTTGGCTTTTCGTTTTTTTTTTCTCGCCTACCGCTTACGCGCTCGCAAACACACCGCCTTTGCGCGATAATGTGTGTGTGTGTGTGTGGGCGTAAATACAAACATAAAAAAGAAAAGCCAAGTAGTAGTAGTAATAGAAGAAGAAGAAGAAGTAGAAGAAGAAGAGTTACGGTGTGAGAGAATGAAAAAAGATCGCGCAAAATTGTTTGACATGTTTTATATATTGGAATAGACTCATAAAAATTAGATGGATTTGAGAGCCCCCTTGCGGGTGCACAATTTGAGGAAGCTTCTGGTCAATCGAAATGGGCATCATCATGCATGTTTAATGGTCTCAACTTGAATTTCAAAACACTAACATGTGGACAATTCAAATGCTGACGCGAATCTAATGAACTTCAAAACTAAATTGAGGGAAACCGATTTTTGAAACATTGAAAAGAGTTCTTCAAAAAATTTAAAATATATCAAAAAATAGCTAGCTTAAACGTGACATGCCACCATGAAAATAAAAAGATTTGAATGAATTGAAAACCCTTGGGAATTGTTTATGAGCCATCAACTTCATTTCTCTTTTGACAACAAAAAAGAAAGTAGAAAGTAGAAATAACTCACGACATCATGACTCGAGTAGGCGTGGTTCGATGGTCCGAGACTTTTGCGCGAGCTATAAATCGACGAATTATATTGATTAAAGCTGTCAAGACGTTGTTGTAGTTCGCGCATCATTCTTTTTTCGTTTTCAACGAAATCAACACAGAACCAAATCGACGAATTGTGCCGCTGGTGCTCTTAGGTGGCAGTAGTGGTAAGAGAAGGAGTCTCTCTGTCAGTTTCTTGTCGAGTTGATGAACCAGCTTTTCGTTGCAACGAAGCAAAGAGAAACAAACACACCCGGCGGGGGCACACGTGAGAGGAAGGGGGGGGGGTGGTTGAGCGCGCCGAAAAGCGCAGGGCACAGAAACAAAAACTACTGTGGAAAAAATGACAAATGTGAAAAACTGCAGCGATATCCTATGTATTGTGTGCGTGCACCGAGTCGCACATCTCAATCTACAGTAATCTCAACTGAAAACTATTTTATCAATTATTTTTAAAAAATATTTTTATGTGTTTTCTTAGCGAATTTGTTATCAATATTGTCTTGTTGAAAAAGTGTAATAGTAATCATTTTTGTATATTATTCAAAGTTAATTGTTTTATATAAAAAGAAATGATCAAATATTTATTAAATAATTTTCAGTTGAGATTACTGTAGATTGAGATGTACGACTCGGTGTACGCACACAATGCATAGGATATCGCTGCAGTTTTTCACATTCGTCATTTTTTTCGGCTTAGGTTTAAAAAACATTTTTTTTTTGCAAAATGACAAACATAAAGTTTTAACAAGAATCACATCACTCAAAAGAGAAGAATGAATGTTTCAACATTTTAATACGTTATCACCACCGAAACACGAACATTTTCACGGAATGCGCAAGAGGTTTGAATTGCCGCAAAAATAGCAGTGTTTGCAGATTTGCGCAATTTTTTCGTATTTTCTCGCAAGTCTCATTCATTTTTTTAATTTATCAGTATTTGAGGTTTGAAAGATCGGAAAATTAAAACAAATGGTAGTGGGCGAATATGTGTGAAAACACCGTCACACAAAAACCAAAAAAGCGCACACACACGTATCTCATTTGAATATTTTTTTCAATGAGTTTTTCAAATTTCAATAAAAAAAAGCCGCGAAGTTGATTTTTCATTATTTCGTTTCATACCAGAATGAAAAAAATTAACGAATATATTAGAATGTGGAATTATTTTTGTAGAACGTAAATCACAAAAAGACACACCTATACTGCGGTTCAGCAACACTCGACATACTTTGACGACTGGCAGACATTTGAGATCGTTCTAAAAGAAACACAAAAAAAGACAATTTGAGACAAGTTCACGATTCAAATTTACCATAGGACGGTTTTTCGACACGTTTTGGGGACAACGATCGCCTAAAATTCATACATTTACTATACGAACATTCTCAAAAAAACAACCACAAAAAACAATCGAAAAATATGAAATAAGTGTATACCTCGTGGTGTCATAATGCCGGGTTTGCTCTTGATAAACGGGCTCCAAATCGTCGCGAGACTCGGATCGTCTAGACGAGATTTTGGCTAGCATGTATCCTTATTAGGGAATCGATCTTACCTGTCGCTAATATTCGCTCTTCGTAGGACTTCGGTGGTGTGTTGAAGGTCTGACAAAAGCGCTTCTGAAAATTATTCGTTCTAAATTGGCTTTTTTTTTTCTTATCAGAATTTTTATTTGAAATATTCTAATTTTGAACGATTAACCCACAATGCTGTATAAATTTTTTTTAAATTAATAACTAAATGCATAGTTTTGAGTGTACATTCAATTTTTTTCCATTTGTAGGAAACCGAAAAAAATTAATTATTACATAATTGGCCATAATTAGTCACGCATAACGCCAATTTTTGGATTTGAATTTCGCGTCAAGACACAAAAAATTCAAATGGGATAATTTTGGAAATGTTCCGATATGCTATCAAATTAATATGAAAATAGATGGAATCAAATCTTAATTTTTGAGCGTCGAAAGAAAAAACGAAAAAATGTTACCAAGAGCCGGTTTGACGGCATCCGCGAAGCGATCTTCGCCGGGCATTTCGCTTCAAGACCTTCAATTGCTCATATTAGAGCAGAAAAATAAAAAACAACAAGCGGCGATTAACGCGGATGAAATATCTACAATGTAGGTGAAGAGGTCGAAAAGTGCAGCACAAATAAAATAGTGAAGGAATTCGCACCAACGGCGCGCGCGGGCGCCAACAAAAAAGAAGCCACGCGAAGAGAGTGGGCGAATCGAAGAGAGGCAGAGAAATGAGGAATGAATGCATGAAGCGAAGCAAATAACAACAATTGTCCATATTTAGATCGTTTTTTTTTTTGGCAGAGACTCAAATATGAGCTTGACAAATGTTACAAGATCAAATCACAAAGAGTTGGAAGCGCATGAAAGCAAATTGCATCTCCGAAGTACTCGAAACTCAGCCCCGAGTGGCAGAAGAGACAACAAATCCGCGAATTATTTGTCTGTTGAAGGGCGTTGAGTACTACTAGTAAATCTTTTATATTTAACTCGAATGGCATTTTTGCGGGTCAATTTTTTCAATGATTAAAGAAATTGCTCTCATTTCACGGAACTTTTGAAATTAAATTTTTTTTAAATATGTCGCACTTTTAGGGATTCTGTGATTCAGTGAAGAAAGAGCACTGCTCCTAATTAGCAAAAAGAAACAAATTCGCGAAATCGGTGTAGATTTAAATTTTTCGTTGATTGAATATTAAATGCGCGTATGCTATAATGCAATGTACGCAATCTCGCGTACTTCTCGCTGCGTCGAGACGCATTGGCACATGGCCAGTAATTTTTTTTAAATTTTGTCAAGTCGTTTGACTTCGATATTTTTTTTTTGAAAATTGATTCAAAATTCAAAATGAGGCAAAAAAAGTTGGAATTAAAATGGGGAAAGGAGAATTCGAAATCCCTTTTTTGCAAAATGTCAAGCCGAGTTATTATTGAATTTCGCGCGTTGTTCGCCTATGTGACGCAATTGTAGATTTACGAATTCCAATTTGTGGAGATATTCGCTTTGAAACCGAAAAAAAAAACTTCAATATTTCCAGTTTGCGGTTTTCAATCATGAATTTCCGCCCAGAAAAAAAAATCCATAAGTACTAAAGATGCTCGTTTTTTATGTTTTGTGACGGTAATATCAAAATTTTTTTTCGTAAAAAAAATCTGTTTGTGAAAATATATGGTTTCTGATGCGTTTCCGCAGATGGCCAATTGAAATTTGAACAAATTCAGAGAATAACTTGGTAGGAAATAAAGAATGTTCTTCGCGATTGCTTCCTTTTATGGGAGGCAAATTCCAAAAAAAAATAAAAACACATGCTATTTTCAAAATTGAATTTTCGACGTACTAGTTTGTTCAATTTTTGTCATTGGAATCTAGGTTTTCAATGAATTCAAAGGTTTAAAACGGGCATTCTTCTAAAATGCAATGAATTGAACAAAAACAATCAAATTTGAGTTCTTTTGATTTAATCGCCGATCAATTTATTCCCAAGAAAGATGAAAAAGAATACAGTAGAATTTTGGGGGGAATTTTCTCAAAAATCATGAAAAGCGTATCAAAAATCGATGATATCCGAAGGAATGAGATGGCACACGCGGGCGGCGCCGGTCTCAAAACGACGCACAGCTGCTGTTCATGTGTTTTCAAATTGTTTTCATCTTCCTCTTCTTCGACGTCTTTTTCTTTTTTGTTTTCGTTTAAAGTGCCAGACGGGCCAACGGAAATCGCTTGTTGCACATTTGCCATTTTTTCGGCTCATTAATTACTAATCATTTACTATCAAAACGTGAAGGCAGGCAACTCTTGGAAATTTGAAAAAAAAAATTGGATCAATTTCAATTCGAATAATGCCGTCAAAATAACAAATTTTTGGTGAATACTTTTAAAATTATTTCCATTTTATTAACATTTTTCCGCATTTCTCTTTATATTAAAAGATGAATGTATTCCAATATGCTAATGGCGCTTGAAAGACAAGAAAAACTCAATTCTTTTCGTTCAATTATTGAGAAATATTCAAAATTGAGAATGAGGCGATTAAGATCACATTCAGTTCAGATTCCATTAACCTTCGGGTATTATAATAGCTGAAGATTATTATTTTTTTGACTACATATGAAAAAAATGTGCTGAATGGAACGACATACTTGAACAATTATTAAGAATTAATGATCCATTACAAAATTATATATAATAGGATAGGTGTTCGCGAAATGTTTTACAAGTAAAAAAACCTTAAAAGGAGATTTTGGTTTTCGATATTTCATGAAAATTTCTTGAAATAATATCAACAGTTCGTGTATGCTTTGTCTATTTGTTTTCATCATTATTCATTGAAAAATTCGAAAAAAAGCTAATGAGCCAATTGGTTTTAAAAAATGACTCACCTAATTTGTCGATTGCTGTCATCTTTGAGTCATCAAAATCTGCAAACGAATGCCTTTTTTGAAAGTTTCGATTGGAAATCGACAAAAGACAAACAAAAATGATCAATAATAGTAGTATGTGCACAGAGATAGATTGTGTCATCAGTCGTCTTTTCCCACCTCTCATAATCATACAGTGCCCGTCTGCGACTCTCAATATCTCTTGATATTTCGTAAGTCAGTGACCTGAGCGAACGGCTTGCGCTCACCACTCTCCTTTAATTATATGAATGTGCCCAACAATCCAGCTAACCAAGAAAAAAATAAATGGTATTGTCGGTGTCAAACGACAGAAGGGAGGCGTGGTCTTCAAATTCGAGAAATCAGTGTAGACTTGAATATATTGTCGACTGAATACTAAATGCGCGTATGCTATAATGCAATGTACGCAATCTCACTGCCTTGAGACACATTGGCACATAGCCAATAATTTTTTAAAAATATCATCAAGTTGTTTGACTCCGATAATATACATTAAAGTAGGAAAAAACAAAACAAATCGGCTGCATTTTTCCTTTTTGAGAAAATGAAATTGATACTTTCTCACAACCTCCATTATGAATTCTTTTATTAGAGAACAAATTATTAATAGAATAAAAAAAGAAAGAGAGAGGAGAGTTATTGAGATTCCTACGGTGTGCACGTTGAAGCGACGATTGTTCGGCATTCGATTGTGAAGTCTGTTCGCCCGCTGCAATTATGCCACATAATTGTTCGTTTTCAAACTATTTTTTTCCTCGAAGTCATTGAAACCGGTTCTGAATAGACCCAGCCGTCTTCAGTTGAAATTTTAAGGTTTGATCTTCGCGTACAAAAATATATAAATTATTTAGTAGTGTTTCGGTTGTTTCTATTGTTGGCGTCAAACCCAATTTTGCAAAACCAGCGAGATATAGACGAAATTGGAAGTTTACGCGCGGGGTTGAAAATCAAATGCGCGTACGCTAAAATGCAGAGTACGCAAACACGCACAACTCTGTTTGCCTCGAGACAAAATGGCACGTAGCCATTTTGTTTTTCAAAATTTCGTTCAGTCGTTTGAAACTGACAGTAATATTAGTGTATGTAAAGGTAAACCGCAAAACGTCTATACTCCGAATTTTATAATCAATTCCAATTTTTAATTACTCACTTGAACGCCCATTGATTATTCGAATTGCACTGAAGAACGTTTGGAATCGAATGAGATTCGCCACATCCTGTGCCAACAGCGTTCCGTACACCATTCTGAATGATTGCGTGATTAATTCATATCTATTATTGATATCACTTACAGCAATAATGTCGATTCGGACCGTTCGAGATGATCCGTCATCGGTGAGACAGTTGATTTGAGCAGTATCGCACCTAAATATTGTGTCCAGGCTATAATTAACTTTTGACAATTTACCAATTAACAGGATCCACTCCTCTTAAGAAATATGCGGTTCCCGCGGCTTCCGTGTCTGTTTGCTGAAATGAAGATCCCGATAGAGAAGCAAAATTGCAAGCAGGACAATTCGCTGAATATTCATTCATTTCATTTTGTCTCATATATCAAAAGTTTACCCAACGTTGGAACGCTTGTTCTTGTTGCTAAGCATGCGGTTATTGTAGGGATTACAGTAGAAATCGTGATCAGTCGAAGAAGCATGACAACAACGAATCGAAGTGGAAATGATTCGGAATCGGTTCGCGAAATCGAAACAAAAAATGATACATCACGAATTCGTCGATAATTGCTCGACAATTTGACAAAGCGAAAGTTTTCGAAATTTCTTATACATATGTATATCATGTCATTTAATTCAAGAACCAAAAAAAAAACAATTTCGATAGTCTCTTCGGCGACCAAAATGAATATTCTATTTTTATCTTTAAAAAAATTATTGGGGATTATGTACATGCTGAAATAGTGATGTTTGACGCATGACGAATCGCATATTCCGGGTAAGTTCCCAAATCGAAGAGCCAATATGTCCAGGTGTTCATGTTGAGAACAGTTATAGCGATGCATAGTAAATTGAGGAAGATTCCGCAGCTCACCTAAGGTAGCCAGAAATCAATTTGCATCAAAATTCGAATCAAACCATATCGATCATTCGGATTGTTCCTGTTTCGTAGACGATCGCGTTCGCCGGTGTTGCCATTGGGAGCATGAATGAGAATGATGGTCCGATTGCGGCGGGTATCGATAAATACAAGGGATGCGCGCGAACGGTTTCGGCAATTTTGAAAGCGATTGGAAGGAAAATTGAAGCCGTCGCGGAGTTTGTCGAGAATTCTGTCATCACGACGACCACAATTGAGACGATGACTTGCATCAGCGGAAACGGCAATGCGGATACGGTAGCATTCAGGCGACACGCGATTAATGTTGACAAACCGCTTTTCTAAAATAATAATTGCCGTTTATGAGGAATACGAAACGGTTTTCGAACATTTACAGCACCGGAAATAGCAAAACCGGCACCTAATAATAGAATAATGGACCATGGGAATCGCCTTTTGACAGTGTCCCAATCAATTAGAGACGGTCGGCGAATAGATGGACGGTCTTTGTCTGAACAGGCAGGCGGCTCAAGAATAATAATGAATTATGGGATGCTACCTTTTCGGAATAAAAGAAAATCTGGTTTGTATTTCGGCCAGATGAATAGTAAAAAAACTGCGATGAGACCGGAACAAGAATCTGTGACGTATCCGCGATTGAACAACGACGCCCAGCCAGGAATCACTTTCGGATCACTTGAAATCCAAGACAAAACAGCAAGAATGAAGATCACTAGTGTACTTGTTTCAGCCCATCTGTAACATTGAAATTTCGGAAAATGAAAAATGCAAAAAAAGTACGTAATTGATCCCAATTCTTCGTAGGATTTCAACACAGCTCGTCGAGCAATTCTTTCCTCGTTTGTCTCTTCCTCTGACGGCTTTTTGAAAATTCCAATCAAATGATTAACACCGAGAAACTGTAGTTGAACAACGAACCATGAGGCAAACATATAAAATATCATCGGTGGGATCGCAAATGACATCCATGACAAATAGGAAATGCCGGTGTTCTCATTCGGATACAATCTGAACGACGTGTTTTTTTTTCATTAGCCAGTCATAAAATATCAGACTTTTCCAGAGTATCTCGAAATATCAAATTGGGTCCAGTGGAATTAATGGTTCCCGTTCCCCCAATGAGCGATGCATGTGCTACCAAAAGCATAATGCATTTACAGATTCCTTGATCCCTTTTTGAAAGCCGTCTAGTATCCAAATAGGGTTTTCTAGTGATGCTTTCCTCATCCAATTCAGCATCTTCGGTTTTTCTCTTTCTTTGTTGCATTTTTGGGATCATAATTTCTTCAAGAAGTGCGTAGGCAATAGGTGACATTAGCGCACAACAAGCTGTATCGGATATCCAAAGAGAACTTAGAAACTGTGGTTTCGCTAGAATTTTGTGGTTTTCAACCTACATGAAACTTGTAATTAGCATGAATCCCGCCATTAGCCTGTAATTTGTTTTTCCAATTAATTTTCAATTATTCCATCGATTAAATTATTAAAATAAAAACAGGTATTTTTAGTGGTAAAAATGCGATTCAAATTTTTGGAAATTCGCCTATCGCAATACGAATAACCTGACCCACCGTAAATCTGTGCTGTTTTTTTTGCGATTTTAATATTGTAGAAAAACTGCAGCGATATCCTACGCATTGTGTGCGTACACCGAGTCGCACATCTCGACCTTAGCTACAGTAATCTCAACTGAAAATTATTTAAATAATTATTGATCGTTTCTTTATAAATAAAATAATTAGCTTTGAATAATATACAAAAATGATTACTATTACACTTTTTCAACACAACAATATACATAAAACCATAAATTCGCCAAAAAAAAAAAACACAAAAAAACGATGAAATAATTTTCAGTTGAGAGTACTGTAGCTAATATCGAGATGCGCGACTCGGTGTACGCACACAATGCATGAGATCGCTGCAGTTTTTCACATTCGTCATTTTTTCACAATATTTAATAAAATTCAATCCGCGTGACACATATCAGTTTTTCAATCGATACACAATTCAATTGGAAATTTAAAGCAGCCGCAGTTCTCTCAGGTATCCTTGAAACTTACCAATGAGCTCGCGTTCCAACAAATGTTAAAAGCTTCAGTGCGATCCTTTTATGGAGCATGCATTCTTCGACAGCCAACGAGAGCATTAAACTATTGAAAAATACAATATTGGTATCCTTAAAACTATTATTGAATTTAAATCGTAATAATTATGGAATTACGCTGAAGTATTTTGGAGCCACTTCGCGAATACTTTGAATGCCCATAACTGGCAATAATATCATTGGAAGAAGAGCAGTTACAGCCAGTGGGACCACCTAAATCCCAATATTTATTTTTTTCGGTTTCCGATTTTCGATCATACCTCGGCTACCCAGTAGCAGGACATGGTTAAAATGGCAAAACAGCATTTTCCCTCACTTCCTAAAAACGCCAACGGACACAAAATTAATGGTGCCAGTATGAGCCAAATGGTAGGAAAATATGTTCGTATTTCATTCGCCCATTTCCGCATTTAACTGAATTTAATATTTTTATATAGAAAAAATAATGAAACTCGAATGAAACCAAAAATAAAAAATGAAACAGGTGGAAAACGGGTCGAGGGGTATTTCGTCGCCGAATCGAAATTATTCCGATAATCGCATGTTCTCGGTGCATTTTTCACTACATTTGTTTTTATTGAAAACATAAAAAAACGCTATAGATATCATTAAAATAAAAGAATAAGTTCACACATTGATAATATTAATACAATTATGAGAATGAGTTAACCCGTCGAATGAAACTAGCAACAATGAAATGAGTAACAACCATTGTATTAATCTGAAAATTCGACGTCGGTGTTGTTGTTGTTGTGTGGGATTAAATGTTGTTGTTGTGTGGGATTAAATACTAAATTTTGGCATCAATTGACGTATTGTTTCGATGATAATGAATTTCAGTAAAACCTTTAATTAAAAAAAAAGAACAATTGAAGTCGAACAAGGTTATAAGAAACTTCTAATTGAAATTGTTATTCTATTATTATGGACCTATTCATGCAATGAAAAAAAATAATAAAAGAAAACAATTTTTTATTTGAATTCCCTATGCACGCACGTCGAAAATTACAAAAAATTGACGCGATATATCGTAATTCTCCGCTATTTATTTTCAAAGGCGCACGCGAAAACTTGCGCAGGTCACGTCGCGAAGTCAGTACTTTTTTTTAATTTTTCATTCTATGTGCTATTTTTCCGTATTTTTCAAAAACTTTGAAGAGAAAATGAGTAACAGATTTAAGAATGAGTAAAAACAATTATTATTGGTATAATTACTCCTAATTCGACAATATAAGTCTATTTTTCGTCATTTAGATGCCAATTATTATGAAAAGTAGTGATATTTGTGTTAGTTTGATGCAGAATTCGCTCTATGCCGCTTCTGAAGAACCTTCAGCGTTTATTAAATGAAATACTTCTACAGATTTCCAAAAGAAAAAGTTTTAAACGCTCAAAAATAAAAAATTCGAAAAAAAACAGCCATTAAAAAATACAGTACTGACTTCGACCCGCGCAACTTTTCGTGTGGGCCTTTGAAAATAAATAGCGGAGAATTACGATATATCGCGTCAATTTTTTGTAATTTTCGACATGCGTGCATAGGGAATTCAAATGAAAAATTGATTTTTTAAAAATATTTTTTTCATTGTATGAATAGGTCTATTAGATATTTAATGTCATGGTAAGCCAAAAACCAATTTCGAACACAGTCCGATTTTTTTTTCAATAAAGTGGTTCAAACTTTCTCACCTCCTTTGAATATTCTAATTATGTTTTGCTTTTCTTCCATACGCATAATCGATCCATCGATCCGCCGTTTTTCCGAAGTACTCGTCATTTTCAATATTCGCAATCCATTTAAGTAAGTAAACATGAACCGCATGATAATCCCATCTATAAAAAAAATATATTTTTTCAAAATAAATTTTTATACAGATACCTGGCCAAATTCGGCGCAGTTGCTAGTCCGACGTGGCGTAGATCATAAATCGTGCCGCTACCGGTGTCAAACAACGGTAGCAATTTCCGAAGAGAACCGATTCCTGTTCGATACAATTCTCCGCTTTGCGAGATTGCTTCAGAAACGGTTGAATTCGCTTAAAATACTTTGATCGAATTCAATTAAAGAGAAATAAGCTTTAAGAGTAAAATATCAAAGAAACTAGATAAGAAATCGAAAAAAAAAACAAACATTTTTGGCAAATAAAATGCAGAAGTCCGCAATGATGTCAATGTATATTTTTAAAATAGTCGTCGAATAAAATGCATTAGGTGTAAACACGCGACACTCATTTATGGAAATTCATTTTCAATCTCTTAAATAGCTTTTCACGCGATACATCGTAATTCTCCGCTAATTATTTTCAAAGACGCACACGAAAAGTTGCGCAGGTCACGTCACGAATATCGGTACTGTATTTTTAAAGATTTAAAGAAAGATTCATCAGAAGCCGCATCGAGCAAAGTCTGAATCAAATCAACACAATATCAATTTCTCATAATAACTAATATCTAAATAAAGAAAATATACATAATCGTCGAATTCTGAGTACTTATATTGTTGAAAAATGAAAAATGTATCCAGGTGTCGTAGGATCCTGCGTTTTGTACGCAATGCTAAGAGACAATTACCGTAATCCTCGCAGCGATTTACGGGGACATTTTATTTAATTTCGCATATTCATTTTTTTTATTTTTCGCTCAATTTTCGTATTTCCCTTCGAAATTTTGTTATTTAAATTTTGCAGAAACCGAGTTTTATAATTTATTTAGCAGAATAAACACTTTTAAACGATATTTTTTGGTAAAAGCAGCAGAGATTTAAAAGAAAACATTTTTGTCGTTATTAAAATTATTTATTCGTGTTTGGCTTTTTGTACGCGTTTCTATTACTTTATTTTGGTATTTCATAAACGATTTCTAAAGAAAATAAGAAAACACAACAAAAAATTAAAAGAAATAAAAAAAAACTCCGTAAATCGCTGCGAGGATTACGGTAACTGTCTCTTATCATTGCGTACAAAACGCAGGATCCCACGACACCTGGATACATTTGTCATTTCTCAACAATACCAATAATTGTTTTTTTGGTTTTCCTCTTCAAAATTTTCGAAACAAAATTTAAAAATAGCGCACAGTATAAAAATTTAAAAAATACAGTACCGACATGACCCGCGCAAATTTTCGCGTGCATTTTCGCAAATTTTCCTTTGATAATCAATAGCGGAGAATTACGATATATCGCGTCAAATTTTGGTATTTTCGAAGTGCGTGCATAGGGAATTCAATAAGAAAAATTGATTTATTTTTACTTTTTTTATTGCATGAATAGGTCCATTAAATTTCGAGATAAAGCTGAAAACGAAGTTGCGGACTTGTGCATTTTATTTGACGAAAATTCACATGTTGTCGATGATTTTCTGCGTGACGAATTAACGTAGAAAATTCGTTTCTTTTTTCGATTTCTTACTTCGTTTCTTTTTAATTTTTCTATACTTCCCACTCCGTTACGAAAAACAAACCATTTGGCACCGTCAATTGTGACATATCATACAGTCCAATAAGTGAATACATGAATCCATTGAGAACAAACGATCCTGGCGTTGTCGGATATTCCTCGTACCAGGGAACGTCGAAGAAATGAGCTACAACTCCGCCATCTGAACTATTCTGAAATGCCAGAAATTGTTTTGTTTGAAAAACTAAGGGAACCTTCTTAAAGAGATCAATGCCACGAATCGCGGCATCCAAATATTTTTCCTTGTCAAATAGTTTATATGCTCGTGTGAGCACCGAGAGACCATGGCCTTGGGCCATAGCGGAATGCCAACCCGGCGGCAAAACAAGTTTTCTCTCGGCAATAGAGCGTTCAACAGGGACCGGCCATCCTCCCTTAAATTGAATCCGACTAATTGCATAGTAATGATTCAAGATACCGTTGAATCTTGATTTTCGACCAACCAATCTGAAGCTGCTCGAAATGCGTGATCGCTCATGTCATTCTTTTGTATGATTCGTTGTTTTGCAATTAATTCACCACGGAAACCAATTGAGACAAGACGAACATCGCCCAGACCATAGTTTATCAATTTCAATAAAATCTTCATTTCGATTACCTGGGTGCAGTACAATATTGTCATTCTTTTTTCGATTCTCAGCACTTGATAAAGCCCGAGAAACGTCGACGAGGATATCACGAGTAACGCTATTCCATTCGTTCACTTTTGCCGAATAACTGTACGAATAAGATACCTGAATATAATTTTTGAGTTTTCTTTTCTCCGTCTCAAACATACTTGATCATCTTTCCTTCTCATTCTTTGGAACGTGTCTTTTTCCTTCACATCGTCATTCCAAACACATTTACCGTTGCCTGATTGCATTACATAATTAAGAAGAACCAAAAGGTCACCATCTCTCATCTGAAAACAAAAAGTTTTGATTCTCTGTTTAAATTGTGGGCAAACTTTAGCTAAGACAGTAAACGAAGCATTCGCATTCATTGGTTTCCATTCAAAACTCAACACATGCAACTCCGACGACTTATCTAGGTAGACATAGGCTCCTGCATTTGAAATAGCGTCTAAAATGCAAATGACTATTTTATATACTAAATAATTGACTAAAGCGATTATAAACCTCCAGTACTGATATTAACTAAAAACCCGAGTTCTTCGTCTTTGTAGAACAAGCGTTCCGTCGTTTCATGCATTCCAGCAGCCCCTTTCCATTCAACACTCTTTTCTCCCTTCAATACTTCTAACATTTTCCGGCTTCCTATAAAAAGCGAAAGTACAAATTATTTTTTTTTCTTTTCGAGTTCACCGGATTTGATACGACTGTAATGCTGCAAACCATATTGCGCGATTTGGATAGGATAATAATAAGGTTTCGGATTCCATTGAGTAGACATTGGAACATCTAAATTCAGATTATTTATGAAATTGTTCAATTTAGAATATTACCAGTTTCCGCGCTAATACATCGAACGCGTTCACGCCTTTCAACATTATACGTCGCAAAATGTCCAAAAACGCCTAGTGGGTTGTATTTCTCATCGGGAACCCGCATTTTTGAGTAAGATGTGAAAATTTCGAATAAAGTAGCATCTGAAAACGAATATTCAAAACTACGAGATACCAATGCATTATAACGCAAATTTGCTCATTTCCGTTTTTGTCGTTTTATTAAAATTAGCTTCAATTTTCATCATAAATACTTCTTTTATAAACCTTTGCTTAGTTTTCCACTCATATCAAATCGTTTTCGAATGTAGGAAAACGGCAGAAAAACATCTTCATCATTTTTCCAACAACTCATCGGTTTTCCATTGTCCGCTGAGCATTTGATTGTTTGAATGTCAGGAATTTCAGGTGTTTCGCACTCATTCTTCTAAAATTTCGCAATCAACTCGATTCTTTTTAAAATCAATAATAACCGTTTCTTCAACAACAATTTCCGCCGATTCTTGTTCAACGGGTTGTGTGTAATATTTGTTGATTGCGAACAAAATAACACAGGCTAAAATTAAAAGAAGTTTATGGCGAACCGATCGCCGTCGAAGCCATTTCATTGGAACATCGATATTCTGAACAAATCAAAACTGAATTTACCTGCAAATTAAAACCACGGAATCGTAATAATTGGATGAAACCAATAAAAATTATGAAAATTGACCTTATTTATAGCTTAATATTTATTATAATGAACTTAATACTTATTTAAAAGCCTGAACAACGCAATAATGAGCGAGGAGTTGTTCAAGAAGCTCAATTTCATCAAGAAGCTCGATTTTCTTAATTCGCTCAACTTCGCTTTGGTCTAACAGCTTCTTGAAGACCACATTCATATCGTAAACACCGACTTCAGAAAATCCCGCCGTTTTGAACCTTGAAATGCCTTTATTAAATTCATTCGACAAAAATGTACCTTAAAATTTGTTTCTCATCACTTTCACACATTTGAAGACCATGAAGATGAATTCCGCGGTCGCCGAGATTTTTCTCCATTACACGAGTAAATGAATCAGAAGTTCGAAATTGCTCATAATTCACAAATGCGCACGTTTTGAAAGCTTCGCTCAGAGATTTCAGCAAGTCTGCACTATTTTGAGCCGACATGTACACAAGCACACATCTAAAAGAATACATTTCATAATATTGTGGAATATGTTTGTTTCCAATATTTTTTAACACTTACTCAGCAATGAAAATAGTTGGAAGAGACTTATCCAAATTGCATGTGTTCAATTTTACATGAAACTCGTTTAATTGTCGTAGATCAGCTCCAACCAAATGATAGTTTCCAGCGTGCAAGTCAGAATGTTGAACAATCGCTGCTGGAATTAAAAATGCATTTTTAAACTGCTCATAAATGTAATGACAACGTTTTTCCGTGAACAGCTTTGTTGGATCTGGTCCATTTGCTGGCTTCATTATATGACGTATTTTCTTCGAAGTAACACTAGAAAAGTCCACTTCAACGAACTTGGCTAACTTTTCTCCACTAGCCGCAAGTCGCCAGAAAAGAGTATCAAAACCGCAGCCTGGAACGACAAAATATATGCGTTCACCCATTGCGCACAATTCTTACCCAAACTGACGATTTGCGCATTTCCGGAATATTTTCTCAAATATTCCACAGTGAACTTTTCGACAATTTTTGTTCGCGCCCAATATCCCATCGATATTTCTGGAAATCTACGTGTCTCCGCCATATTCGATGAGGTGTTTGCAAAGCGTTCAATAAAATCATCCTTATAATATCCTTTCTATAAAAACTACTTCTGTGCTTTTGAAAATTGGTAAAATGAATACCTGAACAGCATAATACTTGCATTGAGTCGCGTCGTCATTTGTGCGTTGGACTGAGTAGTCGTCGGAAACAGAACTTGACCGTCTTCTAGTTGCAATAGTTTCAGCAACAAAACTGTCACTACTCAACGCTTCAGGATCCATTCCTTTCCTTAATGAAAATTCAAAAAGTAATACACCTAAATTGATTTATATATCGCAAGAGAAATTAGTCAAGAGAACTAATCCGAATTGAGGATTAGTGAGGCTCGAGAAGTATGTGTTATTAAACATTTATTTTGAAACGGATCATCTGCAATGTGTATGCTCGGTGATTGCGTACTTACTGCTTTTTATTTTTAATTTCGCGTAGTTTTCAAACGACAACTTTAAGACATGAGTAATTATCAAAATCAAAGAGGTAATTTGTTTAAAATATTTATAAACATTACTAATTTGCGTTTTTAAAAGGAAACCACAATCGAGGCCGAGGAGCATGGAAAATTAATGAGTGGCAACAAAATCGGCAGAATTATGAGAGCCCATATGCCAATGAAGGAATTTCGAACTATGGAAATGCTACCGATTCACAAAATCAATATGGATTCGGCGTTGGGCCATCAACATGGGGCGATGTTGCACGAAATCAAAGAGAATGGCGAAATTATTCACGAGGTATCATTTAATTCAAAAATTTTCTGTTTAAAAAGCTTGATTTGATTTCACTTTGAAAATTAGACGTATTCCAGATTTTTTGCATTTTTTTTATTTCAATATTTGCACGTAAACTTACGTTCAAACTTCTCAATATTGGGTTTTCGCTGGTAACCAAAAATGCAATCGGATTCGACAAAATTCGGCTTTGGAATCAACGTTTAAGCAAAAAAACGCAAGCAAAAATTTGACCGTCCGATACAAGACTGCGGAAAATTGGCTTTATGCCAAAAAAAAAAAACAGATCCTAATGAATCATTAGAATCATTGAATCATTCAATCATTATTAGTAGTGATGATAAATAAAAAATGACAAATGATGAATGAAAATGAAAATGATGATGAGTGGTCTTGTCATCAAACTAAAAGTGTAGATTTACGGGCCTAAGTGTACATACATATAGCTTAAAGGTGCACACCGCGCATCGAGATTTCTCTTTAACGTTTTTGTACAATGTCGTTACTTCCATTGAAAAGTGGCTTTCGAGTGAAAAGTTCACCGAGCATACAACTAGAAAGTATTAATTAGTGAAGAAATATTGTCAATGTCGCGCGATTGCGGAAATTTGGCTAGAAATCCAAAAATGATACAACGAGAGTGGTCTTGGAGCAAAACTCGAAGTGTAGATTTACAGGTTATGTTTAGGGATAGGTTAAAGGCGCACTACAACGTTCAGCTAAATGTTTTAGCACTCACCGTTAACATATCCTTATACATTGGTCTTTAAAACCAAACTTTTAAATTTGTGTTTTAAGACCACTGCCAAAGTTTTTTTGGCATTTAGCCAATTTTCATAGTCGCGCGATGCTGACAATAACCTTAATTTTTCGACCATATTCGGATCCAAATTGTAACTGCGATTATTATAAATGCTATTAATATGAAATAAAGCACGCTCACATAACGTTTCACAACTGATTATTCCAACAAATTTTTGTTCGTTGAAATATCAAACAGATAAGGTTGATTCTGGAGTCGAATTTTGTCTGATCTAATTGGTTCCAGTTGATAAGAGATCCTGATAAAATGAATATATTTCCAGAGTCACATACCTATTTTTCGCATATTTTTTGAATAAAATATTGTCCTAAATATGATTTTAAAAAATGTCAATTTTTTGAGGAAATCAAAACTATCACGCTCGCGGAAATAATCGTGTCGGCCGCGGCCGCGGCGGTGGTGGCTATCGTGGCCATTCTCAGCGAAGTAGTGGACCGGTATCGGAATTTTATCATTTTTTAGTTAAATCAATGTCTTTTTTCAGTCGAAACTATTCAACGCACAAGATTATTTAATGCCAAAAATGTGGGAAAATCCATGGGCAAAACTGGAAGAAGAATATTTCAAAGAAATGGTTTTTCGAAAATGTTTCCATCAATTTCGAATTTTCTCTGTTTACAGGGTGTTCAACCATAATTCGATGCGATTTTCTTCAAATGCAAATAATTCATTTTCTAATACAAATTTGATAACAAAAAATAAAAACGAAGAGGAAAGAAAAAACCGTAAATTTAATATAACAGAATGAAATCACAAAAAAAGGGAATAGACAATAAAAAACTATAAATCTTATTAATTATTATATTCAATATAAGAGTAATTAACATAACATGATATTCTCTATTTGAGTTATTAAAAGATGACACAGTCGAAAATTTAAGTATTTAAAAGGTTGGCATAAATTCGGAGGCAGTTTTTTTCTCTTCTTTTTGCATTTCCACAATTCTCAATTAAATTTTTATTTAAAAAAAAGAAAACAGCTAAACCTGCCTCTCAACACTTCCGTCAGCTCTCAAAAGCATAAAATTTATGAAATTGGGTATGAATTCCAAAAAGGAAGAAAAATTAATGAAAACGAAAAAAAAGTAATATTTTAAAAATCGTGATTACTCAAAGGTACACAAAAAAGAGTCAAAATTATCACAAAACAATCAAGAAACAACAATCGACAGAGATTTTCAGATCAAAATGGTCAGACAAACAGAAATTTCTTTTCTTTTTTTGGCTGCGCACATCTTCTTCAATCCGATAAATATATTTTAAGGTTACAACAAAAGAAACAACCCAGCCCATGTTTTTTTTTTATTAAAACGAAATTCTACTTTTCAGTGGATAAACGAGTTCGGGGCAGCTGCTGCCGTAGGCGCAGGTTGGGCAACAAAATTGCCCGAAGACGATGCTGATCGAGAGATGCTTTGTGATCCGGAAGCTCCGTTGCTTGGACGAGAATTGCCTGAAAATGTAAATAATCGCATAGGAAAATAGAAAACAACACACAGAAAGAAAATACAGAATATAAAACATTCGAATATAGATGATTTTTATAATGAATTTAAAAAATTTTGCAATAGAAACCTCTGGGAAGCAAATTCGGCAGCTTATGATGTCCGCTAGATCCACCAGGGCTTCTAGTTTTCGATGCAGAAGGGCCATTCAGTAATCGATTTTCTCGTTTTTGCTTCTTACTCCACATTTCATGGCAATCCTTGACACAAAAATTACATTGGAAACCAGGAGAAAATTGACGCTAGAGTACCTGATGCTGCGGCAAATTCAGTGGCGGCACATTCGTTCGCTTAAGCGAGAGGATCCATGGATGATTGAGAGCTTCGCGAGCTGTCAAACGCTTCTTTGGATCTAACGATAAAAGTTTATCGAGCAGATCAACAGCTTGCGAAGGCATTATACTGCAAAAATATTAATAAATTGGAAACAAAAATTGAACTATTACTGTTCAAATTCATCCCGAATCCTTCTAGGATAAGCGCGTTTCTGTCTAAGCGATTGCCATCCTTTTAATTTTACAACGTCCGGCCAGTTGTCGATTGTCGGCGAGCCGCACAACTAAAGGAAGTGGGCGTTGGAATAAAATTTTAGAAATATGATACCTTCGTAATAACTTCAAGTTGGGCAATGTCGTTACTTCCATTGAAAAGTGGCTTTCGAGTGAAAAGTTCACCGAGCATACAACTAGAAAGTATTAATTAGTGAAGAAATATTGTCAAAGCCGCGCGATTGCGGAAATTTGGCTAGAAATCCAAAAATCATACAACGAGAGTGGTCTTGGAGCAAAACTAGAAGTGTAGATTTACAGGTTATGTTTAGGGATAGGTTAAAGGCGCACTACAACGCTCAGCTAAATGTTTTAGCACTCACCGTCAACATAACCAAATTTTTAAATTTGTGTTTTAAGACCACTGCCAAAGTTTTTTTGGCATTTAGCCAATTTTCATAGTCGCGCGATGCTGACAATAAAATTAATTTTTCGACTATATTGTTCAAATTATTTGCAAGAAAATCGAAAATTCGCCTTTATTTTTAGATTTATCAGTTTTGTTCATTTCTCTTCACCAACCCGGCACTCCAAATATCAATTTCTGGGCCATAGCATTCCTCTCCCAGCAGCAATTCCGGCGGGCGATACCAAAGTGTTATCACTCGATTCGTGTACGGTCTGTCATAGCCCTCATGCCACAATCTGGCCAAACCTAAATCGGCCACTTTCAATTCACCTCTGCAAATTGTTTAATTAGACAAAAGAACATATCGAGCGAAAAACTCACTTATTATTAACCAATATATTACTACATTTTATATCGCGATGTAGAAATCCCGCTTGATGGCAATACGCCAATCCTTCGAGCAATTGTTTGAATATCATACAAACTTGCTCTTTAGTGAATTCAATCAGATCCTTGGAATCAAGAAGACCCATTAAGTCGTGATCCACATATTCAAATACCAAGTAGAAGTTAACTAGAATAAAAAGCAAAGCGATGACGTTGCTAAAAAGTCAAATTTCAAACCTCGAGAGTTACGCAGTTCTTGAACTGACGCATTGTCCGTGACAATGTCGATCAGTCGCACAATATTCTTATGATTAAGCTGTCGCAGAATTTTAATCTCGCGCACCGCGGTTATTGGGAAACCCTCTTTTTCATTTTCAAGACGTACCCGTTTTAAAGCCACTTGTTCACCTAAATAACCTATTTTAATCAAAAAGATGACTTTCGCAAATCAAAAACCGGTTTTTTTGTTAACAGCTTTGTAGACTTGGCCATAAGTGCCTTCACCAATTTGGCCGAGCATAGTGTAATCCGTCAGTAGAGTCGTTCCCCATTCGTCACGAGACGGATCCACTTTCCTTCTGTTTCCTCTCCGATTGAGAACTCTGAAAGGGAGAAAGTACTTTATTAAATTACAATAAAACATACACAGGCTTTGTAACTATTCGTTTGCTCTCAGGAGCAGGAGGTAGAGGAAGTCCTTCCATCATCCGTACGCCAGGATTTCCGGAGAACGCGAGGTGTGGTTGGACTGTCGGTTGTGGAGGTTGAGGAAAAAGACCTTAAATTAATTTTGAATGCCATTCGATTTTTTTTCCATATGTACTACCGTCAGTGGAATAACTTGCGGTTGCTGGCGGTGGCATTGAAGGTAAAACTGGTGGCGGCTTTTGGTACGGATCCATAAGCGCAGTCGGGGGTAGAGGTGGCGGATTCACGGGATAAAAGCTGGTTGGTGGCGCCGGCTGCGGGGCAATTCTTTGATACTGGAAATTGACAGGTGAAATTAAATTGGTTTCGATTTTTAAACCTGCTCGTTAAACGGAGGAAGCGGCGGAGGAGGCACAGGGATTGAACTAAATGATTGAAAGAATGGAGCCTGAAGACTTTTAATAACAACGGAATTTTTTTTATATTACATTCGCCAAAAAAAACCGAGCGCCCTGTGCCGATTTACGGTGAGTTAGATTCGCATGTCATCCGTAGTGCAGTATTCTAATTTCCACTGTTTAAATTCGAATTTGAATTACCGCTACGAAAAAGTGCGATGGTCCACAATTATGCAAGGCGCTCGGTTTTTTTTGCGATGGTAATAGTGCAATACTTGATAAAGAATTTGAGGAGGAGGCATCGGTGCAGGAATGTTCAATGCTGTACCATTTGAAGAGGCAGGACCATCGACATGCTGAAATTTAGAATTTAGGAAAAACCATCAAAAGCTCCGTACCATTTCTTCAGAACTTGTAGACGAAGAGCTACTATGTCTCTTATGCTTCCTTCGTTTCTTTCGAGATTTCGAAACAACGGTATCGCCATGTGTTTTCTTTATTTCCCCAATTAATGAGATTGACATTCTACAGAAAGAATAATAATTTTTAAAAATTAAATAATTTTGACTAACGGATCAGGGGAGTTTGAAGCGCTGGAATATCTCCGACGGTTCTTCTTACTACGTTTCGGGGAACGATGCCGACTGAAAATAAAATTTGTCGTAATAAATAATTTTTCTCTTTGCATTTTCGGATACCTTCTGCTTCTTGACCTTTTTTTATCTCTTCGCTTAAATCGCTCTTTGCTCTTCCATCGATCTCCGCGGTTTCGATCATCGCGGTACCTGTGAGATCGTCCTTCGCGTGAATTAGATCTTCGGTTTCTTATTGGCGTCGACGGCGACCGATCATCTCTTGAAACACGATCTCGTTTACCCTGACGAGATGAAGATTTCCTGTAACGTCTTAATCGTTAATCTTTAAACCCCTAGTTCTCTAAACTACCTATCATTTTTCGAATTATACATTCTAGAGGGTGATGTAGTGCGACTCCGAGAGCGGTCTCGCTCACGATATGAATTGCTGGCTCGTCTGTCTCTATCGTTTGACGACGCCGCCGGAGATATTTCTGTTAAAAAAAAATATAATTGCACGAACTCGTTGAAAATATAAATGGTTACCTTCTTCCTTTCTCCGATGACTTGATCCATTTGTGCCGTCATTTTCGAAATTTGCGAGGCTTCCCTCGTTTGGTGAGTCAAAGCTCATTTCAGCCTAAACCAGTGAAAATTATGCGATTCGAGGCTATGCGTTAAAAAAAGAGAAGAACACAATTTTAACAAAATCTGCTTAGCGTTGAAAAAATTAAAACTTGTATTCAAAACTTTTACTTTATTATTCAAGCAACCGGACAATAGCTGGAAGTTTTTTCTAATTACCTTTTTATTTTACAACCAATTTCCGCTTCAACTCAAACTTTTTCTCGGCTGCGGTTTTTAAACTGTTTGAATTCTGCAATTTCGCATATTTTAATGGTAAGCATGACTTGGAAGCGTAAAAACAAAGAAAAACGAACGGTCGAACGGCGACTAGCGACAATTGATTTGGTCCACCCAGTACTAGGCAACAACTCTGCTCTATGGCGAAATAGGAGTCTGCTGCGTCTCTTCAAACACGTTATATTTCATCCGAATGGGCGGAAATTCAAATAATGCACCCATTTTATCAAAACAACGAACGGTTGTAAAAAGGATTTGTTCTGGTTCATGATACAATTTCCATAATGTATTAAATCAACAACAACAACAACAAGTCAACAATAAAAAAAATAATTATTGCAAAATATCCAGCTAATCAAAGCTCTCACCAGTCTCCAAATTAGTGATCTGAAACAAAGTAATAAGACTTAATATGAGGACAAATATCCAACTTTATCAATTCCAGCCAGTTGCCAAGCAAATTTAGCTTTTACATCATCTATATGTACAGCTTTTCCGAACAATTGAAGCTTCAGCGAATCCAAAGTAAATGCATCTACTTGTAATCTCTGGGCGTTCATCAATTAATTAATTTTAGCGATTTTTAAATCACCATCATCAAATATTCTTTTAGATTATTAACTATTGCAATTTCGCCAAGATTAATATCGTAGAAAATCATCTTTTGGTAAACTTCTGCATTAGGTTTAAATTCGACGTAAATTAGGAGTGGGCGAGTTCCGACGATTTTTACAGGTACTTCTATCGTTTTCACAAGTATTGCCTTTCTTACGTCGGATGTTTTACGTCCATTCTATATAAATTTATAAGTAAATAAAAAAATACATTTTAGTTACCCATTTTCTCTTTGAAGGTGGGTCAATACGAAACAAAAATCCAATACCAACCTGAAATTAATTAGTTAAATTAGTTACAACCGAAATATTTTTTGTGCGTTGCGATATCCTCACCTCTCCAATTTCTCCTTGTCTCAAAAAAATGTTTCCTGTCGATATTCCATATATTATATTTTCTAAACAAGCAATACTACACATATTTGAATATTTTCGTTTGAAAATTGTTATTATCTTGATTTTTAAATTATAAAAAGCAAATCGGACTCTTAGCAGAATCTTATTAGAAAATTCGTAAAAATCTGAGTCGCCACTTTCCCGGAGTGTTTAACCCAATGAGTTTGCCGAAAAAATAAGTATGTTCAGAAGATCTTCTCGAGCTACATCACATTATTTCAATGGAATTCAAATATGTATATTTCCATTTTTACAAAATCCTTTTCTAAAAATTAAATACCTGTGCAGCAAATGCCTGTGAACATATAATGCCTGTCAACAGAGTTGAAATGTGTTTTCTGAAAAATAAGAGAATAAAACTATATAATTTTCGTAGAATAACTAACAGGGTCTTCAGGTAACGTTTGGCATACTTTTTTTAAATTTTCGGAGAAAACATTTACATTCCACGGCTATAATTGTATTGTCATATACGTTTTTAGATGTTTAACTTTTAAAAGATACCGCATTTTTGATTTCTTTCGCATACTCATTCCTTAGTTTAACAACGGATTCTAATTTCCAATAAACTTGATTTTCCTTCTGATAGCTAACAATCACCTGTAAACAAAAAATGAGAAAATTCTACTGAAAATTTAGATACCTCATAAAATGAGTCGTCAGATAAAACTACGGAAATCGATTGAGGATCTTCAATGTTCTGAAACTCACACATATTGGTAAATCTCACATAAATATCTACCCCGATATAAGGGCTCCACATCATTTCATCGTCATTTATTCGACCATTTGTAATTTTTGCAACCGTTTTGCAAGCGACAGTAGAAATCTGAATTATACAATTACATAAGGCATTTTCTAGTCAAATGGGCAATACCAGTAGCTTTTTGTTTTGTATCTTACTCTCCACAATATTCCTTGAAAACTTTTTAATTACCTCAAGAAGTTTTTTTTTAAACACAACATTTAATAGAATACCTTCAAATTGTCGAAATACACATTATCTCCAACTTTTACTTCAAACTCATTATTGCGACACACTTGAAAACGATTATTTCCTGATACTATCTGGAAATTGTAATTGTGTTTAACAATTTGAATAAGTGCACAAACTTGCGCATTGAAATCCTTAATATCAACAACGATGCCGGGAAACAACTCCGAACTCATCGCATTTCTGACAAGAAATGTTCGAAGAAATTCTTTTGCCGAGGCATATGCGCTCTATTGCGCTTGTTCTAAAAATTAAAAAAAACGGGCCAATAATTATTAACTAAATATTTTTTAACTAAATTCACTAAATATGATTTTTAACTAAATATAATTATTAACTAAATAAATAATTTTTAACTAAATTCATATTTTTCAACTAAATAAAATATTTTTTAACTAAATAAATCCAATTTTTAACTAAATAAACCTAGTTGACAAGGGATGTCTTTTTTGCTGTCCGTCTCAAAATTTAAGAAGTATATTGTCGGCGTCAAACGACAGAAGGGAGGCGTGGCCTCAAAATTCGAGAAATCAGTGTAGATTTAAATTAATCGTTGACTGAATATTTAATGCGCGCACACTATAATGCAATGTTCGCATTGTAGCTGACCTATTGTATCAAAATTAAATGATAAAATTTCATGTTATACGTTTTAGGTGTTTTTATATTAAATTAAAGGTCAGGATTGAATAAATTAGAGTTATTTTAGGATACTAGTAATACAGTTGTTGTGTTACAGAATTTTAAGACCGCCCCTGAATTTGAGCGCCGCCCAATTATTTCGATATTTTGAGACCAACCAGTGTTAAAATCGTATTCAGCATAAAAAATAACCAATATGTACCAATTTTTTATTGTAGTATCTTAAGAAGTAGCCGCGTAGTGGTCAAAAATCGTTTTTTCAAGCGGAGCAGAATTATAAAGCGACCCCCATTAAACGGACTATTTCGTTTTTTTTTTAACTGTCACGGGACCAATGTGCACAAAAATCGTTGTGTGGCTTTAAGAGCCTACAGTGTTCCCTATTTTTCTATTTTTGAATCATTTTGATGGAAGACGTTGGAGCAGCAATTCAAATCTAGATCGACTCAATATGTTTTAAACCTTCTCAAATCTATGCCAGACCGTGTTTCTGACATTATTACCTCAAATGGAGGTTTCACCAAACATTGAACTGTCATTATTTTTGAGTTTATAACGTATTTCATGGGGGTGGCTTTATAATTCTGCACCGCTCGAAAAACGGTTTTTAACCACAGCGCGGTTACTTTTTAAGATGCTAACATAAAAATACAGGTACATATAGGTTATTTTTCATGCTGAACACGATTTTCACACTGGTTGGTCTCAAAATATCGAAATAATTGCGCGGCGCTCAAATTCGGGGGTGGCCTTATAATTCTGCGACGCACTGTATAAAACCTTGGTAAATTTTTGAAGAATCGATAGGCTGCACATCATATTTTGCTATTATATAGATGGATAAACTACTATGCGCATGCTGTTATACTCAGCTTCAGAACCGCAGAAAAAGATACGAAATAATAATTTTCCGTCATGACTTTTGAACGAGTGGTCCAATCGAAATGAAATTTTTACTGGGAGTCAAAGACACAATTAAAAACTAACTGCAAAGTGAATTACACTAGTTCGAAAAAACTAGTACGTGCTAGAAAACTTTTGTGCTAGAAAAAAATACGTTCTAGAAATATACGTGCTAGAAAATACGTGCTAGAAAACTTTTTTTTGAAATTTGCAAAACGGAAAAATCGATAAATTTTAGTCATCCTATTTTTTAAATATATTTTTTTAGTTTTCGATTCTTTGTGATAGACACTTTGCAGTTAGTTTTTAATTGTGTTTTTGACTCCCAGTAAAAATTTCATTTCGATTGGACCACTCGTTCAAAAGTCATGACGGAAAATTATTATTTCATATTACTTTTAAGGATGGGTCGACCAAAAGGGTCTAAAAATTATCTAAAGCTGATCGCAAATGGTGTAGCGACTAAGTATTAGGTCTATTCATAGTTGTAAAAAAGTTATTTGGTGTTTGATGATCTAATTTTATTTCTACAGCAATTTGAATTTATACACTTATTTTTATGACTTTTTGCAATTTCGATTTTTTTGCGAAATATACTTGGAAAAAATTAATTTCCATAATATATAACTTTTAAACATTTAAGTAAAAAAAAATAAGTGCTAAAAATTTCAGCTCGATTGAACCACTCGTTTAAAAGTTATGAAGAAAATTAATTATTTCGTATCATTTTACTGTAGGTTTATTTAGTTAAAAATAATTATATTTAGTTAAAAATTGGATTTATTTAGTTAAAAACCATATTTAGTTAAAAAATATTTTATTTAGTTGAAAAATATGAATTTAGTTAAAAATTATTTATTTAGTTAATAATTATATTTAGTTAAAAATCATATTTAGTGAATTTAGTTAAAAAATATTTAGTTAATAATTATTGGCCAATAATTTCGTTTTCAATCGAAATCGATCATAACTTAATATGTTTCGAAGTATATGCATAATATATGCGAGAATTTCAATCGAATTCTATTCAAAAATTGCAAATGAGAAATAAATCAATCGATTTCGAAGATTACTAAATCAATCCAAGTATTCAAATCGAATTTCAATTATTTTTCTATCGAATCAAGTTAGATTATAATTCATTTTTCTTCGAATCCGATTGATTTACCTAAGATATTACATTCGCTAAAAACGAGCATTTTTTAAATAAATTGCATGTTATCTAGGCACCTGAATTCCCCACAATTTGATATCGAATTTGAATTACCGCCTCGAAAAAGTGCGATGGTCCACATTATGCAAGACGATCGTTTTTTGAGATGGTAAGAGTAAGAATCTAGAATATTAACATTTCGTTAAGAACAAATCGATGTTGGTTTGGTTATTACATTTGCATAAGAAAACAAGCCACTACGCCGATTTACGGTGAGATAGTTTCGCAGGTTATCCGGAGTACGGTACCCCAATTAAAAAAAAAAAGCGTGTGCGTCTTTTAATACCGTATCCGAAAAATATGTATTATCAAACTTACAATAGAAAACTCCTCAAGTTTTTTTGAAACACCAGTAATTTCGATTTTTTCTACGATCACTTTTCACAATTGTGGACCATCGCGTTTTTTCCGTTCTTTTTTAATTTTTTAAACACGAGGAATTCGGATACCGTACTCTAGATGACCTGCGAAGTTAATCCACAGTAAATCATCTCTGATTTTTGCAGCCGCTTTTTTGGGAAATTTTGGAATATAAAATAATACTGTTGTAATCAAACGACTGAATTGAGGCTTGACCTTCAAATTCGCGAAATCAGTGTCGACTCAAATGTATCGTTGACTGAATATTAAATGCGCGTACACTATAATTCAATGTACGCAGTCTCGCGTACTTCTCGCTGCCTCGAGACGCATTGGCACATAGCCAATCATTATTTTTTAAATTTCGTCCAGTCGTCTGACTCCGACAATATGTAGGATGTATAGGAAAATACGAGTTTAGCAGAAAAAAAAACGAAAAATTGAATACTGCAATGAATGGCACACATAATCTTTGTATTGAAATACAATTTCAGAATTTCAGGTGTCCGTTATTGTTATTTTTCCACATATTTCCCAAACATGAATTTTTATTAGTTTCTAATTTAAAAGGTGTTCAAGGAATTAATTTAAACTTCAAAACACAATTATTCTCGCAAATAATGAACCCCTGAAGTTTGAATAACTTTTTTGTTGTACTGTGAAAATTATATCTGTTGAAATACTTAAAATACATACCGAAAAATATTTAGGACATCGGGGGAAATGGTCCACAACTATTCAAGGTGCTCGTTATTTTTTATAATGGTATTGTCGGCGTCAAACGATTGAACTGAGGCGGGGCTTTCAAATTCGCGAGATCAGGGTCGATTTAAATTTTTGGTTGATTGATTATTAAATGCGCGTATGCTATAATGCAATGTACGCAATCTCGCGTACTTCTCGCTGTGTCGAGACGCATTGGCACATGGCCAATAATTTTTTTTTTAAACTTTGTCAAGTCGTTTGACTTCGGCATTAATTTAGAAACATCTTTTATGCCATTATTTCAACCTTGACTTTTGATTGTAAATTGTGAAGTGAAAAGTTATGGTAAGCACACGAAATTTGCAAACCTTGAAATGATCTATTAGTGTTCCAGTAGTCGTCAGTATGCGGAAGATGACCTCATTCGAGGCCGACAGTCCACTTGTCGATTTCTCCCCGATTCGCGGACTATTTCATCGCCTAGGCGCCCGGATCGTCGACTATCCAGCCGCGCGCACGGCGAAGCAGTCCGACTCTCATTTGTGTCTCATCGCAAAATAACTACTTCTACTCGCCGGACACCCGCATTTCTTCTCGCAATTTTTGGATTACTTCTAACAACGAATGTGGTGTTGATTACAGGTATGTCTTTTCACGAGTTCTCTTCAATTTGCCGGTGTTCCTATTCGAACTCTCCATTCCTCATTCACCAACAATCTCGTGAAAGGTCGCCAACGACTCGTCATCCAATTTCAACAAATAAAAATAAATCATGGAAAAGTTCATACGTGATTAGGAACTATTTGTCGCACTCAAACTGGTTGCAACGTGTTCATCTACTAATAGGCCCATTTAAAATAAATACCACCACGCAGTTTTACATTTTTTTTTTGAAATTCGTTTCACATTGCAACACGTTTGGAGGTGACCTTGGACAAATGTTGCCACTCGCTGCCAAATTTGTAGCGCCCAGTTCCCCCGCGTTATTTGAACGTTTTTTTTGTTTTTCTATTGTATACGAATCTTTCCACCACAGTCAAATAAGCTTTTTTCACATAAAAATGATGTGTTGAATTGCTACAAAACTGGATTTATGGCTGATTTCATTCCTTATTTTTTAAAGCAGAAAAAACTACTCGGAATACCATAAAATTTGTTTAAATCTCAAAGTTTTAGCAAAGAGTTAACAAGAATTAACGGTTTACGGGATTAGATGTGACAACGGTTCATAAAATCCCCGAAACCCGTTTTCTAATAATAATTAATGTCTGAAATAACTGTTTATATAAAAAAAAATGAATAGTATGAGATGCCACAGAATAAGGGTGCTTGTCTGAATTTGCTATCAATACGGAACGAATTCGTTGTGCCAGTTTTTCCGCATCGCGCAATCCATTTTGCGATTGTTTTGATTGATAGATCAAGTGTATCAATTGACATTATCACGTTTCTTCGCCAACACCGTCTTCATTTATTTCGTCACTGAAAAAAAAAACATAAATTGTCTCATTCCCATGTTAGTTTTATAGCTGTTTGATTTGAGAATTCAGTTTTAAAAAAAATGTTATTGCACAATTTGTGTATGTGTGTGTATTTGTAATATTGTTTGTTTTCAGATGGTTTGAAACTATCGAATTCTTGCGTGATTTCTCCTCGGGCAACCGGCGGACGTGAATGTTTCGATCAGTGCTCCGTTGGCGTCGCCGCCACTTTCAATTCTTCACACTATGCATTTGCTTTCTCTTCATATGGTTCTCATTAACAATTCTAATCCTTATGCTGCAAGATATGGTACGTATTTTTTCGAAATTTATCTACAATCCACAACAAATTGTATTTGTCGCTAGAATAACGTGAATACTGACTGCAGAAAAACTCATATTTCGAGAATCTTTATGTTTTAGGGTTTGCGGCAAGATCTTGATTGCTCAATAATTGTGGTGAATAGAGTCTGTTAAATTGGAATGAAAATTCATTTTTCTACTAAATTACGTACCATTCTAAAAATCGACCATTTCGTTTTAGATATTGGGGGATGACGATTCATTTCACGCCGAAACCGAGAAACGATTTGCTCGTCCCAATTTCCACGTGGTTGTTGGACATTACAACGGAAATTTGCCACAGGAGAAAAAGAAAAATTTAACAAAAGGTAGAAGTAGTTTTTGAAAAAAAAAATCAATTATGTTGGTTTTAGAGCAATTGAATACGAATGAGTATTCTCCGATTGAAGGATGGGGTGAAGGCGGACGCGCGGTTCATTTATCACCTGAGCAGCACAAACTATCGGAAGAAACGTTTGCAGTAAATCAATTCAATTTGTACATTTCCGACCGAATTTCTATGAATCGATCATTACCCGATATTCGTAAGCCGGCGTGCCGAAACATTACATATCCTGCGAATCTTCCCAACACTTCTGTCATTATTGTATACCACAATGAGGCATATTCGACTCTTCTTCGAACTGTGTGGAGTGTTATAAATCGATCGCCTTCTCGATATCTCGCCGAAATTATATTAGTTGACGATTTTTCAGACCGCGGTGACTATCAAAACGAAAAGATGAAGATTATCTTGAATTTCAGACTTTCTGAAATATCCCACATTCGACAATTCACTTAAAGAATTGCCTATTGATGTAAAAATTTTACGAGCTAAAGAGCGCGTCGGATTAATTCGCGCGAGAATGATGGGAGCACAGGAAGCCACCGGCGAGGTGCTGACGTTTTTGGATTCGCATTGTGAATGCACCAGTGGATGGCTGGAGCCACTACTTTCAAGAATAAAAGAGAACAGGCAATCCAAAAACGTTTTTATTCTTTTAAAGTTTGTATTGTTTTTGTTTCAGAAAGGTGGTACCCTGCCCTATAATTGATATCATAAGCGACAGAACGTTCCAATATCAGAAAGGCATCGAATTATTCCGTGGTGGATTCAATTGGAACCTGCAATTCCGTTGGTATTCGATGCCTTCGAACATGGCGAAGCAACATCTCGTCACACCAACTGCACCAATTGAATCGCCAACAATGGCTGGTGGTTTATTCTCGATTGAGCGGAAATATTTCGAAGAGCTCGGTGAATACGATTCAGGAATGGATATTTGGGGAGGAGAGAACATCGAAATGTCGTTTCGAGTATGTTATTGATAAATGAGGCATTCGGAACAATTTCTATAGATTTGGCAGTGTGGCGGACGAGTCGAAATTTTGCCGTGTTCACATGTCGGACACATCTTTCGAAAATCGTCTCCACATGATTTCCCAGGAAAATCATCAGGCAATGTCCTGAATTCGAATTTGCTTCGAGTTGCTGAAGTTTGGATGGATGAATGGAAATACTTGTTCTACAAGATTGCTCCCCGTAAGATGGCGAATATATAATAAAGTCAAGAAGCATTATTCAGAAGCTCATCGAATGAGAAGTTTTGCCGATGTTTCTGAACGTGTCGAATTACGGAAAAAACTCAACTGCAAACCATTCCGCTGGTATCTTCAGGACGTTTTCAAAGATCATTTCTTGCCGACACCAAAGGATCGTTTCGGACGAGTGAGTCATTGTTTGTGTTTGATTGAAGCGCATCAAGTCGATGTAGATGTTCGCCGAGAACAATTCAACGGTGTGCCTCGCGTGGGCGATGCGCCGATCGGGCATCCGAACAGCGTCGATAACCGCGTGTCAATCGAGCACCAAACCGTCGTCAGCGACGTTGCCCAAAAACCAGGTTTGCAGATTTTTATCGATTCTGCGCAATATTGCATCGCGTTCCGACCGGGCGATACCGGCCCAAAAAACCAGCGATTACTTGGTTCGTCGTGCACAATGGGATTCGATTTGTGGCAGGTCACAACTAGTTTATTTATTGCGATATTTACCGGCTCAAAATTATTGCATTAAACCCGTTTCTTTTTTTTTTCTGAATATTTATTTCAAATTTTTGAATCTTAAATTCTCGTGTTAATAAAACATTTTTAGTTATGGTTATACACTGGCGATCGGCGAATTCGAACTGACGAGCATCTGTGTTTATCCGCAATAACATCGGTGCACAAACATTCTGAGCATGTAATTCAATTAAAAGAATGCGCTGGATTCGATAACGAATACTGGGATTATAAGCCGCAGGTTTTTGTTGTACTTGAATTTTCGAATTGCGATCAGTGTATGCCCTTCGTCACACTCTTCCAAAGTCGATATGAAATTCTCATAGATAATCAAAGATTTCTCGAGAAATCCTCAAGGATTTTTGATCATTTTTTGTCACTACTGTTCGAAATTTTTGAACCGTTTCGATGAAAATCTCTCGAGAATTTCTTCGAAGACAAACACTGATTATAATTATTTAGATTGGAAGGTTGAAACATGTAAAAAGTGGGCTATGCTTAGCAATGCCAATCAAAAAAGGACCTAGTGGAAATGATGATGAATTTAATCCTCCGATTGTTGAATCATGTAATGGATCAAATGAGCATCAGGTAAAATTTACTTGAATGGTACAATTCGTAACAATCGATATTTGTAGAAGTGGAAGATTGCCGAAGTCGAATGGTTGAATGATTCTATATAGTCAATCAATTAATTCGATCACATCGTAAAATATTCATTTTCAATTGAGTATTCTTGTTTACCTCACATTTATCATTTAAAATGTGTCAATATTCTTTCCGCGTTTTAATTCCGAAAGCATTAATTGTGTCGCCTTGCCATTAAGCCTGCCCTGACTTTAAACCGTTTTTTTAAACCAAAAGCCATGATATTAACATTTTCATTTTTTCTTGCTTATTCCTTTTGTGGGGTGATTTGATTTAACTATCGGTGTCCATTCATTCATTTAACTCTAATTTTGTCGTGTCTTCGAGGAACCCATCTTGATCTTTTCAATATTTTCTTGTTGAGTTCTGATCATTTTGAGCTCCTTCAGACACATCAGCCATAACACATTTCTCTTGTCGCTAAAATTGTTGCCTGAAAATAGCGATGTTTACAGCACAAAATCTACAATTTCAAATTGTTTCAGTGATTTTTCTGCTGCTAACATGCAGATTTGCTTTATAAACAACAATATAACTATTTATTCATTCAATCAATTGATTACCATATCATCGAATATTTATTTTTTTTTGGCTCTAATTCATGTTCTAGAGATATTGCTGTTACATCTTTCGATTCGGATGTTGGCGGTGCTGTTTTCTCTCGCGATCTTAGCGCTGATGCTTTGGATTGAGGTTTTGACTGACACTTTGGTGTTGGTGGTTTTAATTCAGATTTTGAAGCTCCCGCCGTCTTCTTGTCGTAAACATAACAAGATCGGTAACAGATATAAGAGATAACGGAAAGCATAGAAAACACAATGGATAGCACAATTGAGGTTGTTAGAATAAACTTCAACGAGTGATCGACAGCAACTCGATAATCTTTCAGAGGATTGTAGTAGCATTTTGATCCAGATGCAGTACGTACACACACTTCCTTTTGGTTTGGGCAATCTCTACAAGAAACAACGACAGAATAAACTTGGCGAGTATGAAAACATTACTTATTAATGCTGCATTTGTGGCCAGTTACGATTACCGACCTCGATGACGCCAATTGTTTTTCTCCGATGACCGTGAGATTGCCGGAAGCCGGATCGCAAAACATATAGTTAGAATAATAAGAGGCGCAGATGGATTACATTTCCGTGCAGTGATATATGGTTTCTCGCCCAACTTCGACGTTATATCATTACTCATCGACGGCGTGATAACCAACGGCGGACAACATCTGCCAGAAGAGCAAATTCCGGCCGGCTGTGCCTTGCAAATTCCCGAATTCGGATCATTCGCGACGACATTTTCACACCTCGGCTCATTGAATTTCGGAGTTTGCTGATCAGGGCAGTGCCACAGTAATTTATCGAATCTTCCTGAAAGTATTAATTGTTTATCAATTGCAATTAGACGACTCACCGTCGCAACAAACTCCACTTTTTTCGTCGCACCACGAAGTCTTTAGTCCATCAATTCCCTTATTACAATCATCAAAAGTTAAACATTTTCTGAATGGAATAGCAGCATTTCCATGTTCGCACATCCCAGTTGTATCTTCTTAAAAATGGAGAGATTTATTCAAGTTTTTGACTACAACTTCATACGGTAACAGCATAGTCGCACTTCCACATTTCCAAGAGTTTCATTCATTTTTGTGCATTTTCCACTGAATTTAATAGAGTTTTAGATTGTTCGAATAAAATTTCTAACACTTTGTTTAAACCATCGCGTCCTTGGTACTTTCCACCTTCTATACAGTCTACATCTCTGATGCAGAATTTTTTTGATGACGAGAGTTGTCCGACGGGATCGAATTTAGCAGTTATTCCTTGGTTCGATGAATCACCATCTAACGTATTTTGATCCGTGACTTTACACAAATCTGCTTTCTTGGCGCAAACACCAAGCCGCTGTAAAGATTTGCTTTCGACAATCCGTTGAAAACCATTCAAGAATGGTTTGTAGCAGAAATATTCAGGGTTTTTGCAATTCTCTGACTCCTTGCAAAATTTCAGACCGACATCATCGTCTAAGATCACTTGGACGTGAGAAAGTTCTTCAGGAACTGAAAACGTGAATATTGGAATAACTGAGTTTATACTCGACTTACTTTTATAGCAAAATCTTCTAGACTTATGATTATTGCTTCGGTCAACATTTTCAACCGAATACCGCATGGAATGATAGAAAGATGTGTTGACTGCGTCGTCACAGAAATCATTTTTATCGCAGTCCGAATTCTTATTACATGATTACGAACGGAACCACGGCTTGTTTTGAGCTTCACGACGCTAGTGGGAACCTTGCCTACACCGTTCAAGTGAGGGCGATCAGCATCGTATCCTACTGCAATCAGGAGACGGTGTTCTACAGCCGCGATTATACGCTCGCATCTGAATCGAGTCATCGCTGTGCCCACGCAGGGTCATGTTCCGCAAACAAGTGCCAGACGACCAAAGTTGATGACGATTTGCCGGAATTGAGCAACGAGGCGAAGGCGGCCCCCGGTTTCACACGATGTCAGGAGGCCTGTGGAAATCCTGCCTGTGGCTGTTTCTTCTGCTCTCCAGGATGCATTTTTCATCGAGTCTACGCACGACCGACATCGACTACAAGCTACGAGGTCTTTCGGTGCCCAACCTGGTCTACCGCTATCGACGCAGAAGTGCAAATTAATGAGGGAAAAACATGGCGGGTCGAACTTCGTGATGGACTCCCGCTGAAGATCCCGCAGACCAATCTTACCATAACGGGGACTGGCTTCTCGATACCACCAATCCCTCTCCACGGAGCAGCTTTCATTCGATCACATCCGGCTCATCACGACGAAACGCCAGCATTTGCCTTCACGCAGACAGCTCAAGATCAATGCCACTGCCGAAGCACAGGTACTCAAATGAGATGCACGTGTGGTTTCTTCTCGATGAAAGCAATAGTGAATAACCGCCAATTGCCAGTCAATACACACGGATTCCGATTCGAGACACAAGGAAACCGCGTACAATCAAGGATGACTAGTTCCAGTGTCGTAACGTTGCACCTCACCGCTGATCGTTTCCGAGCTGTACAAGACAATGCCATTTGCAAAGCTACCTTCCTCAATATAACCGGATGCCTCCCGGGAGCAAAGTTGGCAGTCCGTTGCACGGCATCCCGTACGGTCAATGCCGTTCTTCGATGTCCCAATGACTGGCTCGGTTATCTGCGATGCTCCGCAGAGGGCACCGTCAAGCAGCTCGAGTTTCACAGCGATTTTCCAAACGTCACACTGAACTGCTCTCTCCAATGTGGTTCCACCACAACGTTCATCGGTTCTGTTTTAGTGTGAATGCGTTGTTAATGGGTAGCTTATGCCTCTTAATAGGTAGCTTATGCCTTTTTTAGGGATTGTCTCGGTAAAAATCAAGTTTGTGTGTTAACGTTGGAAAATTCAGTATGTTATGAAAATCCACTAGCGAGACTAGAAAACGACTCAATAATGAAGGATTATTGGCCGACAATTCTCATTATTTCAATTGTCATGACCATATTATTTTCAATACTTGCCTTTCTGTGCTATTGGTTCCACAGATGCTATTTGGCGATCGTAGTGGCAGAGGATGAACTGGAATCAAAAGAAAATGACGCTGAATCGGAAATGGCGAAGGCAGCAACAACTAGTTGAAGTTTTGTGTAATTTCCAAAAATTTTTAAATAAATACACATTGTTTCAAAAGCAAACGATGTTTTTATTGATTTAAAAACATTGTATTCTATTTTTTTTGCAAAGCTTTGATTTTTCATTATTTGTATTGTCTGTTTGTTGCTGCTAAAATGGCAATTTCGATTTTTCAAAAAAAAAACCAGCGAGATTCCGACGAAATTGGAAGTTTTGAAAATTATGTTGAAACGGGGCTGAAAATTAAATGCGCGTACGCTAAAATGCAGAGTACGCAAACACGCACAACTCTGTTTGCCTCGAGACAAAATGAAGAAGAAGATCGAAAACTCAATTATTTATTTAATTGCACACAAAAAAAAACCAATTATCTTGAAGTAGAAAAGGTTGTTTAAAAATTGTTAGCGAAATCGCTGGACCACGAGAGAAAACGCCCGAAAAACTTCACTGGATGAAATATTTAAAAACAGGTTATTAAAAAACAAATACGTGAACTGCACGTGTGTGATTTTCGAAAAACCCAGAAAATATCAGGATCAGTTCTTTTTATACTTCGAAAAGAAGAAATCGCATTTTGTGGATTTGATAGCGGCCGACTGGCAAACCGAAAATGGTCGTTTCAATTACAACGACCGTGATATTCATCGCGTTTCTTGTTGGATCAGCAACAGCCGAAAACGGTAAACGAATTGGTTTTGTCATAGCTATAGATATCCTTGCAGTATGTGCTAACAAACAGCCGAATCTCAAAGAATGTCGAATTGAGGAATGTCCCGATGGCGAAATTTGTTATCGTGGGGCGAAGGGGGAAGGTACTGCTGCGGTAAGAGCAATAAAACAGCTTGATTCACTTCAATTTCAATTCATTTTATTCTGTGAATTCAGGCAACTTAGAGACATACTGTAGCACCAAAATGTGGACGTTTCATTCACTTAGTGGTTTCAGTACCCCTTTTGATGGCAGTTATCTTTATGGAAAAATTGATGGAAAATGTCCAGATGGTTATACCCCCGAAAATGATATTTGCTGTCGTATGTTTTGCATTCGTCGTTTTCAAATCAAACTCCGTTTTTAAGCAATTCCCTATTCATTTCAATTTTTCAAATCGATGAAAGTTCTACCTTCCGGTAATTATTTTCAGTGGGAACAATTTCAGTGTGTTTTAAGGCACTCCAAAATCATGTAATAAGAATTCGGACTGCGATACAAATGATTTCTGCGACGACGCAGTCAACCCATCTTTCCACGATTCCATGCCGTATTCGGTTAAAAATGTTGACCGAAGCAATAACCATAAGTCTAGAAGATTCTGCTATAAAAGTAAGTCGAGTATATATATATTATTCCAATATTCACGTTTTCAGTTCCTGAAGAATTTTCTCACGTCCAAGTGATCTTAGACGATGATGTCGGTCTGAAATTGTGCACGAAGTCAAAGAATTGCAACAACCCCGAATATTTCTGCTACAGACCATTCTTGAAAGATTTTCAACGGATTGTCGAAAGCAAATCTATAGATCAGCCTGGTTTTTGCGCCAAGAAAGCAGATTTGTGTAAAGTCACGGAGCAAAATACGTTAGATGGTGATTCATCGAACCAAGGAATAACTGCTAAATTCGATCCCGTCGGACAACTCTCGGCATTAAAAAAATTCTGCAATGAAGATCATGACTGTATAGAAGGTGGAAAGTACCAAGGACGCGATGGTTTAAACAAAGTGTTAGAAATTATATTCGAACAATCTAAAACTCTATTAAATTCAGTGGAAAATGCACAAAAATGAATGAAGCTCTTGGAGATGAGGAAGTGCGACTATGTTGTTACCGTATGAAGTTATTGTCAAAAACTTGAATAAATCTCTTCATTTTTAAGAAGATACAACTGGGATGTGCGAACATGGATATGCTGCTGTTCCATTCAGAAAATGTTCGTAATACTTCGTGGTGCGACGATAAAAGTGGAGTTTGTTGCAACGGTGAGTCGTCTAATTGCAATTGATAAACAATTAATACTTTCAGGAAGATCCGATAGATCACTGTGGCACTGCCCTGATCAGCAAACTCCGAAATTCAATGAGCCGAGGTGTGAAAATGTCGTCGCGAATGATCCGAATTCGGGAATTTGCAAGACACAGCCGGCCGGAATTTGCTCTTCTGGCAGATGTTGTCCGCCGTTGGTTATCACGCCGTCGATGAGTAATGATATAACGTCGAAATTGGGCGAGAAACCATATATCACTGCACGGAAATGTGATCCAGCTGCGCCTCTACTGGGTTATTTTAAATTTATGTTTTGCGATCCGGCCTCCGGCAATCTCATGGTCATCGGAGAAAAACAATTGGCGTCATCGAGGTCGGTAATCGTAACTGGCCACAAATGCAGCATTAATAAGTAATGTTTTCATACTCGCCAGGTTTATTCTGTCGTCGTTTCTTTTAGAGATTGCCCAAACCAAAAGGAAGTGTGTGTACGTACTACATCTGAATCAAAATGCTACTACAATCCTCTGATCGATTCTCGAGTTGCTGTCAACCTCACCTGGAAGACTATTCTAATAACCTCAATTGTGCTAGCCATTGTGTTTTCCATTCTCTCTGCTGTCTCTTATATGTTTTATCGATCTCGTAATGTTTGCGACAAGATGACGGCGGGAACTTCAAAATCTGAACTAGTTTCGTCAGCTCCAAATTCAAAATAGATGCTGGAATAAATAAAGTGTTTATAATAAGAATAACATTGTTTTTTCATGGCGTTACATATGCGTTCCTCTTTTCTTATTTCTCATGATTCTTCAATTGTTTCGCGATTTTTCCGTTTAATTCTGCGTAAAACGACAATGAAAACAATGATTATGGTGATGAAAATAAGAGTGGCAATGAGAAGAGGAATGGGAATTCCTTCGAACGGCCCATTGCCATCAACCCCCAATTTTCAACCCCTACCCCTGATTTTCCAACCCCAAAATTTAACCCCCATTTTTATTTTTTTATTACCGGTCAATGTTAATTGGCTCAAATTTTTGACTTGAATTGTCAGTGTTATATGGGGGAGGGGGTCTTAAGGCATCCGAATTCCAAAGTTTTTAAAATTCCAGAAAATGATGCTAAAACGTAAATCATTTTTTACCAAATTTTCTGTTCTGCTCAAAGGGCAAAATTTACAGTTTCTAACAGTAATTTTTACCTTTATTTTTTCAATACTTGCAATAATTCATGTTATAAAGAGGAGATTCGTAGAATTGTTGTCTAACTTTGATTTTTCTGAAACTATGTAGACTATCCTTATGAAAGAAAATTTTAACAAGTAATGAACTATTCACGGAAGAGCAGGTTCAGATAGACTTCAGGTTCAGATTCGGGGTTCAGATAGACTTCGTAAGCGTGAATCTATTCCCACAATTTCCAATATTTCAGTTTGGGAAAAATTTGCCAAACATTACAAAAAAAACCAGCGAATCGAAGAAAGGATATCGATGGCCCGGGATTAGCGTCAGATGAAGCCTGAAAGACACATAAATCATGGAGTGTATCATGGAGTGGAATATACAGTACCGCAGAAAAAGATACGAAATAATTAATTTTCTTCATAACTTTTGAACGAGTTGTCCGATCGGGGTGAAATTTTTACTGAAAGTAAAAAACACTATTTTAAAACAAATTGTAAAGTTAATTACAATAGTTCGCAAAAATACGTGCTAGCGGACATTTTTTTTAATCTGCAAAAAGTGGAAAAATCGAAAATTTTAGTTTTCATCCGGTGTAAAAATCCAATAATCCCGGCCAAATTAAGAAGGCACGATTGCGATGGGTAAAGGATCATCTCAGCTGGACAATTAAACAGTGGTCCAACATCCTATGAAGTGACGAATCAAAGTATATGATGGTTGGAAATGGTGGTAAAACCCATGTACAACATCGATCAGGAAAAATCTTTCATCCCGAGTACCATGTTCCACCTGTTAAGCATTGGGGTGGAACTGTACTGGTATGGGGATGTTTTTCTTCTATCAGCGTTGGTCCTCTGCGCTGAATAGAGGTATTATGAACAAGAATTCGTACAAATACATCAGAGATGACCATATGCTACCGTTTGGACGTTCGAAACTTGGGCCTGGTTGGATTTTTCAACAGGACAACGATCCGAAACGTTTATCACACTTGGTCAGGAATTGCTTCTATGACCTGGCCGAGCCAATCTCCCGACCCAAATCATATCGAACACCGTTGAGAAGGATTCGAATGTTGTTTAAATGGAAAAACTGTTCAAAATTGTAGTGAAAAATTCTCACAATTAGAGCAAGTTTGACATGCCCTGCCGGCTGCGACCCTAAACTACTTAGTACCTTTCATGCCTGAAAGATGTTATGCTTCTATTGAAGCAAATGGTATGGCGACTAAGTATTAGGCCTAATAATCCTTGAAAAAAAAGTTATTTGGTGTTTGACTATCTAATTTTGTTTGTACTGCCATTTGAAATTATTCACCGATTTTCATGATTTTTTGAAAATTCGATTTTTTGCGATTTATACTTGAAAAATATTAATTTCCACAATATGAACGTGCTTTTAAACATTTAAATGTAAGAAAAATAAGTGCTAAAAATTTCACCCCAATTGGACCACTCGTTCAAAAGTTATGAAGAAAATTAAGTCTTAAGTCCAGTCTGATTCGCAGTCCGTATTCTTGTAGGCGCTGGAATACGGTGTCCACTCGTCGATTGTGCTCTTCGAGGGTTGATCCTGTGATGATGATGTCGTCCAGATAGGCGGCGACTCCTGGGATTCCTGCGATCAGCGAGTCCATGAGTTGTTGGAAGATGGCAGGTGCTGTCTTGACTCCGAAAGGTAGGCGGTTGTAGGTGTACAATCCAAGGTGTGTGTTGATGGCGAGGAGTTGGCGAGAATCCTCGGCGACTTCCAATTGAAGGTAAGCTTCACTAAGATCCATTTGACTGAAAATCTTAGCTCCGTTCATGGCTGCGAAGATGTCGTCCGCAGTTGGCAGTGGGTGCTGGTGTTGTTCGAGGGCATCGTTGAGTCCTGTTGAGTAGTCGGCGCACATTCGAATAGACCCGTTCTTCTTCTTGACGACAACGATTGGAGCGGCCCAGTCCGAATGGTCGATCTTCGCGAGCACTCCTTGAGCAATGAGGCGTTCTAATTCTTCAGTGACGCGTGGGAGAGCAGCATACGGGGCGGGTCTTGACTTCCGGAAAATTGGCGTGGCATCCGGCTTCAACTTCAGGCTGGCAGTCGTTTTGGTGCATCTTCCTAATCCTGGGTTGCATACGTCCGCGTATTTCTTCATTATCTCCTCACAAAGCTTTCGTCGGCCATCCTTGAGGTCGTGCGAAGTGATCTCGATCCGCTTGGTGTACGCGTCAGCGGCGGCATCATCCGTGAGCAAGAGAGAGCGGGGAATGTTCTGGATCCAATCCAGTCCGAGGAGTGTGGCGGTATCGGCTACATGACAATATCCGGATCCGTGTTGTCCATTGATGATGAACTTGTAGTTGAACCGTCCTTTGAGGCGAATCCCGTTGTTGTTGGCGGCTTTCAGATTGACATTGGCAGGCTCGAGCGATGGTTTCGAAATCGAATCCAATCCTTTGTTGATACTAGCGAGATATCGGCGCCAGTGTCCAATTGCATCTTGACGTCGGTTCCATTGATGTTCACGTTCTTGAAGATCCGGTTGCTCTTGTTGATCCATGCGTAATTGACTGAGATGAGTCCCAGATGTCCTCCTTGACGTCCTCTGCGGGATCCTTGGCGTTTCCGGCGGGATTTTGGGTTTCGTCTGCTGTCCGTTCGGTTGCGGTTGCAGTCAGCATTCCAGTGAGGTCCTCCACAATGTCTGCATGGTGATGGCGGCTTCTGCTGCGTTGTTGGCTGTTCTGGTCGTGGTTCGGGTGTCCTCGCCTTCGGGGTCGAGGTTCTTCGTGACGTCGTTGATCGTTGTTGGTGGTGGGGGAATACAGACTTCGAGTGTCCAAAGAGAGTCTTGAGCCGGGTGATGGTCTCTTCGAGCATCAGATCCGATGGTTTCCTTGGCAGGATGTTGTCGGCGTACTTGGCAAAAGCGGGGGCATCGAGCTTTGATAGGATGATCCTGGTTTGGGTGCCGTCGTCCAATGTTGATCCATCCAGCCGCAGAATGTCCTCGTACCGTGAATACCAGATTTCGAATGTGGTTCCTTCATCCGGGTCGAAAGAGAATGTCGGTAGTCGAGTCGTCAGCGAGTCGATAAGCCCTGTTTGGATGTTTGGTTGTGCGGGAGCGGTTGGTGAAGTGCCTGGTCGTCCCTCCATCAGCAGTTTGATGATTTCTCGAACGAAGTCTTGGTGCTGCTTCGCTTGCTCTGCCAAGAGCAGTTTGACTGTGTTGACGTCCATGGTGCGTAGATCCTGATCGCCAGTTGTTGTGTTCCTGATCGCCAGTTGTTGTGTCCTTGTGAACGAGCCAACGTAGAGAATATTATTTATTAGACACAATATGAATAACTGATTATTGAGCGTAAAAAGGGGTTTTTATGTAGGCATCCACTACAATCAGGTAGTACGATCCATCTACGGGTCCAGCGAATCACAGCGAGTCCAGCGAAACTCAAGAAGGAATCCCAAAGAAGTATCATATTGGTCGTTCACGCGTGACAGATCATGCGACTGATAGAAGCATTGTACGAGCCTCCAAATTCAACCCGCGAATGACGGCACCGGCGATCCAGCGCGAAGTTTTTTCCAATTCTCCATTTCCCGTTTCGGTATCAACAATCAAACGCCGTTTATAAGTGGCAGGATTGCTCGGAAGATAACCAGGATTGCTTGGAAGATAAGAAACCGTTCATTTCGGAGAAGAATAGACGACACCAGGTCGAATGGGCTAAGCAACATCTGAATTGGACGCGATTTGACTGGAATGGTGTTCTTTGGTCGGATGAATGCTCGTTGGAAGTGACGGAATTCAATGGGTCCGCCGTCCTGTAGGTTCTCGATACAATCCCAAGTATCAAACTCCTACCGAAAAGCATGGGGGAGGCAATTGCATGATTGAAGGTGCTTTTTCCGGAAAAGGCAGTGACCCCCTTCAGGATTGGTTTGCAAGTCAGCACATCAAGGTTATGGACTGGTCAAGTCAATGCCCGGACTTGAATCCCATCGAGCACTTGTGGGAAGAGTTAGAGAGAAGAATGGCAATCAGAACCGCCACAAATTCGAACGAAATGTTCCGACAATCGGAAGAAGAATGGAAAAAGCTTCCACTCTCGGTTCTCGACAACTTGATCGACTCTATGCCTCGCAGGTATCAGGCGGTCATTGACTCCCGAGTGTTTACAATCAAGTATTAACCTTATAATTTTAGTTTCCAATAATTTTGTGTTAATAAACTATCTTTCCGGTTAAAAAAACCGATTTAAATTGAATATCCAAAAAAATGTGTTTTTACGGATTTCTGAAAAAATGGCCTAAAATCCTTATTTGGTAAGCACGAATCATGTCTAATAGCTCATTATATCGGCAATTGCGTAAGAAACAATCGAAAAAAAGTTCATGGAAAAAAGATTGGTTTCAAAAAAGTTATGCCCAAAAAACCGAAAGTTTCCAACCTTTTGAGCGGTACTGTAAATCTTTTTCATCAAATTTTCTGTTCTGTTCGAAGGTCAAAATTTACCGTTTCTAACAGTAATTGTCTAACTTTGATTTTTCTGAAACTATGTAGACTATCCTTATGAAAGAAAATTTTAACAAGTAATGAACTATTCACGGAAGAGCAGGTTCAGATAGACTTCAGGTTCAGATTCGGGGTTCAGATAGACTTCGTAAGCAATTTAACACTGGAAATTAATAAATGACTAATATTTTCCCAATTTTTAGGATTGTTTTATTTTTCGTACAGTACCGCAGAAAAAGATACGAAATAATTAATTTTCTTCATAACTTTTGAACGAGTGGTCCAATTGGGGTGAAATTTTTAGCACTTATTTTTCTTACAGAAATGCGAAACTCATCAAGAAAAATGAAGCAGTTGAAAACAACAAAACAAGCATTCACGCGTGGCGAGACCTTTTCAAGGCGCATGCGAGTAAATCTACCCGCGTACAGCAGTCACCGGACGCCGACTTCTTCGCTCTTCAATCCGTTACCCTTTTCTTCTTCAAAGTTTTTGAAAAATACGGAAAAATAGCACACATAATAAAAAAATTACAGTACCGATTTCACTTCGTGACCCGCGCAACTTTTCGTGTGCGCCTTTGAAAGTAAGTAACGGAGAATTATGATATTACGCGTCAATTTTTGTTGTAATCTTCGATGTGTGCGTGCATAAGGAATTCAAATGGAAAAAAATTGATTTTTTTTTAATTTTCATTTCACGAAAAACTCAATTTTTGCTTCACTTATTGCTTTATCTGATGGGCAAAACGCGTTTTGGGGTTAGCTAACAAACAAATGAATAATATCCAATAAATCATAGGCTCCTCCGGAACCTTCACAACCGAACATATTAGTAAAACAAAACAAAACAACTGGTGGTGGGGTATTTCAAACGTCGAACTGACGGGTTGCTACAATTGTGCCAAAGGAGCAACAATTTCCTTAAAATGCCATTCACGAAAGGAACAATTGACTGGAGATGTGGAGTGTGGAAATCACAGGACCGCAGTGAAATGCTCGCCGGCAGGCGAAGGAAATACGGCGAACATGTTTTTTGACAAAGCAAGGATTACAGAAAAATGCACGATCGACTGTGGCGGAAAGACGATAAATCAATTCAACTTGGAAGGAATCCTACGTTTTGAGGCCGACGTTTGGAGTTCAATGAGCCGCATACTGAACGGAGAAACAAAAATCTATGATGAATGGAAATTACCAGATTTTTGGTTCCTTTTGGAAACATACTTCCAATACATGGAATACGTTTTCATCGCAATAGCTACGGTTATAGTCATTATACCCTGCAGCTACTTGTTTTTGTGCAACTTGTTCAAATCTTGGAAACATATCAGCCTTCCTTTCAAAATTTGTCGCAAATGCAAGCCCACACAGCGCAAAGACCACACTGCGTAAGTTTTTTTTTAACTTTCTTGAGTGAATTGATGTGTATGCTTAACAATAATAATGCTTTTGTGTAAAAAAATCTATCTTTTACTAATTTTAACTTAAACATCGTGAATAGTGGCGCAAATTTTGATGAAGTTTTTATTTCTGAAGCCGGGAGGCCATTACGAAATTGGTTCTTACATATACAATGTTTGATTTTAATTTTGAACTTTGCCAATTCTGTTATCTTCTTGTTTCTAAATTTTAATTGTGTTTTGCAACTCAAGTGTATTAGTCACTCAAGCGTAGGCCCGGGGAGTGTGCTCGTTAGCACTGTTCAGACACGCCCATTGATGCAATATTTGTGATTGTTACAACGATGATCAATCATTATTAACATTGTGGCTCGCTATGAACTATTGCTTTTTCTATTTGTATTTTTTTTTGATTTTATAACCTACTTATATTTTATTCTTGCCTCGTTTATTAAATAAAAAGTTCTATGCGTTTTCTGATACACACCAGAAGGTAGTGTCTTTTTGATAATCAACGGCGAGCAACTATCCGATCGCATGGAGTATCCTGTAAGATCAATACGGCGGTCAGACAAGACTACAGCAAACCCTTTTCAAGCGGATCCGCGAGCTACCAGTGCTTGGGAACAACTACCAGCCCAAGGATTTGCACAACTTCTACATCCGAACGGTGAGCACGATTCGACACCTGGTCTCATTTGGATGCAATATGAACAATATGACAACGGCATCTCTTATTGAGGCAAAGCTCCCCAAGAGAATCATTCAAAAGTTGTACGCAAACCCGCGTAGTCAACCACCGGATGCGGAACGGCTTTTGGAGATGATTCGCGACATCTCGCATACGGAGAACTTGGTGTCGGCTATTGTGAACGATCGAGCGGAAGATCGAGTGACCACCATGGCAACGCAACATCAAGGTTCGGGACAGCATCATCGCAGTCACTATCGAGGAGTCGGAGAGCAGCAGCGACGACATGGTCAAGGACCGAGAGCAACTGGCAGAGAACCGCAGCCATGCCCATTCTGCGTCAGGACCAACATGATGCATGCACCGGAATCGTGTAGGACGTATCCCGACAACGTCAGCAGACGGGATCGATGCAGGGAGTTGAATTTGTGCTATCAGTGTCTGAGCGGAGGCCATCGAGCAGCGGCTTGTCCTGATCGATGCAAGTCTTGTCGGGAAAGACACCATCAGTCAATGTGCCATCGTCGACATGAGGAAGGAGCCGGCGGAACGAACGGCGGGACAGGTATTCGGATAACCCAAATCTGATTCCGTTACCGACACACGTGATCCCACCATGGCGTCGTGGAGGGCAACAGCAGAACAATGGGTTTCGTCCCCCGCAAGCACAAGATCGACAGGGCCACAACTCGGGACAACGGTCATACCATACAAATATGATTGGAGCAGAAGATATCCATGCGTTGGAAGAGGAACAAGACTACACCACCTATGTGGCCGAAGCAGCAGCGGGCGCGGCCGACGTTCAATCAACGGTGAGTCATACCCCAGGACGACCACCAGAGGACGAGCAGTTTGTGACTCCGACCGTCGAGTCAGATTCCGAGGAAGAAAAGGATGATCGGAAGGAGACGAAGGTTGGAAACAGAAAATGCTTGATGCTGACGGCGCAATTACCAGTCATCGACGACGGCGGTGCAAAGCACAAGGCCACCATCTTCTTCGATTCGGGAAGCAATTTGAGTTATGTCACTACCGAATTCGTGAGGAAACTCAAGATTGCGCTTACTGAGCAGACAAGCTTGACGGTGTCGACGTTTGCAAGCAAGGAGAACAAACACCTCACATCGAATGTCTACACCATCACGTGTCAGCTGCCAGAGAAAGAAGTTGCGCTCCGACTGTGTGAAATCGAGTTCATTTCATCGAACATCACCACGTCTGAAATCTCACGAGATCAGTGGCATCAGCTACAGCTTCATTGCACCACGGATTGGAGTTAAAGTGGATATCTTGATTGGAATGGATTGGATGCACAAGCTGTAGGGAAATGTCTCCACCACAAGACTACCGAATGAATTGCAACTTCATCAAACGGAATGTGGACCGCTTCTATCGGGCAACGAGCACCATTTCACAACGCTGTTGGGACTGAACGAAACACCGGCTGAAACGGAAAGCAACGACGCGATCACACGTACGCTTCAAAAATTCTGGGGAAAAAATCGTTATGATGTCATGGGAGAACAGAAAAAAATCGTTATTATGTCTAGGAAAACAAAAACGGTATGATGTCATTTATCATCGTTCGCGACGTCGCCATTCGCGGCGCTATGTGTGTCGCCACTCCATGCTTACAGCGAGACCTTTGTTTAGCGTAAAAAGAATTTCGAGTTGCATCATTTTGAGTTAATTGTTCTTGGAACAAAAATTGGTCAGAAGACAAAAAACAAAATTGATTGAACCAGCTTTCACTGTTTTTGTTTCATTTTTAATGAAACAAAAACAGTTCTTTTAATAACCTTTTCTTCTTCGGGCACGTCGCAGGCATTGACAATCCGGCCGACCTTGCCTCTCGTGGGTTGGCATTCGAAGAACTGAAATCGTCGAAACTGTGGAACACAGGAGCGCCTTTTCTCAGCGAGCAAGGACCGTTACCAGACTCTCAGACGCTTCCCATTCACACCACGTGTGCGACAGCGAAGGAGGAATAAATCGACGTCACGCGATACGGATCGTTTCACCGATTGTTCCGTGTTCTGATGACGATATTTTATTTCCTCGGAAGGCGACAACATTCAGTGCAATCCTATGCCACGAAGAGTCGGAGGACCGCGTTCAAGCTGGCCCAACAAGAACATCCCCCTTCGGACGACATCATCCGCAACCTCCGATTGCAGAGACAAGATGACTTATGGATATTTCATGGACGAATCAATAAGACCCTTGATCTACCTTCCCCATGGTAGAATTGGCGAACTCTTCGTTCTCGATATCCACGAACGTCACGGCCACGCCAGTACATCATATACGCTAGCGGCAATTCGTGAAATTGTTTGGATAACTCAAGGGAGAAGCTACGTGATGAAGATTCTCACCCGTTGCCGACAAAGCAAAGAAAGCGTCTGCATTCGTCAGGATGACTGCACCATCAAGGATGTGGCCACCACGCACGTCCGACCGAACAGAACCACGGCTTGTTTTGAGCTTCACGACGCTAGTGGGAACCTTGCCTACACCGTTCAAGTGAGGGCGATCAGCATCGTATCCTACTGCAATCAGGAGACGGTGTTCTACAGCCGCGATTATACGCTCGCATCTGAATCGAGTCATCGCTGTGCCCACGAAGGGTCATGTTCCGCAAACAAGTGCCAGACGACCAAAGTTGCCCAACCTGGTCTACCGCTATCGACGCAGAAGTGCAAATTAATGAGGGAAAAACATGGTGGGTCGAACTACGTGATGGACTCCCGCTGAAGATCCCGCAGACCAATCTTACCATAACGGGGACTGGCTTCTCGATACCACCAATCCCTCTCCACGGAGCAGCTTTCATTCGATCACATCCGGCTCATCACGACGAAACGCCAGCATTTGCCTTCACGCAGTCAGCTCTGGGGTTGCCCGGAGTGCCAATGGCTGGAACCATTGGAACCTTCCAGTGCGCGTCCCTTGCAGATGCCCGAAATTTCAATTGTCGGTTCAACGAAGATCAATGCCACTGCCGAAGCACAGGTACTCAAATGAGATGCACGTGTGGCTTCTTCTCGATGAAAGCAATAGTGAATAACCGCCAATTGCCAGTCAATACACACGGATTCCGATTCGAGACACAAGGAAACCGCGTACGATCATTATTTTTTGTCATAACTTTTGAACAAGTAGTCCAATCAAAGTGAATTTTTTACTGGAGTGTTTAGTCGGTGTGCGGCGACTACTGTACGCGGGTAGATTTACGCTGATGCTCCTTTCTCTTGGTCTCGCAACGACTAATTGGGTATTTCACCTTTTATGGGTGGTCAAATCGAACGACGTTAGAAATTCCAAGAAATGCCGTTCGCGTGAAAACAGCAACGATGTGCGTTCACGCGTGGAGAGACCTTTTCAAGGCGCATGCGCGTAAATCTACAGCAGTCACCGGACGTCGACTATATGTATATACAGGGTGGCCCAAAATTATGAAAACACAAGTTTGAAGCCTTCTGGCAGATGCTGGCGCATTTTTCGCGCACCAATTTTATTATTTTATTTTTCAGCATGTTTTAGTTACCCTATTCCCAAATTTTCTAGTTCTTAGCGTCATTTTTACTGGAATGGTAGCCAATTCAATACACCGAGGTACCATTATCGAATGGCGACGTGAGGAAAGAGCGACAGTTGCATTGCAAAAGCTCTCGGAATCTCTCGATCAACAGTTTGTAAAACCGTAAAACGATACAAGGAGCTTAACACACTTGAAAACCGTCCGAGAAGCGGAAAACCTCGCAGTTCTATCACTCCGGAGAGGATCAAGGTCGCCAGAGAACGAATTCGCCGAAATCCGCACCGGAGCATGAAAAAGATGAGCTGGGACCTCAGTATGAGCAAATCTTCGATGGAGCGCATGGTGAAAAAGAAGCTTGGACTGACCCCGTATCGTGTTCGAATAGCGACCGTTTTATCTGAAAAGAACAAAGTAGCCCTAATGCAAAAGTGCGAATCTCGTCTTGCTGGCACGCGCCAAAATGAACATTCGAAGACGCTGTTTACGGACGAGAAGCTCTTCACCGTGGAGGCTGAATTCAACTCACAAAATTATCGGAGTCAAAATCAACAGGGAATACTACTTAGAAGAAATTCTAAGAAACACGTGCTTCTACGGACCCAAACACACTTTGGAAACCAGGTTTGGACATTCCCACAGGACTCTGTACCGGCTCACAAAGAAAAAGTCGTTCAATCCCAGTGTGCCGCAAATTTTGCTGTTTTATTTTTTGTTCAGAATGACCAGCGTCGTCGCCGGATTTGAGCTCACTCGACTATTATGTTTAAGGTGTACTTTAATCGAAGGTCCAACCACATCCCTATACCAATTTGGAGTCATTGAAGAAATGTTTGTGGGCCAAACTATCTCCAGAATACCTCCGTGCCACAGTCGAGGCATTCCCGATGAGACTCAAGGAAGTAATGAAGAACAAAGGAAATCGAATCGAGTAATGTTGATGTATTTTTGTTTATAATTGATTCAATAAACTATTTGTGAATTTTCAAGTTGATTCGATCATTTTTTTAAAAAGTTACATCACTTTGAATGTGTTTCCATAATTTTGGGCCACCCTGTAGAAGTTGAGGGTGTTAAAATTGGGAATTGATGTTATAATAATAGTAGAGGAGTTAATAGTGGGTGTGGTTTTTAATTGACATGAAAAGATTTTTTTGAATACTGATGAATGAGACTCACGACAACATCGATTCGTTTCAATTTCTTCATAAAAATCCTCGGAGCAATTTTGATTCTCCTTTTCAAACATTTGTGCGTCAATTTGTTTATAAGGCCAAATATAATAATCGCACATGCTGACACTTTTTCCTGAAATGAAATAATTTGCAGGTTTATTGGGAATCTCGAGTTGTGCCATATACGGCGGCCGCCAAACAACAAATATCAATTACCACAACAAAATAATTCGGTTGAGTTGGTGTCTCTGAAACAGGTATAACCCGGCGGGCAATTATTCTTATCGCCGCAGTTGCTCATGAGATTTGCACTTTTCAAGCATACTGCAAACCAATGAGCGACAATCTTGGAATTTCTAAAACCCCTTTTTACCCTCTTCAAACTCTGTCGATTCTAACACCATCATCAATATTACAGTTTTTCGATCGAGATCGAAATTTTCGATCAACAATTTCAATTCGTTTAGCGGATTAAAAATTTTGAATTTCTTTTTCTGAAATCGAAAATATGAAAATGTGAACTTTTGATAATGCTGCTGTCATTTCATTCGGAATTATTACGTGTATGAATTTTGTTCAAATTAATCAAAGTACATTCGCTACATTCGCAAAGAAGGTGAGCATCTTCGGCAATTGTGGTGATTTGTATTTTTCAGAGCAAAAAAGCGAGCACATTGCATAATTGTGGACCATCGCACTTTTTCGAGGCGGCAATTTAAATTCGAATTAAAACAGTGGGAATTCGGCTCACCGTAAATAGGCGGAGGAAGCTCGTTTTTAACTCACTGGCAATTGGACGCGGCCGATTCGGATACGTTTTAACGTTTTCATTTAGAATGTCAAAATTCTTTATCTTGGCTTTATTGGCGTTCTCCCAGTTCTCTCTTCTCCATTGTTTTTTTTATTTTCCTGAAAAAATACCGCATTGTTTTTAGGAATTCTTTTTTATTTTGAGTAGCTAATACGCATTTTCCGACACAAAATGTTTCCTGATGTTCTCGTGACTCGACTCGAAACACTCTATACGTCTTGAATTACAGCATCAAATAAATCCGATTTCCCCCAAACAATATTGGCGTTTTTTTAATCTCTTCCATTAAAAAAATTTTTTGATATTCAAATAAATGAAAATTTTTATGAAATTGCGGAGAAACGCAGTTCACCAACAAAATCGAAAATAAGCTGGGTCTTGAGGCGACTGATTCTGGTAGCCGTTGGGTTTCAGAAGAAGACTGTACCATCGTCAAAAAAAAAGAGCAATCTGAGTGTTTAAAGATTCTTGTATTTTCTGAAAAAACGGAATTGAAATGTTTTCAGCGATTTTTTTTATCGAAATTCGAAAAACTGGTTCCGTGCAAATTGTTGTTCGACTTTCGATTTTATTGATGATTGATAATTCGTGAAATCGATTGTGACTCATTTTAAGGTTCCGCCAGATTAGTGGATCTTGCGCAATTGTCGAAGAACTACCGGAACCAATGACGGCATCCGTCATGCAATATTTCACGCACAAATTCAATTTGGACACCGATATTTTTTGGTGAGACGGAAATATCATTGGCAATAGACGGATTGAAACGATGGTTTGCGACGAAATGACATGCCTGAAATTAAATTCGACGACGATAAATTGCCTATGCAAAGAGCTGTATAAAAGCGGACCAGGTTCGCGGCTGAGCATCTCGTCGGATAATCATGCTCCGCATCACCGTCCTTCTTATCGGTAAGCGTTCAGTTAGCCACACCCCACACATCCGTTCAGTTATCGCGCTCACCATGGGAACGACTGTAGCTCTTCGAGGGGCTCTCATGAGACATGGTCGCTCGCTTCCAATCAACAAGATTGGCTCGCCGGCGCAGGTACGAGATAACGATTCGCATTTCATCGTATACGATTTTTAGAGAAATATCAAAATCGTACACGATTTAAATAAAACATTTCAAAATCGTAGGATTTTGAAACGTCATTCTGCAATCGTATACGATTATTCAAAAACCCCCCCCCCAGAATACCTAACAGGTCTGATTACGCATTTGAGGTGAAAAATCAGAAATTGATGAATGTATGTGTTGCGGCTTGATTTACGCGTGCGTTTTTCGAAAAATTAACGAAATGACTTCTGAAAGTTAAAATGACAAGTTAGTCCGTGCGAGACCATAGTGAAAAAGAGTGCACGTAAATCTACCCGCGTACAGCAATCGCCGAACCCCGATTATATCTAGTTTTTAAAAATTTTTAAAGTTATCATCCCCTAGAAAAGTAATTAATAGAGGTTTCTTTTTTGTGTGTTGTCGGTTTCAAATGACTGAATGTAGGCTCATCTGTGGATTCAAACTTAGCATTGACTGAATATTAAATGAGCCTACGCTGTGGATTTTCGCTTCCCGGGTCTCGTCCCGGTCTTGTCCCGCAACTACCCGGGATCCCGTGGTACCGGAAATTTTAAATTCCTGAGAGAACAACGTCTGCAAACACTGCGCGCGCAAATGCACACTTTTCGAATATTGTGTATTCTCGTTTTTTTTTTCGAAAAAATGATGAATTTCTCTGCCATCGAGGTTGTTTTTTTTCAGAGATACGTCGCTTGAGGGGCATCTCACCGCGTCGCTCTTCTCAACAGTGCCATTGAAAAATAAAACGAAACAATTAACTAACTCATTTGAAACGTTTGATTTGAATATGTCCCGAATGGGAATGAAAAAGAAAATAAGAAAATTCATTAAAAATTTCGAAAAAAAACTAGAAGTCGCAAAATTCAAAGTGTGCACTTGCGCGCGCGGTGTTTACAGACAGCGAAATCAAAATCCCCGGTTCAGCGTAATCCCGAGAAGTTAAATTTCAAAGAGTCCTGATTCCGGGGGGTTATTTTTTCCCGGTAATCTGGTCTTTCCCAGAAACCTCGTCCCGTATTGATACACTGATCACAGGCGCATCGGAAACAACTACCTTCACTCCCCAAATATAAAGTCAAGGAATGAAAAAAAAAAACTAAGAAATGAGATTTAAAAATAATGATTGTCCGGTTTCATCAAACTTCGGAAAAATCCGTTGAAGTAGTTCAAAAGTCGGAGCTGATTCCGATGGGCCGATCAATCGATTTCAAAGATTTTTGAATCGAGACCATGAATTCAAATTGAGTTTTGAGAGCAAACTCAAAAGAAAAAGAAAAACTAATTTTTTTGCGCTATCTTCATAGCGTTTTTAGAGATTTTCATAGTTCCTTTTACCAGTTTTTTAAAGTTTCAATCTGCATATAATCATTTCTGTTTAATTTCATTGTTTCCTCTACTCCGTCGGCTTAGCCAATATTTTTTCAAATTTCGTTTAGTCATTTGACGACGAGAATATAACAAAGACTGCGGTTGCGATTGAATGCCTGTCGCGCACTCGACGCATCATTAATTTCGATTAGCACGTCCGTCAGCGGAAGTCCAAAAATGCGATCACTTGACGAAAAAAAAAAAAAAAAACAAAAAAATCTTCTTAAACATTAGAATGCAGCTTTTGACCCGACAATGATAAATCAGAATAGTCTATTCTAGTCGTCGCCGTCGTGTCGCGTCGTTCAACTAGCGGTGCCATGCATGTTCTCGCGCAACCGCGAGTGCTTCATCGACAAAATCTGTGCTCTTGACGAGACGACGGCAGCGTCGAACGCGATCGCGGTGAAATCGGCATTATTGGCGCATGGCGATTTGCGCTATCAGCCGCGCCGAAATGTGCGATTTTCGAGGCAACTTTCACGGAATTGAATCTAAACCAATTTCAAAACATTGCCATTCAAATTTCATCTCGAAAAGTGTACGGATTCTCGAAAAACTTCAACGAAATCGGAATGGCATTTCGGCACATCGAGTTTCGCGGGTTTTCTTCATCAGCAAGACTTGATATTATGGTTCTATGCAGATTTCGCAGAAAAAAATTTTGGAAACGAGGCAGATTGAAAATACTAGCAAGAAAAAAAAGTTATTAGTGTTTTCACCATTAGTATGATTTCAATTAGCTAATAAAACCTCATGCAAGCTTCAATTTATTTTTGAGTCGCCAGAGAATCTAAAAAAAACTGAAAGCCGAGAAACGAAAATCGCGAGTTTCCACACACAGTTTCCTTCAATTAACTATCGAGTTCGTCGAACGACAATACAAAAAAAATGGTGAACATTTCAGGATTTCCTTCGTTTCGGCCGCTCATCTGTAGCAAACATCGCTAGCGGTGAACCCGAAGACGTCGCTTATTATCGTCTCGTCAGAGTCGCCTACGATTCTTAATTCATTCTAATGTTCTCCGTCTGTCTCTCTCTCTCCCTCATTCGAATCACCGTTGTTCCTATCCAAACAGAAGGGAAAATAAATACTTTATTCAGCAAAATAACCAATAGGAAACAAAGAGGTGTAGAATTCGATAATGTTTCCTGCTAGGGGAGGTGGGGTAACCGTATGCGCGTAAATCGTGTGTGTGTTTCCTGTATGTACAACAAATACAGCGATATTTGTTTCTTATTTTAGTTGCCATGGGATGATGATGATGATTATTAGGCATTTTCGTTGAGATAATGTAATGACTAGAATACCGAACGGATCAACGCGACAACCTTCTTCTGGATGATGTCCGTTTTTGGCGAACTCCATCTCTCGATGGCGTCAAACTCGCGGCGGCGCTTCACAAGGCTCAAGAATGCGTCGAGAGACCCGTCGACTTTGGTGTAGTATGATGAGCACGAGAACAAGCTGAAACAATTTCTCATTATATCGCGAAGGGATTCGTCGCACAATTCGAGCTTCATCTTCCATCCACCGATAGTTCAGTTTGATAGGAAGTTTCGTTAGAATGAATTCAAATTCGAAAAAAAAAATCTAAGAGTACTATGCAGATTTTGTAGAAAATTGAAATTTAAAAAAACCCGAAAAAAGGGTGTTTCGAAGATTACATTACCACAATTTTATCATATGCGCCTTTAACCGTAACGATTTAATTTTTGTAAATCCGGATTCTTCTATTACGGTCCCTTTTTTCTATTATGGTTAAAAGCGCATATTCAATATTGTAATGTTTCTTACATCGTTTTAATTTAAAGAAAACTGAAGTACTGTAGGCTTCGAAACACGTGACCGCGGCCGAAGTTTTTAAAGCTTTTTTTCTCGGTCATAATGTTTTCGCAAAAAACTCCAAAAATCGCAATGCACATTGAGTGATTATAGGCGCATACACAAAATTTTGATGGTTCTTGCAGCGATATAATTAAAACTGTAGGCTTCGAAATACTTGAACGCGGTTTTTGGAGTTTTTCCTGCACTTTGCATATCTAATTTTTTTGGTTTTTTTTTTCAACTTTTGATGTCTTTTTTTTCAGCGAATTCAACTCCTGGTTGTCACTCATTTTGCCACTTACCAAATGCCGTCGAAGCTAAGAGCTTCGTCGATGATGTCGTGCAAGAGCTCGAACTCGGTCTCGCTTCGGTTGAGCAAGTCCGGAGCAAGAATGATGTCGAACTTCTTGCCGCCGAGGCACTTCTTCATCTCCTCCAAACTTCCAAATGAGAACTTCGTCTGGTTGTTCGGTATATTATTGCGCTTCAACGTCGGCTTACAGAAAACCTCCATTGCGGTTTTCGTCTGCAAAAATTTGAACGCATTTGCGAGTGTTGTCGCGAGGCTTACAAATGTGTGAAGAGCGACTTCGTTCGCACCGCTTTCGAACGCATAAACACTCGGAAGGCCGGTGGAGAAGCCGATTTCGAGGACCGATTTGCCATCGAAGAAGTCCGACTCCATTTCAATCTCGACAATTTGATCGATGGCCTGACACAACGAATTGACACCTTCCCAATCTTCGTACATTTCTGAAAATTGGACACAATTGAGTTATATAGAGGGGCTTCGTCACCTGTATGATGACTATTCTTGCGCATTATAGGCAATTCCTCGCCGACATGCGTTTTCGGGTTCGCATTTCTCGTAGCAACATATCTGAAATGTTTATTTGCGAGTTCTCACGACAGCGAGTCGCCGGCGGACTCACTTGATGTTTCTGCCGGACTCGAGTTGAAGCTCGCAATTGACCGGCGCAAGATCAGCAATCGTCGAAGCAATCACAACCATGTCGAAACTCACTGCAACAACACGGTATGCACTAAAAATAATGTGCGAGGCACGACGAAACGCGACAGAGGAAGGCGGAGCAAGATGGGTGGAGTCTAGGCGAAGGTGGGATGCAGACGACGATGGGCGGGCGAGCGGGGCCGACATGGCATGCATGCAAAGAGCGTTCAGCACACAAAAACAAAATGTCAACACTGTATTGGTATTGTTGGGATGGAAAGGAAAAGCGGCCGAAAACTCTCAATGAAGCGCGTTTCGCAACAGACGAATCGTCGACTTTTATTCGGCCCCCCCCCCTCCTCACTCATCTGTGTGGCCCCCGCCTCTTTCCGGCGGCCAAAAATGCGGCGACCTTTGAAAAACATGTTGATCATTGAAGAACGGAGGGGGAGAAACGCGCGCTTAAAAAAAAAGAAAATTCGGCGAGAGACGTCGAGAAAAATGTATTGAAACGCACGCGAACGTGATGGGCATTGGATGGGATGGAAGGCGGAGAATGCGAGGTGCGCAAACAATCGCAACGGGATCAAAACTTTCTTTCTTTTTTTTTAACCAACCAAACTGTTTATGATTGAGATGAGACAGTCGAAAAGTTCAATGGAAACTTGGGACACACGCAAAGAATTAGGGGAGGGGGGGGGATTGGAATGATGTGAGACGAGTACTCGCATTCGCTGACAATTTCAAAACTTCAAGAAAACGGTCAAGTTCTTCGTTATTAAAGTTTCGATGTCTTCAAGAAAATCGAGCGTCTGGCGACTACTGTACGCGGGTAGATTTACGCGGATGCTCCTTTCCCTTGGTCTCGTACGGACTAATTGGTTATTTCGCATTTTATGGGTGGATTCGATAATTTTTAAAACGAACGACGTTAGAAATTCCAAACTCATCAAGAAAAAACCATTGTTCACGTGAAAACAAAACGTGGCGAGACCTGTTCAAGGCGCATGCGCGTAAATCGACATCAGTCACCGGACGCCGACTATAATTTGAATTCCTCTCTCCGATTCTTTTGTCCGGAGTCAGACATCCGTTTTTTTCTTGGGTTGGATGTTTGCGCACGTATGCAGTGCGAGCAAAAAACGAATGGGTGCAATTGCACCATAACGCACACCACAATACTCGGCCGCTTATCATGTTTTCCATCATTCGCAACACAATTATCATTCTTATCGTCGTTCTCATTTTCTTGAACATTCTGCGACGCGGAGTGCGAGTGGTGCCGCGCGGAAACCAACCCCCCCCCACCCCACTACACCAAAGTCGCCTGTCGGGTCTTCTTTGTTCGCCAACAACCACTTCTGATTGTGATGAGTCACGTAGGCTTGCGAAACGCAAATATTATGCATACCATATTTGGTTGCTTCTCGATCTCCAACGCGCGCGCGCCTGCTACCTGAAGGCGTTGTGTGGTGGTTCACGTGAATCCCGCGGCATTTTCAGCGCGTCAGCTGATAACATTGAAACACAATAAGAGGTGGCAGAGTACACGTGTCAGAAAATGGGCGAGTAGTTCAAATTTTACGAATTCTCTTCTTTTTTTCATCTTATTGGGCGGCGAATGACTAATAACAAAGAGATCCGTTCAATGGCCACACAAACACACGATCAATGTGTGATCTGAAATGAGCAAAACTTAAATGACCGGCATCGCTGCCAGAAAATTGGTGGCGTATAGAATTGATTAGGTGCGTATTCACCCCTCAAATCACATTGTTTTGCGATGCCAAACTTCAAACATCATCATTTATAAACGATAAACAGTATGTATGTGCGTCTCACGATTGGCGCACTTTGAAAATATAGACCGGTGTTCGTCTTTTGTTTTTTTTTATGCTACACTTTGCAACTTGATAAATTGAAGGGGGGGGGAGGGAGGGGGACACCATTGCGAAAGCTGGCCGACTTATTGCGTTGTGAGCACAAAGACCACGGACCACCATCACCTCTCGTCTGTTTTGTGGTCATTTATGCGTCTTCGGCCCCTCTCAATAGTGAAATAATGTTGTTGCGGCGAATTGGCGATAAAAATTTTTTGGGCCGAACCGGGAGTCGAACCCGGGACCTCTCGCACCCGAAGCGAGAATCATACCCCTAGACCATCCGGCCACTGGCAATCGTCGTCACAGATTCCGAACATTCGTCGGCGTGCAAGAGTTTCGACAACCGTCTTATCAAACACACAGAGTCGCATGCAAAGAAGAAAATGTGGAAGCGCAAAGAAATAGACGGTGTTGTTTTTTTTATTGCAAAAACTATTTCCAAACACACACACACAAACCGAGAAGGCGGCTGTGTTGTTTACGCGGCCGAGGTGGCGACGACGGCGGCGGCGGCGGTCGGTCGCGACACAAATCGCCCGCGCTCGCGTCGTTTTTCGATCGCTTCGAGAAGATTCGACGACGCAGACAAAACGATGAGAGAGTGTGGCGCCGCGCGAGGCGCTGTGCGTTTGCGTCCGATTTTTAAAGAGCCGTCCGATGGACGAGAGGACGCAGACATTGACGAGTAAGTGTGTGTGTGTGTTTCTCTCTTCCTCTGACGCCCCGATTTTTTTTTCGAGAATGGTTGTGTATGTGTGCGTATGCGTGTGTTGCAGAGAAGAAAAAAATGGACGAGGGACTGGATACGGAATGATTGGTGAAGCGCAAAGAAAATTGAAGATGAAGAGGGGGAAGGGGAGGAGGGATTCGGAAAATTTGCAGCGAGCCAAATGGAAAATATTCTAGAATCGTCTGCTGCAAAAACATCGAGGCGACGACCGGGGGGGGGGAAGGAAGTTGGCTCTCATATTAGTTGCTAATTAATGAAATTGAGGAATATTTGAAACGACTATTTTCTTAAATTTCCTTTTTGGAAATCTTCTTTCAAATAGATGGAATTTCAGTACGTTTTAAAGAAACATTGAGTAAAAATTTCACATGAAATGCAGCTTGAAACACGTCACACCAATAGAGAAAGAAGCGTGATCACTGTTTGGCGAAGAACAGGGCAATCGGGTCACTGAAGGATGAATTTCAAGCAGATGAGATATCTCGAAACTCGCGTTTATACGAAATTGATCGAATCATTAATTCTAAAGAGCCAATGAATGTGTTCAATTGGAAATCCGCCAGATTCTCAGATATGCTGGTCGGCGGATAGCTCTAATTTCAGATACTTGTAGAAATCTATCGTTATTGTCCATCTTTAACAAAAAAAAACGCTTCAAAATTTAATATTATTTCCGGAATCTTCTTCGCAACACGATTTGCCCTCCAAAAATGCAATTGTCGAATTTCTTCCATTTTCCATTATTTTCCCATCATAAAAAATCGAATTTTCTCGACGATTTTATTGATGCAAACAAAATCGACGCGTCAATTTGCATATTTGATGTTTAAAAATGGCATAGTGTTTGCTCGAATTGAGCTATCAGCTGCCGAATAATTGATATGAGGCAACTGTTCGGCTCAGTGAACAAGGAAAAAACTAGCACAAATCAGCTGAGGGGGCAGGATGATGGAAAGAAAAAGAAAGAAGATTACACATGAAGGTTTCGATGGTCCCTGTAAATATAGAAAACAAGTTGTTGGCGAGGATGCCGACCAGACCGGAGGGGTCCGAATGATCATCGCTCAATTTTGTGTGCGAGTCTTCTCGCAATTTTCGGCCAGTTCAAATTTCGCAACTCAAAGAAGATCCTCTTTAACACGAAACTTGTGATACCGTATAAAGGACGAAATTGGTTCGGTCTCGCAGTGATTGATGACGTAACAGATCATTTTCTAGAGATCGACAGAAGAGCGACGATAATGCGGACCAGATTGGATAATTCTTGTGTGTGACAACTTGTCGGCCATCAAGACAAACTGTTTTGAGAAATACATAGTCGGCATGAGGCGACTACTGTACTCGGGTAGATTTACGAGGATGCTCCTTTCTCTTGGTCTCGCACGGACTAACTGGTTATTTTGCATTTTATGGATGGATTCGGTAATTTTTAAAACGAACGACGTTAGAAATTCCAAACTCATCAAGAAAAAATAATTCGTTCGCGTGAAAGCATCAAAATAAGTGCTCGCATGTGGCGAGACCTTTTCAAGGCGCATGCGTGTAAATCTACAACAGTCATTGTCAATCGAAAATAAGAAACAGCAACTGATGTGCCAAAATTAGCTAAATCGTACATTTACCATTAAAGGCCATTCCAGAAAAATTCGAAATGCAAATTTTACCACAAAAATTTCGCCGGCTTTTCAACAGTTATTTCTGACTTTAATCTGATATTCCAAAAATGGAATCCAAATTGAAAGAAAAAAAATAATTGAAAACGTGAAACTCCTTCGGTATTGATATATTTTATTCCTCGCAATGTTTTTATGTGTCTTAAAGAACGATCAAAAAACCTCTCTAATTTGATTTTATCTTTATTTGATGACCTCGTAATCTTCGCTGATTACGGTATCAGAAGTTTGTTTACATGTTTTCGAGGGTTTTCTGAAAAAAACACACACGCACACACAGTTTTTTCGTTCCGTTTTGTCGGCGTTTCGTTTTATTGGTTTTCATTAAAAATTGGGATGATCAAATAGGAGATTTGAAAATAATATATGATGCGATAAGGATGATGCGATATTGGAAAATTGGTGAGAAAATTAGCACTCTCGTCGACGACGATTCCAGATAATTATATGACGAAGGGAACGCGCAAAATGGGCGGGCCGTTGTACACCGATCTACAGTAATCAGGACTACGCGTAACGATCATCTATTCTCGTTTTCACTTTCACGTCAACAGTTGTTAATTGCACAAATTGACCAATTAATTTTAAAAAAAGATGCGGCAATTACTATTCCCGTCGCGTTTTTAAAGCCATTTCATTTAAAGTGTTAAATAATAAATTTACAAAAAAATGAGCTCTACGCGATGAGTTTGATTCGCAGGTTATACAGATTACGGTAGCCAAAAATTCTTACTATTTTTAAAAGATAAAGCATTCTGAAGGTAGTTTCTATGTATGATGATCCACAAACTGCCTTGCCATGGCATTGTAGGGGTCAAGTTTTGATGAAGGTCTTGTTCGTACGCACTTTTAACAGATTCTAACACATATGACCGTAAATCTACACTTTCAGCTTTGACTTTTAAATAATTAGTTTCAAAACGTCAAATAATATTGATGTCTAAAGTGTGCCTTTAAATATGAATTACACTCTCAAACATTTTTCACCAAAAGAATTTGGTTTTTAATCACCGCAGACGAAAAAACTCTTTTGTTTGCAACAAACTCAACCAACAAAATTAGAAATACTATAAATAGATCTCGAAAGAATCGATTTATTGAGTTTTTATTTTCTATAGTTGAATTGAAAACCGCCAGAAAAATCATGAGAATTCTCATGATTAAACCTAAAATCTAAATGTAAAAAGTTAACTTTCAAACAAAAAAAAATCTAGACGAAAAACGCAAAAAAATTAATAAAATTGCTAAAAAAATCTGAATCGATTAAAAAAAAATGAAAATTTAATGTCCGCGGACAAACTTGACGGACAAATCCCGAAAAGTTCGATTTTTGCAATATTTCTTAAAAGCTTGTGGCTTAAAAAAATATCAATGGTTCTTCGCGAATGAAGCTTATCAAAACAAAATTTTGTAAGAATAAAAATAACAGTTGAGTTGCGTAGAATTATTTTAGCTTCTTATCCAAACGCCCAACAAATGTGTCAAAGAACATCTTACTAATATAATTTGAATGATTTCTCAGGCCATAAGTGATACTTCTATTTTTAGGTGTGCGTAAAAAGAAATAATTAATCAAAAAAATATGTAGATGCGCCTTGAAAAGTTCTCGCCACATGCGAGCACTTATTTTGATGCTTTCACGTGAACGACTTATTTGTTCTTGATGAGTTTTGAATTTCTAACGTCGTTCGTTTTAAAAATTACCGAATCCATCCATAAAATGCAAAATAACCAGTTAGTCCGTGCGAGACCAAGAGAAAGGAGCATCCTCGTAAATCTACCCGAGTACAGTAGTCGCCTCATGCCGACTATATAACATTTAAAAGTAAAAATCGATAAATCAAAAAAATCTTCAAAAGAAAAATCCCAACATTTTTCGTTTGATTTCTTTTTTCTGGCAATCGTTTCACACATGTATTATTTTTTTTCCAGTGATAATATATTATTCATCTCATCGGCTTGATTTTTTTCGAAGCTTCTTGATCATTCTCAAATATCAATTGCGATAATCGAACACCAGCGCAAAGCTTGCAGGCTTTCAAATCGTATTGTGCCATTTTTTTTCCATTTTATTGATTTTTATGAAATTTGTATTTTCTCGAAAAAATATTTTCGTGCAGTATGCGATATCATTCAAAAGCATTTTTTTAAGCGTTTTAAAGATGTCGTAAAATTTTCAGCCGGCTGCGTTTGAGCCAAGTTATGCTCAAAAAACACTAGGCATAAATCATTATGGCCAGTACTGTATGTGTTGTTTTTTTTTTTTTTTTGAGATATGCGACAAAGTGTTTCAACTTCAACACTTTTCGACTAATTTGGCGCATTTTTGGGGGGTGTAAAAAACGAATAAAACCGGGCCGAAAGCCGTCGAGTAAATGTTTCAGACTTTTTTTCCTCCTTTTTTTTCTACCCCCTTTCGTAAATGTGCATTTCGCTGGAGTGTTCTCGATGTTTTTTTATTTCCACTCGCCCAAATCGGCAACGTGATTAATTGGCAAATCCAAAAAATTAGGGTCGGGTTTCGTGAATTAATTTGATCAATTTGCACCCATCCAATGCTCAAACATCATTTATTCAAAACCAAATATGCTAATTTCGATGTATGGATCTTCACCTCATTTATTTCGATTTCTTTTTAGGTCGTGAAGCGATTTCGAGAAATGCATCGTCATGTGACCAACTTCCAGCGCAACCATGGTATAAAATCATCAAGCTTGTCGTTTCGGCCGGTCGCGGCCAAGGCATTGTTCTCAGATTCAATGAAATAAGACGAAATTTTAAAGTTTAACTCAAGAAAATGTTTTATTAACAAAATCTTTTTTCGAGCTTCACCTTCGACTTCAAAACAACAAGCCTGATATATGTTAATATTAAATGCTCATTAATTAAATAGATGGATTGTCGACGTCGAAGGAGACTCAGAATGTCTTACCCAATGAGAAGCGGCCACCGTAATTTTTCAATATCGTCAAACGCGTTGCGGTTCGCGTGCGCTTCTGCTTTTGTTTTTAAATAATTCTTTATGCAAACGCGAACCGCAACGCGTCTGAACCTCGCAATTTTGGCGACAATATTGTTGGATGACGCCTAAACCAACAAATTTTTTGTTGTAAAGAGTCTGTTCAAAAATTGTGAAAATCCTGTTCAATAGTTTAATAAAAAATAGCAACCAAATTTTGAGAAAAAAGGAAGGTCTTACAGCGAAAAATTCTGGTAGCCGCTTTTTTTTTTGGGAAACTGACATCACGCTGATTAAGCAAAATTGAAGGGCGTTTGACGTTGACAATAGGGCTATCATTCTGAAGGCAAAAATTCCCGAAAATTTTTGAATTGCCGCTTTGAGTCTCGTATGGAAAACACTCTTTTTTTTTGCGATTTCTTGAGGCCATAATATAAGAGAATACCCTTTATAATCAATTTTAAATATCCGCAAAAATATTCATTGCAATTTTTTTAATTAAAAAAATCTAATTAATTTAAATTGTTTTTTTCAAATATTTAATGTGTTTTTAAAATAAATCTGCAAATTTATCTGAATAAAAATTCAGATTTAAATCGAAAGGTGAAAAAAGCGCCTTGCATTAATGTGGACAATCGCACTTTTTCGAGGCGGTAATACAAATTCTTTTTTTTTTCAAACAGTGGGAATTTCGCGAATGCAATAAAACATTTCGAAATAATTATGGTGGACGTGAAATGTGCCATGGCCGAATTTTTCGCGACCGCGGGGGCGGACGGCTTCGCCTGAATAGCAGATTTAGTTGACAATTTATTAATTTTAAAGAAGCGCACGATGAATTATAACCCATTACTAAATCACAAAACTTAAAATGTATTCACAATTAATTAATTGTGTTTTTTAACAGCTACTAATCAAAGAATTCGACATGATCGTATTGTCGACGTCGCTGCGGAAAATTGGCTAAATGCCAAACAGATTTAAAAAGAGAATCTCGATGCGCGGTGTGCGCCTTTAACGTATCCTTATACATTCTTTGGCCCGTAAATCTACACTTTTAGTTTTGCACCAAAACCACTGCCATCGTGTGTTTGGCCAATTTTCCGCTGGAGCGCGACGTCGACAATGCTCTCCCAAAAAAAAGAACAAACGATGTATAGTCGGCGTCCGGCGATTGCTGTACACTCAGGTAAATCGAATAAAATATTTTGAGATTCATTGAGAAACTAACGTCTCTCTATAATATTTTAGAATTTTCTCAATCAACTTTAGAAATTATTATAAGATTTTAGAATTTATTGAGATAATTTAGAATTTGCTCAACAAATTTTAGAAAATCTTATAAGATTTAAAAAATTATTTTTAAACTTATCTATTCTCAATAAGTTTTAGAACGTATCAATAAACTTTAGAATTTCTCAAAATATTTTAGAATTTATTATTGAATATTTGATTCTCAAAATGTTTTATTTGATTTGCCTGAGCACGGGCCCGTGAGGTGGAAAATATCCATGGCCGTGATCCACATGGGCACCTGCTCATTGAATTTGCCGTATTTACCTCGTTCCTTAAATCTATCGGCCAATGTTTCTGGAATGTTTGTTCCACACTTTTCCCGATCTTCTAAAATATCGAAATCATTAGAAACTGAAGTATAATTGTAATTAATTGTAATAATTGTGCGTATTTTTAAAATTCATGAACCTGTTCATGCAATGACATGTTTAGACACAACTGTTTCAAATTCAGCATGTAAAACAATGCAGATTTAAGGTAGTGTTAAACATTTATTATAAAAACTTGCATTTCATGATTACGTCCATCACTGAAGTGAAGAAACTATTACAAAAAGCTAAAAAAACGGAAGGAACATCAAAAACATAAATTATTTATTGGAATTTAGGAGATCTTAAAAAGAGACGCCGCAAATTGCGTCAGTGGAAGTCATAAGGGCCCTATTCAAATTTTAAAGTCTCACAATATATTGAGATACTTTACACTTTCTCAAAAGATTTAACTTTCTCAAAAGATTTAATTTACAAATTCCAAATTTTTAAAATTTATTGATTCTCAATAAGTTTTAGAAAGTATCAATAGACTTTAGAATTTCTCAAAATATTTTAGAGTTTATCACTGAATATTTGATTCTCAAAATATTTTATTTGATTTGCCTGAGGGTAGGTTTACGCGGATGCTCCTTGAAAAGGTCTCGCCACGCGTGAATGCTTGTTTTGTTGTTTTCACGTGAACTGCTTCATTTTTCTTGATGAGTTTGGAATTTCTAACGTCGTTCGTTTTAAAAATTATCGAATCGATCCATAAAATTCGAAATAACCTGTTAGTCCTTGCGAGACCAAGAGAAAGACGCATTCCCGTTAATCTACCCGCGTACAGCAGTCGCCGGACGCCGACTATATAACAATTAAATGTAAAAATCGATAAATCAAAAAAAAAATCGTCAGAAGAAAATTCCAAAAAAATTTTGAAATCGTCAAAAAAAATTCCCAACATTTTTCGTTTGATTTCATTTTTCTGGCATTCGTTTCACACATGCATTAATTGTTTCCAGTGACAATATCGCGCAACATCTCGTTCAATCCGATAGATGAGAGTATTCCGGAAATCGACGAAACGGGTAGGTTGTCTCTCTTACCGAATTTGCATTCGTGTGTTCATAAGAAAAAGCGAAGGAAAAAAAACAAATGGGTGAATCGTGATTAGGCGGCGCACCGGAAATTGATGAACATGTTCGACAATTGAATTTCGTGTGCGAGCACCAACAAATTGCACTTTTTGCATCGCTACGAGCCATGATTCGATGATCCTCTTCATTTTCTTGATTGCGGGTCTTCTTATTTTATTTAAACTTGCCGCCCTCCCTCATACTGTAACAATAATAATAATATCATTCCTCATTAAGACCATCTACTATGTATGTTCTATAAAAAAAATAATTCTCAATTTTTTTTCGTATAATGTGAGGCGAAAAAAGGAACCCAATTTCCTGTCGGTTTTATAAAGTCAAGAATTTGTTGTGATTCGAAGTAGTAAAAAACACGTCGTACTCAACTGCATGGCCACTCGATTTTTCGGGCGTCCGCTCGCTCGCACGCCCGCCTATATATGTATGTCAAATCGCAAAATGGTCCCGTGGGGGAACCAACAGACAGGAAGATACTTGCCGGCCGCCCCGTTTGCTACATCGGCCCATTTTCTCGTTTTTGACCTTTCTCCACACTATCGAACTTCAATTCCGTGTTTTATAAATTTCTAGCAAGAAAAAATTGTTTCAATCGCTCATCTTCATGTTTATTTTTTGCCCCCCCCCCCACAACCTTTTTGACTCAACATTTGAATTTTTGATTTTCCTAAATAAATCCGAGAAAAAAATTGTCAATAATTTACGATTTGGCTGCGTATCAAGCACAGTGCATATCCGACGTAAATTGTTCAAATTTGTGCCTTCGGCAATATTAAAAAAACCTTGAATGGGTAAAAGTAGAAGTAGGAATAATTCAATATTTCAATCAGTGTTTCTTTTCCAGAAATGTTCTCGATACCCAAACCTCAATATTTGAAACGATGAATTAGAATTGTCTGGTATATTTCAACACCTTATTCGAACGGCTCACAACCAGTGTGTCTACCCGGGACGAAGTTTCCCGGGAATGGCCGGGTTCCCGGGAAATTCCCGGGAGCCGGGACTCATTGAAACTTAATTTCCCGGGAAACCCGGGAAAAAGTCTGCAAACACCGCGCGCGCAAACGCACACTATTCGAATTGTCGTTTTATTAATGAATTTTCTTATTTTAAAAAGATTCCAATGCTTAGAAAATGGCGTTTTTGGAAAAATCGTTATTTGCACATTGCAATTGTGCTCATTTTTCTGCGAAATTTTAAAAATTCCAAATAGGGACTTCCTATGCCATTTTCTAAGCATTGGAATCTTTTTAAAATAAGAAAATTCATTAAAAAAAACGAGAATACGCAATATTCGAAGAGTGTGCGTTTGCGCGCGCGGTGTTTGCAGACTTTTCCCGGGATTGTCCCGGGATTCCCGGGAACCCGCTCATCCCGGGATCCCGGGTAGTTGCGGGACGAACCCGGGACGGGACCCGAGATTGGAGTCCCGGGATTTCCCGGATAAACCCGGGAAACGAAATTCCCGGGATCCCGGGAAATTCTGTCCCGGGATCCCGGGAAATTCTGTGCCGGGTAGATACACTGCTCACAACATTTCGATGAGATATGAAAATGAAAATATAATAAAGAAAAAAAAAGAAAAGAATCTTCAAAGTTTTATTTTGAATCAATTCAAGTCGTCCCATTAATGTTTCGCTAATCTCTTAAAATGGTTTTTCCTTCCTTCCTTCCTTTATTTCTTTCTTTTTCTTTTCAATTTTGCCCATTTCAAGTTTACCCCTCAAACTCATTTCGCCTTATTATCCACCGATTCGAATTAGTTTGAAGGTGGCATCAAACGCGTCAAAATGCGCAAATTGGTTGTACTACTTCAATTTCGTTTTGTTTCCAATGTTTTCCTCTCATTCATATCATTGAACCAAAAAACAATTGATGGCTGGAATTATGATATTTATGCACATTTTGTGCCTTCCGCCATTTGCTCGACTCGCCCTCATAAATGTGTATTCCTGATTTATTTACGACCGGCATTGTTTTTTTTTCTCGTGGTCTCGCCGCGATTTTTCGCTTCTGAAATAAGTTTATGATTTCCCATATGGTTTTCCAATCTAAACAAACCGATTATTTTCGTTCAAACAATTCATTTTGCTCCATTTACTCGCTCACACACTCATGTGCTCAAGACAAAAAAAAACGAGAAAAAAAATGAGACGTCCTTATTACAACTCATTTTTTTTGCTAGTTCACTACCCTTCTCTGTTCTCTAATTATTGGAATTTCTTACAAACGAAGAAAGAAAAGGCCAAAAATCGCCATTTTTTTTTAAATTTGATTTCATTTATTTTTTAAATACCATTCGTATTGGTATTTTAACAATATTTCGCATTTCCGACTTTCGCCCAATACATTCATTTTGGCCTCCTTTTAAGGAAGCTCATTAATCTTGCCTAGCACGCGGTGCGACGCCCGTCCATAACACTTCCCTTTTTGTGGTTCCAAATATTTGTATCACTCTAAAATCTCTATTTGCCAGTTTTTTATTAACAGGTGCTTCCATATTCGGCGACTCGTTCGTAGCTTTAGTTCTAGGCTTTCCATTCGGTTGGGTCTCGTATGGAAAAACCCGTAAGGCTTTTTGCGATCTCTTGAAGACATTATATGAACGATTATAATTTTTTAAACGAATTGTAGGTACCTTCCTTGATCGGCAACAAAATTTCCAAATAGCGGAGTAGGGGGTCCTCTTATTTTTTTGGACATAATTGTGGTCTGTCGCACTTTTTCGAGGCCGTAATTCAAATTCGAAGTTAAAATTTTTTATGCCAAAAAAATTGAACACTTGGCGCGCAAAATTTAAGAGCGTTGATTTATGGTCCTAATTATAAGGTTAGGTTAAAGGCGCACGCCACGTACCAACACATCTATCAATATGTTTTGGCATTTTGCCAATTTTCCGCAGTCGCGCGATGCGAAATGTGCCGTGGCCGAATAATTCGCGGCCGCCCGCGATTTCGTCCACCCGAATTGAAGCTTAACGCGCTCTACAGTAGATTTGGGTCTTGAAAAATCCACGTCAAATTACAAGCGGAGAAATTTAGGCAGCGTTGTAAAGTGTGAAATTGTACATATGAAGTACACAGACATGACTCTTCGCCTTGATGTCATTTCCCCCTGGCCGTTTGCCAATTTTTCGCAGTTGCACGATTTCGACAATATCACCGTCGAAAAAAAAGTACGAGTGTATTCAGTAATTGTGGACCATCGTATTTTTTTGGGCGGCAATTCAAATTTGTATTTTTCTTGTCAGACTTTCAGCGGACTTTTAAAGAAATGACTCGAACTCTGCTGAAATGTCTGAATGTCTGTTTTTTTAAGACTCACCATCAGAGCTTCGGTAGACTTTGCGCAGTTTCTTATAAAGAATCTTATAAGAATATTTGGGATTACACTGGTTGGCACCGAATGGACGCGCACAATATTTTAATACTTATAAAAATATTGCCTCGAAATCAATAGGGCTCTAAAGTTCAAATTCTGCTGACTGCGAATTATTTTTTTTTGCAAGCGAGAACGAAAGGGAGAGGGAGAGAGAGAACGAGAACCGAAATGCTTTCATCCCCCTGGTGGGACATCAAAGACGTCGCTTCCTAATAGCCAAGAAGCTCGATAAAAAAAAGCGTCAGTTTGATGGATAAGATCATCAAGGGGATAATTTATCAAATCATCGCCTTCGGCCCCGGAGAGTTGGCCAAATTTAGATTCGACGAGGGTTTCAAGGCACCGAAACGCCATGTTCTCGCCAAAAATCACGCGAATTATGTATGGATTCTCCGGCCAGTGGTGCCGCAACCAACCTAATCGAGTTAGAATCGAGACAAACTCGACCAATCCCATCCTCGGTTCCCAAATGTTGTTTGTTTTTCGTTGCCAAATTGTCCGATTCTCAAATTCGCTTTTTTTTCGTGCAGCTCATTTTTTTTTGAATGTGAACCTTGAACTTTTTCGATTTCTTTTTGGAAATCATTAATTTCGGGTTCCTTCCTATTTTCCTTCGACTTCTCATGTGTATTTGTGTAGTTTTGAATTTCCATGGATTCATGTTACCTTCAATAGCGCGACTTTACCTTTTTGTTTTTTTTTTTGCTGGCCCACTTTCCTTCTATTCGGTCTCATATCATTCAACTTACAGATGCCACGTCGATGACGTCATCTCACGGTTATTTGCGAGTTGATTCGAATGATGTCGCAAGTCTCATGGACGACGACGACGACAATCCGAATGAGGCGCTTTTTAGGCCAAACAACGAAGATTACGGTACGAGATTTCACCAGCAGAAATATTTTGCGTTTTCGATTAGTCCACATATATTTGAATTATTTTATTCTGAATGCTATTAAGGGATGAAAAATTAGTATTATGAAAAAATTAAACCACAAAACAGACTTTTAAACCATTGTTATTTGAAGGGAAAAGGAGGGGAAACCTCAAAAATAAAAAATAAAACATTGAATGTTGAAAAGAAATCGAAAAAAATAGCGAAAATTCTATTCGTCGCGAAGAAATTCGATGAAAAAGTCAACGGAATGTGTATTGTCGTCAAATAACATGCATATTCCGCAATTTTTGCTTTTTTCGATATTCCTGGACAATTTTCATTCGTCTCTGAAATCTCGAAACACCAAAAATTGGGCATTCAAAATGCTCAATCACGTGAGAATTGCATGTCTAAATATTGTCGTAGAGTGAAACGCATTAGGTGTAAACACGCACGTTCAATTTCGAAATGAAACTGAAAATGGTGTTGCGGACTTGTACACTTTATTTGACGACGATTCACACGTTTTTTGCTATCGCAATCGTTTTTCTCTTCTTTTGGCATCGCAATCGTTTTAAATCAAATTTAAAATTGAAACGGTAGGAATTTGTGTAAAAATCATCGAACCAGTTAGTCGGCGCGAGCCCCTAGCAAATTTACGTAAATCTAGCCGCATATAACAATCGCCGACTATTCCTATTTGTCATCCAATTTTATAATGGAATATAAAAATCGAATCCATTTTCAATATTCTAAATTGTTTCCTATCTCAACGACAAAAACAAATCAAGCGTAATTAATTTGTAGCTTCAACGTATCATCATGACGGAATTGACTACGACAGCTACGACGAGCTGGAGCGACACGAGCTGGACGATCGACTCGGCGAAATTCCGCAAGAATTTCATAGAAGACAACGAAGGGTTTGTCGGAACTTTATTGATTTCTGTGCATCCAATATCTGCATGATTTTCAAACTTGAATTTGATTAAAACACATTCGTTTGCTTTTTGAAGGGAGTGTCAATTATACAGTTTTTTTTTAATTATGGAGTTTTTTGGGGAAACGTTTTAAAAAACAACCTCAAAAAATTAAAAGTCTATATGTCAAAAATAAATGTAGGCGGTAAATCAAAAATTTCCTTCTGATTTGGGTTTTCGAGTTTTGAATTGTTCACACTCGTTTTTTTTCTCTCAAATTCTCTTATGCTCGAAATTTTCGAACAATAAAAAACTCGAAATACTTTTTGTGTCTTTCTCGGTGATAGGTTGTCCATCAAAATCTGGCGCACTTGCTCTTCGAAAACCAGAGAAGGCAGCCGTCGTTTCGTGGAATGTTGAGGATTCGAAAAGAAAAACGCAGCATATCTATTATATACTCGGATATTTCGACGAAATTCATTCTATTCTGCTGATCGCATTTAATCATGAGCTGATGGAGTTTTTCGGAATCTCGAAATTTTTTATTTCAAATCGCGCCGCCGATCGAATTGTGCCAATCGAGGAAACCGATGAAGATCTTGAACACTTCCGTCAGCATCTTAGGAGAAGGGTTCGACATTACTAGAACATTATGTATTTCAATTTAATTGATCTGATCAACTCAGCTAATCTAGTATAATAATGTGATATAACTATTTTAGTAATATAATCGATCAGAAATGCAATACAATTTTTTGGTTTTTTTTTGTGAAACACTCCTTTCAAAAAATTTCCTTCTACGCATGAGCGTTTTGCATGATTTGCATGTAACTATATTCCAGGAAGCCTTATTTGGCGAAGAAGTGACTCGAGCCGGCCTGGGCCGCGCTGAATACTACGAGGATCATCCTTTGATTCACACTTGCGAGAAGGTTTGCTTCATTTTCATCCACTAGCTATTCATATATAGTTAATACACAATCACTAAATATTATTCAAGGAAAAACCCTCATGTCCATACGCGAAAAAGCGAAAATCAAAAAAACGCATAGCTTATTCGGAACTCGGCGAGGAGCTCGAGATCAGTCTCATCTCGGCATTTGCTGTGAGAATGCATGCGTACCGCATCGGTACCAGTGTGCGCACTCGATCTCAAAATCGTTAAAAAATCGATCTTGCTCGAGAATTTAAAGATCGATCGAACCCGAGATCGATCGAGCACAGGTAAGTTCGATCTCGGGATCGATCGATCTCGAGCGCTCGATCGATTTTTAGAAAGATCGATCGATCCCGATCGATTTTCGCTACCAAGATCGATCATACTCGATCGAGCGCTCACACTGATCGGTACCAACTCGTTTTCATTTCCCCATTCAATTTTGTTGTTTTGCATCCATTCCTCAACTAACTCTTCGCTTGTCGTTTTCGAAATAATCCAAGTTGTGTTCAGAGTGGGCACGAAGAGCTGGACGAGAGTGATGAGGCCAGCAAGGACGAAGATGAGGAGGAAGAAGAAGCCGGAATTCGAAAGGTGTCACAAATTCGAAACAGTAGAAATGATGCAATTATTATTTTTCAGTACGCCAAGTTGATCCTTCCTCACGTTGCCCTAGTACTTCTTACGTGCGCTTATACCGTATTAGGTGCTTCAATATTCTATAGTGTCGAGCGGCCGCACGAGCAGCTCATGAAAACACAACAGGTACATCAATGAAATTTATAAAATATTCAAAAACAGAACTCAACATTATCTATCGTCCTAGTAGAGTGTTTCCAACGCCGGCGGCTAGATTCGCTGCTCCGGCTACTGGATTGGCGCCATATCCAGTGCCATAACTTCCGTAACTACTACCATATCCCGTACCGTAGCCAGAACCATAACCAGCTCCGTAACCGGAACCGTATCCAGATCCATAGCTGCTACCATACCCGGTTCCATAGCTGCTACCATACCCGGTTCCATAGCTGCTACCATACCCGGTTCCATAGCTGCTACCATACCCGGTTCCATAATTGTTACCGTAGCCCGTTCCATAACTGCTAGCGTATCCGGTGTTACCGTAGCCCGTATTGTAGTTACTTCCATATCCGGAATAGCCGGTGTTGCTGCTAGAGTAAGACGAATACGGCGGGCAATATGGGTTGGTATAGGTTTGAGGAGGCGGAGTATAAGTTGGGACGTCTTGAACAGTCACAGAAGGAAACAAGAAGCTGGAAATTGACGAATTAGAATTTATGTTAATACATTTTTATTTTAAGGTATATATTTTTTTTAGTTTAAAATTTACCATTGCGATGAAGCCGCAAATAAGAAGAGAAGAGTAAGAGACCTCATTTTAGGATATCATTTCAAATTGAATTTTTTTGCTTTAATACTCGCCAAACAGAACTACGTCAAATGTTTGTCCGTAAGGAGTACACTACTACAAAATAAAGAGTTCATTATGAGATTTTTGCAAATCTGCACTTTTGATAGACATTTCGAATCAAAGATGATGCTGATAACATCGCAACCGGTTCGCCTATTGATGTAGGTATTGTAAATCAGAAATCTAAATTCGATTTTTCATTGTTATGCTTCAAATGTAGTTGGAAAAGGTCAAATCAATTTCATCAATATTTTGTTGGTGTTCATTTGAAATTATAATGTGCGCAAATGCATTTTCAATCATTTAGCCAGTTCTTGTCCGATTTCGTGAAAAATTCAACGCTAACGGAATCCATCAGCGCGATTCTAATTTTGAACTCCGTCAGTTGTTCTTCTTCAATTAAATTGAGTGGTTTTTAATTTTTTTTTAATCAAACCGCGGTGAATTAAAAATTCGAATTTATTTAAGGATAATTTTCATAGAATTTGAATAAGAAACAACGAAACGGAAACAATAAAAAGAATGAGATTTATCGCCAAGTCCCATAGGAAGACACATAGGAAGAATGAAAGCGTATGATGGATAGGCAGGCTGGGTCGAATAATAAGCATAGTAGTATATTATTTGGCATGTAGAATTGGCGTCTAATGCGATTCATAACCACTGCGATACTGATGACGCATGAATTCATTTATTTAATTTTTTTATTGATAATTAGCTACCTGAACATGACTGAAAGAAAAAATTGGAGACTAAGAATTTATATATGTATGATTAGTTCTGTTGGGAATTGCATTTTTTGTTTTCTCACAAGTTTTGAATAAATTAGAAATTGAAAAGTGCATAAAAAGTCTGAAATTGGAAATATGTGTGAATAACGGCATCGAAAGCGGGTTTTTCCTTGTTTCAGCTCCAACAGATCTATTCGCGGCAGACGCAATTTGTCGACGACTTGATACGAATGGCCGCTGGGAATCATACGCGTATGTGTTTCATCTTGAGAATAACAAACATTCGAACACGAAAAGCTTCACTTTTTGTTTTTGCTCGCCAGTTTAAAATGAGCCATTTCATGTTTTCTATTTTCTTTTTTGCGTTTTGAGCATGCAAATATTTCAACGCGAATCAAACATTTGTTTTTAAAATATCTTTTCGAGACCCTCATAACATTTGAGAAAAAGAACTGAGTGCCATTACACAAACGAAGATAATGTTTTCGCGATAGAAGAAGATTTACGCCAAAAATTGAATGTTCCTCCTCGTTGTTGTGTAATCTTCCCACCTGCATAACCATTCGTGTTCTCGCACACTCCCGAGCACTCTCAGTCAATCTTCAACGTTGATTTTTTGTTTCGTTCCAGATCGGTATGAGTGGGAATCACTGGCCGAACGTCACATGCACAACATGTCCGATCAGCTGTTCGTTGCTTTCGAAAAGTATTTTCTGACTAGCAATGAGGTAGTGGCAGCTGACAAGAAACTCGAACAGAAAAATAATTTCTCTTACTTTTTTTTCGGCTTTGTTCGATCGCGTTTGATCTATCAAATTTTTCATTTATTCGCATTGATTTATTATTTGAGGTAAAACGAAACGCGACATCTGAAATTTGGACATTCTCGTCATCGATATTTTTTGCCGTTACCGTTGTGACCACGATTGGTGCTCGAAATTGTGCAACCAACCTAAATCATTAACTAATCTCAGGTTACGGTAATCCGGTTCCGGTAACGAATGTCGGCCGCATCGTATGCATACTTTTCTCCTTATTTGGCATTCCATTGACGCTTGTGACAATTGCGGATTTAGGTTTCGAAATTTCGCAATGTCATTTCGGAAAAAAATGAAAGCATTGTTTTAGGTAAATTCCTTTCGGAGCACTTAGTATGGTTGTACGGCAATTATTTGAAACTCAAACATTTGATATTTTCGCGGCGTCGAAAAGAACGACGAGAGCACGTTTGTGAGCATTGTCAAAGCCATGGAATGGGACATGACATGCATATTATCGAAGAGCAAAGGTATTAACGTCGTGATGCAAATTGAGAATTGACCGATTCAGAATTCCCGCATTCCTCGTCCTCGCCATCCTTATTGTTTACACGGCTCTTGGCGGTGTGCTCATGTCGAAATTGGAGCCTTGGTCGTTTTTCACATCATTCTACTGGTCTTTTATCACAATGACAACGGTTACGAGAAATTTGCGAATTAAAAAAAATGGATTTTTCAGGTCGGGTTTGGTGATTTGATGCCTCGCCGAGACGAATACATGTATTTCATTCTTCTGTATATTATTCTAGGTTCGATCATTCGTTTATTTGTTTGATGATCTCAGAATTCAGGATTGGCAATTACCACAATGTGTATCGATCTTGTCGGTGTGCAGTATATTCGAAAAATCCACTATTTTGGCAGGAAAATTCAAGACGCCCGCTCAGCGTTGGCAGTCGTCGGCGGAAAAGTGAATATCATTGAATGAGTTCCGAATCATCTTATGCCATTATTCAGGTTGTGCTCGTCTCGGAGCTCTATGCGAATCTTATGCAAAAACGTGCTCGAAATATGTCGAAAGAGGCATTCATCGTCGAGAATTTATATGTTTCGAAGCACATCATTCCATTCATTCCGACCGACATTCGCTGCATCCGCTATATTGACCAGAACATCGATCCAGGAGCCGTTTCGAATTCGTCATCGATGGCTGATATTCATAGTTGCCGTTTCTGCCATTCGCGATATTCCATTAATCGCGCTCTTTAGCTTTTTCGTTGTATGTATGCGACGATAGAATATTGAGTAAATCCACCTCGTTTGTTCAATTTATCCCGTTATTTGTAACTCTCGGGTTAATTATGCATTATTTTGTTTCAATTCAAGACCATCACACACACACACACACCCAAAAAACTGACTCTTGGTCGCCCGTTTTCATTGATTATTGAGCATTTCAAGCCTCATCCCAAATCAGTGCAAAACGGGCTACGATGAACTCATATCCATGAAATTCCACATTTTCCGCAACTTACATTTTAATCTATTCAATTATTTCACAATCTGTTTTATTAAATAAATCATTTTTTATAACAATAACAACAAGTAAATCCTAAATCTATATGAAACAAAACGAAGGAAGAGCTACACATGATGAGCAATCAAAAACGACAAAAAGAACGCCTAGAATGGACCGTATTGAACAGAAAACACTGGAAAGTGGGAAACTCGAAAAAAAATCTATGAAGTTGCTTGTTTATTTTCCTTTTTAGGTTCATTCGATGGATCCTCATTTTCAGGTGATTTTCCTTTGGTTTTGTCGTCAGAATTTTCTGAAACAAAAAATGAATAATTAAAAGTAAAACCCTATTTCTATTTTTTTTAACTTGCCTAATTTCCAAAAATGGCATTTTTAATTTTCGAAAATATGCCCTCTTTTTTATTTCCACTGCCTTCATCAACAGTTTCCGCATTTTCGGCATTTTTTGATTCATCACTTGAGCTGGTTTTTGTGTGAGTCGCGCTGGCGGACGCCTCTAAATATCGAAAATTTGTGGATTGGATTGAAACGTCGCCAGCGCAACAGTAAACAACAACAAAAATCAGCTCGGTTTCAAACCAATTAAATTAACTTACGGTGAGCGGCTTTCTTCGCCTCGTCGAGACCTTTGATCGTACCATTTTTGATGTTTTCTGTTGCTGCCCATGCAAGCATCAATGCTTTCTGTTCGGCAGTTAAGTACCTGAACAAAAAAAACATTTAACGGTTTCAAACGACTGATCGCAACAATACTAAAAAATTATCCCAAATAACTTCTCATTATAATTTGTTGGCATTCAGCCATTTTTTCGACCTCGACGATATCAAAAATTAACATTTGCTTTACATATAATTTTAATGAAAGTAGAAGCAAAATTTTCGAATTTCTTCTCAAACAGTTTCTGTTTAAATCTTACTTCGGTACAGTGATCTTAATATGCATATATTGATCTCCATAGCCATGTGAATGCAATCGCTTAACTCCTTTTCCCGTGAGCCTCATTTTTGTATGACTAGAAGTTCCGGCCGGAATGTGAATATATGTATCTTCCTTGATTCCAGGAACCTAAAAGCAGTATATTTTTAATAGCAATATTTCCAGTACGGATATCACTTTAACAGTTCCTCCAAGAACGGCTTGCGCGATCGAAATAGGCACATCGACGTGAATATCATCTTTTTCTCGCCGGAACTTCGTTGAAGGGGCGACATTGAATTTAACGTAGATTTGATTCTTTATTTTTAAAAAATTAAAAGAAAGACTGATTATTAAAAAAAACCTTTCCAACGTTAAACCGAACACTACTTCCATGATCCGTGCCTTCCGGAATATTGAATGTGACCTGCCGCCTTTGAACAGTTTGCCCCTGGCCTTCACATTCATGACATGGATTCTGAACAAAATAAGACGAATCAAAAATTCGAAAAATGTTCAACCTTATTATAATGACCAGTTCCTCTACACCGCGTGCAAGACGCGGAATAGAAAAAGCCGCCTTGAAGTCGTTGAGAAACCGCACCAGTACCGTTACAGTATGGGCAAGTTGTCTGAAGAATTTCCCTATTTGAAACAGATACAAACAATCACTTTACCTTCTTGAAACCCGGCTCGACTTGAGTTCCATGACACTTCAAGCAATCTTCAACGACATTCACATACACATTTTTGGAAGCTCCTGAAATAAAAACGATTTGTTAAAATTGAAATAGAAAGACCTCGAACAGACCTCTAACAGCTTCTTCAAATGAGATATCCATGATCATCTCTTGTGCTGCCGAATGACCGAAGGAACTGTCAGTGAAATTGTCCCAAGAAAATCCGCCACCCATCCCACCCCCAAATGCTCGTCTGAAAATCTCGTTCACGTCGACATTACCAGCATGATGCCATCCGCCGCCGCCGGGAGAACCACCTGAATAAGGTTAAATATCAGGTAATACATTAAAAATTACCTGCTTGTGGTCCAGCACTGCCATAAGCATCATATTGTTGCCTTTTCGTGTCATCGGAAAGAACTTCGTACGCTTCAGAAATCTCTTGAAACTTTGATTGTGCTTCTTTGGTTTTGTTGATGTCTGGATGGTATTTCTTGGCAAGCTAAAGCGAATTTCATTAGTACCCATTACAATTTATATATAATTCACTTGAAAATACGCCTTTTTAATTGCTTTAGCGTCGGCTTTCTTATCCACTCCAAGAATTTTGTAGTAATCTTCTTTTAATAGTGGAATTGATGTTGAAATGTTCCGGGATTGACCTAAAATTGAGATTAGCAATTGATAGCAGTAAAAACTAACCTGTAGCACTTGTTGTCGGATTTGTTGCATTCGAAAGTGCTGTGGGAATAACTCGTGAAACTACAACATTTGTCCGGTTCAAAACGAACATTCTGAAATGATGATGCAATACACTATAAATATATAGTTTGTTAATCCGAATGGTTTGAACATTGAGGTATATTTTTCATCCTATTAACTACAGGCTTGAAATGATCAAAATAATACGAAAAAATAGAAGAAAAGTCTCGAAAAATGAAAAAATATTTCTTATTCCGCAAACACCACAACGAAAAAATGCACCGCGATTTGTAAATGCGGAGTGTCGTTGGATCGGCGGCAATTGGAACTTGAATTTTGAAAATGTCTTTAAATGGTTGAATAATTTGAACGAATTTACTTTCAGAATGCTCACTTTCAATGATAACAAAGCTGGTATGGCTGGCCTGGATAAGGAAAAAATCACAAAAGTAATCGAAGAGAATACTTCAATGAACTATTCATCGTTCACCAAAAAACAGCAGCAAAGAGTTGAAGAAAAAATTGCGGAAATCAAATTCAAATTAATTTCTGCATCAGATTATGAACGAATGAGAGCCGCGGAATTGGTAAATTATGATAATTGAATATTACATAAAATTAGTACATATTTTTTTTAAAGATGGATTCCATGGCATTTGAGCTTGAAATGCAAAGAGATCTGTCACGAAACTGTGTTTGTATCGATATGGATGCATACTTTGCTTCCGTAGAAATGCGAGATAATCCAAAACTCCGTACCATTCCAATGGCTGTTGGGACGCAATCAATGCTGGTAAATTGGAAATCTCATTGTTGAAATCCGTAAGTTCAGAGCACCTCAAACTACATCGCTCGTCGGTTTGGAGTTCGAGCTGCAATGCCGGGATTCATTGCTAAAAAGTTATGTCCAAATTTAGTAATTGTTCCTGGAAATTATCGGAAATATTCAAAAATTAGTAAGGTGTGCGATACCAGTCTTATTCAATGTTCAATTTTTCTTCAGCAATTCGCTGAGATCTTCTCAGAATATGATGAGGATCTTGGAATGATGTCTCTCGATGAAGCTTACATAGATTTAACTGAATATTTATATGGAAGAACTGAATCCAGTGAGTTCGGTTCCCCAGACAGTGTATTTTTAAAAATTTTAGGAAAACTTCAGCGAGTTCGTTACGGAGGCGAATGTATCTGCAGACTTCCTCTTATTGACGAAAGCCCTTCAGAAAACCTTGAAAAATCTGAAGAAATTTGTGAAAATTGTAAAAAAGTTCGAATTCTGTACAAAGATGAAGTCGAATTTGGCAGCAGCCGAGAGGAGGTTGTTCGAGAAATGCGGTTTCGAGTTGAGCAAGCTACCGGATTGACGTGTAGTGCAGGCAATATCTGGTCAATTATGCATTCTAAATAAGCATTATTCAGGAATTGCTGCCAATTTTATGCTAGCAAAGATATGTTCCGATATGAATAAGCCAAATGGTCAATATTCTCTGGAAAACGATAGGGACAAAATTCTGGAATTCTTGGAAAAACTGCCAATCCGAAAGGTTTAATCAATTTTTTGATGGTTCAATTCAAATTTTCAGAGAAAAAATCAATGTCAATTCTTGGTTTCAGGTTTGTGGAATTGGACGAGTCAGCGAATCTCATTTGAAAGCTTGTGGAATTGAAACTGTTGGTGATATGCTTCTCAAAAAAGCTATATTTCCCTTGATATTTTCCCCATTGGCGCAGGTAATTGTTATAAAATCGATCCATAAGGAATAAGCCAAGGAATCGTTCTTGCGTACTGCTCTTGGTCTCCCTGGAAAACCTTCAGAAAGCGATCCGAAAAGGAAAAGCGTCTCCGTTGAAAGGTAACCACTCGCTTCAATAGGTCTTCTTGAATTGTCAATAGCCGTTTCATAGGACATTTACACCGACAAGTGATTATTCAATATTGAGAATTGAACACATTGAAATATGTAAAATGTTGGATGAAGATGTTAAGAAGATTGGAATAATAGGTTATCTACTTCAAACGCTTCTTGCAAATTTCGTATTTCAGGAGCAAAAACGGTTACATTGAAGCTCAAACTTTCATCTTTTGATGTACTCACCAGATCGCTGACTCCTTCGAATTCTCAACTCATTTGCACATTTGACGGTTTAAAAAATAATTTTATACTAGCCAACAAATATTTCAGATATCTTAAAATACTCGCTGGAGTTGCTCGATAAAGAAAAGGGAAAAGAAATTCGGTTGCTTGGTGTTCGATTATCGCAATTGATATTTCAGAACGATCAAGAAGCTTCGAAAAAAATCAAGCCGGTGAGATGAATAATGTATATAGTCTGCATGAGGCGACTGCTGTACGCGGGTAGATTTACGGGGATGCTCCTTTCTCTTGGTAACTGGTTATTTCGCATTTTATGGGTGGATGCGATAATTTAAAAAAAAAGAACGATGTTAGAAATTCCAAGAAATGTCAAACTCATCAAAAAATAATAAGCGTTAACACGTGGTGAGACCTTTTCAAGGCGCATACAATCTACAGCAGTCGCCGGACGCCGACTTTATATATATATGCATACATACAGTACTGGCCATAAAGAATGTCCCAAACGGTTTATTGAGCATAACTTTTTTTGGAGTAGACCATTAGTTCCTATTTTTTTACAGGATGATCTACACATAATTCGCATACTTGCAGCTCTTCTGTTTACAGAAATGTGCGGAAAATTATTTTTTCGTTTTTAATTTTTGAAATTTTTTCTGGAGTTACTTTTGAAATCTAGTTTTTGATAGACGTTTTTATAGATGGGTAGACCTCAAGGAAAAAAACCGTGTCATCAGACATCCGCAAAGCGATCTGGACGGAACCAAGGAACTTCAAGCGGAATCCTTGCGAGTCAGTTTTTTTGCTCAATGAGAACAATTAACAGAATCTTAAAGCAATTTCGAAACTCGGTATTGTTTTTTAAACTTTCGAAAACTATTTTCGCCGTTTAGCATAACTGTGATGTGCTCCAGTCACCCGGTAGACCCCGTAAAACCACCAGGAACGTTGATCGGAACATTGTTAGAGCATCTAGAGAGGATCCTAGATGTACTTCTACGAACATCCAAATCATCGTGAAGTCTCCAAATGAAAAACACCGACCAGGGTAACTATCCAAAGACGTCTGGTGGAATATTGATTGCACGGACGACGTCCAGTGAAGAAGCCGCTCATAAGCGAGAAAAATCGTAAAGCCAGAGTTGCAGGGGCAAAAGAACATTTGATTTGGAGACGTCGTGAGTGGTCAAACCATGTCTGGAGTGACGAATCTAAGTTCAATTTGTTTGGAACTGGCGTAATTAAATTGGTGAGACGTCCTGTTGGATCCCGCTACAATCCCAAGTACCAGTGCCCAACTGTGAAACATGGAGGCGGATTGTACATGGTCTGGGGCAGCTTCTCAGACACTTCAATGGGTCCGCTTCATCGTGTTATTGGAGTCATGGATCGGTTCGTGTACGAAGACATCTTGGAGAACGCTATGAGACCATGGGCACGTGCGAAACTCGGTCGGGCATTCATCATCCAGCAGGACAACGACCCGAAACACACTTCTGAGCACGGCAAGAAATGGATTCAACATCGTCGTGTGAATCTTCTGGACTGGCCGAGTCAATCTTCTGACTTGAATTCTATCGAGCATCTCTGGGATGAGCTGGAACGTCGTGTTCAAGGTGTCAGAGTACCGAATGCCAACCAGAAGTTTGAACTTCTCGAGGCTGCATGGAAAGCCATTCCGATGCCTGTCATTCACAAGCTTCTGGACTCGATGCCGCGCCGATGTCAAGCCGTTATTTATGCAAAATGATACGCAACAAAGTATTTATACATTATTATTTTTGTTTCGACCATTAACAATCGCTTTAAAATGTTTTCTGCTCTTCCAAAGTTGATTTTCCTTTTTACCGGTTATTGACGTTTTTCATAAACTTCTGTGTTTTGGTCAAATTTGTCGAAAGGAATGGCTACGAAGTGTTTAAATATTGTATTTTAGTGTCAGAAAGACTGTGTTAATCTTTCAGAATGATCGGTTCACTTTTAGAAAACTTATGCTCGGAAAACCATTTGGGACATTCTTTATGGTCAGTACTGTACATGAATAACGTTTTTAAATTAAAATAGATCACCGAATTTTGGAATGAAGCGAAACGTCAAAAAACTGAAAACATCGAAGAAGACCCAGTGATGACAGTGCCATGTCCGATCTGTCAAGAACAAATTCCGAACGTCATTGAAGAGTTAAACACTGCAACTGCGCTAACAGACGAAAAAATAGTTAAAAAATAGTTGAAAAATAGTGCAGACTTTGGATGAAAGAGGGATCTGTAACAGATCTATTTTCAAGTCTATTTTTCATCAGCGCTTCATCTATTTCTCAGCCATTCTCTATCTATTTAGCATCTTGGATTCATCTATTTTTCATCCATTTTATGTCTTGTCTCTGTCCCTCGTTCTTGCATTTTTCATCAGTTTTCTATCTATTTCTCATCCATGATTCATCCTTTTTTTAACCCATTTTTGTCTACTTCTTGTCTCTTATTCATCTATTTTGCGTCTATTTTTCTTCTGGATGGTTTTTATGAAAAAACAACAGTAAACGGAAAACAACAAAATAAAAAAAAGAAAAATACAATAAATTGTTTAACATTAGAAATATCAAATTTCAATTAAATAGAAAAATGCTGATTGAAATATTCAGCGGCATCGGGCTTCAGTTTTTTGAGTTGGTGCTCTTTTCCAATTTTGATAGTCAAACTATGCGCCATAACTTTGCTAGCGTGGTGAGATCCTTTCTGATCGTTATAATTTGAACGAAGGCGATCGCTAAAAGTACATGGTGTTATTTAGTGAAACATTCGCATAACTACATGAAAGTAATCGCAGACTCTTTGATTTGCACAGCAACTGAAGTAGCTTGATCCGTCGTTGGAGCAATATCTAATCCAATGAACAATGCTTCTTAATTTTTTTTTTAACATTGTTCACATATGTATGTATTATCAGAATTACCAGATATCATTTGATTAACAGCAGAATCCATGTGGAGATATTCCAGACGAGCACCAGGCGTTCCTAACAAGGTATAAGCTATCAGGTAGTTATCCTTATCGTAAATCTGCAAAATATATATGAGCTCTATCTAAGACAACTTTAAACCTCGGCAAATACATGACGCACCAGTTTCGATGCCGATGTCAGAAGGTTTTGACCAATACTTCCGACAAATTTTGAGCAGATTTCTGCGATATCGACAACTACACCCGACGGCAGTGTGTATTTACAGTGTTGGTGATTCAATAAGCAGCCTTGGAATAGGTAGATGGTCTCATCGATATCAACTTTATTCTGAAAAAGTTCACTGCACATATCATTATGCATTCAATACCTTTTTCCAGATGCGCGTTCGATATTCGTCTAGTCTATTAAACTGAAAAAAAAACTGTATAGTCCATTGTCCGAGCAGATTAAAATTTTCATACCATAATGGCCATCCCGCACATACTCATCCACATTTCTTTCACGCCCTCATCTTTCTCTGCTTCGGCTTTTCTTGCAAAAACGTCCACGTCAATTCCATTTGTTGCGTTTTTTACAAAGTTACACTGCAACTGTGCTACAGACGAAAAATGGTGAAAAGGTGGATGAAAAATAGATTACTCGGAAAAGTAGATAAAAACTAGGAGAAAAATGGGCGAAAAATAGATTATCTCAAAAATTGGTGAAAAATATACGATAAATGGATGACAAATAGATGAAAAATTGGGAAAAAATAGATAGAAGATAATGATAAGAAATAGACACTGAAAGGGTGAAAAATAGATGGAATTGTGCAGTTGATCGTAATGTGAATGCAGATGGCGCCATGTTAATCACAATTTTTTTAAAAATCAATTTTGGAAATGCCTAAAACTCTTCGCCATCGATTACCCAAAGAAGGTCTCAAATTGAGGAAAGGTAGGTTTGTTTCGTATATTAATATTGCTGATTGTTTATTATTTTAAGATCAAATTGCTGGTTCGCGATGCATGCCGACCAAACGTGTGGTCTTTGCTCGAAAAAACGCCCGGCTTTCACTTCGAAACAAATCGTCGAACAACGAAAATAATGAAAATGATGCATCAACAACATCCTTTCTCATGAGAGAACGATCTGAAAGCGAAATTGAAGAATTCTCCGAAGTAGTCGGGCCGTCATGCGTACCGAATTACCCCGCACATGATCGTGTATCGGAATTGGCCGATGAACTATTATTGTGCATGTATAGTTCGGTACTCGGAAAAGATACAGAAAATGGTAAAACTAATACTTTTCCAAAGACAAAAAATGGTTGCAGGCTTTTTGAGACGACTGGCAACAATTAAAAACTTCATCCCGATTGAAAGTGCCCGCTCATTGTGGTATGATTTCAAGAAGAATATTATGAAGCGTTCAATATGCGAAAAGTGTGGATGTCGAAGAGAGAAAGAATGGTAAACACATATACCACATTTCAAACATTATTATGATCAATTTCAGTTGCGGCGATTTGGCGACTTTTCTTATGCTGCCTCTCACCGAACAAATTCGCGGGATTGTGGAGTCGTCCTTTGACGATATAATGGAAATTCGAAAGAAATTGAAGGAAAAAGCACCAAACTTCACACACAATCTTCAAGGAAGTTCTTTTTCCAGTTCATGGAAATACGAGGATGAAAATCATTGTGATCTGAGCATGGTGCTAAGTCTGGACGGCGTCAATCCCCGAGGACATTTCAGGTATTATTATTATTTGTTTATTAAAGATGTGCCATTTAGAGGAAGTTTGTGGCCAATTACTTTACAGTTAGTGGATTTGCCTACAATGAAGTCGCAACTTTCAATTAATCTTGTAGTCTGTGGAATGCTGCAATTAAAAGCTAATAATCCAACAACCCTTGTTTTGAATACCGTCACGGAAATTATAATGAATCGATTGGAAGGCGAAGGGTCAACATTTGTTGTAAACAATATTTTATTTTCTCCATACCTCGTGTCACTCGTTTCTGACCAACCAGTAAGGATTAAGTGATAAAAATTTCTATAGATTTCAGTTTAAGGCAAAAGAAAAATTCTTGGAATGAGCGGTTTTTCAAGTCCACAAGCTTGTTTTTATTGCGACTCTCACGGAACTCTGCACAAACCACTACTTGGAAACGGTAATAATCAATAATAATTTTAAACCCTCTTATTCATCGCTTATATTGATTTAAGATCGACGATTGGACAGATTTGGGGATAAGACTCTAGAAGATAGTATTCGCGGTGTTAATGGATTTGGTCCTGTTGCGGCGAAAATGGTGCAATATGTCAAGCCGTACAATACAATCTTGGATGTTCTTCACACTTGTTCAGATGGAATTGTAATGTTGATACTAAAAGGTATCAAAATTAAGTGTGACCAAAAAAACGGCAGAAATTCCAGAGCTCATGCCTAAAAAGTTTAGATGTTCAAAGAAAAAATCTGCAATGTTCGAATGCGATGAAACCATGCTCGAAAACTTCGACAAACATCTACAATTGCCAATTGAAGGAGCCGATTTGACTCGATTGCTCACTAACGGAAGGCAAAAACTAGATGTATGTTTCAGATATAATGTTTTAGATTTTTCTTATAGTTATTCAGACTTCAAATTTTCTTGTTTGCTATCTGCAATTCAAGTTTAATACATACATATGTGAACAATGTTAAAAAAAAATTAAGAAGCATTGTTCATTGGATTAGATATTGCTCCAACGACGGATCAAGCTACTTCAGTTGCTGTGCAAATCAAAGAGTCTGCGATTACTTTCATGTAGTTATGCGAATGTTTCACTAAATAACACCATGTACTTTTAGCGATCGCCTTCGTTCAAATTATAACGATCAGAAAGGATCTCACCACGCTAGCAAAGTTATGGCGCATAGTTTGGCTATCAAAATTGGAAAAGAGCACCAACTCAAAAAACTGAAGCCCGATGCCGCTGAATATTTCAATAAGCATTTTTCTATTTAATTGAAATTTGATATTTCTAATGTTAAACAATTTATTGTATTTTTCTTTTTTTTTTTTTGTTGTTTTCCGTTTACTGTTGTTTTTTCATAAAAACCATCCAGAAGAAAAATAGACGCAAAATAGATGAATAAGAGACAAGAAGTAGACAAAAATGGGTTAAAAAAAGGATGAATCATGGATGAGAAATAGATAGAAAACTGATGAAAAATGCAAGAACGAGGGACAGAGACAAGACATAAAATGGATGAAAAATAGATGAATCCAAGATGCTAAATAGATAGAGAATGGCTGAGAAATAGATGAAGCGCTGATGAAAAATAGACTTGAAAATAGATCTGTTACAGATCCCTCTTTCATCCAAAGTCTGCACTATTTTTCAACTATTTTTTAACTATTTTTCGTCTGTTAGCGCAGTTGCAGTGATATTAAATGCGCGTACGCTTTAATGCAATGTACGCAATTTTCTGTACTACTCGCTGCATTGAGACGCATTCTCTCATCGCCAATAATTTTTTTATTTTCAGCAAGTCTTTTGACTCCCATAATAAATATCCCAAAAGGTTCGAGAATCCCCCTCCCCGTCGCATTTCTAAAATTTGCACACGTTGCGGTTAGTTTGACATTCAACAAAGTAGAAGAGATATCTCATCTCAAAGCGAACTCGATAATTAATGTTGTTCAGATGGGGCGGCAAATTGCTTCTACTCCTCATTCTACGTCGCTTCTCTTTTCTTCAACATTTCTCGATCTGCACCTCAATCTTCGCCGATTGACACAATTAAACCTTGATGATATCTGATGCACCGCGCCACGCGAGACACACGAACCTCCATGTATGGCACGCTATTTCGGAACGGATTTGAGTTGCAAAATTAGCCGCCGCCGAAATTTACCGCCAATGAATTTTTCATTCGTATCGCATCGCTCGCGCGCGCGAGCGCCCACATACACACAAATCTCATTTTGTTGGAAGATTTTCCCGGTTAATTAGGCTCTTTGAGATAAGAAATTTCAACGAAACGGACGAGGCAATTTCTTGTCGAATCGCGAGCAACATGCAATTACAGTTGGCCGATATCAGTTCGCGATATCGTGTTCTTTCTTCATTTGCGCAACAATCACCTTGTACAACAAGTTGCACCAAATAAATGATCGATATGCATGCATAATTGCGCAATTCGAGGTGAGCGCGGGGTCTCGTCGCGATTATCGCCATGGCGGAAGTTGGCTGACTTCCTTTTGGCAAAAGCGTTTCTGTCAACATGCTCGTCTGAATTTGAATGGCATACTGTAGAATATAATCTTTTATGTCTATTCAAATATAATTTGACGTTGCTATTGAAACATCAAATTTGAATCTTCAAGATTAAAAAAAATAAAAAATAAAAATCGACATTCAAATGGGAATATTAATCGATTTTTTCCGTGCTCACAAAAAAATGCAATCATTTGTAAAATTTGACGCTAAAAGGGGGGATTTTCACTATTTTTCATTATGCTGAATTGGTTCATAAAACATTCTTTTTTTGCCGATATTTATCTATTATAGGCGCCAAATGAAAACAAAAATAAATTTGTTCATTTTTTATCAGCGAAATATTGGTGGAAAACCCTTTGATGAAAATGAATTAACCTTACCCATAAGACTCATGAGGTGATTGTGGATCAAGTTTGATGACCCTCTCAAAAAAGTGATTATCAAACATCTTCCATCAGCTGTAAATATCTCAACTCGGAACCAAGTTTCGCGCATATTCGTCAATCTAATCTTCGCTCACGTCGAGGGTCATAAATACTCAAATGTTTTTACAATGGGAGGTGGTGTCTCTTCCATATATGATAGGGCGAGAAGAAGAGCAAGACATTTCATGAGAGGTGTCAAACGAGGGCTGGATAACGGTTGCGCAATGGTTTTCGGGGCCGTATTAATCATATTATGTCGTTCGGAGATTGACGAGATGAAGCGCAAGATTCAATATGTGTCCGCTGGATTTCATGGCAACCAATCCAATTAATTGACTATGGGCATCTGCGGACAACCTACGTGCCCATTACACAGATTTTAGCGATAATCGATATTTATTCAATTTCGCCTCAGGTTATGAGACATTTTTATACGGTAGCCCTCAAATCGGCATTCGCAAAAACTAATGAATTCATTTTCACCATATGACACCAATTGGTGAGAAGGTAGAATTTGGGTGAAAGTCATTTGGTGTGATAATGATCTGAAATGGCGGCGAAGGTTTTCATTGAGGAGGTGGAGGACACAAAACAATAATAATTAGTCGGGTCTCGCTAACTATGCAACGCATATTGTCGGCATAGTTACCGTATCTCAAAGGGAACATTTAGAGTGATACCGTGTGAACAACATGCCGTTTATTGCCATCCTCAAATTATAGGTTGTACAAATCGGTGTTGTGATGAATTACGGGTTCGTCATGCCGTCTGGATATACAGCCAACGGTCGAAATTTGAATCCAAATCTGAGACGGGCAAGAAGAGCTCGAGTAGGTCTCAAAACATGTGATGTTCTGAATCCTAGAAGAATGAAACGACTCTTTCTGGTTGGTTTTTGCAAACAGAAAAATTTCGAAGCTTCCAGTCTCGTCGTTAACCGTTCCAGATTTGATATATCAAGCCTCCTCTTCCTGCAAATGTTATCAAGTTCCTCTCATTCTCAAAAAGTTTGACATCAAATTAAGTCGACTTGACACTCCCCCCCCCCTTTCCTTTTTTTACCGTATCGCTCTCCTTCTTTTTTGGTCGTGGGTGTCAAAATTGGCGCAATTTGTTCATTTCATTTGAGTCGAATTAGATTGGTTGTCTGTCATCATCAAAAGTGTAGGGTAAACTTGAAGAAAAAAAAAAAGGCGACGGGCAGCGCGGCCGCGGCATGACGATGCTTATCTCATTGGCAATTTCGAGTCGAAATGTCTTCGTTTCCCATCCGACGCGTTTTTTTCGCGCACAATTCGGTTTGCCTCAATCGGACACAGTTGGCCCGACCCACGCAATAAAAAATTTTTTTTTTGACACTTTCGATCACACCTTCGATTTTGAGGCTTCAGCTAGAAGTCCTTTTTTTCCCCAATCGCTTAATCTGATCGAATTCGAACCGCGAGCAAACCGAAACCGTTCCCGACTGAGACTCATCCTAATTCGTTTCGACTTTATCGTTTTCATATATCTTGAACACAATTAAATGGTTTCGAAAATTCGCCTAGTTGAGGTCGACAGGGGGGAAATTTGTCGAATTCCAGTGAATCTCTCGATGTAATTGGAATTCTCCATTTTTTCTTAATCAATACAAATGAGCTTCAATTTTTAATTGTTAAATGCAGATTCTTAAATCTAATTCAAGTATTTGACAGTTATCATTTATTTCTTTGTGTTATCAGCGGAATATCAAATTTTTCTACTAGCAACATACCAGTCTTGCCCTTGATTAATTTGTGCTTTTCTTGAAGCTGATTCAAATTTCAGTTAAAAAGTCGTAATAGCTAGGGTTGTCATGATGTGGGGGGGGGGGCATTTCCAATTGATAAGCCACACTCGACTGTTCGTTGAAAAATTTGAGGTGGCTACAATCAAGAGCCCCTGTAAGGCTTCCAAGGGAAGCATTTTTGGAGTCTGTCTTAATTTTTTTTTTGCATGCAGATTTTTTAGAAAATTTCTAATCGAATGAACTAGGTCCCCACCTGAGTACCTATTAAGGTACCTATTAAATTTTATGAATAATTTGCCAATTTCAGGCACGCTCTAATCAATTTTTTGCAAAAATATATTGAATGAAAAAAAAACCGAAATGAAAAATAAATTTAGAAAACTGAAATATTAGTGTTTTTTCCAGAAATTTTTATCTCCAATTGATAATTGTTTTCGGATTTTTTTAATCATCATCATTATACTCAACCTAGACTTGGTACCAGCATATCATGTTGGTCCATCAATTTGTCATGCTCGTCAGGATGTGTTCACCCCATAATTAGCCTTAAAAGGAGGCGTGGCCTCGGCGTGCGATTGGCGCGTCGAATGAGGGGGGCGGGGTCGGCGGGGTTGCAATGGAGATGCCGCTCAGTTTTTCAACCCACGACCTCAACCTTCATTTTTTTTGCCGATGCATCCTAATAATAATGAAATCATTTGATCTACAGATGCACAACACAACTCCACTCAAGTTCGGAATCGAAGCGATTTTGTCGCCGAACTTCGGCTCGTCTAGTCCGCCGGCGTCGTGTGTGGTCTCGCCGATTCCGAGTCCGAATTCGACGAGCTGCAGTGTTCCGAGCCCGTCAAGCATCTCGCCAAACTTTGGAATCGACAATCGATCAGTGTACCCGGCATGGGTGTTCTGCACCAGATATTCCGATCGGCCATCCTCCGGTGAGCACCACAATTTGTGATTATTGAAGAAGATGAGCTGTCCATCTTAGGCTCACGACATCGAAAAACGAGAAAGAGAGATTCGACAGGAAGCTCAGGATCGTCGGAAGAGGAGAAGAGACCGCGGACGGCATTCACGACAGCCCAGTTGGAGAGATTGAAGAAGCAATTCCATGACAATAGGTTGGCTCATTTTCCTGACTTGAGTATCTAGATTACCGATTGTCTTCATGATTTCTAGAAAATTGAGAATTCGAGGTTAAAACAATTGAAAATTGACCATTTGACAACTTGGAACAGAAAATTTCATTGTGGAATTCACTCTGATTTTTATGGGATTCGCATTTTTCAATTTCAGATACCTAACCGAGAAGAGGAGACAAGAATTGGCTCACGAGCTCGGTCTGAACGAATCGCAGATTAAAATCTGGTTCCAGGTAATTAGCAGTAACAATATTGTTCGCTATTGTTCATATTCGCCTCGAAACACAAGTTGCCCAAAAGGCGGTCATATCATAACGATCTTATCGTCGAATTTACCGTACACTTGCAAAAAATGGAACAAAAGTAATTAAATATGTAAATTTGAGCGAGCACACATAATAAGAAACAATAAAGTATTACTGTAGGCCAATTTTCAAATTTCGATGCCATTTTTGAAGGCGTCGGAACCCGTTCAAAAACCTATAATCCATTATTGTTGTATTTCGCGCGTTCAATTCTCGGCGTCTCTTCCACACCGCACGCTATTTCGTATCGCGATTTGAAATCTGAACGACCGACAAAGTGATTGATTATGACCATGCCGCGTATACATAAAATGTTCCAAGTTCAGCTATGCCTACCGTCGGTTACAGTAATCAAACATTTGAATTCACTTCTCGTCGAACGCATAATTTCAAAAACAATTTTTGAAAGTGTGAAAAATTCGGAATAGTTTGGAATATCGGAAGAAAAATTCGGAAATGATAAAAAAAATGAATAATAATAATAATAATAATTCAAATTGAGGAGATTTTACGAGCCATTATTTATTTTTATGATTTTTCCCACAAAAAATTTTGTTATTCTATTTAAGGTCGGAATCTGGCGTATTGGGTCTCGCATGGAATCCATTATTACTATCATTAGTATTATTGTTTGGAAAACGACGAGATGTAATCCATCCGGACCACACGATGGACCACCCCCAATTAAAATACCGTAGTCTTATGTTGAAATTCAAATTGCACACCTTTTTGCACGCGTGCGCCCACCGAACAAGTTTTTTTTTGGGTTGATGACTGCTGTTGCCAAAAAACCGAACAAAGGCCGCGACACGCGACCAAATCGACAAAAAATAATGAGAAAAAGATAATGATCGAGGTTTCTTCACAGTCTCATTAAAAGCTGGATGTATTTCAAATTTCAACACAAAAAAAATAGAAAGAGTTCATCGTTAATTTTGCAGAATAAACGCGCCAAATTGAAGAAGGCGAATGGCGAACGAACACCATTGAGCTACCAGATGATGGCGCAACTCGCTCAGGCTCAAGTTGCTGCACAAGGTGCATGCATTAGACTATGATTTCAGCGGATTCCACCCAGTTATTAGACTAGTCGATTAGCAAATTACATGTCGTTTTCATTCAAGATATCGCATTTTTATTTCATCACTCATCCCAATCCACCAAACCCACATTTACCTCTTGAATTCATCCAATAACGTGTTGTCCATTCCAACCATAAATTGAGCAAATTATGACAGATTTTTTTTACCTCTATGAGTTGTAGATCTCGTTCATTTCATCTATGTAAATATTTATTGTGGTTTTTCTGAATAAATCTTTTCTCGAATTTCAAGACCAATGAAACAGTTGTCAAATGGCCATTTTTTAACCCTCGAAAAGGAAGTGCTATTTTCTCAAGGTTTGCCGAAAATCTAAATTCAAAAATTGTCGTTTTTGCAACGCATCGCTGACACAGCAAAGCCAATATCTCGCTATTTATACGCTGAAGGAGGCGGGGCCAACTGTGTGTAATATTGCGTCAGAAAGTCCGCATTATTGCGTCGAACAAATTTCAAATTTTATTTATTATATTAATTATGACGAGAAATTACTATGTTTTTCAGCATTTAGATGTCGTCTAGCAGTAAAAGAAAATCTGAAGTCAATTCCAATGAGAATTCTGGTAAAAAACCGAAAAATCCTACCGCTAATGCGTCAAATTCGTCGGTAATTTAAGATTTTTCATTTAAAAATTCAGATATTGTTTAGGAATCGAATTCTGAACAGCAATTACTAATGTTACCTGATGATTTTGAAAAGCTTGACACAAATGAGGTTTTTAATTGTTTCTGGGTAAATTTTAAACATACATTTCAGAAATTTTACGCGGCTGAGGACAGAATTTCAATAGAAATGGGACATCAGAATATTGTTCATGAATTTCTTGAGGATGCGGCAGTTATTAAGCAGGCACTTCTCGACATTATCGATGGAAAAGTCTCATCGAACAAAAAGCTAAAATTTCATTGAAATAAATTTAGAAACTCCATAAAAATCTTGTTCCAAGACTTGCGAAAATGAGACGACTCTCACGATTGAATCATTACGCGACTTCCAATCTTAAAAAACAAACTGCAAATCGTTTGGATGAAGTTAACCCATTAATTTTTATGATTAATTTATTAAAATCATTCAGGTTGATGCGAAACTATTACAATTACAAAATACAAATAGCGAAGTTCAGCATATTCAAAAGGAAATCGAACGATGTTTAGGATTTAGGTAATTTTCAGAAATTTTAGAAACTTAATTAAAAATTTAAATATAGTGCCGGTGATGAGGAACTGAATTTGATACCCGTGGATGAGTTTTACGAGGTTGCTCCGGAATCAATCTCACAACCGGAAATCACGCAAAATGATCCCCATAAACAGTATTTAGCTCGATTAGAATATGAAGAAGAACAAAGGAAACAGTAATACTTGAATTTTGAACAAAATCTTTAAGACGCGAGTTTTCCAGACTTCAAGCAACTCTACAGGAGCTTGAGGGTCGCCGTAATGTGCTTGCAAGCGATATACGAGGAAAAGAGCAAAGACTGCAGAGTTTGAAGCCAAATATCAGCGCCATGATCAAATCGGCAATTCCCGCACAAGATATTCTTGGAGCGAAATACTCCGACGTCGAGAATTGTGCGGAACAGAAACTTCTCTCCTTCTCACTGGCCGTTCCATTATCAGTTTTATACGTCCAAGCAATGGCTTATAAGGAATTGATGGATGGTGAGCAACGTTTGACATTTTCTTTATAGGACAACGTAGACTGTTGCAAGTTTGCAAATAGCAGTGGTGGTCGATTCACTATTTCCTATCACGTCTTCATTTTTTTTTTTCTTCAGACAAACACATTTCCGTGAAAATCAACGGTACACTTGAAGGATCGCAAAAGTTCTCGAAGAAGGAAGAAGCTGAAATTGATGTGAAGGAAAGCGAAAATAGTATTCAGAAGCGTGTCGAAGAATCGTCGTCAAGAATTTTTGAAACTCATCCGTTGAATATTGATATCGGCGTTGAATGCGTTGAACGTAAGTGATTTGTTAATTTTACAATTTTTCATTCTTAAGTGATTTTTTAGACGATTTGACTATTATTGTTAATTTCCAATACATTCCCGAGCTCAAAGTGGCAACAATGAAATGGTCAATAGACGGAGGACATGTGATCTCAAAAGAGACTCTTCTTGTGGATTTGTTTGAAAATGATAATGGTGAAAAATGTCCGAATGCGATTGGAAATGTCAAATTGGAGCATTTAAAGTGCGCGGTTTCGAATGGATTTTCCTTCAATCATGATTTTGCAGAATCAATTTTGATTCAATCGCAAAAACTGTTGGTCGGCCATATAAGGTTGTTCAAGCATTATGTGGAGGTACGATTATTTTATAGCATCTCACAAAAATATCTCGCTTTCAGACGTGCAAGAAGATGGAGAAGCTGATTTGACCGAATTGATGCGAAAATTTATAGAAGCAATTAGACGGCGCGTAGATAATCGAAAAATGCTGGAAAAAATCATATCTGGTAAATTTCGTTGTAAAAAAGAACAAATCAAATTTTTGAATATAAAACAGATGCGGTGAAAACAAATTCAATAACCGGTGGATTAAATATAAAGATTTCCAGTTTCAAAAGTGTGGAAGAAGAAAAATTTGCGGTAGCCAGTTGGTTATAAATCCCCAATTATTAAAGACTTCCAGACTTCAATTCCAAAATCATTGAGCCAATTAATTTCGTCATCAAATCTAAGCGATTTTATGAGATATCGTGTGGAAATGGACGACGAAACCAAAAAACATCGGTATTTTCTTTGGATTTTAAAATATTTGAATAAGATTTGATAGATTAACTGCATGGATTGCTATTCCTTGTGATTTCCCGCGACGATCTCCGATGTTTGGATTGGCAATGCATTCGGAGAAAGAGGAAGACCAATTCTTAAAAGTCTACATGGAAAAAAATGAAAAAAATAATAATAAATTAATTGTTCAGGACGCCGAAGATCAAGTAAACGACATTAAATCATTTGGAATCGAGACATTATCCAAACAACTTTCAAATATTGCACAGAATTTTGATCTCATCATTTCAAGCACAACCGAATGATCATTTTTAAATATTTCAGATATTTTTGATAAATTTCTTATTTGTTTAGCTTTTTCCCTGATTTCTTTTTAATTGGTTCAATACTGAAACTATATTTGTAAAAAAGCTTCATAATTCCTTCAAAATGATTTTAGCGTTTAAAGAAATGTCATCAAAATGTTGGTGGAAGGCGTAAGTTTGACTTTTAATTCAAAAAAAAAAACAATTGAAAATTTTCTAGAAAAAAAGTAAGGACCGAATATTCGTTGATTCAAAATGTCCGAAATATTTTTTCCGATTTGAATGAATGGAACGAAATGCATTCATTTTATGTAAAACTAATAAGCAATCGTTGTGTGTGAAGAGGAATTTTTAGTTTCCGCCCGACGAGGTTGAACTAGAGAAGCGTCGAGTCATTATTATTCAAAAGACGATCGCACAAGTCGGCCAATTGCCTTGGACAGATCAATTTGTGAAAATTCTCTATAATTTAGACGAATCGGTTTGAAAATTTTGCACGATGAAAATGAATAAAAATGAAACCATTTAGGAACGCGAGGAACTTTTTGGGACATTTAATGTTATCACCTATAAAAAATTTATCAAGGAGCGACCGTTTTTATTCCAAAATTTTGATGAAACTTATGGGCCAATAAATCGTGAATTCTTCTTCTAGTAAGTACTTTTAGAAAATCAAATTAATTTCTTTTTTCAAATGATTTTCAGTCTTCTGAGCATGTATATAGCTAAGTATACGAAAATGAAGCGTAAAGTGCCGCTTGAAGAGTTATACTATAAGATGAATTCGCGAAAAGCCATTCCACCGAAAGTGCGCGAATTGATAACCGATACTCTCGATGATATATTGCATACGAATAAGCAATACCTCAAGATCAAACATCGTCTTGTCGAGGATTTAGACTTTCATGATGAATTATATGATGATACTGAAGCGTTTTCAATGGAGAATATAGAAGACGATCAAATCGGTGAAATTGATGACGATGAAGAGGAAAACGATGAATGCGAAAATACGCAGAATTTCCAAAATATGTCATTTATTGATTTTGTATGTTGAAAACTAACAAAAAGAAATGTTTTTGCAATGTTGCTTCAGGGCCGAATGTCGCGAATAGAAGTTTATCAAAAATCTTTGAGCAAATGTGATGTTGTGCTAAAAAAGGAGATTCGAAACTGTATTTCGCTATTCTATGAATGTGGCATTAATTTGCCTGGGTGAGAATCTTTGAATTTTCTACTCAATATTATTTTTTTTGAATTTTAGTCCGGAAAGTGATGAAATTAGATCGGATAAATCGAGACAGACGAAAGTTTTGGGAACAGTTTTCTCAATTCACATGGATAATATTAAGGTATTTATTTTGATAATTATCATTTTTGAAGATGAAAAAAAACTTGATGGACCTACTCACGCATTGTAGTTTTTTTTACAAAAAAAAGTGTAATTGTTCATTTTATTCATAATTTTTTGTAGATCAAATTGAATAGAAATGATAAGGATGTGGATCATTACTACGTTTACATATCTCCGAGCAAATTGGGAATCACAGAAAAGGAGTTGAAAAATTTCAAGTTGGGTCGAGAGGTGTGTTCGATTAGACGGAAATGCTTATCAATGTTGTTTTCAGATTGTTTGCGATGTCTACCGGAGCTATAACACAAGTGAACAAGTTTTATATACAGTAACAGGCTATCAATTTGTTTCGAATGCGATGCGAAACATTTTTCTGAATTGCGCAAAAGAAGGATTATTTTATACGGATTTCGAATCAAACGAAGCAGAAAATGATGAAGTTCACGAAAACGACGTTGCGCAAGAAGCACGATTCGCGATAGTACTTGAATTCATAAATTTAATGATATTCAGATAACGGAGTATGAAATGGAGTTGATCCAGATTATCGAATACATTCTTGTTGAAGATAGATACAAGGATATCATTGAAGTCGTCAATGAGCTTCCATCGTAATAATTGATTCATTTCAATGCAATCAAATGAAATTTCCAGCAAATACTCTCACTTTGAGAAAAATGATATTATTCGATTCTTGGTGAATCAAAAACATCTTTATGATATTGACAGTAAGGAAAAATTTATAAGGAAACTCCAACCGAAGAAAAGATATGTGAGAGAAATTTTAAGTTTAAAACATTATTTATCTAAAAATGTTTTTAGCAATATTATTCTGAAGACCTCAGAAAGAATCGTAACCCTTCTTCGTTAGTTCCAGTTGATAATAATGGGTATGAGATAATTATTTTATATCATTTAAATGATTAATATTCAGAAATATCAATTATAATTTGAGTTGATTTCGACGAGTCGAGTTTCTTTTGAAAATTATCGTTTCGTCTTTCTGTTATAATATGTTGTCGTTGAATATCTGCGGGTATATGTACATAATCCATAAATTATTCGTTTATTTTTCACTGTTTTTGGACGTACAACGAGTTTATTTGGATTCTCGTCTTGGTCTATCTTGTTGATTGCTCTTGATGAGATAACGGACCTGTTTTTTTCCATTAGAAAATCTTATTTTATCTAATCAAATTTTTTTGAATTAAAATTCAAAAAAAAAAGAACAATTTCTTTTTATTTATCCATTATTAATTGATATCTGACTCATATTTGTTTGCTCCTTTTCCAGTCATGGGTGGAGTCAAATCAAAAGTAAACGTCGAAGTGATCCAAAATGAGGTGAAAACTGATCCACTTGTGGTTTATACGAAAGAACATTGCGAATTTTGCACACGGACAAAAAATTTGCTAGCTGATATCAAACTTCCGTACAAGGTTTGTGTTTTATTTAATAAAAAAGAATTTTGAAAGATACGAGTGCCGCCAAAAATCAATTTTTTTTTTCAGGAAATCAATTTAGATGAATTGAAAAATAAACTGCCGAAGGAATATCTCGGAATTGTGAATGGTTTGGTGTATACAACTAGGCAGACAAGTGTTCCACAGGTATGAAAACAAATCTCGAACAAGTTTAAACCGACAAATCGTTTCGAATTCAAGATATTCGTGTGTGGCAAATTTATCGGAGGACACACGGAACTTGAAGCTCTTCAGCGTTCCGGTCATCTCTTCGAAGCTCTTGCTCAATGCACCGGCGAAAACGCTCCACGTGAGCAATAATTTGTTTTATTTTGATTATTAGATTGTATGTGTAAAAATGAATTTATTTCGATCACCCGAGATATTGTTGAAGCTCGGGAATTCGAGTTACGAACCGTTCCACGACATCTTTAAAGTTTTGATCGCTGCCTAATTTGCCGTTGCTCATTTTTTCCTTCAAAGCCTCCACGATAGATTTAATCACATCCACATCATCCTAAAAACAGTTTCAGGAGCTCTTAAACATTCGATTCGACTTACAGCGAATGCAGCGACGAGAAGAATTGAAAGAATTATCAAGAGAAATCTCATATTTTCTCAATTTTCATCCATTGTGCCATTTTTATAAGAAATTTTCATGAATATTCATGAGTTTATTTCCCACAGTTTATGGGTAAAAAATTTTTTAAGCAAACATTGAATTTTCAACGTTTTTTATAGTTATTCAAGAATTTATGACGATTATTTACAAAAGAAACTGAGATGAAGAAAATCAAAGAAAATTGAACTTCATGATACAATTGCAAGTTGGACAAATTTTTCAAATGTTTCGACATACGGTGCGAGACTTGTGTGCTTGTAAGCTAACACTTTCCTCGAAATGCCTCCGTTTTCTGACATATTTTCTTCATTTCCTTCCTCGAAATCCTTCAATTCATTCACGAGATGGCTAAATATTAAAAATTCCATTGTTTAATTATTTTTAAAATCGAACTCACTCAATTCTTGGGCAATTCTCAACATCGAAATTCTCAATATCGTCAACATTCAAAGGCACAGCGACATTTCCAGTCTTTGGATGAATACAAAAAGGCGATTTCAGCAAATGATTTGTTCCTTAAATGAAAATGGATGCTTAAAATGAAACATGCTAATAATTCGTTACCCGTGGAAACATTAACATCCAATCGTGGATAACATCTTTGAAGCACAAAATACTTGAGAACATTCTTGTCTCTTCCAAACGCCGGCGGCGGCACATTGTCACCATTTTCCTGCAATTCCTTGCGAGTATCATCGTCGTAGAGCCGAAGAAGAAGTTTCCAACGACATTCTGGAGTATCAACGCTGAAACGAATAAGTTAAGGGAAACTATTCTCAAAAAAAAAATTATGGTGATTTAATAATAGATGCAATTTAAGTACCTTCTCAAGTATTCCTGCAAAGCCATTTTTCCCGCCGAGGTCATATATTGATACTCAAAAACAACTTCGGCGTCATTTAACCAACCTTGTTCAATCACCTTTAAAATAAATAAGCTCAGTATTTCGCTAAAACAGGTCTTACCATTTCGGAGAATGTTGTTCCTTTCATGGCAGCTTTATACGCTTGCGTTACATGCGGTGGATTCACAGTCAACTTTTTCTTACCTTCCGTTACTTCAACCTTGTTGTGCTTCTGTCAATTAATAATAAATAATCAAATTGTTGTGAAGCTCAGCACCTTGAACAAGTTCAATCTCGTCGCTATTGCTGATCTAGCAGTACTATGAAGTTGTCGAGCTTTCTTGTCTCCAATCCAGCAATGGACTCCGCGACGACCCGAGAAAACCCAAAGACGAGCCTTGAATCCAAATTGCTGTTCGAGAAGGCAATCCAAAATTTTCACGGCTTGAACAACAAATTTCCAGCATTTGGGGCAAACTTTTGCGTCCCTGGAAATAATTTTGAAACGTATATCCGATAATTAAATTAAATTACTTGCAGCACGTTCGAATTGTATCATAATCCGTCAAATCGATATCGAATACGAGCTCTCTTTCAACTGCTTGAAAATCCGTATGTTTTCGATGATCTTTTGGCTACAATTTCGGTTTTTTTTTTCGTAAATTCTATTTGCAATTTTCAAAACGAACCATATGATTATAAACAGCGCCAACATCAAGTTTATGAGGGTGAGTAGCTATTAAATCTTTTTGAAATGAGAGAACATCGTTAAAACTTTTATAACGTAAGTGAACGTCGTCAGCAAGAATGAATGCAAACTCACGGCGACAAAAATACTCGGATGGCTCTGACAAAATGTTTTCAGATAAAATTTATTTTGTTCTTACTTTGACCATATTGAAGCCATTTAACATAAGGTTTGAATGGAAAAAGATTCCTATAATAGGTTACCAGGTCACTGTCAAACCGTAATGTATTGTAAGACATCTAAAATAAAAATATCGATTAAAATCGTGTAAAAAACAAAAAAAAATTTATTTCAATTTTGAATCTCAACAAACTCGCGCACAGTACAGTAGAGCAGATATGCACTAGTTTTCTTCAATTCGTTCTTGATTATTTTATTGTTGCTCGTTTTATAATGATTTAAAAAAAAATCTAATTATTATCTTTTCATGAATTTGTATTCCAGATAGAAATGCTACGATTAGTTGATATGCCGCATTCTAGTCGATGCATAACGAAGCCTGGTAATAATTTAAGCATTCTCTCAAATCAAACTCATGTTGTTTTTTTTTTCAGAAAAAGTAGTAATTTGTTTTCATATGAATACTCATCAAGATTTCTACGAAATGCAAAAATGTTTAGAGCAAAACAAACTTGAAATAGTGGAGAAAGTGCGTGACTATTACCAAATAGAGAATTACAAAGTAACAAATTTGTGTCGTAATAAAAATTTAAAAAGTACTTTTAAGAAATTAATAATTATTGTAAATCCGAAGGCAATAGTCGAATTTCTAAACATGGAATGGGAGCGACGAATTAAGCACCTGTTTCGTAATATGCTCGAGTTAGAGAAACTGATGTGGACACTATCAACATTAGGCGGTGCTTATTCAGCAATGGGCGATTTCGACAAAAAGTTTGTAAGTAATTATTGAATTACGAAGAATAAAACGCCAAAAGGGTATTTTCAGGCGGAAACGGCTGCGAAAATATCTCAAAAGCAGTTAGAAATTGCTTCAAAGTTCGGCGATCCCAACATTTTAGCAAGATGTCTTCTCTACGTTGCTCTTGCCGAAGCTCAAATGGGTCGGTTTGGAAAGGCAGTAAAAATTGTCAGGTATGAGCTATGAAATCGCTTTTTCAATTTACATTAGAAAAACTTTAGATATATCTATAATTGGGCAAAAACTCAGACAGACGCTGAGTTAGTCGTTCGTTGCTCTCAAGGTGTTTATCAGAAGATTGTCGCAATTCGTCGATTCAACGCATAATAAATGTATAATAATGTATATAAAATCAAAGTACGGATTTTTAAGAGTGATGCAATAAATACACATATAGATATAATTTTATAAGTTTCCAATATTTTTGAACAATTCGTAGAATTCTTTCACAACTGTTTGAATTGTGCCGATAATTTCAAAAATTGCATCCACATCCGGATGGTATGAATAGAGAAACATTCGTACAAGTTTTCCCTCTCGAGATGGCTAATTAAGCGGGCTAGTAATTACTGTAGTTTTCGCCGAGACCCGATTGAGGTCAGTCGGGTATTCCAGTGCTAATTGTTCCGAACCATTCGATGAAATTCCATCTATGAAATCTTTCAATTTTCAATCGATTGTCTCCCAATTTTTCGAGTATGAAAGCACAATTGTTGTTCGTTGGCCACTACCATTCATTATCATTCCACCCCTAATTACTGTAACACTAGTTACGCTCACTGTGAATAATTTTCATTTGAATATCACCAATGATACCCTTCAAGTGTTTCTACCAGATGATATGCAAAGCTTAAGAGATCTAAAAGAGGTTGGTAATAAACAATGGGTGTAATTAAGTGCACCAAAGAAATTATAGTTGATGAACCTGTTTCCGCCAAAAGATGCGCAAAGAGACACATACAGTATATTCGGAACCAAATTCGTTTACACGGTCATCGAAGAAACGAATTCCGACAATATTTTGACGAGTCAAGGGATTGCCAAAATGGCAAGACTTCATCGATTTGTAACAGGGCTTTCCGTATGTGAAACCCAATTAGGAAACGAAACTATATTAATTAATAATCACAGACCACAAATGGGGAGACATTGACATCGGTTTGTCTAAAATCGAATATGGAAGATGGGTGTACGATTCATCCGATCGCATTCGCATTGGAAGATGAGTCGCCGGTAATTGTCTTCAATGGAATTAGCTCGATATTTGGTTTTGATAGGAATTCGCAGTTCAATTTTTATTGCGCTATCCGATTCTAAAATTTGGTGACTTCACTGTTGACAATGCATTGATGTATGGAGGCGTGAAAGTCGACAATAAGGTTTGAAACAAAAAATGATTTGCTTCTAGAACATTTCTTGGAATTTTAAGAGTTTAGACAGCTACGGTAACGCGCCAATCATCTCATCGAAGGCTGTCCGTCTGACATACATTCTAGAATCGACGCAGGCCGCTGAAAGGTTCATTTCTCTTCAATTTCATATTGAATTCAATTTTCAATTCAGATGGATTGACACGTTTCTCCACGAAATCCAATTCTACAGTGATGTGAATACAAGTGTTTTGTGGTCGTCTTCGAAAAGTTTGGCGAAGGAAATGGAGCGCAATGGTGAACTTCTGATTCCTTGGATGCCTTGGACTTCATTGGTTCTTGTCGCCTTCTGCATGTTGGCTTGCTCATCGTTCGACACTGTCAAGTAGGTGGAATTCGTGCAAACAAAATTCAATAGCAAATTGTTGAGATCGCAACCGTTTATCGGGTTTTTCGCCATGTTCAATGCCGTAATGGCCACTGTGGCATCGACATCTCTTTTGATCTACATACAGTACTCATTCCTACCATTAGTATTCATCATGCCATTCCTTGTCGTTTGTAATTCGATTATATAATAACGAAAAGAAAATGTTTGGCAATTCTAGCCATCGGCACCGATAATATGTTCCTAATGCTGAAAAGCTGGCGAATGACAAAGGAAGGAATCGATGAAGAGCAGAGGTACATTGATGCGCTCACCGAATCGGCAGCCTCGTTGTTTCTGACGTCGCTGACCGACGGATTGTCTTTTGCGATCGGAAGCATTTCCGATTTTCATGCAGTTCGTTAGTGGAATTTTCTTTCGACTGTCATCTGAAACTCGATGATTCATTTTCAGGCGTTTTCTGCACATATTGCGCAATGGCGATCCTCTTCATGTTCCTATTTCAAGTCACATTTTTCAATGCGGTCATGTCGCTTTGCTGTCGCCGTCAGACGGCCAATAAGCACCCAATTTTCTGTTGTTATGAGGCCAAACCTGCAAAAGGTTGTCATCGGCGCGCAATTTGTCTCAAATTCCAATGAGTTTCAGAATCGCCGATTCTCAATAATCATCGTAATACGAAGAAACGACAAACTAATTGGTCGTTGGCGAGGCTTTTAGCACGAATTCTGAATCCTTGGTATTCTAGAATAATTGTCCTGATGATATTCCTCGGTTATTTAATTATTTCAATTCATTATGCTTTAGGTTTGACAAATCAATTTTGGGTTTTATTCGAAACATGTTTTGTTCAGCTCTTCCTCTTGGCCTTGACCTCAAACTTTTGGCTCCTGATGATTCTTACGTCTCAAAAGAGCTCGAAGCTCAAGAGCGCCTATTTTCGGATTACGGTGGATATTGTTTCGCCGTCGTGCGAACTATCAACGTTTCGCTTCAACATCCCGAAGTTCGACGAGACCTCGTGCACCTTTATAAACAATTAGGAATGTCGGAGTACGCTTCGCGGGCCGAGTTCTGGCTCGAAGACTTCGAGATGAAGCATCGAATGAAGCGAATGGATTTTGAAGCATTCGCGGACGAACTACACACATTTCTGTCGAGAGAACACAATTTGAAATATCGAAACGATATTCGGTGAATATTTTCAACAAAAAATAGACACACAAGAATAATCGAAATGTTAAGTTTCACGCTGCGCGGCGAAATTGAAGCAATGAAAATGATGTTTCGAATAAGAAAACTCGGCAAAGAAAATGATGGTCCGAGGGCAAAATACATGAGAAAAGTGATGGTTGAGAGTCGATTTCCGGGGTTTGTCTATGACACAAGGTAATGAGAATTTGGCGAATATAGGCAATCGCATCAATTCAGCTTCCTATTAGTTGACCAGCAGATGACAACAGTTTATAATGTGATAATTGATGTAATTTCGGCAATTCTCACAATGCTCGCAATTTGTGTTCTAATGGTTTGCTAATAAATCCTCTTGGAGTATACTGACGTATGGGGGTGGATTTACGGAAGAATCGGTTCACCGCACGTGGCGAGACCATAATAAAAGACGCGCCCGTAAATCTACCCCCATAGATTAGTTGCCGAACGCCGAATACATGAACAACTATGTGCCTATCAGGTGCCCCGTCCCGTTTCGGCGATGTGTATCGCTCTCGCCATCTTGTCAGTGAATATCGGTGTAATCGGCGCGCTGTCAGCCTCGAATACCCGTCTGGATATCATCTCGATGATCACGATCGTAATGAGCGTCGGATTCTCTGTCGATTACGTCACCCACACCACATTCCATTATGTCATCACTCGGGATAATCGATTAGAAGTTGGACACACAATCCTCGGTACCAATTTGAATCGAATATTTTCAGAAATGTCTTCTCGTTATGACTGAGCCAATTCTTCAATCGGCTCTGTCAACCGCCATCGGTGTTTCCCTTCTCTCATTCGTCAATTCCTACATTGTCCGAACGTTTGTGAACACCGTGTTTTTCGTCGTAGGACTTGGAATTCTTCACGGCCTCATTTTTCTTCCGGTCCTCCTCGACACCATCGTAAGTAGATCAATGAGGTGTACGGTGAGAAGCTGTTTGATTTCAGGTTCCCGACTCCGAATTCATGGAACCTTATGAAACAAATCACGATAATCATATGGAAGAGGGTCCGATTTATGAGTATCCTTATGGTTTAAGAAATGAAAACAAATGAGAGAACAAACATAAATGAATGAAAACGCCCGTTGTCGACATTGCTGTTCAACGAAATTTTGGTTTTTTCCTAAACGAAAACCGAAATTGGAAAGAAAGGACCAATGTTGATTTTAATGAGCTTACATCGGTTAAAGCTTTTTGAGTACTGTTCATCACTGCAAATTCTTCCGATTTCATCTCATTATTTTCTTCTGAAATTAAAAAAAATAGTTATTATTTGCAAGATCGCGTTGAACTCTGACCACACGTCGTCCCGTTTCCTTCAATGGTCACGAACCCAATGTCCAATAATTTATTGCATGTGTCCCATGAAATATTGACGAGTTTTGGATTCTGGTAAGCGTATAGAATCTCACGATGATCGCCAAGAAATGGAACGCTCTAAACAAAAAATGGGCATATTTCTCGTGTATATTTTCAGTCGAAACAAAAAAAAAACGACGACAACACCAAGAAACCTTCAACGAATTGAATTCCACCTGCGAAATATTCATATTTTTTTGTAGTAGAATTGCAGGAAGTGTTGCTGGAATATCGATCAATATTTCTACGCAAATTAGGGGGAAATGCAGAAAAAATGTTTTTTTATATGAAAAAAAAGAAAAAAGAATCGAAGATTGCGTTTTCGTTGGATTCGCATCGAGACACATCGATTTAATAAATGGCATGCGTCTTAAAATATCGTAAACGAAGACATTTCATCGAAAGACAACGTAAAATTATTAACAAAAATCCGCATGAAGCAGAGATACGGTATTTTAAGACGCATACCGTTTATTTATACGATGGGTCTTGATGCGAATCCATCGAAAACACGCGTATCTTCAATTCTTTTTTCTTTTTTCTGCATCGCATTTTTCTTTTTTTTTTTGAATTTTTTTCTACATTTCCTCATTACACAAATATTACGTTGAAAATTATAAATTCTCCAAAGTTTTGGAAATTTCAAAGACGTCAACTTTGTGTTGAGCACGATTATTGATCCAAATATTTGCTCGATATCATTTAATCTGTGAACCATCAAATTAGTTGAATCAAAATAGATGATTACCGGTTTTGGAATTGCTCGCTGGTATTAGGAGTGGAACCATTCAAGACAAGCGAGTCAGTAAGCACCTGACAGCCTTCTTGAATGTTGGTGTCGTCGAAGAATCCTTGCGTGTCCAACGCGCAATACATTCCTGACAAGAAATGAATAATAACAAAGCCAACCAAACCGAATTTATATATATATATATATATACTTGTTGGATCGCAAATATTCATATGCGGAGCATAAAATCGACTGGTATTGAAGAAAATTTCAACTTCTTTCTCGGTAATGCATAACGATGGATTCAATGAAATATACAAGCCATAATCGGCTCCGCGTGTGACGTCAATCTGAACAAATTTGAACAAGTTTTCATTTCATATTGTTCGCACTTCTTCCAAACTATCCAAATATAACCTGCGGAGCAAATTGTTCTTTGCCAATGTAATTGCATTTCCATAAACTTCAAAAAAACGGTGTTGAAATGAGCATTAATACATATAAGATTACCGGAACACGTTTCGGAATTGCCAGTTTGCGCATAGATCACAGTTCGCAGATTCGATAAAAATTTGAGCGATGTCAATCCGGAATTGGCAATCAAAAGACATCCCGTTAGTTTTGCCAACTTTTTCAATTTGAACTCGATTAGCTGAAAAAAGTTTTTCTTAATTTAAATACTGTCTGCTTTTTTTTCCAAAAATCATTCAAAATATTTTAGAATGTAAAAATATTTTCTTTTTGCGACCTTTTATTTATTTATATTCATAACAATTTTTACAGTAATCCGATGTTTCGATTGGTAGATCATCACCTTGCATAATTGTGGAATATCGCAATTTTTCGAGCCGGTAATTCAAATTCCAATTTAAACAGTTGGAATTTGGCTACTCTACTCTTGATAACCTGCGAATCAAACTTAAAAGTAAATCGGCGCAGGGCGCTCGTTTTTTTGCGACTGCAATAAAAGTGAAGATTTGTAAGCCTAATGAAAGTATAATGATAGGTTAAAGGCGCACACGGCACATCGAGAGCAAAAATCAAAAATGAAAGTGCGGCACACTATCACAGGCTAATTTTTTAAATTATGTGTAATGATTAGTCGCGATTTTCTTTTAGTTTTTATGAAGTTGTGACTTTTATTTTGATATTCGGTTTTTAAAATCGTAAAACACAAAAATATACACGTATTTATTTATTCATACTTAATCCATCAAGTGTGGCCGTGGCAGAACCTAATTTTTGAGAAATTTTTTCTAGGCCACATGTGAGTCCCTGCGAGTGTAAATATTTAGCTTATTTTTCGTAATTGCGCGATTTCGACATTATCTTTTATTATTCATTTTTCAATTTTCGACGAATCCAGTGTTTTTTTTTTTCGCCTACATATTTGGAATAAATACCTCAAATGGCGGCATTTCCGATTCGAGACCGATTTGAATGTGACCATCAATTTCAGTGCAATTGTCTGGAAGAGTATCGATGCGACATAAAGCGCAAACACATTCTGTAATTTTCGCACGTTTCGTATACTCATTTTCCCATTCACTTTCACCTTTTAGTTGAGAACTCGTAAAAAACTGGAACAAAACGACTAGCACAATAAATAATTTCGATGATATCACAAATGCCATACAGATCGCATTTGATCGAGATTTCAAAGCTGCAAATCAATTGAGTTTACCCTAATCGGCAATAAATGGCACAAGAATCCAAGAGTGTGATATTTATTCAAATATTATTCAGTGGCAGCTGATTTTTCTGCTCACTACGAATCGACATTTTCAAAGTCTCAATTATCTTAATATAATGAGAACATGTAGAAATTTTCTTCATTTCACGAAAAACAATGAATTTCCTAACAGGAATAGAAGAATAAATAAGGGAATGATTAGAATACTCAGAATTCTTTTTTTAAACAATAGGTTTGAAAATTCCAAAACAAAAAGTTTTTTTGCCTCAATAATCTCCATGATATTATGAACAAATACACAAGCACCCCCCCCCAAATTTCAACTCAAAAAAAAATAAATTCAATTAAAAATTGGTGTAGGGTTTCGAAGAAATCTAATAATCTCGTCTGACCGGAATTCTAATCCATGGCAACGCGACGAATAAAAAATTGCTCGCGCGCGCTCACACACCCCGCTAATCATTTTCGACATTCTCTGTTTTTTCGGGGGCAAAATTTTTTATTTACATGGAGTTAATCATTCAACATAAAGCAAATATATCTGGATGGAATCTAATAGGGGCATTAAAAGTGAGGGACCAGCATGATTAGTAACACAGATAGAATCGGAATTATTTGTTGTGCAGCACCACTGTTTCTCCGTGGTTGTTCAACATTGTCAGCTGAAAATGAAAATATTTCTAAGAATAATGTGACGTCGGCTGGCTAATTATTTTTGCCTCACAAATATTCACAAATTGAAATGATTTAGTTTTAAATGTAAAAAGTTGAATATATTTTTCATAAAATACTAATGATTTCGACTAATGTTGTCATGCTCTTTCGAAAAATGCCGTGCTGTTATTTTGATAAACCAGCATTTAGAAAGAAGGGTCCTGTTAAAATTAACATTGGAAATATCACCAAATGTGAGATTTTTTCAACCAAAAACATTTAATTTAAATGTTCTATTATATTTTTTAATATCCGTATAGTCTGCGTCCGGCGACTTTTGTACGCGGGTATATTTGTGCAGGAGTGCGTCTTTCTCTTGGTCCCGCACCGACTAACTGGTTTTTCATGCATTTTATGGGTCAGCTCGATAATTTTTAAATCAAATGACGTTGGAAATTCAAATAAATGCCAAACTCATCAAGAAAAAAATTATTATTCACATTAAAACAGCAAAATGTGTGCTCGCACGTTGCGAGACATTTTCAAGGCGCATGCGCGTAAATCTACCCGCGTACAATAGTCCTCAGACAATATTTATAAATGAATGAAACAAATGGAAGGAATGTTAACCTTTGAGCCATTGGCGGCGTGCAAAACAACAACCGGCGACTCTTCCACCGGTCCTCCCATGCGTTTCGCATCCTGCATAATCAACGTAGCCGCCGAAGCCACTTTTGGCTGAAATTTTTTCGAAACTCATATTTCAATATTGTCCGGAAACGATGTTACATCCAAATTTCCCTTGTTCACCAACAGCATTCCTGATGATTCAGCCACACAGATTCCAGTAGCTCCAAAAGTAGTCATCCTAACAAATCGAATAAAAAACAAATGATTGAGAAGGGTTACTCACATTTTCGTTGCATTCTGATTCAAACTCGTCTCCATGCTGAAAAGCTATTTGAGAAGAATATCACAATTCTCAAAACTCAAATATTTTAATAGTTAATAAACTAAATAGAAACAATCTTTGAAAAAAAAAACATAAAAAATAATTTTTTTTTTAACTTCATATAAATTATACTATTCACCATATAAATAAATATACAAGAGACACTCACAATTCGAAAATTTTAAATCACAACTTTAGCGGGGGAAACACCAAACAAATGGGAACTTTTTTGAAAAAGAAGAAAAAGTCTATCGGGGCGGTTTGAAGGCGCAAGCACCTCTAAACAATTTCGTCAAGAACCTTTAAGAAAGTACTCGTATTCTTTACCTACACATTAACACAAGCAAATAAAGGACAGAATTGCGAAAATTTAAATTTGAAATGAGCAAATGTGCGTTGAGCACATCATTCGAACAGTATATTTCCGAGAAGAGTTTCCTACTACTTTCCATGCATTCCGTGATCTGAAAACCCGTACATTACACTCTGGAAACGTTTAAATTTGTGATATACCTAGTCGTTTGCCTGGCGCTTTTCGTACTCCTGGCGGTGGTACTGCGCTAAGCAAAGGCATCTCTGGTGGTGGACTTCGTCCACCATTTGAACCGCCTGACGAGTAGTGCAAGTGCCCACTTTTACTGTGTCTTCCACTAATTGGTGGGAATCTTTAATAATCATGTCAAACACATTTTAAAACTGACGTATTACCCTGCGCCATGGGACATGAAGCTTGAATCAGAAGATCCCGGCATCTGATGACTAGGAGCAAATCCAGACGAGTACATTGAACGTCCTTGACTTCGCGAACGTCGTCGATGGGTCACCGATTCCTTCTTCTTCGTTTTCTCCTCGCGATCCGATGGAGAGTTCTCACCACCAATCAGTCGATCGCTGCGACGACTACTTCGTTTTTTCAATGACAATGAAGCACTTCCAGATGAGAAATAATCATCCTGGCCCATTCTAAAACAACACGTACACATATTACAAACCATCAATCATGTTTTTTTTTTACATTGGATTAAAATCTGGTTCATCCCATATTGGATTATCCAACGGCGAGGACATTCCAACTCGTCTCAATTCAGAAGAAACTCCGTCTGGAGCTCCGAACGAATCTCGTGAAAGCGGCATTGACGTATTTGACAATATTTGCGAGGTTTGATAGTCGTCGAGCTTCTTTTTAAGTTGCATGACATCGTGGAAGCTCTTCGTTTCCAGTTTCGTGTACTCTCGCTGAAGTCGCTTAAGCTCCGTTTCTATCTCGCGAATCTTGTCGTCCTTCTTGCGAATGGACGCTTCCGCCTCAAACAGTTGCTTATCTTTATTGAATCCTTCCTCGCGAAGTGTTGCGATTGTCTGAAATGTTAGGAATTATTGAAATCGAAGAAAATTTTATAACTAACCTTATCGGCGGCTTCTGTCTTGCTCATCGTCGTATTGAGCAGCTTGAGCATTTCGTTCATTCTTTCCGATGCTTCCTTCTTTTCGTTTTCAAGCTCTTCGACCTTCTTTCTCGCCTCAACTACTTCCGATTCCAACTTCTTCACCTTCCAGTCCGAGTCGGTCTTGGTCCTCTCTTCATTCTCATACAAATTCCTAAATCGATTAAAAAAACTTAAATTGGTATTTTCCACAAGGTCATACTTGTATTTTTTCAGCTCTTTCTCAACCTCAGCCAGCTTTTCCTTCAACGACGTTAGTTCACTAGAATCCTCACCAAACTTCTGATAGCGAGCTCGGATATCAGCCAAATCGGTGGATCCGGTTTGCGAGGCTTCCGGGGTTTTTTCTTCTCGCTTTTCGACTTTTTTCTCAGTATCAAAATCGTCGCTTTCACCAAAGTCCGACCATCCAGAACCTCCAGATTCTAGTCGATTTTTAAAAAATAATTGACAACAATAATTGCAAATTTACCAGCGGCAGATCCGGCTTCATTCTGGTTCTTCTCGTATTGTTGAATAACTTCGGCGAGTCCTGCATTCTCAATGTTCGATTGCTTCAAAGCAATCTCCAACTCGGCTGCCTTCGATTTCAATCCATCAATTTCTTGTTTATAATCTCTAATTTCAGACAAACTCTTCTGCAAATTATTTCTTTTTTTTTGGAAAAAATGCAATTAAACGCTTACCTCTAACTGCGATTGATAGTCGTCCTTTTCTTTCTTGAGCTCATTCAATTCCTCTTGTCTAGCAAGAACAAGCTGGTGTGCTTCGTTCAACTGCACTTTAATCATATCTAATTCTCTCGCCGTCTCATGACCACCGTGAGAAGCCTGTGCTAATTTCGTTTCAAACTCCGCAATAACAGCGTTTAATCGTGCAATTTCTTGTTGATTTTCGTTGCTCAAATCACGGAACTGGTTCAATTGAAGCTCCGATTGCGCACGTTGGTTTTGCGCTGCTTGCAGTTCATTATGAAGCTTCTGAAGTCTACAAAAAAACAATTCAAAACGAGAAACGAAAAATTAGCTTACTGTTGTTTCAGCATAAATATTTCTTGATCATTTGAGCTGGATTGAACTCCCATACTTTGAATTCTAAAATATTTCAATGAACAAGTTTAAGTAAAACAATCAAACTTGGCAATTTCTGCATTCTTGGCGTTGAGTTGCATTTCCAGTTGTTTGTATTTAGTGGACAAATTGAAATAAGCCCTAAAATCGTTAATTTAATTCTTTTATTGCGAAAAATGCTAAATTCCCACATTCTGTCCAATTTTTCCGGTTGTTCAGAAGGCGAAAGTGTATTAATCACGATGAACAATATCAACGAAGCAGCGACGAACGTGAGATTTACGTAGAAAACGACACTCGCATCACTAACATTTCCAAGCCCGAACGTGTTCCGAATGAAATCGATAAGTCCAGAAGAAACTGGGAGAACTGAAATTGAACATTAACTGATAGTGATAACTGCTAGTGCGATGACGTCCTCCCACCACCGTAACTTGCCGCAATATAACCGGCCCCTCGCAAATTTCCGAGAAATTTGATAAGAAATACCTCTTGGTGGCTCATCCGACAAGTTCTTCAAATCTTTAAATCGGTCGCCGTAAGAATCTTCATACGATTTTCCTTTCCTTTCAGCTTCCCACTTCTTGAATTCCTCGTCGATGTCATCTTTGTTCGGTTCATTTTTCTGCAATCCATGACACTCGTCTTTGTAGCACGTACCCTACAGACAGAAAGTAACGACGAAACGAAACACCGTGCATATTGAGTAGGGCAGAAACACGCAAACACATCAAAAATACCTACCGTTTCTTCAACAGGCTCCGAAATTGTTAGTTGAGGCTCAGCCGCAGCTGGAGTTGGAGGTGGTGGTGGTACAGTGGAAGTAGTTACTGGTTGAACAATAGCATCGAGAGTCGGTGGATTTATCGGCGGTTCAGAAGCTTGTGGAGATGAAGTAACTAGGGGTTCAATGGTTTGTGGAGCTGGAGTCACTGAATCAGGAACCGGCGCAGTAGATGGAACCACTTCGGGTACTTCGACGGTTGGCGGTGTCACTACTTCGGCAGGAGCTGGAGTCGTAGTAATCTCCGGAATCTGAACAGGTGCTGGAGTCGTAGTAATCTCCGGAATCTGAACAGGTGCTGGAGTCACCGATATTTCCTCGATAATAGGAGTTGGTGTCACTTCAGAAACAGTTTCTTGAATGGTCGGCGCTGGAGTAACTTGCGGAACAGCTTCTTGACTGGGAGTTGGAGCCGGTGTTACTTCAACCGTAGGAATTTGATATGCCTTCAACTCGAGTGGTGGCAATGTGACGTCGTTGTCATGAATCACTGGTTCTTTCTTTATTGGCTCTGTAGCTTGTTCAGCGAGTTTTTGTTTTTTCAACATTTCCTCTTCCATCTTGATCATTTTCTCAATTTCTTCGTCTAACATAGCCGGATTGATAGTTGTATCAGAAAGTGGTGCAGGAGTTGTAGTCACTTCAGGAGCCGATGCAGTTGGTGTTGCTACTTGTGGAACAGGGGTAACTTCTTCAAAATTATAAAAAAAAATAATGGATTCCATTTCAATTAAAGAAACATACCTTCCACTTTTGGTGTTGATTCAATTTTTGGTTGTTCAGCAACCTTTGGTGGCTTTTGAGCTGTTTCGCTGTGGCTATGACCGTGCCCATCGTGACTGTGACCATGCCCTCCATGACTATGTCCATGGCCATGCGAATGCCCGTGTCCTCCGGTCTGATACGGGACCGGAAGAGGCTCTGGCTCAGGAAGACCAGCTTCGAGAGCTGCTTCTCTTGCTCTTGCATTATAATCGCGTACAAGATCAGTTTCTGAATGAACTATCCCAACGAGCCGCTTATCACCGATATCATTTCGATCCTGGCTCACTAAAGTCATTTCTTTTTTCGTTTGGATTGCATTGCGAAGAAATTCGACGTATGGATGTTTGTCGATTGCGTTCGCATAGAACAAACCACGAGTTCCATCTTCAAGCTAAAGCAGAATGTCTTAATTAAAATATTGTTTTAATTCTCCCACCTTTCCTTCCATTATATCAATCCTATCACTGAATTTAACTGCATAGACATCCACAATCGCTTTGTCAGAAAGCTTGAGAAAATTTGGATCATTATTAATTCCCATAACACGCGTAACCCGTGATTTGAACAGAACTTCTGTAATAGGGAAATATATTTTTTATTTCATTAAGTAAAATTCAACCATCACAAGCAAGATTTCCACAAAGCTTCGACTTTTTCGACACTACTGGTTGTTTTCCATCTACTGTGCATTGAAATATTACTATGGCAATCTAAAACAACAAAGATTTTTAGAAAGAAGCGAACAATTTTAAACTTACCAATGCTATAAATAATAAGGTAGATTTAAACATTATGTACAGCTTGAGCCGGTTGGCTACCGGCTTTTCTTAAACTGAAATATCATATAATTTTTTTTAATAAGTAAAAAGTCCTAGAAAGGTGAGAAAAATCCGAAAATCAGTTAATTCCCGAGCTTCCCGGGACACGTGTAAAAATAACGGGATATGCTCCGCCCCTTTACCGCAAAACCGGCACAATTGTTTGCAAGACGGCCGCATATAATTTTGTACACTGCAAATAAACTTCGACGTTTTTATTTGCCATCATTTATAGAAAGAAATAACTATAATATGTATTTACAGTATATTAATTAAGAGAGGGGGAGAAAACAAGCTAAATAGAGCAATTTTAGTTGGTCACACAGAACTAAACAGGTTCTCAACATTTTCCAGACAAATTAAAGAGAAAAACAACGACGTTAAATAAACGAATATTTTCAAGACTAATAAGTTAAATCTGCTTTGTGGTAAAATACACGAGGTGGAAAAACAGGAGAATTACGATATGGATATTCACAGCTGATCCATTCATCGGAATATGAGGAAAGATCGTCATAATACTGTTCATAAGCATTTAGCATTTCTCTGAAGAATTATTTGATTTATATATGTATACAAGTAATTTTAAAATTCAAAACTCTTGAAAATTACCTAGTGTGAGCCAATTCCGCCTCCCGTTGCTCCTCTTCCAACATTTCTAGACAGACTTCATCGAACAGTTTTTGTCTGGCAATGAATTCATCAGTTTGCTGAAAATTGGAATTTTTTAATATAAATTTCACAATGTCATTATTACTCTTTTTCTCTTGATGTAGACAAAGTAGAATATTAGCAAATACAAATAATGAGCGTGGAACATGACGAGTATTGCGAACAACGGCAGATAGTTCGTTTTAAAAAAATAATTATAGTAGCGCGAATACGATGAGGGTCTAAAATAAATAAACGCACAAACTGCACCTAATGTTAATACTAAAATCATCTAAAAAAATTTGAATTTACTATCGAATTTTTTAAACACTTTACTTCTACTACTATAAGCGGAAAAATTAAAACGCGTTTCAAGCGTCGAATCCCCCAAACTCCGAAAACAATGCAGGCAAACCAAACGACAAATAGAGACGCGATTACAGATGCTGTGACTATATCTCTTTGAACCTGAAAACAACTTATCGTAAATAAAAAAATAATATGAAAATTACTGTCATATGCCATCCTGCCATAATTAGCAAGTTCGAAATTGTCATCGATGTTGATATCATAAGCAAAGTCTCAAAATTATTGTTGGGCTCAGGGGGAACTTATAAGTAGAAAGAAATAAAAAATACCTTCAATTTTATGAGGCCACACCATACGCGTGGTTCGTCGCAAGTTGGAAGTTTGCCGACGAAGGAACGATTCGCATAAGTTGTCATAATGATAAGTTCGAAATTTCTAATATTTACAGCACTATCAAAATATTCTAAAAAAAAATCAGTGAAATTTGTCAAAACTTAAAGTTTCGATGAATTTAAAAAATTTTGAAATTTATTTCGATTACGGTATGCGAAGGAACATATTGCTTAAAGAATTGGTCTCGAGTGGAAATTATACAGTGAGTAGTTTAATTTCGTACTTATCAGTTCTTCTAATGTCAAGTATTGTTTTCCCCTTGTAACAAATCCATTTAAAGAAAATAAAAATTACTTTCACGCCAATTTCACCCATAATTATTTTCAATATTTATTAAATAAAACTTTTATAAATAGGATATTGAATCGGCATAAAATTCGCATTCTATTTTATGTATATTTTTAAACAAAAGAAACGAAAGAAAAAAAGCACGAACATAATGAATTTCGAATTATTTAGTGAGGACCTGTAAAGAACACAATACAATGTTCGAAAACGTGCAATACATTGAATGTTTTGAGCAGTCAAACGATGATTTAAAATATAATTCATAAATTAATAGACTTGAGCAGGCCTCGTTGTTGCGTTTTTGGCGTCGCCATTGAGCTTCATTCTCTCAAAAGCCTCATAATCAACTGGTGGTGAGTCTGGGCGAGTAATCTATAAATTGAAATTTCCGAGAAAATCGCGTAAATTATTTTTTTTTAAAACCTCTGTTTCCACCGTCTGTGAAGCAACTTCAACGTGCTCTGATCGGTTCAAGGTAGCGTCATTCGTTTCTTTCGCCGCCATTGATCTTAATTTTTTATTATTAATTTTTTTTTCAGAAAACGTGCAACGCAAACCTCAAAGTTCCACTGAACGCCTTCTCATTGATATGCGGCTTTCTGTAAATTCCAGCTTCATACTGATCCCAAACACTTTCCGCTCTAGTCGAGGCCACACTTCCAGCTTCTCCCTTCTTCAAAGTTCTCTTCTTAAACGTATCATAATAAGATTCATAGTGATCTTGCGTATAGTTCGCTGGCTGATAGCTCGCTTCTGGGATTCCTCCATTTGCTCCCATGTATGTTGGTTCTTCATACGCTCCACGACGCATAGTTCCGTATATGCTCTCAGGTCCAGTGATGATTGGACCATCAGGACTTGGAGGCCTGTGCGGCATTCCAAAGTGTGGTGGTGGAGGGGGGAAGAATCCACCACGGAATCCACGCGGCGGAGGTGGACCGAACATCATTGGATGTGGCGGTGGGTGCGCCATCGGGTGGAATCCTCTTGGTGGCGGCATTCCGCCAAACATATGCATTGGCGGAGGTGGAGGGCCCATAAATGGCGCGCCACCACGTCCGAACATGTGTGGTGGCGGAGGTGGGAACGGCATTCCCTGCGGTGGTGGAGGATGTGGCGGAAAGAATCCAAATGGTGGATGATGCATTGGGTGCATCGGTGGTGGACGGGCTCCAAATGGTGGCGGCATCGGATGTGGGCCACGGAATGAAAGATCAATATCGCTTCCAGCGCGTCTCGGCCCCTCTTCAAATGGCACGATAGCACCGCGAATTGCTCCCGACTCGCTGGCAGCCTTCTTGTTCTTATTAACCAAACTGCTGCTGATGCTAACACTGTCGTATTCGCCGTCCTGTTGTCGTCTCTCGTTCCAACTCTTCAGAAAGTTTCAAATTGAATTGGCGTACAAAAAATGAACGGGATTTGATTGGAATACCTTGATGGCCTTGTCGTCTTCTTCGTATGAGTTCTCTTCTATCTCACTTCCCGGCGATCCTGGTGATCGCTCGCCCGTCGAACCTTCCTAAAAACAATTCAAAATGTATAATAAATTATTTGGTGTTGAAATTTTGATTGCGCCGAAGAGAATTACGAACAACTGAATGACAAAACTCGTTCGTGAACAATCAATTGGAAAATTCTCGTTTTCAGGCCACTTTGATTAATTGGTTTTTTTTTGTTTGAAAAAAAAAACGCTTGGTTTATCAAAGGTGTGTATCAGTTCCAGTAGAGCAGACAATTCGTCGATCAAAAATTAATTGTCTGAATTTTGAAGCGATATCATAATTAGTTGTACAAACGAGTTTGTTCATTTCAATAAATTATTACTTTAATAGCCTTTAATCCAGGATTCTTCTCTTCCATTTTCAGATAAATCGAGTCGGCATAAGCATGAAAGCAGCATCGGACAAGCGCATTCGCCGCTTTATTGTTTGTGCAAATGAATCCATGGCATTCGAGGACCTTTAAAATGAATCGGGTTCTCGTTTCAGATCCATATCACCCGGTTTACCTTGACACCAGTGGTTCGACGCAGAATCGCGGCGAAAATTGGCGGGTGCGGTGTGTCGGGAATATTGGCGAACGGCGAATCGAGCGGCAGAAACCGCTCGCCGCCGCCCTCGACCGCATAGCCGCTCACGTTCACATAGCGAACCGCCGCACAATAATGGAGTGTGTTGATCGGAAAAAATGCCGTCTCGCTCTTCTTTTCGCCTTCGATGTACTCCAGCAAAATTCCGTTCGACCAGACAGACAGCCTGAAATTTGGAATGCTTACAATTATTTTTTTTAATGATAATGTATAGTTGCGGATGGGCGAATTGGAAAAAAAAATTTGGACTGGATGTCAATTAATTTATTCGAAATATTGTGGACCATTGCATTTTTTCGAGGCGGTAATTCAAATTTTGATTGAAAAAAAGCTAAATTATCGCCGGGCGGCGTTTATCTTTTTGCATATCTAATAATTAATGTTCATTAAAAAAATAATTATGATCTTGCACTTGCACATCGTGATAATTGAATTTAAAAATTCGCTATTTTTATTTTTTCATGCGAGACCACAGGCGGTAATTCAAATGATAAACAACTGATACCCCAAATTTATCATTCCACGAATAAATTGAAAATGTTTTCATAATTTCATTTGGCAATGTTACAAATGATTCGAAATGACGATTCAAATGTCAGTACCGATTAAATGAAAACTCAAAATTGGTGTTCAACTGGCTAATGACCGCGACTCGAATAAATTTGTACGTCCACGGCCATCCAACTTTATTCTTTCAAAAAAAAAAAACTATTAAGCTCTACTTTTTTTGGTTTCCAATTCGAAATCGCGAAATTGCTTCTTTCATTCATATTCGTTTTAGATGCGATCAAACAAACATTCAACTAATCCGAAGATGATAATCTTGAAACCAGTAAGCTTACCAAGAATCGATGCCTCTCGTCTCCGGTGTGTCTTCAACCGGATATCGTTCGCGCAACGGCTGCTGAATACCCTGAAGCCCGTCTTTTGTAATTGTCGGCACCGAGCTGCCGATGTACAAGACACGGCATCGGCACAATGGCAATGGCATCTGAAGAATGAGTTTTTTTTTTGGAAAATGACAAAAGTATTGATATATTGTTGAATAAGGTTGAACGAGTTGCTATTGGTTTGATGGATATGAATACGAAGGTCGAACTATGGAGGAAGGCGAAATCTCGATTTGATCTGACCCGCCGTGTTGGAGACGCAGACGGATTATCACAGGGGTTATCTGATAGGAGGGAGGGGGGGGGACAATCGAGGATAGGCGAGGCCGCAACCATTTATGGCGAGGGACCTTGAGGATTACTAAACTAGGCAAATTACTATACATAGTATAAGGTACGACGACGTGTGAGTGTTTCTTGTCGAAATCCACAAACCAGTCGGCCGGTGTGTGAGAAAGCGAAAATGCGCCAACTGGGTGTTACAAGCGAGTGTGTTTTTTGACCCGAAGCTTGAAAGCGATGTCGTTTAACAGCAAAAAAATACACGCAAATACCCATCGGTTTTTGAGACATCATATTTGGATGGAAAACTGGACATTTGAATCGTTTGTAGCAATGGCAAACTACATAAATGGCCATTAAAAAATAACTATGCGAAAGCCGGCTGGACGTCCGCAGATGGGTTTCCCATATAACTGATAGTATATAGATTCTCAAACATACCCTTTTTAGCGCTGACTTCTTCATTTCTTTTTTTTTGTTTCAGATCGAATATATGTGAGAAATGATAGTGGGTGTCACATAGACACAAAAAAAATGAATGGGGTGGGGGGTGGGTGGTAATCGAAAATAGATGGATGAATGTATGGCGACACGAATCCAGGCAAGTAAAACAAGTTCTGCATGGGAATGAATGTGTCAAAAGTTGGCGGTTGGTTGGTTGGCAACAAATAAACAACAACAACAATCGACCCGAAATTGTCATGTTGAAATACAAGACGAGTGTGTTGAAAACAGCAACAAACAAATAAATATGCAATTCGTTTGTCGGTGATTGTCGAAACCGAATCGTCTGATAAGAAACAATGTCAAACGGTGTCCTAAATCGGGGGAGACGACCAAAAAAAAAGAAAGCCTGATATCCGAGATAGCGCGTCACAATCGATTAGGTCGGCGATTCTCGACGATTGCTGGAATCGCTTCCGACGACGCCTATCACCGAATCAATCGGTTACTATTTGGGGGGTTGCCTATTGCGAAATCATTGATGAAGATATTCACAGAATTAGATTCTTTTTTTTCGTTTATTCCAAGAGGCTCCTCCCTATCTGCGGGTTGTCAATGATGCTCAAGTTGTCAGAGATGATGTCAATGCCCGGATTTTGATTCAGAAAATTTCCATAGAACATGGGAACTTATATATCAAATTAGAAAGTGTATCTGTATAATAATTTATAGTTGGAAAGGTGCTGGTTCGAAACCATCTCATCGGGCAAAATGCAAATGGTGAGGATCAGGAAAAAAAAGGGAAAATTTCCTCCTGATGCAGAAATTCCGGAATCTCGCGAAATTTTATTTTTGTTTGATTTTAGCAATTTCAACTAATATTTCCTTGCAAATATGACAAAAAAACAAAAAATGAGCCAATTTCCTGTGTGTGCCTTTAAACGATTACAGTAATCTTTACAAGCCAATTTTCGGACTATCAGTGAGGCACTTTTCGAGAAGTTTCCGCCGGCGAATTTTATGTCCGATCATTCGGAAAATTCGAAAAAAAGCACATCTCTGGTCAGAACACAAAGTTCTTTTTGTTTGGTTTCAAAAACAAAAAGGAGAAGTGTGTTTGTGGAAGACAATCAGCCGAATCGAAATCGAAAATCGCCTCTAGTAGAAAATTATCAGAAAGTGAAATTGTCGGGCGTCGAGAATTCGCGGAATTTTTTCCTTTTCTTTTTTTTTGGCTGGTACTCGTGATAGATGTCACAATCGGAGGGGGAGTCGATTCGCAAAAAATTCACATTCAGAAACCAAAGAAACAAAATCGAAATAATGAGGAATTGAATGATGGCATCGACGTTTCTGCTAAAATTTCTCAGGAAAATCAAGAAACCGTTACAATTCAAGAATTGATTAGATTTGTGGGGGAGTTTGAAAAAAAAAAACATTTGCAAACATCATCAGATTCGATTTTAGATGTCGAGAAATAGTGTGCAATTTGATGAGACGGCGAGAGAGGCTCGTCGAAAAAACGTGTGTCCTTGGCGATTTGTCGGAAGGAAACGGATGGTCGGAGACTGTTGTGTTCGCCAATGATGATGACGACCGCCTCCTTTCCTCTCCTTCTCCTTCCCCTTCTTCTTATGAATTTGTTTATTATGATTGGTTTTACGGGAAACCAATGACGAATTGCAATAGGTCGCGATCTCGCTCGAAAAACGCCAAAAAAAAGACATACAAATGAGGACGAGAATCGAAAGTTTTTCGTGAAAAATTTGGCACACAATTGCTAGCATTTCAACAGTTTTGGTTGTAAAAACATCGATCCAACATTAATCCAATTCGCAGACATTGAAATCTGAGAACAGTCAACAAATAGAAGGCGGTGGATTTTTTTACGATTCAAAGTCCAAAATTTAGGTGCTTCTCTGGATATTTTTCTAAAGAATCGAAGGCAAGCTTACAAATTGAATAATGAAATTTGAATTTCGAAAACAGATTTTCATGAGACCAAAATTGATTTCATTTTTTTTTCTATTGGTGTGGAAGCCGAACGTTTTTAAAAATGACAACTGGAATAGTACTAAAAACTGTCTTATTATCGAAAAATTCGAATGAATGCCAATTAGCGCAAAAAGCAGAAAAGTATGAATTTTGATCGGCAACTAGATGAACAATGAAAAAGGGAGGGGGGGTAAGCGAAAAAAAAAAAACTGGATACAGTTGGCAGAAGCTCTTCACGGCCGAGTACTTCGCGCTATCTCGAGTGCCATATTCTTCCAAGTCAATTATTAATTATATGGTTCCTCTCTCGCTAACTATATGCAATTGTGGTTAATGATGAGATTTGCATGTTGTATTTAATGTGTTCAAAGTAAACAACACAATAATAGAGTTGACGGTATGGAGATGGGGGGATTTTGAGCGGAGGCCAAGAGACACCGCCCGAAATCAGATATACATATCGGCCACGCGATATTCGATATAATAGCCAAGTGGGTGCGGCGAACACGAAACAAAAAAAAACGAGAGCGAGAGAGAGACTATTAAAGGATCATGAACAATACAAAAACGCGCAAAACCGAGTATATTCGATCCATCTCATATTTTATTGGATTTTCCGGATTTTTCGACCAAAAAAACAGCGAGATGTGAAACAATTGAAACAATATTATTTATGTTGCAAAAAATGCGCCAATGAATACATAATAAAAAATAAAATACATTGGTCCATAATAATGCACAAATAAAAGAATAATTTTGAACCAATCACATTGAATTTTTGTCTATTTATTATTTTTTAAAATTAATTTCTCTACATTGACCCAAAAATCTTAAAGTGCTTCTTTTCATTATACATCTTCTTTTTATCCTTCTTTCTTTTTCTTTGATTTAAATTTTTTTACCTTATTGATATAGTCGGCATGAGGGGTAGATTTACGGGGATGCGTCTTTTTCTTGGTCTCGCGCAGACTAACCGCTTATTTTTTTTACTTTATGGGTCGGTTCGATAATTTTTAAATCGAACGACGTTAAAAATTCCAAACTCATCAAGAAAAAATAATTCGTTCAAATGAGAACAGCATGATGAGTGCTCCCACGTGACGAGACCTTTTCAAGGCGCATGCGCAAAAATCTACCCGAAGTCGCCAGACAATACAGTTTTTTTAAACACCGGTGATATCAGAAAATGTGGAAGCCTTGTTTCAACATTCGATTATCTTTTATTCACATTTGAACATGAATTAATTTTAAATACGTTCTAGCAAAAAAATCAATCGGAATCGAAGAAAAATGAAGTATAAACTAACCAGATTCGTTTGAAAAATAATTGAAATTCAATTTGAATACTTGGTTACGAGTCAAAAATCTTCAAATTCTATTCATTTATTTCTCATTTTCAATTTCGTATTCGATTGAAAACGAAATTATTTTCGAATCTCGATCTATTTTCATTTACTAGAGAATCTATTATTAAGTGCGGGAATTGCGTGACCTCGGCCGAGTGGTCAGGGTTCCCGGCTCCATTCCTTGTTCATGGCTTGTGTTAGAAGCAAAGTTTATTTATGAACAAGAATGAACAAAATAACATAGTGGATATCGTAGGGTGTCTCTCGGCTTCCTCCCTCCTCGTCTGCCTCCCGAGCATCGCTTAAATAGGGGGTGAGCTGGTGACGGAGGGTTGATTAAATATACAGTACCGCTCAAAAGGTTGGAAACTTTTGGTTTTTTGGGCATAACTTTTTTGAAACCAATCTTTTTTCCATGAACTTTTTTTCCGATTGTTTCTTATGCAATTGCCGATATAATGAGCTATTAGACATGATTCGTACTTACCAAATAAGGATTTTAGGCCATTTTTTCAGAAATCCGTAAAAACACATTTTTTTGGATATGCAATTTAAGTCGGTTTTTTTAACCAGAAAGATAGTTTATCAACACAAAATCATTGGAAACTAAAATTATAAGGTTAGTACTTTATTGTAAAACCTCGGGAGTCAATAACTGCCTGGCACCTGCGAGGCATAGAGTCGATCAAGTTGTCGATGACCCAGTGTGGAATCTTTTTCCATTCTTCTTCCAATTGTCAGAACTTTTCGTTCGAATTTGTGGCGGTTCTGCTTGCCACTCTTCTCTCCAACTCTTCCCACAAGTGCTCGATGAGATTCAAGTCCGGGGATTGACTTTGCCAGTCCATAACCTTGATGTGTTGACTTGTGAACCAATCCTCAATTGATGAATATTTGAGAAAAAAAGCGAATTTTCTTAATTTCACAAATTTGTAAGTGTGCTTTGGGTCGTTGTCCCGTTGGTAAACACAACCACGACCGATTGCCTTAAAATGCGGCAACATCTGCTTCTTCAGGATCTCCTTATAGACGAAGCAATCCATGATTGTTATCACATGGTGAAGCCTTTTTCGGAAAAGGCACCCCCAATCATGCAATTGCCTCCCCCGTGCTTTTCGGTAGGAGTTTGATACTTGGGATTGTATCGAGAACCTACAAGACGGCGGACCGATTGAATTCCGTCACTTCCAACGAGCATTCATCCGACCAAAGAACATTCCAGTCAAATCGCGTCCAATTCAGATGTTGCTTAGCCCATTCGACCTGGCGTCGTCTATTCTTCTCCGAAATGAACGGTTTCTTCCCTGGTTATCTTCCGAGCAATCCTGCCGCTGATAAACGGCGTTTGATTGTTGACACCGAAACGAGCGATGAAGAATTGGCAAAAACTATGCGCTGGATCGCCGGTGCCGTCATTCGCGGGTTGAATTTGGAGGCTCGTACAATGCTTCTATCAGTCGCACGATCTGTCACGCGTGGACGACCAATATGGTACTTCTTTGGGACCCCTTCTTGAGTTTCCCATCTTTTCAAACATTTGAAAATGCAAGATTTTGTGACATCAAACTGGGCGGCCAACATCTGCAGGGTTGCTCCTGTTTGACGCCCTGCCTAAATTGCCCGTTGTTGTTCAACAGTCAAGTTCCGCTTTTTTTTCGATAGTGGACATGTCTAAAATTACAAAAATAATAACGGCATGCAAAAAGAAGCACAGAAAAATAGTAAAAAACTTTTGAAAAAAAAAGTTGAAAAAAGTGATTTTTGAAAAAAAAAATGAAAAAGTCCACAAAAACTTTACACATAATTGCGTATGATAAGACTACCGTACCAATAATCTTCTGATTATGTTTATCAATATATCTGAAAGTTTCACCTCGATCCATACGTTTTCGATCAAGTTATGCCCAAAAAACCAAAAGTTTCCAACCTTTTGAGCGGTACTGTATATTGACCTCCTTCCGGTCGCCGGTCGACCTGATATTGCCCCTATGACTCACTTACAATTAGATTAATAATTTTCAAATCATGGTGATTCATTTCAATTTAAATATAAAATTAAATAAATCATCGAATCCAAATTGCTATTTTTAATATTTAAAAACGATAAATTAATTTTGTTTTCTCAATTAAAAGATCCACTTGGGATTAATTGAATCGATTTCAAAACAATTTGCGAACTTTCGCATTGTTCCAGTGATGTGACACACATTTCCAAAAGTCGCCCAAAATATTCATCTTTAATGCGTTGTTTTCATATGTTTTTTTTTGTTTGCATATGTTCGAAAAAAAAGTCGTTAATATGCTGATATAATTTCAGAGAGGTGATTTATCTCGAATTGGATAATTCGAAGCCGAAAACAAATGCACCTGTCTCTCTTTTCGTCTCTCAAATATCGCCATAGCAACCGGGCTCGGCGGCCTCGGCTCGCCGCCGCATTTCGCGATTTTCAACGTCGAACATGCCCGAAGGTGATACTGTTGCTACGTGGAATGTTCCACTTCATGACAAGGTAAATATGCTAACTATTAATTGGGCAACCAAACCGTCAATTTCAAATTGTCGTCATGTGTACAATATTCGTAGTATTCTCGAAACTCGCATTGCGTCGAAAATTGAGCATTGTCATTTTAAGGTCCACAAGATCGAATTCGAGCATGGAACAACAACCGGAAAACGTGTGATTCGCGTTGATGGAAAGGAAATTTTGAGAAGGGAGTGGATGTTCAAACTGGTCGGAAAAGAGCCGTTCAAGGTGAACTTTCTGACCGCACTTTTTTCCAATTCTTGAAGCTTGAAGTTTTTCCAATTCTTGAAGCTTGAAGTTTGAGCTTGAAGCCATTTATGAGATTTCTTAAAATCTTAAATCCATTTATAATTAAATAGTTTCAAAAAATTCACCCTGCAATTATATATCAGTTCAAGTTCTCAAATTTCATTGTTTGGACTTCGGTTGTGACTCAACACAGAATTATCACTCACTCGATTGATTTGAGCCTTCACCGAATTACTCGATCACCCATTAATAATAATTTTGCATATTTGAATAGGTCGGTGACATGCGATGCACCATTAACGTCGAGGCATTGGGCACATTCGCCTACGAGTATGGACTCGAAGTAGGTCTTCGCCATCAATCTCGATGAGAAGCCCGATTGTTTGCAGGTCAATGGTAAAACGTTCCAAAAGTTTCGCGAAGAGCAAAACAAAAAATTGCACAGCTGGGAGACGTCGATTATTGGCGAAGATACTCGAATTGTTCTCGGTAAATGCATATCAATTTGTTTAACGCGCCGCCGCGCGAATTCTGCTTTATCGATGTCATGCACAATAAGCTCAACATGAGATTTGTAGTTGTCGCTGAGTATATTAGATCAGAGGTGTGACCAACGATCGTCATTTCCATTATTAATATACATATATCGCTGTAGTCAAACCATTGAACGAAATTTCAAACAATTATTGGCGATGTGCCATTGCGTCTCGACGCAATGAGAAGTACGCAAGACTGCGTACATTGCATTATAGTGTACGCGCATTTAATATCCAGTCAACAAAAAATTTGAATCTACACTGATTTCGCGAATTATATAATTTCTTAATTTAGATAAGGAAACCATGGAGGTATGGGTGAATGGTCGAAAAATAGACACCGCCGGCGAATTTGTCGAAAATGGAACCGAGACTCATTTCGAAATCGGCCCTCATGTCTGCAAAATTGTTGCAGTGAGCAGTGGAAAGAAAAAGTGAATCTTTTGAATCGTTGATGCGGAATAGCTAATCATATTCAGGACCGGTGTGACTCATACGCTCTACATCGACAATTCTCAAATATTGAGTCCACCGGATAGAAGTCGAAACTGAAAATTGAAAAAAAATGAAGAAGACTGAAAGCAAGGATTGGTTCATTTAAATCAATTAATCAATACTTAAATATTTGGCAGTGATAAATTGTATTTTGCAAAAAGAAAGAATGAGACCAAACATGGAAAGGACGGGGGAAAATCACATAAAACCAGTGTTAATTGGTCATTTCGTTGAATCTCGAATCGCTCGCAACGTCTTCTTGGTCGCCACCAAATCGATTCCTTGGGCTTCTCTAAAATTCAACAATATTTTGACAAACGGTTAAAAACAAAACTCTAATCATGCATCTAGCACACATTTGAAAAACTTACAGCGATAGCATACGGTACATTCGCGTCTAAAATTAATGCAAAAGTATAATGAATTGATTCAGTTATTATTAATCTCAATTTCATGATTTCTCTCAAAATACACATACAAATGATTTTTCAACTCACAGTTTAGCATTAAGCGATATGATGGTTTGATTAGCACTTCGGCATTTCTCTTCAAGCTGCTCATTCTGGATAGCGTACGCTTGAACCGTTGAATGTGTCTGAATCATATATGGTGTTCTAGATTGTAATTGGCACTGACCTACTTGCGAGAATAACGTGTCTAGCTCGTGCAGCTCCAATGTAAGAGCATCACATCGAGCGCGTTCCAGTGCCAGGTCGGTACAAGTTCGCGACAAATCGGTTTCGCATTGTTGCGCTTTTGTTTCCGCTTTACTCAGCTTCTCTTTAAGATCGACAATCGTCTCGTCGCGATCAAGAATCTACAAAAAAAAAACAATAGGGTTCGATTAACCATTGGAGTCGCCTACAATTCTTCTGTTCTTCTCAAGATCTTCTTGCAACGACATTGCAGTTCGACGTTCCCTAGAGAAAATTGAATTTCTCGAATTTATTTTGAAAAACAAAAACCTTTCAATTTCCACTACGAGGTTCTCGTTCTCTATCAATATTCTTTCCATCATTTCTCGCGAATCCTTTTCGGCTTTTGCCTGAAAAAATATCCGAAAAATATCAAAATTTTGAACGCGTATTGTACCGTTTGCTCGTTTTTTCTTCTCTGCTCCGCTTTTTCAATTGCTCTTTCGCATTTATCCTTTAAATCCTCCTCTTCTTTTTGCCGGGAGAGTTGTCGCGAACTGAATCCTCATGACTGAATCGCGTTGATTAGCGCTAGAGTACCTACCGCTTCAACAAACTATCATCGCTTCTTCTCATTCCTCCGTCATCCTCATTCTCGGACTCAAATCCATTGAGCATTGACGTCGAGCACATATCATTCTCTAGGATTCTTGCTAATTCTTTACTCGCCATTTTCGCTTTTTTGTATTTTCTTTCAATTTCATGAAGCGACGCCTGCATATGCATTTTGTCACGCAGAAGACTGTCCATTTCTCGGCTCATCTCCGCCAGCAACTCCTCTTGCTCCAAGAAACGCTCGCGACTCGCGCGCATTTCCTTTTCGAGCTCGGCGACTTGTTTCCGAAGCAGTTTCGTTTCCACATTTTGGTCTTGAAACGAGCGAAGCCTAAAATTACATTCGAATTGTTTCGAAAACAATTTTCGCGGCTGAAAAATGACATCAGAGAAATTTCAATGGTATTTGACAGTCAGCATCAAATATCTACTCACATCAATGGAGATTTGCCAGCGATTTTCGATGTCTTCGCGAAAAACTGACATTCAAGACGTAAGGTCTCATTAATTATGAATGCTTGTTACAAATACATGGCCCCAACCATCAACATATGCTGTACAGAGTTATCAAAATTTAATGATTGAAATATTGAATCGTATTATATTAATTATAGGAATTTTTTAATTTCCGGATTTCTTTGGTCATAGCAATTCTACCAGTCATCATTTATATTAAATCTGAAAATGTCTGGAACACTTGTTTTCTACGATTCAAGTATTGGCAAACAATACGAGTAATTTATTTCTATTTACCTTTCAATTTCAACATTTTGCGCAGCAATTGTCCTATTAGCTTTCTCTGAATCATTTAAAACACATTCATAAAGATTCATCTTTGAAATTAATTACCTAATTGTATAATTACCGATGCCGGCACATTGCTCAAATCGTCGCCAGCAATCGCTACCGTGTCATTATCCGAATATTGAATCGACGTGTCTCGGAATCGCTTCGAGACGTCGGCGGATTTGACGCCGCCGGCATCCGACGCCGTATTCGTCGACGTGCTTGGAAACGGCAGCTGAAAATCAATCGAATAAATCCCCAAGTGTCCAGTTAAACGATTTATGTCGTTTTCGAAATGTAATGCGTCTATTTTCTAGTTCGGACGACCACGAACGAAACGCATGAATAAAAATCGAATGTGATGAAGACGACAGCGAGCAAAAATACATAAATATATGGAGACAAAGTTTTTTTTTCTCTTTGCTCTTCTCGAATTTCACTTTATTTTTCATGTCAAACATTTTTTGTCGCCTAGAATGAATTTTGTGAAGATTAGGCAGCAAGGGTGCAAATTATGTTTTTTTTTTGAATAAATTGAGTAGCTAATCTGAAAATACGCAGAAACTCGTTCTTATTACATCAACCAATTTGCAGAGATACATTCATTTGCGGGGTCAAAAATTAATAATTTCCGGTTTTAATTTTAAAAATATTTATGAGCTCAAAATTTAGTTGCTTTTTTGCATGCAATCATTGATGTTTTTGAATGTTGCGATGAGTATGAGGCCAATTATAAATTATTCTGCAAAAAAATTCAATTTCAATTTTAATTGTCTAATTATGACGCGATTGAATTGCTTCAAAAAATTTTACTACTACGTCGGATTCAAAGATGATATTCTGAAGTGTGAAAACATCAAATATCTGGATGGGCACCAACTCTTACAATTTCTTTTTCTCTCCTTTCGCGTTTTTCTTAAATGTTGCCAAATTTGGGCGATTTCAAGTTGGGAGTGCACAGAAAAAGAAACATGAAAATATACATTTTGAACATGAGCAAGAAGAGGGACAAAAAAGGGAAGAAGAATAACTCATGCATGAAGTGCGTGCGGTTGATGTGATTGAGAGCGCACGCGGGGGCCCAGCAGCACTCGTTGCGAAAAAAAATCGGGCACGTTGAAAATATAATTAAAATCTATCCTTGAGCCGAAAATAAATATTACGCGCAAATAGACGTTTCTCATTTTCAACTATACTGATGAGAATGGGGATTGAGATGAATCGGTTCATCGGAGACGTGCTCAATTTTTTTTCACCCAAACTTTTATGTGTTTTACTTGTTTTCCACGAAACACTTTTCCCAGCTTTGGGGTCGTTTTGTTGATTTTGTTTTTAGAGAAATCCACTATCGTTAATTGAATAATTGATTTTTGAAACATAATTTACATTTCGAAATGATTTCTATCTCCAAAAAAGAGAAAAAAAAAACGGAAATGGCTTTTATCGAAATAATCTTGCCGCAACACAACAACAGCAAAAAAAAGAATGTAGGCAACAAAAAGAAGAAAAAAAGAGACAGCGTCGAAACAAAATTAATTAATATGTACATATATGTGGAGACAAGAAGGAACCAAGAAAAAAAGAAAACGAGGCCCTCGAAATATGCATTATTTTTTTTGGTGGACTACCCGAATAATGGACGAGTGTCGTCATGGAGATGACGGGAGAAAAAGTTCGTTTCGCATGAAAAATACTCAAAGAAGCCATCAAAAACGGCGAAGGTCATAATATAAAATGTATATCTCGCTACCAATTATCGACAGGTGTTTTATGGGCGTCTGCTGGCTGCCGAATCAAAAGGATTATGGTTGGCATCCTAGTTATATGGCAAGGGCCTTCTTTCGAATATTCATCGATATACGGTCGCGGAAAAGTTAAAAAAATGCGAATGGCATGGTTCTTTTACAGTTGTTCGTTTTGGTAATAAAACTATTCGTTCCAATTTTTCCAACTGGTTAAGAGCATTTATGGTCGGTTTCCAATGACTGATCTGTGACGGGAAATACAATTTCGCAAAATCGGTGTTGATTTACGAATTTGTAATTGAACTGTGCAGATTTAGCAAAAAAAAAACTGTAAAAACGTCGGTCACGAGGTTTTTCGAAGCCTACAGTATCACAGCTATAATTAAATCGCTGTAAGAATCAATTTTTTTTTCGTATGCGCATTTAACATTTCTCTATTAAAGTCACATACATACTTTTTTAATGATCATAGAAGCGATTTAAGGGGAGTATAAATATATCAAGGAAATTAGATAAGAAATCGAAAAAAAATCTAGGTGATTAACCATTTTTACTAAAATTTTTGGTGTTTCGAGGTCTCAGAGATGAATACTAATGAAAAATAGCCCAGGAATATCGAAAATAAGCAAAATTGAAATAATTGCGGACCATGCATTTTATTTGACAAAAATACACATGCTGCTTACTTCGTCATCGAATTTCTTAGCGACGATTAAACTCAGAATTTTCGCTATTTTTCGATTTCTTATCTATTACCATCGCAAAAAACGTGCACCTTGCTTAATACAAATTCGAAATATTGTCGGCGTCAAACGACTTGATGGGGGCGTGGACTTCAGTATATCGTAACCAGTGTAGATTTACGAGCGGGTAGATTTACGCGCTGACCAAATATTAAATGGTTTTTTTCTCGATTTTTTAATATTAAAAAATGTTATGCGTGTTTTAATCCTGATTCCCATTGTCATTTGCATTCTTATAATGAGTCGACCTCCATATATACGTAAAAGTTCACGGAACTAACGGTATTTACTTAAACAAGCGAAAGAATCGTACATTTATTGAATGTTTTAAGAGCACCACAACAATGTTTTATTTACCGTAAAAATAGTATGAAAATTATTGTTCAAAGGGGAAAGTCATCCGATTAATTGAGAATTCTCGAAATGCACCAAGACGCCGCACAATTGAAACTTATAACCGAAAGCCAAACGAGCGTTGATTCCAATCGCCTAAAACTAGTAATAACTTCACATTAAATACAAAATTAAAAAGAAAACTGAGTCTACAAAGATTAAAAAAATGATAACGTACTTTTCGGAAGAAGCTTGAAGTCATTGAGTATATTTTTTCCTTTCCCTAGTATTGATGAAGCTGTGAAGTACCGAGGCGAGCATATAGTTCAGAATTTTGTGTCCGTTGGAGGTTGTCTTCGAGGTTGCGCGAAGGGTTCAATATTTGATGCCATTGTAGTCGCTGAAACTATAATGATAAAATAATGGCAATTTTAAATAAAAATAAAATAATACCCGTCTTGTTAACTTCAGTAGTTTTCAAAGTCCTTCGGCTCCTGTTCAATGTGATTGTGTTTCCTAAAATGTACTAAAAATTAAGAAACGGAAAATGATGAAGAATAAGTTTTTACAATGTCAAATTAATTAAAAAATGCCTTTAAATATATGAAAATTTTAAACTATCAATCAGCGATTATAAAAATGTAAGATAAACAGCAAAAATAAAAGAAATTGGCTAATAAAAAAAGAGATACAGAAAAATTCTCAAAAAAATAACGCGCCCAAAAACACGCTGCGCAAAACACGCTGCAAAGTGTATGCCACATACACTTCTCTTCGCCTCGAGACATCTGGCAATTAGCCAATATTTTTTAAAACTTCGTCAAGTCGTTTGACGCCGACAATAAAACAGTGGGAATTCAGATACCGTACTCTGGATAACCTGCGAATCTAACTCATCGTATGTCGGCGCAGGGTGCTCGTTTTTTGCGAATCTAACTTTTAAAGGATTCTCATCCCCCTCCTTTAATAAAAGCAGGGGTACTGTGGACTTGGAAGCTCTGTCCGCGGCCGAGAGTTTTGCGGTATTTTACAATCTGCATAGCGATTTTTGAGGTTTTTTCCTGTTTTTTTTTTAGTTTTTTTTTTGCAAAATATGCATATTACTAAGGATTAAATACGCTTATATTTTTCGAAACACACGCATAGCAAAGATTTTTTGATTTCGTTTAGTCGTTTGAAATCGCCAATATTATTTAATGAGTGAGAGTTATCCCAAAATCGTCAGTTTCACTCCCTAGTTAAAATTATGTGATAACAGTCATGGAAAATGTCGAATTTAAAGACTTACGTATTGATATGGAGAATAAGAGTATTTCGATTGAAGATAATTTCCGTTGTGCAAATACATTTCGCCGATTCGTCCCGCAACTTCCTCTACGGTATCCGAGGCATTCTGGAAAAAGTGAAAAATAATTGTGAATCGAAGAAGCTGCGTGGTTTGTCGCAATTATTTGCAAACGAGACGACACAAAAAATAACAAAAAAAAAGAGAGCAATTCTTTCATACAAAATAGCCTTATTTGTATAGGATTGACGAGGATTCAAGTGGCAATTTCTAATCGGATTCCTCACAAGCGAATCATTTATGCAACGGAATTTATTTGAATATTAATGGCATCCACGTTTTTCTTGGCGATAAAAAAAACACACAATTTCTATACAATTCTTTGGTTGGCCCTAGATAATTATAGGTTGCAATCTTGCAGCTCAGACGATTTTCCACTATTTGTTCTTGGATACACGAATAAAAACAAAATATTTTGGAAAAATTACAATCGTAGACTACGACTAATACGAGGTGAGTTTTCTGTAGTACGATACCTCCGTTCGAACAGTTTGAATCGATATTTGAATTAACGCCACGAAAAATACGATGGTCTACATATATTCATGAGATTCTTTTTTTTTCTATGAAAAAAAATAAAGAAAATTTTTCTTTCAAAAAATAAGCACTGACTACTAGAAATCGAAAGAATTGATTTCAAAATCGATCAATTTAATTCTATAAAGCGTAACAATTTAGTTGTTATTTAAGACAATTTGAATATTTTGAACAGTTGGAAATATTTTTACAGATTTTATAATACATATAATTCACTCAGGTATCAGCGATCAGTGGGAAAAAATGTTATTCAATATTGCGTCCCGCGTCCCCGTGGTTATGATCTTGGCGCGATTGCGGAAAATTGGAAAAATGCCAAAAATTTTAAAGAGAATTCGGTGTTCGCCTTTAACATATTTTTATGCATAGGCTCGTTAAAAAAACACTTTCATTTTTGCGCCAATATCATAACCACCATCTTTTTTTGGCACTTCGGCAATTTTCCACACTTCGATAAGGTGTATTCAACACGATTCCAAATATCAATAAAGATGAAACCTTTCTAAGGTCAGCCGTCCATTTGGTCTGATTAAAATCTTTGCCGGAGATCCTCGAGTCCATGACTGATCAATTTAAAGTTGAATACGTAAAATAATAAGGGCCTAGAAAGAATTTTAAATTAACTGGATGAAATTTTCGAATGAAACCAAATACATAATTAGCATAAATTCTTCCTTTATAAAAAGAGCGTAATAAATGCACAAAACTAACCCAGAATAACTGGATTCGCCAATTATAAACCCATTTTGAAAAACACGACAAAAATATTTGTGCACTTTCTTTTGAAAACAAATGTTTTCCTTTTTCATTCAGGATCGACTTAAATTTTTTCATGAAAACGGAATTTTCCACTTAAAAATAACCTATTTCCGGTGTTTCTCGACTATTTTCTTTTTCAAAATAAAATATCATACGCACACACTACTAAAAGAAACGACAAAAATTGCAACTGCAGGCTCCTCTCCTACTCGCTCGAGTAGCAGCCCAAAAAAATTGCGAGCAAATCCTTGTCATAGATTATGCTTCGGGTCGACGCCCCTTCCTATTTTATGCTCTCAGTTTTCGGTTGGAGACACCACGAAACGAAAATAACTCAAAAATAAAACCTACCACCGTCGTCGCTTCATTCGCCTCGTTCCTTTTTTGCTCATGACTCATTGCCTACACAATTATCATTTTCTATAAATCGAATTATCAATGAAAATAAACCATCAATGGGGCAAATAAAGCCGATAAACATTGAATTAATACACGAAACAACGAATAGACCAACTATTTATTTCCCTAAAATTGCTAAACTAAAAACCCGTAAATTAACCAAAGACATTGACTATTTATTTGCGGAATTTATGCCACCACATCATTAAAGTGACAATTGTCAAAGAATACCTGCAATAATAATTAATCAAATCAAATGTTTTTAGTTGAATCGCATACCACGTCAATAGATAATTTAGGTGCTCATTTCGGACATTCACATTAGTTTGACCTCCAATGGGTCCACCAGGCACTGTGGTCTCTAAAAAATCTTTCTCAAATCGACAAATCTAGGCTGGAAATTCTCAGAATATGATTTATGGCTATTCAAAATTTGCCTCTGTTCAATATCCATACCATAAGCGGCATCAAGCCACACCGGTGAAGTTCCATAAGTTTCTGCCATTTGCTCGAGATCTCGATAATACCAAACTCCCTGTTCCGGCATATTTTGGCCAACAAATTGAGGTCTCTGGTATTGAATAAATTTTAAGAAGAAAAAAATGAGAACAACAATGTACCTGCTCTGATTTCCTGACAATCGCTTCAAACGTCACTACTCCTTTTGGATTTGTTTTCGTTCTTGAATCAGGATCAAAAAGAAATGATGGAATCCATCCACGATTAATAAGAATGACTTTTCTGAAGCATTTTGATGTATTTTCATTGAAACGATTTTAAAAAATATACCCGGAATTGGCCAATTTGAATGGTGTAATGAGGTGTCCACCGTGACTTGACATCTCATTTTCAGACAGAAGGGATCCACTTGAAGCACTAGCTTTCACTTCTTGAGTTCCATAAAAATTATATTATGGATTGTTTTTAACCAACCTGGGTCAAATCTTCCCCTTGGACTTATCACAAATGATCGATCATGAAGGAATTCACCAGTCACGCGTACTCGACAATACTCCAACGGTGCTAAGTTTTCACTGTTTTCATAAAAATATAATTTAGATTCAAGTCTCTATTTAAAAAAAAACCTTCTCAAATCGTCAGGAAGTAGCACGGCAGGCTGGTTTAGCCGCGATTTGAGGTGCTCAATGAGCTCAAGTTTCCATTGAAGACGAATGACCTGCCAGCATCCGAGAGAAAATGCAAATGCTGGGATTATCTGCAATTCTCACACTACTCAAATTTAACAATGTTGCAATTGAAATTCTCTCGAATTTGTCTCAAATTAAAATGCCAAAAGATTCTACGCAGTCAGCAGGATTCGAACCTACGCGGGCAGAGCCCAATTGATTTCTAGTCAATCTCCTTAACCACTCGGACATGACTGCACGGCGCGTTCTCGCCAAGATGGCGGTGAAAAAAGCAGCAACACGATTGTACACATCAATTGCATTAGACTTGCGAGAATTTAAATTTAAAATTTTTGATAAAAATGTAGCCAAAATGGTGTTGGCACGAATGCTGTAATTAGGCCCGTAAATCTACACTGTTTGTTTTCGCAAGACCACCGTCAAAAATTCGTTTTGACCTACCAACATCGCAATCGAACCAACACTCCACTGAATTTTCTTTTTAGCCTGAGATTTTGGCTCCCGTTTTTCCTCAAATTGAATTTCAATTCTTTTCGGCTTCTTTTTCACTTCCAAATCAATTATCCGATTTATTTTTGTCTGAATATCCAAATAAAATATGTGTTGCAATAAATGAAGAACCTGCGTAAATCTACACGAAATAACAGTGAGTCGCCGAAATGCCAATCGACTGCAGACCAGCATCTGTAAGGCACCTGCCATCTGCCCATCTGCTCCATTTAATTGCGGAAGTAAGCCGAATCGAACAACAATTTTCTCCGGTTAAATTTTCAAATGTATTTAAAAATTTATTTCAACAAAAAACAATAACAAAAATGGTTTAACAAGAAGTATAAAAATGGGAAACAACAAAATCGGAGAACCTCGTAAACAGCAACAAACAATGAAACAACTAAAAATTGAATGAATTATCGCCGTCCTTTTCCGCCCTTTTTGCCTCGTCCCTTTGTCTTTTCCTTTTTCTTCATCGCACGTAAGTCCTTTTTCATGCGGCTGAAAAAAAAAACAGGTTAGTTAGTGGGGGAATGATAAATGAAGCACTTAAAATTAAAATAAAATCATATTTACCTGTCGACAAGCTTATATCTTCCACCAGGTCGGTTCATGGCCCCCTTCTTTCCTTTGGTCATCACGACGATTTCAGTCTTCTTACGTTCCTTGCGATGAGCAGCCGAGTAAACCCTACAATAAATTTTGAAATTGGTTGAACGAGAACAAATCAAATCTCACTTTTTCATTTCTCGCACTTTTTCGTTGTGATCCATCATTTCATTCTCCAAAATTCCTTCAGCCTTCTTCTTGGCTAGCTCAAGCTTCTTTTTCATTCTGATAAATACGAAAAGCATATACTATAAATAAGCTTCTCCTACTTTTTCTGCTTTCTAGCCTTCGCTTCAGCGACCTTCTTAGACGGCCTTGCGTTGAATTCGCGCATTCGTTCCCGATACAGCGCAACCTGCTCCTTTGTTACGGGAATCTGTTTTCTGTAGTGCTTCTTTTCATCCTCAACAAACCAATCCGGTAGTTCATCATCATTATTAGCATATCTCAAAAAGAAAACCAATGGTTTTTCATTAATACATTTCCAAATACCTATTCCAGCCCATTTCTTCTAATTCTCTAGCAGATTTGCTAGAATAAATTAAAGCTTCTCCCATTGCAAGCTGTTCAGGAGTTAACCGTCGTTTTTTGGCAACTGGCTTCAAATCTTCACCAATTATAACTTTTTCAGCTTTTCTCTTTGCAGCTCGATTGCTTCCATCTATATATCTTTCTTCTTCATCATCATCAACATCAATTTGAGCATCGAATCGGCTAAGTCTTTCTTTCGCAACATCATCTAATTCCTCATCACTCTCTGTTCCACTGGATAGATCTACATCATCATTACGATCAAAACCATCATCAGCATCATTCTTCTTCTTCTTCTTCTTATCCGCGTCATCATCGAACGATACTTAAAAGGATATTGTTTGTATGAATTAAGCCGAAAACGCTTACTCACCAGTGTTTTCATATTTCTTCTTTTCAGATTTTTTCATGTGCTTTTCAACAGCATTCATCTCATCGTCGTCGTCTTCATCAGAAAGCAATCCAGCGATTTCTTCTTTTTCAAACCATTGATCTGCTCTACTTGTCTTCTTCTCTTTCTTGGTCATTCCCGACATGTCGTTCACAAGCAATTCATTCTCCTCCTCATCAGAATCCTCGCGTCGATCTTCTGCTTCAATCGTCTCCCACTCTCCTTCTCCAAGACCTTCTTCCTCCTCTTCCTCGAAAGTCGTGTCAGGTGCCTGAGTTCCTTCTTTGGTGATCAGCGCTAATTCCCGAGCACGGCGAATCTTTTTCAATGCGAAGATTTCAGAATCTTCAGCTTGCGGACCTTGATCTCCTTCGATAATCATTTTCAATTCACGGCGCTTCAAATAACGAGCTTTTGCTTTGAGCATCTTCTTTTTTTTCCTAGAACATATTGATTAAAAGTTTAAAACAATTTTTTTTTTTACTTTTTTAAAGCCGCAATTTCCTCTTCTCCTGCTTTGGCAATCATTTCATCAATTTCAGCCAGAGCCTTATCTCTGAAGTTTTAAAATTTTTATTAAAAAAAAAACGAAACAATTTCCATACTCGACTTCTTCCAGAGTGAGATCCTCTTCAATTTCAACAGTTTCACTTTCCCTAAAGTTAGAGAGATTAAAATAAATAATAATTACCAATATTACCATTCGTTGGCCTTCTTTTCTTCCGCAATCATTTCTAACATAGCTTTTCGCCACCGAAGGAGAACACGCAGTTCCCGAGGGCCACAAACTTTAACATCAGCCATACATTCTCGCACCTGGAATGGTTTCGTTAAAATATTAGTATCTCTTTCAAAAACGAAACCTCCTCGGTAGTTTTCTCATGATTTTTCCACCGATCATCATCAAGCTGAATCACATTCGCAGAGCCAAGCATATCCAAGTAATGCTAAAAAATGTTTGAATAATGTTTCAATTACAAGTCAAAATTACCGATGAATTGATAAATTCGGTTGCAGTAACTGTAGAATAAAGTGCTAAAGTATCGACATCATATCCTTCCGCCTTTGCTTTTTTCTGTTTTCCAATTAGCAAATTCTGTGGATTTGGCTTGGTTCCTTCGAAACCATCTGGAGTGGCAAATACTTTCTTCGGGTCAAGATACTCTGCTCCAACCTGAAATTCACATCTAGAATATAAATCATACCGATTTCTTACCTTGTCAGGCTTCAGATAATTCTCGCACACAACGAAAATCTCGGCAGATTCTAATCGAGACGCTGCTGGCTTCCAAACATGAACACGTTTGAAAAGTTTTTCGAAAACACGAATAAGGCAAGAATAATCGTTAGAACGGAAGACCTAAAAGAGATCGATAAAACGAAATACTGTGAACTCTCGTAGGGATGAAACCTTCGTAACAAAAGTACCCCCTTTTCGGAGGATTTGAGTAGCCATTTTCAAAGCAGACAATGTGAGGCAATTCTGTTGGAAAGCATCATGAACCCAATTTAAACCAACATTTGGAGCACCGTCGTGAAGAACGCAATCAGCCTAAAATTAGAGCACAAATGAAAAAAAATAATATGGCAAAAATGCATACACTCCATGTTTTCAGCTCTTTCTTTATTGCAGATCTTGTTTCGTCCGTAGTAATATCACCTTGTAAAGCAATGCAATTTTTGATCGGTTTGATAGGTGCCAAATCAACTCCTAAATTAATGTAAATCATCAGCGGCCGTTGTCAGAATACAAGACTAACCAATAATCAAGCTCGATACGGGCATATTTTGTGCTGCGACTTGCATCCATCCTCCTGGCGCTGCGCAAAGATCGACTGTTGCGCGAGATTTTTGAAGAAATTCAAATCGTTTGTTTAATTGAACTAATTTGAAGGCAGCACGTGATCGGTATCCTTAATTTATTTTAATTTAATAAACATTTTAAAATAGTTATTCACACTTACCAGCTTCTTTGGCAAGCTTGTAATACTTATCACGGCGCTGTTTTCCGATTTTAACCTTTTTTCCCATTTTTGTTCAGTATCCAAGATTACCTAAATTGTTATTTCAAATAGTAACATTTCTGGTCATTTCATGCAATAATAAAAATTTTATGTTTTTCTTATTGCATTTCATGATTCTTCACAGGAGAAGTATTGGTAATATAAAGAGAACAAAAAATATGTTTTCCCCGAGACGGTGAACAATATAATCACCCCGTCGAGCAAAAACGAGAAATGCCTGCTGTTTGTCGAGATATTCGTAGACCGCTTACGACACTCCGGTTTACGCCGGCTACTTGGGGCGACAGAGAAACAATATTTATACTAGAAGAAATGTAGTTCTTGGGAAAAAATTGGGTAAATTGTTACATTTTTTTGCACTTTAAAAAAAATTACCTCTATGGTTTTTTAAACCACTAATGTGCAAGCGACAACTACTATTATTTTTACCATCAAGAGTTGGGAAAAATATTTTCCAATCCCAATTTTTTTTTAAATCGAAATTTGAAATGCCTACCCAAAACAAACCGATGAACCAAAATCAGCTTTTAGAGAAATTACTACTAATCCTGCTTTTTTATTAATGATCTTCTATTCCGTGGGATTTCAACCGTTTAAATAACTCATTCGAGGAATAACGCTATTTTGTAATATACAACAGTATAAAAATTCAACAATTTATGTTAATAACAACATATTTATTTCTTTCCCTTCTTTCCTTTCTCGGTTGGGGCGGATCCCTTGTCGTCAACGAGGGTGTTGTGGCATCTTCCGCAGTAATGTCTGTTACTGTGGTGAGCCATGAAAACTCCTCCACCACAGGTTGGCTGTTGGCATTCCTGACGAAGACGAGTGACCTTTCCATTGTCGTCAATCTAAACGACAATATTATTTTCGGAAATTTATTAAAATTAATATTTTTTATTTTGGAAAGAACGACTCAGAAACTCAAGCATCAGTCACGAAACTCTCAGAGGTCCTGACACCATATCAATAAAAAGATCTTCATTGTCGTTTTCCAATTCTCATTAAAAAAAAACGAGTCTTACCTTGTAGTACTTCAAAACAGCGAGCTTGACCTTCTTTGGCTTTCTCTTGTTCTTCTTTGGGGTGGTGTAAACCTTCTTCTTTCTCTTCTTAGCTCCTCCGAGCATGCTAAGCGAGAGGAAGACAGTGGTATCCTTCTCAACAGTCTCGTCATCCTCGAGCTGGTGACCTTAACATTTTGAATCACGAATGTAAATAGCCGGGTCTGTCCTCAAGAACCAACAAATCGATTCTCTCGAGATTCAGCTTTTTTAAAGACTTACCGGCAGCGATGAGTCTCTGCTCCTCAGCTGGGATTCCTTCGATCAAATAGATCTGTTGCTTGATGCTCGAAACATCTTCAACGTCAAGGCACAGAGTGCGGCCTGTCAGCGACTTTACGAAGACCATTATGGATCTTCTACCCGAGTCCTAAAAAATAATAGTACAAATAGAAAGAAATTGTTTTATGAACTGAAAAAAAAAAGTTTTTTAAAAATTCGGAAAATTAATTCAAGCAAAAATAAAAACCCTAAGAAGTAGGTCGGAAACAAATTTAGGCCAAAAGAAATAAAAATTCAAAGAGAATGGGAAACGTCATACTGTAGCCAAACCTGCACATCAAACTTTAAATGATGTGCATTGGAGCGCACATGTTGCAACATTGAAATTTTGCGACGTATTTTAAGAAATAAGAAGTGAATTTGCGGTCACTAAGAATTAGGAACGGGAGATGAAATTCCGATTAGCAACTACGAGAAGCATGTAAAGTAAGATATTAATTATTCAGATAATTATTAACTCAGTGCGGAAAACTTTAAGTGTTTATTAAAGTTTGCAAACTTAATAAATGAATTATTGTTAAAAGAAGATATTAATATCATCGAAAAAAACATAGAAACTAGAAATTAAGAAGATTATGAAGGAATTAAATATAAAAAATATGAACGCCAATTTTAATGAGCATTATTATTTTTAGCTGATATTTTTTTTTAATTTAACGTGAAAAAGAGGAAGAATAATTTTTTTTAATTCAAAAATTTAAGAAAAAAATTTTTACTAAAGCAATATGTCTTGCTTTTTTTCCCGCGATATTGCAAATCATGAGCATTTAATGAGAAAAAAAGAGAATGCTCTGTCCGCTTTACTCTATCGATTTCACATTGTTGCTCAGCTAATTTCCTGCGACATTTCCGTCTGCCACATTATTTCCCAAAGGAATTCTAGTTTTTCTCACCTAATTGTTGGAATATTGTCGAAAATTTAGTACCTGTTTATTGAAATACACTTTAATTTCAGTCGATTCTTAACCCTCTTCTACCCCCACAATTCTCTGCCTCTCACAAAATTTCGTGCTATTTCTTTGATTTCGTCTATTGTTACACTCGGAAAAATTTAAGCGAATTTGTGTCTCGTGCTTCGCATCCACAAGATCAATAAACAAAAAAGATGCGTCCATGAGCATCCACTTTTTTCTCTTGAAAACAATGTTTCCTTTGGGATTGTTATTTTTTCAAATTTTAAGATGGCCTTCAGCTTCAATTTGACAAATCTGTGCCATTTTTCTGAATTTGATTTTTAAAGAGGTCTTGAGTGCATTTTCTAAACGTTCGCTATAAATTTTCGCTCTCAGAAACTAGAATTGTCTTTAAAATTATTCATTAATTTTGTATGTTGTGATTTTAGACCTTTTAAAAATGTTTTATTTATAGTTAAAAAAAAGTGTTAATAAAAGTTCGAGCCTTTTTAAAATTTTCTATTTAATAGAAATAATATATGTCATCATATTTTTTTTAATAAATGTAATTATTTCGTAGCGAACCCCTTTTCCGAGTTTTTTTTAATTATCAGTAGAAATTTGTCATCTGACTTTCTCGTATCTCTTCTTCTCGCTATTTTCCCAAATGACTCACGTTCTAACCGTTGGCCCATTGAAAAATACCATCATCTTTCGTTTGTTTGCTCATCTTGTCGAGAATTTCAACTATAACCCATTCAAATTAGTCTTATTTTTTCTAATTAGTTACTATATTTCGAAATTCATTTGAGAAGCATTTATGGAAAAACACAAAAAAACATACCACAAGTGGCTCAACTATAATATTGTTTTAGGACCAAATGAAACGCCACATATCTGCATATTTTCTATTATTTTTAATATTTTGCTCTTTAATACCGCCAATTGATACAAGGCGAGGTGGCGGAGGAGGTAAATTTTTCAAAATTTCAATTGCAGGGTTATTATTATTAGAATTCAATTTTTAATCATTTCCAGGATTTGGAAGGTCTGGAGGTGGTAGATCAGGTGGAGGATTCAGTCGAGGACAATCTGGAGCTAGAGGTAACAGTGGTGGCGGTGGATTGTTTGGTGGATCAAAAACTAGAAATGACTACGCCAGAGGAAGCAATATTGGAAGTCAGATAATGCGCCTTTAAAATAGCTGATTTGAAATTTTTAGACAGGGGAAGTTATCCGAAACAGCCGACTAGTAATAATTATGGAGGTGGATATAATCCTGGAATGTCGTCTGGTGGGGGATATCGAGGAAATTCCAATTCTGGAAGGTATGTTGGAAAATTTTTACCGGTTGAAATGTTATTGGAAATGAGAAAATTATTTTATTTTTCTAAATTTATTTTTTTTGCTTATAGCCGGCGTCCGGCGACTGCTGTACGAAGGCAGATTTACGGATGCGCCTTTCGAAATGGTTTCGCTACGTGCGAATGTTTATATTTACATTTTCCGTGAAATGTTTAATTTTTCTGCATAAGAAAATAATCTCCTTTGATACTTAATGCCATTAAAATTAAAAATTAATGAAATGATCTCTAAAACGAAATATAACCGGTTAGATCGTGCGAGACCACAGAGAAGGCGCATGCACGTGAAAGTACAGCAGTACGGCTGTATATTTGTTCAAATATAGCCTAAATTTTCGAAAACAAATAGAAAATGGAATAAATTCAGCAAAGGCGGTTTTCTCGGAGGAATTTTTGGTAGAAAAACCCATTCAAATTCCGGTTTTGGCTCAAGAAGCAGCATTCCAAGGTAAAATTACTAATGAAGTGATCTAATATTAATTAATCAAATAACCAAATATCACACCTGAGAACACGACTTTCTAAGCGATGTAAACTTCAAATTTGATTATAGATACACTTCATCAGGAATTGGCTCTCGATCACGATCTAGTCAATTCAAAAACATGATTGTTGGTGCCGCTGCCGGATATTTGACCTATCAGGCTGGAAAGGCGATCATACGAGCTGCCACAACTCCGATGATGTGGAATAATCGCCCCTACTATTGGGGATCGAATTATTATCGTTCGAGTCCTGGACACCAGAAGATGTGCAGCATGCCATTGGAACCAAATGATCCTCAATTCGGAAATATCTATTTCCAAGTAAGAACTCGACTCTGTCTCCTAGGTAATTTCAATTCTATGATAGGATCAAACTCGACCACGCGAGATAACGTGGGGATGCGGTTACTACGAATACTGTTGCGGTTATGAATGCTGCCGAGGAGGTGATGCCGGCCATATTGGAGGACGAGGCTCATCAATCGGGTATGCGCTTGTCGCCCTGTTCCTAGCAAGAAGACTATTCGTCTAACACACCGAGTGTCTCATATGAGAATGCTAATATTCAATTGATTTCGGTAAAATTTGCCCATTTAGATATATTGGCATACACTAGACGACTCCACAAATGCACCGTAATGTGTTGTTGAATGCATTTTGTCTTAGAATTTCGATATTGTCTTTGCCTATTTGCCATAAGATCTTACCGGATGATCGGATATTGTGCAAAATTACGATGCCTACTATGCTGCCCAACAAATTCTTCCTTTTGTGTTTCTCCAAATTGCCATATATTATCTTTTCCTTCTATATGGGTCTGCTTTTGTTCTGTGTTTGGTGAACAATAAATGTTTTCCTTATTGTTCTAGCATGCATATATATATATATCGATTCGTGTGTCGTGTAGCGAGTAGCGTAAAGTTGAAAAATAGATATTTTTAAAACCACTGAAAACATTGAAAAAATTTTCCTGAACTCAAACCCAATCGGATCCGAATGTGATAAATTTTACAAACGGATACTAAAAAAAAATAGTAAGCAGATGTGAGAAATTTCGAATTGGTTACAACATATCAGTAGAATTTCCAGTCGGGTCGGGTAGATTCTGGATCCGAATTTTGTTGGATCCGATTGGTTTTGAGTTATCTGAAGTTTGAAAAAAAAAATGTTTTAAAAGTGGAAGACATGGGATTTATCTATTTTTCATCCAGTTCATAATTATATTGTTAGTTGCAGTGTATCCGCGTAATGAGCACTGCTATGCGGAAACGGTATAAAATTCGATTTGTGTACAAATTTTGATATTATCTGTTACCGAAAAAAGCAGCTACTGTAAAATACGGCCGAGTTTGTAGCGAAAATTTGTGGTAGCCGCTTATTCTTTTTTTGGAAACGAACTACTCGGCAAACACGTTTTGCGAAACAGTTTATTCAAATGCAAATCCGCAGCGTTTATGCAGCGTGATTGCACAGTCCATGTACAAAAAAAAAATAAAATTTTGTGCAATCACGCCGCACGAAGTCTGCGGACTTGCATTTTAATCGACGGTAAATCGATATCTGTCGTTTTTCCCTAAATATCTTTTTTTTTTTTACTAAATTCCATTAAAAAGAGCAATTAAAATTAAACTTAAATGCAAATTTTCAGCTTATTACTCGTTCTTGCCATTCTCGGACTCTGCGCATTCCCATTAATATTCCGTTGGGCTCGTCGGCGACAATTTGGTCAGTAATCCAGGCATCATCGATCACAAAGATGAACAAAAAAAAACGTGTCAATTATTCATTTTATTAATCATATTCACAGCACATTTGAGATAAACATTCTAATTTGATGAAAAAGAGAACAATTAAGAAACTAACGGATAGGTATCATCAACAACACCGGTAATTAGGAAAATTGTCACAAAATTTTGATAGGTTGAACAATTAAACACTCACAAACACCAAGTCTAAATGGAATTATTTCTTTTGAGCAAAACCCTGTGAAACATTTTCGGTTAAAACATTTTTAATAAACGGGATTAAAGAAAAAAAACAAATCTAAACTAATTGAATTGGCAAGTAGATGGGTCGATGGGAAGGAACGGGCAAAAAAAATGCGTAATGAGCCAAAAAAAGATATTAAAAACACAAAAATAAATGAAATTGAGCAAACGAGCAACTTCATCCAATCAAGCAGCATCACGCTGTCGGCACTGAGCACATAGACAACACAACGCACGTACACGTAAAAAATAAGGTAATTTCTGCAAAAATAGGTGACCAATTTACGAAGAATTGGCGAAGTCACGGCGACTTGGAACAATGCCCAAGGAGCCGATCGCCCCGTCGAAAAATTTAAGTGTAGACCATTCTTCGCGAGCTGTTTTGCTGCCGCATGTTGAAGTCGTCGACAAGATTCGTTGACGATGATGTGAATTCTGATGAAGCTAAACAAGCTGATGGTTTTGACACCAATCGATGAACTTGGTAGAGACTGATATTGACGTCACGGAACAATTGCATCTGAAAAAAATGAAAATTAACCTTTTTTCAAAGTTATGCGGGAAACCTGGAAGATTCCAATAATTGTCGTCAGGAATCCAACAATATTTCCCAAAACATCTGAAGCTCCAAGACACGACCATTCCTTAAATGAAATCATTCAAACTAGATGGCTAGATGTAAGTGTTCACCTTATAAAGAATAGAAGAGGCGAGGATTACAAATGTCGTGAAAAAGACATAGTAAATTGGAGTAACCATTGAGGTATTGAAGATGTCCAAAGCCTTATTAAGATATATCTAAAACCCAAAATCAGACGGTCATTCGAAACAAATGACTACTTACAAGCTGAACCGAAACACACATTGCTACTGAAGCTAGCCAGAAGTATGTCAGCCAGTTGGTCAATTGTTGATTTCCTGACAGCGTTTCTTTAATTGCAAGACCGAGACCCTAAACAGGTAAACCTAATTACGGAATAACAATTTTTGATTCCATACTTTTACTGAAAGAACCGAGAGCGAACCGATAAGCGAGCACACCGAAATATATACCAGAATATTGGTTTGTCCGTATCGGGGCGCAATGTAGATCACAATGAATCCGGTTGAAAGAATGATGAGTATCACGTAGATCAGAAATCCCGCGTCTTTCATTTTGAGAGCCAATTCAGCCATTGATCCAACTTCTTCTTCCTTCGGCGAATGGATTACAATAACAGTTGACCCTTAAAGTGAAGTTCGGTAAATGATTGCTCGTTGTTTGATACCTAATATACATAATGTACAACCAATTGAACCAAATAGATTCAATCGTTCATTGAGTAATCGCGATGAAAGCACAGCACTGAAATCAATTTCACCATTTTGTGATATTTTCCATGAAATTCACTCACGTGACAATAACTGAAAGCGCTCCCAATGGTGTGACCAGTGATGCAGGTGCAAACGCATACGCTGCAAAATTGCACGCTTCTCCAACTCCCACTAAAAATAACGTGGGTAACTAGACGATGAGAACACAAAGTTTACTTGTTAACACTCCAGTCCACCACAGCCATTCTCGCAGATACCCGTAGCCGCCTTCGCTTGCTCTTTGCGATATATCACCGCTAGCGAGCTGTAAGAATCGGCGCATATTCACTATAGCGTTCGTAGATTAATTATTTTTCAGTTTTCTTCGCATTAAAAAAATTTTAGCAAACACGCACGTATTCAATCAAATTACGACACTCCTCAAACTCGAACTCAATCAGTTTGATAACTGTAATCGTTTTGCGAAAAAAAGTTTGGGACAAACCTTTATCAATGCTTTCTTTTTAATGATAAACGAACTGCCGATGAAAGCGGACGAAGTGATGGCGAGTGCTAAACCAATATAAAAGTCACGCGACGCGTAGTGCTCTGAAAATCAGTTGCAGAATTACAGAAGTGTTAAAGACGAACCACTGTCAAGCGTGTTCGAGTTCATACTTTGCGATGTCGACGCGATCGTTGCCATCCTGTAAGACGAGAAACGATATGGTATTCAAAAGAAACCAAAAAAAACAAAATAAGAAATGAAACATTAAATGAGCTGACGAATACGTGAGTAAACGCAAAAGAATGATGGAATTGAGTGCGATATTCAATCGATATCAATCGACCGAAAAAATAGCAGCACAATGATGAGTTTGATAACAAAAAACACAGACAACTCATGATACACCATCTCTATTCGGTTATGTATGTATTTTCTCCCATATATTTGCAGACTGATAACACACATGCACAATCATACGCACACGCACCCAACATTCTTCCAAATAAGAACCTCCGAAAATGGGAAGAAACACCGAACATAAAAAAAGCCTTTTCTTTAAATTTCATTTTTTTAAGTGTCACACGCCAAATTGCATAATCGCATTATTGAATTTTGGGTCCCGAGACGATTAAAAAACAATATATTCAATTTTCCGTGACCAAATATTGTTTTGGGGTTTTCATGCAAATTTTTCATCGAAATGAATTTGTCGCTGCTGATTTTGAGGGTTTTCTTCATATCGAGATCACATTATGCTAACCACAATACAAAGGGTAACAAAAGTGCAACAACATAAAAGGAGCTCATGGGAACATGATCACGGGCACACAATTTCTCATACAAAAAACATTTGGAATCTGTGTTTTTGAATACATAAAAGTATGGGTGTTTCATCAAAATAGTTAGAAAATTCGAAAGAAACATGCCAATTGTTTTCAGAAACCAAAATTCGTATAAATAATTCAGCTGTACATACTCGCAAAACACAGTTCAATGAACACTTCGCTTGAATTTTCAGACATTCCAGCACTGTTAAAAAACAATAAATCCGGTGGCAATAAGGGGACCTTTGTTTGTAGGGACTCGTGTTGGAATTTCCGCCATCGCTATAGGTGATTGTGGCGCATCCCGGAAAATGTCAGAAGATATTTACAATGAAATTTTTCTGATTAAGATTCGCGGAACAGGGTCAACGGGCCCGCTTTTAACAACCTTTATATTTTCAAGAATAAATTGGGGAGGAATAGTACAACTGCAGATATTTCAAACTTGAAAACAAAATTATTAAGCGATTTTGACTCAATTGCAACGTTGATTCGCCAAGTTGAATCATATTTATTTACGACTTATTAAATCCCACACGCAAACACGAAACGGTCTGACATCACTAGTAAAATGATACAACAAAGTGGCTCAATGAAGAGAAAAGGAAGTGGCCGAATATTTGTTCAACAAGGGAGTGTCTAACAGTTCAACAACGAGTGAATGAGTAACCCACACAAGGGAATCACAGTAATCGCTAATTAATACGGCTCCGAAAAACAAAATTGCCCCTTTTTCTCGAAAATCGCATGATTAATGATTAATCAAAAAAAAAAAAACTCTCCAGGTCAAACATATGTTCATGAACTCTTCAACAGTTCATAAAACAATTCTCACCCAAAAACTGCGACTTGGTGGCAAAAACGACTTCTTGCCGCCAGCAACAAACAGATTATATGCATTGTATAACGCACCGGAATATTGTAGTCAAACACAAAACGATGGGAAAAAAATTTGAATGCGAATGTGAGGAGAAGAATTGGAGATGAATGATCTACAATAACCAGGCAAACTGGCGGAAACAATACTAAAAACTCGCAAAGCGCGGAGAAAAAAAAGAAAATACGACCGATTTAATGCATAAAACTGCGATTGACCCCACAAATTGTAATTATACACTGCTTTCAATTAAATATGTGGTTCAATATGTCTCAATAAAGTTTATCACATGTTCTCTTATAACATTAAATTCTCAAATCAGGTTTTTTGCTGCTATGGTAACTGGAAGTTTAGCCAAACATTTCTTTTTATTCTGGTCTTTAAGGCTCAATTCGGTGTAGAGTAAATAACAGAGATAATAATAGTTCTCAAAAATGATATGTAATGATAAAGAATAAACTAACATTTGAAAAACAAGTTTACAATTCTTTTTAATGACACTTGATAACAACAAATTTTCATAACCTTCAAATCATTCAATTTCACAGAAAATATTAATCCAACAAGGGATTTTCATGACATATTTTTAACAATCTTCGGTATATTGAAAAGTTTCGCCGTCTATTTTGCCTTAATTTCTAATTTTTGAACAAATTGCTTCACGATTTCACAAAATTCATCAATCCAACATTAGAATGAAACATTATCCTGTTTAAATTTTCAATCAAAATCTCGGAAGCGGACAGTTATTGAAAAAATTTGAGAAAGTATCAAATTACAAAATTGTCAATAGCCTATTATCTGGTTAATGTGCTGCTTCTGAACCAAATTTAATTATTTGGTTCGGAAGCAAAGGATTAGTGAAAGAATACGAGAATCCGGAAGATATTTAATTTGCAACACGGGTGTGAATAAAAACTCGGAGTGTCTGCGAAAATGAGTTGTCGAGACAAAATTGATTCGTAGCGGTTGCCACTGACGATGTATCACCTACCAAACAAAAAACACTGACGTAAAAGCTGCTGATGATCATTAAAAAACTGATGTTTTTAGTAGAAAACGGGGAAAATAATTAAATGCGTCAGCCGCAAATAAAGAAGGCGGCAAAAAAATCACTTTGGGAATTCAAACAACGTAAATAGTAATATAAAAATACGGCAAAAAAAAAACACAAAAACCGCAGGCTGTTAGGATGATGACTCATGTTTAAATATGAGCCTTGTCATGTGGTTTCATTTTGAAATACCTCATATATATTATGTGGACACTCTCGAATTGTTTAGAACAAAATCACAAAAAGTTCTCACATGAACAATTATTTTGATTTGCGGCTTTCAATTCACATGAGCAACCTGCTAGAAAATCGCGAGACGTAGATGGTGAGAGACATTTTAAAGAATTATGACAAAATACTGAATTTTGCATATTTTTAATTGTGAAACATTAAAATTGAAATTACGAGACAAAAGTCAAAGTATAATTGAAATTTAAATATATATACATATATACATATATGAAATTTTTAAAATAATTTGTAACCACTCATATATCTATTAAAAAATTGAACAAAACCATACAATTTGGATAGGAATAGTTGATATTTGATAATAGATTTGCAATGGTGTAAATTGCAAATATTTGCAGCCGACTGGCAATTATTTTATATTTAACTATTGACATTTCCTAAAGATCATATTAAATCGACATTGCAAAAAGAAATACGTGAAGTAATATTTGTAGATAAACATTTGATAAGAGAGAAATAAAAATGAAATGAAACAGATAAAGAATAAAGATCCAGCTCAGAGATGGCCGATGATATTTGAATTAATACAGTTTTTCGTATATTTTTTTGAAATTGCGGAAAAACATGCACAAAACATCGAAACCGGTCGACTTTCACCGCTCATACAGCGAGCTGCAGACAATGCAAACAGTAGTCGGAGTTCATACAATAATAAGATCGAAATTTGAACTATTTCAAGACCATGCAAACACTTGGAGGCGGAAAATACACAGAAATAGCGACTTACGTCGAATGGTTTCCAGGCAAATCGTAAGTTTCGACGATCGCCTTTGCTGGAAACTCCATTATTGCTTTCTGACTATTTTCTGAAAAGTTTTAGCGATAAAATTAAAAAAAACATTGATTGTAAAAAGTTTCAGAAATATAAAAATCGAAATGAACTAACCTTGATATTAACATCAGGATGAAAAAATATTTTAAGTAATTGAAAAAAGCAGTTCGCTGAAATCAATTTAATTATTATCCAAACTTCTCGGAGAAATTAAAAATAATAGATGGAGGCGTGGCATGCGTGTCAACTATGCAATCTGCGGCACACATTGAGGCTATATGATCGCATATGAAGCGGTTATGCAATTTAGAAATTGTGTTCAAGAATTGACCAATTATAGTTTAATTGTAGTTTGATAAGAGAGATAATGGGAAATTGAGATAGGAAAAATATGACCTTGGTAGTTATTGTATACAACGCAACTTTGCAAATCAATTTGCAAGTCCAGTTTCTCTCCTTATTATTGTTGTTTCAATTAGGTGAATCCAGATGATTATTAACAAGTTTACAATTAATATTTATCGGCTATTCTACACAATTTTATCAGTATTATTCATAATTATTTGTTATTTTACCAAAGGATCTAAGTTTTTTACTCGAACAAGAAGAGAAAAACCGAGATGTTTGAAAGGATGGGACAGCCGTTTCTTGAAAATGAAGGTGTTTTTGTTTTCTTCAAAATTGGAGGACATGTAAAAATTAAAGGATATTCGGTTGCATTTTGTTCAAACTGGTTCCGACGACAAACCATTGCTACTATTTATTCATGGTTACCCAGAATTTTGGTATTCTTGGCGGTTTCAATTGGAGGAATTTAAAAATGATTATAGGTTTAGTTATTGATTAAAAAAATATTGATAAAGAATGTATTTAGAAGAAAAAAATCAATAGTTTTGTATTACCGTAACTTTTCGCTAAGAAATTATTTATTTGTTTAATGCTGATCCTTTAATTTTTTTCCACAACTACGGTGGTCATCGGCATTGAAAATTGAGTTCGGAGAAATATAACAGCAAGAAATGATATGATTTACCCTGTGTTTTTATTTGGAAACTTTCAAATCTTAACTGAATTTATCAACATTGTTCGATGCACACGTAGTTTTGCACATGTAAGCGCATTTTCCAAAATAAATAAGTATTATTTTCCAGCTAATAATGTATTTTTTTTAAACTGTAAAATGAAGCCTTTGTAATCAAATCGTTTAGATGTGTAGCACTTGACCAAAGAGGATATAACTTATCGGACAAGCCCCCTCTAATTGAGCATTACAACATCAGAGAACTCATAAATGACATCAAGAATGTCATCGAGGAATTGGGTAAGAGTCGCCTTTTTTTTCAATCAATTATCGGTTTGTTTCAGGCTATAAGTCTGCCGCAATAGCAGCTCATGATTGGGGTGGAATAGTCGCCTGGCAATTTGCCGAATTCTATCCTGAAATGGTTGAAAAGTTGATTTGTATGAATATTCCACGACCAATTACACTTATGAATCATCTTCGGAATTCTTATAAACAGTTCAAAATGAGTTGGTTTGTAATTTTACATTTTTTTTTAATTTCAGTTAATGGTTTCCAGGTACTTTTTTTTGTATCAAACTCCACGAATTCCAGAAATTTTATGTTTCGCTGAAGACATGAAAATATTTGAAGACTGCTTTAGATCAAAGGAGATGGGAATAAGAAATCGCGAGTATTTTACTGATGAAGATCTCGAAGCTTGGAAATACACATTTTCTAATAATGGAGGTGGGAAATTGAGATTTTTCGAATTATTTTGTTCTTTTTTACAGCATCATTCAAATACCCTATCAATTATTACCGTAATATGTTCGATCCAACAATGCTGAACGGGAAAGAAGAAATCTTGAAAGTATTGGAATTTTAATTAAAAATAAATAAACGTTTGATTGAAGATGCCGGTATTAATCATTTGGGGAACAGAGGATGGAGCCCTGGGAAAAGAATTAGCACATCTAAGTTTAAAGGTTAACAAGATTATTATATAAAAATACATATAATTTATAAATTGTGTTTTCAGAATCTGGAAAACGGCAAAGTAGAGTACATTGAAGGCGCTTCACATTGGGTTCAACAGGATGCTCCGCTAACTGTGAACAAGTTGATGCGCGAATTTTTGTTCCAATAAATTGTTAAGATGTAAATAAGTATTTATATATTGTCGGCATCGCGCGACTGAAAAATTGGCTAAATGCCAAAAAAACCGACATTAGCGCGATTTCAACAACAAATCAGAAATAAACGTGAGAAAAAAAATAAAATCCTGCGACACGTAGAAAAATTCGACGTGAGGTTGCCAGCTCAATTTCGATCATTCATTACATTTTTGTTATTCTGCGCCGACGATACAGTGAGATTTGGTGAGTTCCATGTTTTTCTTAAATATAAACATATGGACGTTTTTGTTTTCAAATTTTGAGTTTATTGTATTAGCGGCTCACAAAGATAGAGATGAGGACAACTGCCAGCGATAACTCGATAGTCAATCGCAAGCATCTTGTGATTCGCTCATCGAGGACGAATTCGTTTACTCGAATTTGTCACTATTAAGCCCGCACGAGCGCGGTCGCCGGTCAAACCACCCGGCGCCGAGAAACGCTCCGCATCGGTGGTCCGAAGGGCCCGACGACTGTAAAGGAGGAAGTCCGCTGGCGGTTGTGTGGTTTGAAAAATCTCATGATTTGTGGGCCAGCCGAATTGGCGATATTTTTGAAAAAAAAAATTAAATTTTAACTATGAATATTAAAATTTCATTGAATCAACTAATATTTATTTCATATATCACATGAATTGGCGAATATTGATTTGGACAACTTAAGATGCGGAATAATATTGCAGGATTTTAGTTATTTTCGTTAGAAACTCACATTTTAATTTAGGTATATCCGACAATAGTTGAAAAATCAAGGAAACATGCCACAAAACTTAATGACATTGAACCGACTGAAGCGAAGATGGATTCGGTTTGCTCAACGAGAATAAAACGCATATATTTATAATTACAATCAAAAATAGACAAAATGAGGTATGTTAATTATTAAATAATTTTTTCCATTAAAAAAACGCGGGCCAAATTAATCGTTTTGAAACCAAGCTCAAAAAATTGCGTACGCTTTTAATTACAGTATCCACTACTATTTGCAAATGAAACATCTTAATGAGTTTGTGATTTTAGGGAAATTTTTTGTTCGACTATAAAAAAGTTTCGGCAAAATTTTTGAAGAAACGCAATTTTAATTGAAAAATTAATAAAAGTAACACACCACTGATGATTAGCTGTTTCCCCTAGTGACCGATTCTGACAGCCGCCTCTTCAGAAACAGACTTTCGAAGAAAAATATCCGCGAATGATATCATCGCATGCACCTAAGTCTACCCAAAATTGCCCAGACATTTCACATATATGAATTTTTATACCTGTATCTTTAAATTTTATTTAGCCAAATCCGTTTTCAGCTGTGCTCAATTGCGGCTACACTTGCTCAAACTTCACAAATTACGCTTTTCGTTTCATTTTTATGGATTTTTTTACATTTACCTTCAGCTGTTGTCCCATATAAGCGGATGACACGCTAATTATTGTTGTTTAGTCATTCTCACGGCATTTCATGCCTGTGTTTTGTATAATATTTCCGGAGTTTCGAATTCGCCCGTGGTATTTATTTGTTCTAATTCCTTTACCACTAGATGAATTCACCCAGTAACCCATCGCGAACCCCCGACCCCCAGTGGCTTCCCCACCTAGATGATTCGCGCTTCGAAGTCTCTCAAAAATGTTAATTTTGGTTTGTCACTTGAAACTAGTATTCGCTGATTGTGGCCTGTGTTGTGAAGGCCTTTGCTATTTTTTGCAACCATGAAAAGAACAAGTCCGGGTTCCCATTTTGGTATCTCTGCCTGCGAAGATATTTGTCATCACAGAGAATGGGGTGGAGGGAAAAATGAGAATGTTAGACGCGATTCAAATGGCTTCACTTTTATGATTGAGCTTTTGCTATACAACAATTCAACAACTGTCATAAATTCGCAATGCTTGGTATTGCCTGGTTACGTGGCTGTCGGGAGACACCGTACTCGTCGAGACTTTGTCGACGTCTCTCACATTTATGCGTTATTTTTTGTGACAATTCGTCGTCTAGGCTGCCACAATTCGTTCGATTTTTATTATTAATATTCAATAAAAAATCGCAGGGCGCTCGAACGCGAATACGCATTCACACATTCGGACAAACTGTACGATTTGGAGAGCAGTCCAATAAGCGCGTTTTTTGCGTTTCTATCAAGACATTGGTGTCTATGCCGTCAGTATTTTTTTACAAGTGTTAGTTGTCATATATCTGTGAAAATTGCTCTGTTATTATTTAGTTTCCTTAGTTTTCTCAGATTCGTATATTGTCGAAGTCAAACGACTTGACGAAATTTAAAAAGTTATTGGCTATGTGCCAATGTGTTTCGAGGCAGCGAGATTGCGTACATTACATTATAGTGTACGCGCATTTAATATTCAATCAAAGAAATAATTAAATCTCAACTGATTTGGATTTGATGACCCCGCCTCCCATCAGTCGTTTGACGACGACAATATTTACATAACAAAGTGAAATATTTTCGGAACGTCGCACCCGCAGAAATATATTTTCTGTGCATTTCTCTGAATCATCATTTGATCACATCGTTGCTTGCATTTTTTTTCGCCATATTGTAGACCATTATTTGAGATTCCGGTCTCCACTAAATAACTTTCAGAAATCGATTTAGTAATCTACTTAATTGACTGTGCTCCATATAAAGCCGCAAATATTTGAGATGCATCCACCTGTTATTGTCGACTCTTCAAGGAAGGCGCCCATCCACAGGTGTAACCTCAAAATAAAGCGCCGACTGTTGTGAATATGAGACCGAAAGCGTTCGTATGAATCCGTTTCGCGGTTCACCTTTGTAATGCGATTCGCGGGTGCACACTCTCGCCGAACTAATCCCATAATAGGTGTGCGTTTCATTTCAGAGTCGGCTTCCAATTATGGGAAGTCTCACACCAACACATTCACTCAATGCTCAACGAAATTCACCTGCCACACACTTTTGAATTTTGCCCCCCGTTGCTATGATAGTCGCCAATATCTGCTACCCAATTACAGAGTCACTTTTCGCGTTTTCTCGCTTAATCCATTTTCCACACGCTAAAATTCCATTTCCAATTCCAACATTTATTCTCACTTATTTCACTCGTTTTTCTACTTGATGTTGTAATGCAATTTGGTCGAAATTGTCGCCGATTTCTTATCGTGATATGCATTTTGACCTATTTGCTATTCGTCCTTATCATTCATTTCTGCTCATTTTACAAAAGGAATTCGATATGAATTTTATCGAAGGCATCACGGATTCGACGGTTTACAATTTGTACAATTTCATATTTGAATGCATGATACAGTCAAAGGAATATAATTCGAATTGCATCTTGGCAAATCAAATTTGTGCGATCGGTGCAACTCGAAAAACTGTTAAAACGAGGTTCAAAAATCGATAGTGTCAACCATTTTTCATACAGTTTCAATTCATTTTTCATCAGTTGCAGAAAATGTTTTTAAACAATCTCAGGAATAACTTTTCATTTGTTTATTTAAAATTATCAAATTGTTGCCTTGAATTGAGTTCAATTGGTTCATATTTCGAGCTGCGTTAAGCCATGTGGAATGCAAAATGTATAAACAAATTTCATAGCTGCCTTTTTTTATTCGCGATGCAAATCTAAATTTCCATTCGATGATTTGTACAATCATCGTTTTTCGCAAGCTTCCTCCTACAAATAAAAATATTTACATTTGTCTTAAACAGTAACAAAAATTGGTGCTCTCCATGAACATTAGAAATATCCAAATTTGTTCGGACTGTAGTTCCGCTAGAAAAAAATTTCCCCTCTCTTTTTTTACACTTTCGCTTATCAAACATTTTTCGCCTGTATCGTCGTCTCCCTCTGAGAATAGTATAAAATGAAACATTCTGAGCCTAGTGTTATCATTCGCGCGATAACTCGTCGCTGTCACCATCCGTCGCCTAAACACCCAATAATTACACGTCAAACCACGATTCAAAATTATATATTTACAGGGTAATTCAAGCCACTCTCCAGTTTTTCATAATTCAAAAAAGATGTAGTACTTTCCATCAATCGAGCAGCATATTCTCACCATCATAATGAAATGCTCATTCATCATCTTCTTCGAATTAGGCTGGCAAGTTTCACAAAATCAATTCGTTTCAGTTCATTCAACTCAATCGATTTCAGAATTCTCCATCGAGTGCGTCTAGTCAACAAGCTCAATGACAGATATCGAGCACGCTCGGCTGAGTTTCCTGAAACAGTGTCAACACGCCATATTATGTCTTCTGTTTATTTCAATCGGGGGATTCCTTTTGTAGATGAACCGACGACTGTTCCAGGACTCAACCAACTCGCTTCTGTCTTTTTTTTAATTTTCAATACATATATAGTGGATCCCAAACAAACGTCAGAGCACACTGTGATATGTTGTACATAGAAAAGCCCCATCCTCCCCGCAAAACGTAATCGTCCCCCTGCCTATGATGATATTTTGCCATTGTTCGTGCCAATTTAACATCTTGCATTATATTCTATCATTTTGAGTAATAATAACTATGGTTTGAATAAATATATTTTTAAACAAAGTAAAAACAATATTAAAAACCCGATTATTCGTACTCGGCAATAGACTTGTAGTATTCCGACTGATTGGCTGTTTTTTGATTGGCCGTCTTTGCCAATTTCCCTTCAAAGCCATTCGATCGATCAACACCATCCCAACGATATCCAGGCGGAATGTTGAATCGGTTTGGATCCCAAGGCCCCATATATGTCGGATAAACGAGGTCTCCTCGATCAATAGCCATTGCTCTTCGTTTCTTTTTGATCATCGATGCCATTGGATCCGCTTCATAAAGGACTTCTTTCAAATGATTATTCATATCCGCGTTATCGCTTGAACGAGCAAGAGGTTCAGCGGCGACTCTCGCCATTTCCTCGAGTTGCTCTTTTCGCTATAAAAAAACGATTAATATTTTTTCCTATTTTGGTAATTTAGTAGACAAAATATAAAAATCTTCCAACCAACCGTTTGAATTTGAATGACACCCTTGTTCCAGTCCTTGTACTTTTCTTTCAGTTCTTCCGTTTTCTTCGCTTCGCGCTCTTTTCGTTCCCGATCTGCAGAACTATCTCTTCCGCGTTTTTTCGTCTGTTTTGTTCGGTAGACTGTATCGGCATGCCTTCCACTAACATTCACATCTAATTCCTCGAAGAGCTACAAATATAAACTATTGATCACATTTAAATTAATGAATGACAATATCCTACTTTTGCGTCTCTCGCCCTAATCTTGTCGCTTTCTTCCCTCAAAGCTTTAGCAGATTGCAATCCGGCCATTTTTCCATCAAGCGTTTTCGAGAAGTCCTTTCGATCGTCATCACTATCTACTTCTTGCTTAACTTTCTTCGAGCAAGAGTCGTCCGCTTCTGCTTTTCGGCTTCTTCGGGGTGGCGAGAGATCTATCAAGAAACCTCATAAAAAAAACAAAACATTTTCGAACCTTTATCCGTATTTCTCTTCCTAGGAGGTGAATTATCACTGTCACGTCGTTGACGCCGTCTAGGTGGTGAATGGTCTGAAGTTACGAAAAAAAATAACCAAACTAATGACTTTAAGTTTTACCTGAACTATGGTTTCTACGTGGTGGCGAATTGTCGCTATCGTGCCTTTGCCTTTTAGTTGGACTCTTTCGCCTTGGTGGCGAATTGTCGCTATCACGTCTTTGCCTCGAACGGGCAGGAGAATTGGCTGGAAATATTAATATTTTTAAAAACAGTTCAAATATTATTAATTATAAAAAGAATTTGAAAATTGATTTCGAAATATAAAACCATTACCACTATTTTTACGATTTCGAACAGGTGAATTATCACTGTCGTGACGTCTTCTAGCTTGACGCGGCGGGGAATTATCACTATCGTGACGTCTTCTAGCTTGTCGCGGAGGCGAATTATCGCTGTCATGACGTCTTCTTGGCTGGCGCGGAGGCGAATTATCGCTGTCATGACGTCTTCTTGGCTGGCGCGGAGGCGAATTATCGCTGTCGTGTCGCCTCCTTCGCTCTCTTGGAGGTGAATTATCTTAAAGAAAATGCTTAATTTCAAAATAATAATTTAAATTTTACCACTATCGTGCCGATTTCTTTTTGGTCGCGTAGGTGAGTTATCGCTATCATGCCGCTTTCGTCCGTTTTCTGAAAGCTTTTTTACAGTAAAAAATGGCCCTTCGTACAACTATTACCTCTTTTTGGAGACTGTTCGGGAGTAATGATTTCTTGTTTGACTTTTTCTTCAACCTCGGCGAAAGTTTTTTTGAATCCGGGTATAATTTTCGCCTAAATTAGACCAATATTAAATGAACACATATACCTAGATAAATTAAATAAGAAAACGGTGAGAGGAAATCTTATTGCAACATTATTGGGAATTTGAGAAAGAAAAAATGAGTACAAAAATTACCTTTTTTACAGTTTCTTTAATAACTTCTAATTCTTCACGTTCTTCATCAGAGGCAATATCTTTTTGTTTGGCAGCTTCAACTGATAAAAAAGCATCATCTTCAATTAGACGCATTCTAAAAACAAATGTTAATAAACTAAACGTGTTAAAATTACCCAATAGGCTTGAAACTCGATTCTGCTTTCTTCTTCTTCTTTTTCTTCTTCTCATCATCACCATTGGAAAGGTACTTTTTTAAATAATCGGCTTTAGAGGTCATTCCTGGAATATATAGCAACGAAATAAAACAAACAAATTACACGCTTTTTTAAAATTTGATTATCAAACGACGAGCAAAAATAAACCTCATAAAGTGTAAGGCTTTATATAAAGATTGTTTGAAAAAATTATACTTAATTCGAAATTTAAAGCATGCACCAATTTTACGCCATTACTTAAAAAAGACGTCAAGTAACTATCACTGGCGCATTGTATGAGCATGTAAATTTTCGAAATTTTCAAAAATACTTAAAATTAACGTTGAATTATTGGAAAGTTATTCACAATGTCATCTGAAACCGCGAAACTTCGAAAAATTGTGCACCAGACAATTGAGGAATTGTCAGATACTGTGAATTCCGACAAACTTTTGGAATTGGTATATTTGTAGGAAATTTAAATATTAATCCCAATTGAGAATATTCTAGCTTCCAAATTTACATGCGTCTGGATGGGATGAGCTAATCGAAGAGAGATTTGTAAGCAAGCTCTGCGGATATCCGACATGTTCTAGAGAATCGCGTCCATCTCTCGGAAGGCAAATGTTTCAAATTGACAGAAAATCGGGAAAAGTATAAAAATAATTGTTTAAATAGACATTCTTTAATTTATTATAAACTTTTAGATTTATGAAAACTGTAAAGAAAGATACAAATTCTGCTCTGATAACTGTTTCGAGAAATCGATCTCAATAAGGAAGCAATTGAATGATGAAGCATTATGGATTACAGGAAAAATTTCTTCTAGAATGGGTAATTTTAGAGGAAATTTCCCGAAAAACTAATTCGAAATACTTTCAGAAAAGAAATTTGAGCTTCCACAGGATATAGTGAAACTCATCGAAGAAATAACAAATGAAGAAAAAACACCAAAAAAGGTTAAGCCTGTCGATAAGGAAATTCATTTGGTTGAAGACTCGGTAAAATATTTTCTCATTCAATAAATCGTTTTGAGTTTCTATTCAGATCCTCGCTCAAATGACAGATTTGAGAATTCGAGATGAGGAAAGTGATAAAGAAAATTCTGGAGACGATGATGATGATGAGTTCAAGCATATTGAACCATACAAAAAATGCGCGGTATGTCAAATGAAAAGTAAATTTTCGAAATAATCTAACGAATTGAAGGATGATGAAGAGTTTCTCGAGTCTGTGCATCGTTTTGTTGCTACGAAACCATCAACTTCAAAAGTTGAGACTCCGAAAAAAATTGAAAAAACTCTAGAAAAAAAGGAGGAGTTGCAGAAAAAAGAAGAAGAAATCTTAGCCAAATTACGGTTGCATTCTTTATTTATTTTAAAATTTCAGTTTATTATAAGACTTTTTATTTTCAGCGCAAAATATGGCAAAGGAACTCAAACGACAAGAAAACCAATAACTATTATTGAACCATTGCCGATGAAGCCAAAAAGAATCAATAATGTAGATGACATCCAAGTTAAAACGGAAATAAAGGTTTTTAATAGCAATTCTAAAAATTCTAACAGTATTCAGGTGAAAAAGGATGAAAACTCGAGAAACTCGTGGCTTCATGAACTTCTTAGGTATTTAAATTAATAATTATATTACAGAATAGTTTTTTAGAAGCTGGATAAGCGAAGAAACTCGAAAAATGATTCACGAAGGTTATCGACCGGTTGGCGGAGAAGTCGAAAAATTGCTTATGGATTTTCTAGCCGGAAAATCTACTGACGAGGTTAGAACTAAACCGTTATCTTTTTTTAAGCGAACAATTTTCTAGAACAAAGTGGAATTGCCAAATTTGGATAAATTCAATATTAAAGAGAAGCGTTTAAACATTCTGTTGCAATCTCTAAAATTGCCGTATGTCTGAATTATATACAGAATTTTCATGTTTTTGTTTAGTTGGATTGCATTGGAAGAATCGCTGCAATTGTGCACATCGCGACGAGACCTTCTGCCGAGACTTTGCGCCACATTCAATTTGACAGCCGAAAATATTGCGGGATGGAATAAGCGCGAGATTCAATGCATCACTTATGCATTATTTGTGATGTAATGATTATTTCGATTCTCTTTCACTTTCCCTTTCACCCACAGGCTCATTAATCATATATTTTAGAATATGTCGAGTAGACAGCGAACTTGAGGATGAATTTTTCCAAAAAGGCCGAATTTCTGATAAATTGGTGGAATCGGCGAAAGACAAATGCCAACTCGAAACTACGGACCTAATTGAGATTTATGGAATTTTCAGAGAATCTAATTGCTGAATTAGTTTACTGCATATTAAATGGGGGATCTTCTTACCTTTTCTGTAATACTTTAATACATTTAATTGTTATCCCCTTTATTTATTAGCATCTCTGATTAGAACATTTCTGTGTACGTAATTGAGAAAACGTCATTCGACTTATTAACTTTGTTTTATAAATAAATAATTGGAATCATTTTGGTTAACAAACAATGGAATTTTGCGGATGGATAAGCACCGAGTTGAACAAATTATTAATAAATTACTGGTCGTCGTCGGAAGAAGTTTCTTCTTCGGATTCCTCGCGCTCACTTTCAAAAGTGCCTTCTGGAAGTGAGTACAAACGAATTGTTGGTGATTGTGGATCCTTCATCAATAAATATTTTCCGGGTTTCTGCTTCATGCAGCTGAAAATATTCTCTCGAATCATAATATTACCATAGAAAAAATTACCTATCAATAACGCATCTGAGAATTCCCCAGCAGTTGTCCATATTGAGAGCAATATTGCTTGCAAACTCCCCTGGTTTAACGTACTGGGTACCAAGAATTACATGATTTTGAGTTGATCTAGTATTGGCGCGGGAAACGTAGCCAATTTTCATGGTATCAGTTCCAGCAAGAAGAGCCTACATTTATAACTCGTTTTTAATGTTATTCCTTTAATTTTTTTACCTGCAACGTCCATTTCGCCACTTTAGCGCTATTATTCTTAATTTCAGTAGCCATAACAGCACCCTTCTGAACATCAAGCCTAGTTCTCCAGTCAACTCCTCCAGATTGGCTGCTATCCCATTCATTGAATGCCTTGATTGTCATAAATTGTGGTTCGTTATGAGGACCAGGCTGAACAAATGAATATTATGTTAGTTTGGGCGAAAACCACTTACAACAACAGCATCTATCTCTGTTCGAACAACAAGTTCGACAGGTTTTCCGTTGATTCCGGTTCCAAGATTCCACTTGCGGTATCTAGAGCACGATGTTCGAATTGAGTAACTTCTTAAATATATACCTATAGGCAGTTCCATTCTCACCAGCTTCTTCCTCTTCAAATGGAGTTTGGGGATGTTTCATCTTGTAGCCATCTTCGTTACGCTTAACAATCTGACGGCGGAAGTTCTGATTGATGTAGAAAGCCTCTGTGGCAAGATCCTACGAAGAAATAATTAATTTTACGATAATGATTTTTGTCGTACCTTTCCATTGTTGATTCCGGTTCCATCAAAAGCTGGAGGATCACTGCTCGTTTCGGAAACAGTCAAAGTTTCCACAGGATTGAGAATATCTCTCGTGTTTCTCTTATCGAAGAACAACTTGTCTCCGACACGATACGCGACGATATCCCAAGAATACACAGAGCGTGGTGCTGTCATCAAAGTAGCGAGGATAATATCCGTTCCGAAAACATTTCCGATTCCATTCTGCGCAAGCTCTTGGATCACGACATCGTCTGTTGTTGTGACATGATAGTAAACGCCAGCGCAGCGTTGAAGTGGAAGCGAGTTTTTGACAGATACTCGATCGATGGATTTGTCGAAGTATTGTAAAACACCATATTGGTGATCGCCAATATCCTCTCCAGCACTAATGTTTGGAAGAGCGAGTTTGGAAAATGCTGGCAAACTCATTTCCTCAAGAACAGTCCAATCGGTGCGAACTTGCACTGATGGAAGACGCTCCTGAAGAGTAGGAAAACAATTAATTCATGGAACAATACAAAATCTACCTTTGGACGATCTCCTCCAAACCGACCTGGACCACGCTGCCCAACACGAGCATTTCCTCCTCGTCTTTGCCACATTTTGAACGCTTTCTGTTGTTCTTTGGCAATACTGCGCTTCATTTTCACATTCTGAGACTGGATAGCGAGCTCCTTCTTTTCTTGATCTTTTTGCATCATCTTTTTAATTTGAACTTGTCGCATGCGGAAGTTTCGTTGAGGATTGCGTTGAACTGGTTTGGATGAGTCAACCTGCATGAACTAATCAAATTAATATCAAATATAAGTTTTTACAAGTTGGAAATTATGATCATCCATTCCATGGATATAGTCGAATTGGCTTCCAGCGTTTGCCGCAGATCCATACATGCGCTCATTATAACGTTCATTTCCACGTCTGTAAAAACGATCGACGCCAATCCAATCTGCAACGCGACCGATTCGATCAGCCTTGTTGTATTGTTGGAATGGGACAGCCTCAGCAGCGCCATTTACTGGAAGTGGACCCCATCCAGTCTCATTGTCAGCAACAGAAAGTAATTCAAATTTAGGCAAAGACATACCTGAAAAGAAAAAATGTATCACTTTCCTAAAATAAGTAAAGTTTAAATCAGTTCAATATTATGTAATGTATTCTTCTAAATAACTAATCAGTCAAAATTATTTTTGGAAAACGCCTGTAATTAGCTTTAGGAGAATAAAATTAGGTATTGAAAAGAAAATGAAAAATAATAAAAATTGAAATGCACGTTAATCGGGCCAGTGAATTGAAATTGACGTGAAGTTCGCAAGTTTCGCAATGGAGCAAATTTGATCGAAAATTTTGATTTTTTTTAAATGGAATTGTGAATGAAGAAGCCATAATAAACTTGCAAATAATCAAATTGGTTTTTTTTAAAGTTATATCGATGACAATTTTTTAAAATTCAGAAGCATTTAAACATTTTTACAGGAATGGAGAATGAAGTTGAGCCTGAAACCTCAGTTGAAAAACCTAAGGAAAAACTCACGAAGGCACAAAAAAAGGAAAAATATCGCCAAGATTATCCAGAACCTATTAAATCTCGACGGGAGCAACTGAAGGTGGCCAACTGAATTTTGCCGCTTAAATGAATTTTTTAGGCTGAATTTGTGAAAACTGACGAAAAGAGACTTGATCGATTAGATGATATCTTTTTTGGATATTTTGAGGAAGATTTTGCAGCAGGAGTGAACATTTTTGGGACGGTAGTTGATCATTTCAAAGCAATGCCTGATAAGTCCAAGCAAAATGCAAAAAATCTCGCTAGTAATTTATTCGTCATCGCCGTCAAAAGTTGTACAAGCAAACTTCAGCCATGCACTTAAAAGCGTTTCAAACGTGGCTTGATGCGCGAGATGACGTTGAAGATTTAAAGAAAAAGTATCTAACGATTGAAATTCAGGTTTGGAAAAGCAAAAAATTTAATTCAGTAATAGTATTTCAGATTGCAGCACTTCAAAGTTGCACAGGATCCACATCACATTATTATGATCTACTTGCTCCAATCTTCGACTTTTCCAGTGATAATCTAGAGGAAGAAATGAAAAAAAGCATTCAAGTAGTTTTGAAAGTATTTAGAGTTGCAATTTACACATTTTAGGAGAGAATTGCGAAAAAAGAATTCAAAGAGGCTGCCGAAATTGTTATTGCGAATAATATGCAAAAATATTTTGGATTTCAACAGCTGATTGTCCCATTAATTTTACAAGTATTGCTAAGTTTTTAATATTTATTTGAATCACTTAAAAATTATAGGATCGAACACATATCGTCATGGAATATATCAAAAATATACCGACACTACAAAAAGAGTATGTGCAGTGGTACGATCATTTCATCGGAATGTCTGAGATTGCCGTGAGTATGGAATTAGAAAAATGGGAAGGTTCAATGACGGTTAAACCATCGAGGTTTTGTGGTAACTTTTGAAACAAAAAATTATATTTAAAATTTAATTTTATTAAGGAAAATCATTGGAGAAGTACATGAACACGATTTTCAACAAACTCGCGAAAGAATATGATTTAGACATTACTTGTGAGAAAGATGCGCCTAAGTACAATGACAAAAAACTTGAAAAGGCTTTGAAGCATTTTGTAGGAAATCGGTAGCATTTCGAACATTTCAAACTATTTGTTTTAATTTCCATTTTTTGACAGTTATGATCCGGATGCGAAACAAATTGCCACAGATGATGTTTATTTTCAACAAATTCGATCGACTCTCAATCAAAGTAGTCGTTCGGTTGTTGAAGAGTTTCTATTCTATTTGTGGACTTCGAATGATAAGGAAAAACAGTAATTAACATATCAGAAACATCATTATATGAAAACATTTTTAGAATTGACGCATTGAGCTGGATTTTCTTATTGAATATTGACCCTCATTCGAAAGATGTGCCAGGAAAAATTCGCGATTATTTTCGAGACGGCGATAGGAGTTTAATCACAGAAGCTAAGGAATTGCTACAAATTCGATTGTAATCCTTACCAAAAAAATAAGCGGAATTTACATTTTTAATTACAGATCAAAGGAAATTCCGCTGGATGGACAGAAATTGTATCTTATTGAAGGCAAAGATATTACAATTACTATAGTTAAGAATGACGCAGATTTGGAAATTCTAAATTCGCATTTAAAGTATGTTTCAATCGTGAGGAACACGAGAATTTAAATTTTAAAGATTTTATCTTGATTCTGATGAAGACGAGCACAAATTTGTAGGATTTGATACCGAATGGAGACCATCGCATTTATGTACAAGCTTGTGAGTTTCAATATATATTTCGTCCGGATTATCAACTATTATTCCAGATCGGAGAAAATAGCAATAATGCAACTTTATTTTGGCAATCAAGTCTGGATTGTTGATTGTGTTGAATTAGAAAGAAACTCGAGTACTCGTGAAGAATCGTGGAAAAAATTTGCAAATAGATTGCTTAAATCGAAATTGCAAATTATTGGTTAGATTCTTGATGAATTAAGCATATTAAAACTATTATATTACAGGGTTTGATCTACCCAATGATATTGATGCACTACTGTCTATAAAGATGCTTAAAAATTACATTTCTATGGAAGAAATCAAGAATGTGTACTGTCTTAAACGATTAACTGAAAATGTGAGCACTAAGCGGGCGTGATCGATCAAATTGAATAATTTTTTAGATTAACGATATTGATCCAAACGTTCTGGGCCTTGAAAAACGATTTTTCAAACTGTCAGATCTGACCAAGAATTTGCTAGGAATTCAGTTGAATAAAACAGAGCAATGCAGTAATTGGCAAGCGAGGCCATTGAGAAAAGATCAAATCGTTTATGCTGCGATGGATGCGTACGTTGTTGTGAGAGCATTTGAAGATATTTTAAACAAAGCAGCGTAAAATGTTCATTATTAAAACATTTTTTCGAATTATCGAAAATTTCAGCGAAAAATTAAAAATTAACGTTGAAGAGCAGATACAACTTTCTAGTATTTTTACACCGAAAAAGGAGAAAGGTTTGTCGAAGGACGTGAAAAAGTTGGACCATTTCAAATGGATTGAAATTTACGAGGTATTTCAGTAAATAACTTTTTTTTTTAATTTAAAAATCTTGAAATTTAGATTTTGAAAGATCATAAGGACCCGACAAAACGACTTCAACGGCCCTATGAAATTAAATGTATTGTTGATACGATGCTTTTGGGATGGGGAAAACATTTGAGGTTTGACTGTTTGTCGTAAAAATTAACTGAAATCATCGAAAAAAATTAACGAAAAAATGCTGATTTTGAAGAGAAAAAAAAAACCAAAAATTAATAAAAATCAGTTTATTTTCACAAATTCCGTAGGGCTTTCAAAAAAGTTGCAAAAGTTTTTCAACGGTTTAAATAAAATTGTTCCCCTAAACCTGCATAGTACCATTAAATATTGATAAATGTTGGCAAGGTTAATTTAGGCGCGTCGGTATTGATGTGATTATTCCGAGCGATTGCGACGCAGCAGATTTTTTAAAGAAGATTCGGACCATGAAGAAGCAAGGCGGAGAATATCTTCGTTATATTCTAACGGTGCCTTCGAAAAATTTGCTGGCTCTCCGCGGCGATTATGGCCAATTAGTCATAGATTTTCCTGATGTTGTTGGAAAATTGCCAATTGAACAATTGTGTTCATTTTTTGACAAGTTTAACATTGATATTCGCCCTGATGATGTATTTCTTAGATGTACGGTAAGTTTTGATAACTTTTTTCCACAAATAACGCAATTCTTTTAGAAATGCAATTCAAGATGTCTTCTGAAATTTCCGTCACCTTATGTTCATTTTCTGCACCAATACCACATCATTTTCCTTCAAAATGTGTATAGAAGCGACATGAAAGAATTCCCATTAGAATGTGATTATGAAATTGCATAATATAATTAATTAAATATCAATTTTCAGATTGGATTGAAAAGATGAGAAAAGTGAACAAAAATGATTATGAAGGAATTGAGGTGAAACTGACGAGGCCTTCTGAGGAAAGTGATTGGATCGTAGCGACGACTTCACAGGGATCTCTTCATATTACGTATTCATATCACGCAATTCGACTATGAAAATGTTATTTTTCCAATTTTAGTAGAAATATTGTGATTCATAATAATCGCGACGATGGTGTTCGTGTAAGAATCTCAAAAGTGCCCGATGACACATTTCAGCGACCAAATCTTGTGTTTTCAATTTGTGGAGATTGCGGAACTGTTTTTTATGACGGGAAACGAAATGTGAGTTTTTCTCCGATAAGAAATTGTTGAAAAATTGCCGGTTCTCATTTCAAAACGTTAGATTTGCACACTTTTTCAGAGATTAAAAGAAATCAATTTTTGATAGATTTTGAAATCAAAATTTGGTTTCGAAGAATCTTGTCAGTGTCTCTTGTATTTGTTTCAGAATAGTATTGAAAAGTTCAAATTCAATAATAAATCATTTTCGGAGAATTAATCATTCTACAAATTTCAGACTGAAAAGAAGGAATTACCCAACTGAATAAATAAATATATAATTATATCATCGTATTTATTTGTTTTCTTGTTGAATATATATTTATAAATCTCATATTAAATAAATATGTTTTCTTTTTTCAGACCATTAAAATGTTTTGTTGAAAGTTAAAAATGTTTTCTTTGAATTTCTTAGTTTCTTGTAGTTTGAAATTAGATATTAATCTTTTTAAAATTTAGTTTTGCAGCTGAATAATGTCTCAAAGTGAAATCCTGGTAAGTCGAACTCTGGAAAATGAAAACCAATCGGATCCGAACAAATTCGACTCTGGCATCAACCCGATTCGACTGGTCATTCTGCGAATGAGATTTTAGAATTATCGGATTCAATTGATTTTGGGACACCATAGAATTCTAAACGATTTGTGTACGCCAATTGTTATTGTTATTATTATAGAAATTGTTCAATGAACATTCATTGGATTCGAAAGTGATTAAAGAGAAGGCGCGGAAATTCGGAGAAGAGTATGTGAATGGCGACTGGAAAGACCTAGATTTAGATCGCATTGAAATTTCACCCATAACGTAAGACTCCTTTTTGGTTGTTTTGTTTGATTTCATGATTTCAGTGGTGGTCAATCGAACCTTCTTTTCTTGGTTTCCGCTGGTTGCGAATTAGAAATTCCGCAATTCTTAATAAGGATTTATTGTCAATTATCGTCTGACGAGGATGTTATGACAAACAATCTCACCTTCGCCCTTCTCGCTGGTTTTCATTTAAAGCTATCATAAAATCAAAATACCAACTTTTAGAACGTGGACTTGGTCCGAAATTGTATGGGTTTTTCAAAGGCGGACGTCTCGAAGAATTTCTACATTGTACGACATTTAATGAAGATGACACGAGGATTGCAAAGTATAATTAGTCGGCTCACACCAAAAAAAAGTTTGTGTTTTAAAGGAATTCGGAGAAAATCGGAAAGTTGTTCCCGAGGTATCACGAGCGCGAATTTCCGATTCAAAAAAGCCCGCGAGCGATCGCGGTCATGCGCGATATGATAGAAGTTTTAAGGTTCGAGGTGTGCACGAAATTCGACTTAAAAAATTATCCTTCAGAATTAAAGGATGCGAAAAACACACGATTGTAACAGATCAAGTCGATTTCAAAAATCATCCTGAGACATTGTCTTTGGAAATGCTAACATCGGAATTAGACGAATTTGAGAAGATGGCGAAAATTTTCAACGAAACCGTGGTTTTTTGTCATAATGATTTAGCTGTAAATTATTGTTTAGTTTCTCAACGATTCATTTCATTGACATTTTTAGCCTGCAAATATTCTCGAGTTTCAAAATGGAAATTTGATGTTCATTGATTATGAATATGGATGCTATAATTGGAGGTATTCTAAATATAACCAGTTTTCAGATAATTTCAAATTCAGAGGATATGATGTTGGCATGCACATGTCAGAACTCGCATTCGACTATAGAGATTCCAACGGAAACGGATACAAAATTGAGCAATCGATGTTCGTTAACAATCATCCAAATTTCGAAATTATCGCTAGATCCTACATTGAGCAATTGTACAATGTAAAATTTCCTCTAAAAATTTATTTTTTTTAATTATTTAAATTTTTGAGATGAAAGCTGAAAATCCGAAACGAATATTTCCTAAAACTGATGATAAGGAATACGAAATCGGTAGATTCCTCAACGAATGCTTATTCTTTTTTCCATTAACAAACTTATATTGGGCGATTTGGTCATTAAGGAATCACTACGTAACTTCCCTTATTTTAGTTTCTAAAAGAAACTTTCTCATTTTCAGCTCAACTACGACAATGGAATTAATCTGGAAATGGCTGCGAATGACCGTTTCGCTATTTATTTCTATTTGAAGTCTCGTTCGAAACAAATTTACAATGAACTTTGCTAAATGGAACTTTCGCTCTTATCAAGTAACTGTCCCGAATTTCTTATCATTTCCCTTTTTTCATTTTGTGGTCCGATTGATAGTAAATCGATTGATCACAAAATGACGCTTCTTGTGAAATTCTATTAGTAGGATTCATTGTACAATAAAATCATCTCATATACACGAATTAGGCGGCCAATTCAAAAATGTACGCGGCAAGCACCTTCATTCCCTTGACGAAGTTCTCGCGGTTGAGTTTCTCGTTTTGCGAATGAGCCATATCATCGGCGGCTCCGATTGGGAGAAGGACCACCGATTTCCCAGTGAGTTCTTGAATTGTGAGGGTAATCGGAATACTACCACCTTCTCTGGTGAAATCCGGAGCTATTCCAAAAACTAAAAATAAGTATGATTCAAATTATACATTCATTTTCAACTACCTCTTTCAATGGCTCGCGAACCGGCAGAGAAGTTTGGATCGCGATAGTCAGCAAGCCATGGCTTGCCTCCATGACCTCCATGAACCCTACAAAAAATGCGCAGATTCTAATTATCTTGATGCCCAAATTACTTGAACTTATTTGGAGATCCACGAGATGCCCACAACTTGTTCAAATAATCGAAAACCAGTTGATCAATCTTCTCCGGAGTCATATCCGGAACAATTCGAATGGAGAATTTTCCAGTAACCTGAAATAAAGCTTCAAATTAGTTTCTTTTATATTGACCAATAAATGTTACTTTCGCTGGGATAACCGTTTTCGATCCTGGCTGACTGAATGCCCCTTCAATTCCATGCAGTGACAGCGAAGGGAATCTCCAGCGATTCTGCAGCAGCTTCTTCATTTCAGAAGCCATAAGTCCATGAACTCCCATGTCATTCTTGAACGTCTCCATACAGAAGTCAATATTTTCATATGTTTCATCTTCCTCTTTAGTTAAAGGTGCAACAAGATCCTCGATTCCCGGGATTAGAATCTTTCCGTTGATATCGACAAGCTGATTCATAATCCAAATCAAATCAGTCATTGCTTCCGGACTGAATATTAACTATTTTATAGTGGTTAGTAAAAAGTAAAATCCAACACAGATCCTCCGCAGACTCCTGAATGCATATCCTGACGAGCGCACGAGATTTCGATGAAGTAATAGCAGATTCCACTTTAAAAATATTACATTTTCCAAAAACCATCGTTTCAAATATCTACCGGAGGCCGTAAGTGAGACATGGCTTATTCTTTCCCAGCCAATAGTTATCCGAAATACACGAATAAGTAACATCCGAAATTTTGTCGATATTCCGTTTAAGACCATCCTCGAGTCCAATCGAGTTCGATTCTTCCATGCATTCAAGAACGAACTATAAAGTCATTTTTTGTCGTAGAAGTGATTATCGACATTTGATAAGGAAAACTGAGACAACCAGTGTTAAGTATTAACGTTTTGTGCAAAATTCCTCACGGGTTAAAGTACATTCCAACTCATTTAGAATGAACGGAATGGTGCGATAACTTTGTAGCAAACCATCAAAACGAAATAATTTCCCGAAGAATATTTTTATCGAATATGAAATCTTGTCGACATCGTATGATGGCGAAAAATAGCAAAAAGAGTTGCATCCGTGTACTCCACAGGGACAATGCAACACAATACAAAATTGCGTAAATCGACACGCATGTTACGTGGCCCAACCCATGATTTCCTTTTCATTTAGCAAATTTCTACGTCGAATATAATTTCCGTTGGGTAACTCACCTTCAAGTTGATTGGGAGGTCAATTCCTAATCGTTGCAGAACTTTAAGAACCGCAATCCAGGCAATAACAGGCCCCTAAATATTGTACAATATTTGCATTTCCCACCGCAATCTTCCTACTTTATCATCAGTTGATCCTCTTCCGTACAATTTTCCGTCTTTCTCGATGAGTTTGAATGGATCAGTATGCCATCCGTCCTAGAATGTCTAGGCTGATTACAAAACGACTTTATCAGTATTACCTCCTTTTCGGCAGGCTGTACGTCTAGATGGCCATACACGAGCAATGTCTTTTTGGCTTTGTCGCGACCTAAATCGGATTAAGTTGGTGTGGCGATAAGATAAAATTGAACGAACCGTGTACTCCAAAGACGGCCGGCGGCAATGGAATCGTTTCTCCCGAGGGGGTCTTTTCGGTTCCAAGGTCCCACAACGAAGCATCGATGCCAAGAGCTTTGAGTTGCTAAGAATTACGATAATTTCAATGATTAGGCGTAATTTTCTTACATCGCGGGTCCATTCAGACATGCGAATGCAGTCTCCGCGTCTCGATGGATCTCCAGATACCGATTTGATTTCGACAGCTTCGCGGAGCAACTCGATGAATTCTTCTTGTTGCTCATCGATCGCTCTATAATAAATAATAGATGATTAAAAAAATGAAATTTCTTAAGATTTAATTGAAAACAAATCAGCGATAAACTTACTTGAAAACTTCTGGTAGCCGTTCGAGATGAGCCATTGTGCTTCTGAAGAATGAAATGTTTAATTTTCTTTATAATGGGAACACAAAAACAAGATACGGTTGTCGCGAACAAACGAAAACAGTGTTAGCGAGAGAAAGAGACGAGCAGACAAACATCGAAAAAAAACAGCACACACACGTTTTTCAACCTTCCACGATAAATATATAAAAGGAGTGATGAGTGCGATAAGAGAAAAGCAAAATTGGCCGACTCCGCCTATAATTGTACAAAACTCGGAATAAGTCTTTGAAAAGGAAGCAAAGATGGAAACGGGTGAGTGTGCAAATCAATCGAAGATTATAATCCCAATGAATAGTTGTTTGATTCCTAAAATGGAGGTTTCTACCATCACCTTGACCTATATGTAGAATATTTAAAAAAATTATTTTGAGATTGCTAATAATAATTTGCAAATAAGCGAAAGATAATTGGAACAAATCAAATAAGATACTTCTAAAAAGAATCTATTTAATAAAAATTATAAATACTCGACGGAAAACGATAAACTTTGAAATTTATGTATTTTGATATATAGAATCTGCTGCGAAACATTCTTCAAAAGTAAAGTGTAAATCCTTCACAAGTATGCTAGTTTTCGTCGGAAATCCACGCAAGAGATTCTCACTGCATCGATGGCAGAGAAAAAATAAAACTGTAGTTCCAGTCTTAAAGGTCCACATCGTTATTTTTTATTGGTCTTGGACCGGTAGTACTGTAATTTTTTTCACTGAACGAATTAACATTCAATTGAAAGGAACCAATTTGGTCAATTTTTACCGTCTCCCTCAAATTTTGCCAATTTTATTCGAACATGAAATAATCTTGTTTCATCCGATGAGTTTGTCGAATATTCCTTTTTTTAAATTGTGATTTGCATAATTATAATTCGTTAAATTCGCTTGAAATTTTAAAAGGAATTAGTAAAATATTTAAAAATTAAAATTCTGTTCTGGTTTCTTATCACTCTCATTTTCTTAAGATAATCGGTTTAGGTTATATTGTTCTAATGAACTTTCGAAATGTGCAAACTGAGGAGCCGACATTTAAATCAACGCCAGAAATATTAAATAAAGTATGGAGTTCTCTGGTAAATCAAAACCAATCGTATTCGACAAAATTCGGCTCTAGAATTAACCTTATCCGATTGGTAATTCTACGGATAAGATTGATTTTTTGTCGAATCCGATTCGAATTGAAATATTAAAACAAAACGGATTCGAATAATTACCAATCGGATTCGAAGAAAATCTAATCGGATACGATAAATTACCAATCGAATACGAAAATACCAAAAAAACCAATCGGATGCGACAATTTTACAATCTTATCCGTAGAATTTCCAATCGGATAAGGTTAATTCTAGAGCTGAATTTTGTCGAATACGATTGGTTTTGAGTTACCAGAGTTATTGATATGATATTTTCATACTAATATTTTACAGACTGTAATTGAAGAAAATAATATTGTTGTAGATAGGAGGCCAAGCGAAAAACGAAATAACTTACCCGACGATAGAGATATTGGTTTGTGAGAAAAACTTATTTCCAGCTTCTAAATATGGGCTATAATCAGATTTCTGCGAAGAAGAGGGATCTCTCCATGTTTTATGCTGGCAAGACTGCCTTTCGCAATATATAACCGAAATAAATGGTTTGTACAAGTGAACGTAATGTGCAATTTTTTGATTTTCAGCACAAAAGGCAGAAGCAGAACCTTGCGATTTTGATTTTTTTTTCAAGAAAGCTGTTGAATTTTTATTCACCGTCTGTGTCAGATTGCGGCTGCCGAATGAAGTGCGTTTTACAGCGGCACTTATTTTTAATAAGTATCCACTTCCACTGCTTTATTATGATTTAAACCAGATTTTAAGATTTATGCTCCGACAAATATTAGAACTACGGAACTTTCTGGAAGAAAAAGACGATTTGGGTGAAGAGCAAAAAGACAAAGAATGGGAAACAATTGAGACGAACGTAAATCGTCAAGTTCCACTTCGAATATTGACGTCGATTCAAATCAGCAGCAAATTTCACAGCTATCATGATGTATTATACCTATGATATGCACACTTCCCATGTGGTCGTTCGTTTTTTTAGAGCTTATCAGCACGACAAGTATCAAATTGTCTTCGATCTCTTGGTTTTCCATATACCGTCGATGCGGTGAAGAGCAGCGAGATAAGAATGTTTAGAATGATATCTTATAAGTAAGTAACCGAAATTGATTTATTCAATGTTATATAGAGTTCCAGAAAGCCCATTATCTCTGTGTGAGATGATTATGAAAATGTTGAGATTTGCAACACGCAGGCGAAATTGGATTCAAGATTTTCAGTATGATATTTTGTGGCAGCACGTTCTTGTAGTTCTTGACGTCTGTTTCATGAATCATGATGAGGTTGATTTTCTCTAATAATAATCAATAAAATGTATAAAAATATTGAAGATTTATCGCCGTCTTTTGGACACAATCGATACTGAAAGTCAAGATGAAGCCGCTGAATCTGGGTAATCCGTAAAAGAAACATTGACGTCGCATTGTTTTTAACTTTAGACTTCTCCTCGTTCGTTTAAAATGGGATTTTGTGATTCTAGCATCTGCCGTCATGCAGACATCGGTTTTATGTGTATGTGGTACACAAAATCTAGAAAATGTAAATGCTACAAAATTCTTCTTCCAAATTTTATCATAATTTACAGATTAGCAACACCATCAACAGAATACTCGAATGTGATTCCGATTTGGCTGTTCGTCTTCATGAAATTATTATAAAAACGGTTAAAGATCAGCAAAGAACAGATGCATCAGATAGTGAAGATAACGTGTGAATTTGTAAGTCTTGTGAATATTTATCTTGTTAAATACATAGGGGTTTTTTTTAATAAAAAGACAAAATATATTATCAACCCGTAATTGTTATCCAAATCTTGTTAAAAGCAACACTTCTTGGTTTCCGGCCGAGGTTGATTCACTGAAATTCGGAAACTAGGAGTGAATATTTATAATTTGAAGCCGACGTCAGGCGACTGTACGTAGATTTATGAGAATGCGTTTGGAAATTGTCTCGTGCCAACTTAACGAGTTGCTTGCATTCTGCGGCTCATTTCGATATTGTTTAATGAAAGTTATTTTCGATGTCGTACGACTGCGGAAAATTCATCAAGTGCCAAAACATTTATGTCAAGGTCTCGGTACGAGAATTTACCCTATCCTTATATTTAGGCCCTGTTAAATAAGTTTTGCGCCAAGACCTGGCATTGTTTTTTTGGCATTCAACCAATTTACCGCCGTCGGCGTTATACACAGCTTATATGTTTAATGCCATTTTACCGTCGCAAAAAACGAGTACCTTGCATAATTGTGGACCATCGCATTTTTTAAAAGTGTTAATTTAAACTTCAATTTTAGATTTTTTGCGAATGTAATAATAATAATTCAAGAAAATGACAAACACAGCAAGAAAAAAATTTTCGTGAAAATATTGTAGATTTCAAAGGTAGAGAATTGAAAAAAAAAATGGCAATGCGTATCTCGAGACAGCAAGAAGTACGCGAGACTGTCACTAATCAGTCATTTGAAACCAACAATAGCAAAATCGTGTACAGTTGTCGCCGGACGCCGACTATAATAGAGCGATTCAATTGCAAAAATAAAAAAGAAACAAAGGAAAAAATTGTCTACTGGGTTGAGGTTTTTTTAAAGGAGATGCAAAAAATTATGCTCGTGATATTTCGTTAAAAAAAATTACGATGCTGTAGATAATGACACACACTCTCAATCTGTGAATTGGGTCTTGACCCGAATCAAATTTCAGAATCAAAAGTCGGTTTGTTTTCTTTTTTCTTCCTTTTTCCTTTTTCCATTTTATTGCGATTGAATCTCTCCATAAGGACTTACAGAGGACGATTGAGCTTGTTTGATGTTCGGGAAATGGGAGGCATGCGACTTTGGTGAAAAGCTGGAATATTGAAAAGTTATTACTTGCCGGAAATGTGACGTCATTCAAAATCAAAAACTCGCACTTCCTTAATATTTTTTCCTGTTTTTGCTGACGTTTCGATATAATCATCACCCATTTTCTTCAGGAGACTAGTCAATGCCGGAGCTCGTTTTCTAAAATTTCCATATTTTGAGTTTGTTGAATATTCATGCGTTCATACCCATTCACCAGATCGCTTTTGTTTCCAACGATGATCGTGATCGTGTCAGTTCCCTTATTCTTCTCAATAATCCGCTTCCATCGGATGAGGTGTTCGACTGATTGCGCATCTGAAATTCAATTACCACGTGCATTATTTTATTGTTTATCAATGCTAACACGGGACAGCTGCGAGATGAAATTTTTTGATAAAACAGTTCGTTGGCTGATTTATGTGCAAACTTCCAAACACACCTGACAAATCAAATACGAGAAGAGCAACCTTCGAACTTCTGATGTAGGATGGAGTGAGCTGCCGGAATCTCTCTTGGCCAGCAGTATCCCAAAGTTGAAGGCGAATTGACTAAAAATTGCGTTTTTTTTTGTTTTTTTTTGTTCTGTTTCGCCGAAAATCGATAAAATTCCAACACAATCATTAAAATGTGGATGCAATTCGCTGAAAATTGATACCTGTCCGTCATCGAGCTGCACAATCTTATGCTTAAAATCGATACCAATTGTGGTCATGGGGTCAGATTCGAACGAATTTTCGAGAAATGTTGATAAAAGTGCCGTTTTTCCGGCTGGAAATTCCAAATTTTCAATTTTGCATGCGATTTTCGACACAAAACCTCCCGATTCACCGACGACGACAACTTTGACAGTCTTGATCGACGACTCGTGCATTTGGTTTCTGGAAATGAATTTTCGAAAATTGACGAATGGCACAAAAATTGACGAAAAGCGACGCAATGCATACAATAAATATATTGATGTGTGCAAATGGTGAGAGAATTGTTGTTTTCGAATACATATCGACTTTTTCGATGGCGACGCGCTCGTCGTCGAAAAACTATTCGCCGACGCGATTTTTTCGCTGAATCGTTTATTATCACTGTTTTTCGGCGACAAAAATTTATGCGATAATAATCAAAATTTTATTTTTTGTGTACATAAACAAAACATTAATCAAATAAAAGGCGTGATCATCGTTTTCTGGCGGAGTTGAGCAACGTAATGAGGCCGTCCTTTCTGAAAATCGGCGAAATTCGATTGAGATGAGAGAATGCCTTACTTTATATTGGGTATCCATTCTTGGAGTTAGACTCAATGCGAGATTCAGCTGAGGATTCTCGGCGGTTGCTGGCAGCCATTGAACGCCATTCAAAACATTGCGCTCCTTTTCAGTTCTTCCATTTGGGTCCCTGTTAAAAATAATATAGAAAAATTTTGCGCAAGAGTCGAGAAAAGTCGAGAAATTATTCGAACGCTCGTCAATTTTCGACGTTTTTTACCAATTAATTTTTGTTTGCGAGAAAATTTGAAGAAATGTTTTTTTTAAGTAAATACATTATGGATTTATTCGAGAAAATTGTTTTTTTTTTACAAAAAAATTACACTAAATGTACATTTTTTCTACAAGGACTCATTTATCGTTCAAGTAGCCGAAAATGTGAAGTGGTCAAATAAAATTATTCATTTTTTATGGATCTATTCATACAATGAAAAAAAAATAAAAAAAAATCAATTTTTTTTCATTTGAATTCCTTATGCGCGCACACATTGAAGATTACAACAAAAATTGACGCGATATATCGTAATTCTCCGCTATTTATTTTCAAAGGCGCATGCGAAAAGTTGTGTGGGTCACGAAGCGAAGTCGGTACTCCTAGACATATATTGTCGAATTAGGAGTAATTATACCAATAATAATTTTTTTACGCGTTCTTAAATACGTTACTTATTTTCTCTTTAAAGTTTTCGAAAAATACGGAAAAATAGCACACAGAATGAAAAATAAAAAATTACAGTACCGACTTCGCGACGTGACCCGCGCAACTTTTCGTGTGCGCCTTTGAAAATAAATAGCGAAGAATTACGATATATCGCGTCAATTTTTTTGTAATTTTCGACGTGCGTGCATAGGGAATTCAAATGAAAAAAATTAATTAAAAAAATTTTCTTTTCATTTCATGAATATGCCCATTACAAGAAATGTCAAAATGTGCATAAAAATTTTTCATTTTCTTGAAACCCTTAATTAGAAAATTGCGTAATTTTGTATATTTTTATTGCATTGATTAGTTCTCAGTGGTTGGTTTTTGGTTAAAAACATCGCATTCCCACGGTTCCCAAAGTTTTTTCCAACACCTTTTTACCATACCAGTACGACACTCCAACTACACATCGCCCTCAATTTAACGTGTCGGTCTAACCCCCGTGGCCGACTTTTGTTTCGACTAATTAAAATTTTTCTCCTGTTTGTACCAAAATGTTCCGTAGGTTTTTATCCAAACGAAAAAGTGTCCCCTGTTCATCACGATCGAATCGCTGTGAGTCATTAAAAATCAAATGTGTGTAATTTTGCGTGAATGTGTGTGAATCTTTATCGGTCGACTGTGAATTTTAAATTTTTTCCTCGTCGTGTTTTATTGCATTTTGTGTGTAACCAATTTTTTTCGAACGGGTGTGGGTTCTACTGGCATGTCGAATTTTATGTCATCAAATTGTTATATCGCGTGCCTACACGAGCACGTGATACTAGGAATTCGCAGTGTTCGAGGCGCGAATTCGTCGCTCAATCATTTCCTACCCATATTTGGCAAAGTTGGTCCATAATCTTGTTGTAACATCAATCATTTTCAGATCATCATCATTCCACTCAAATTGACCAACGATGTGACTTCCGACAACATAGCTGATATCAGTGCAGTGAGTTGCATCTGAACAAGCAAGTTGAAAACGAAAAATTTAAATCATACCATAGAACGGAAAAATGCCACCAATAGCCTCGTTTGCTTTTGGGTTTGAATATTCGAATGAGTAGAAATAAATTGGAGCATCTGGTGTCGCTTCAAGAACATCCAAAACGTTTTTTTGAATTCCAATATGAATGAAATTATCACCGCGAATCTATAAAAATTGATTACCAAATTTGAAATTCGATAATTTTAACTTCAATAATTGCCCGAATCCATTCATCTTTGGTGAGATTCTTCAAATCCTTTGAAGGATCAATTAGTCTTTTCATAATCTCCTTCTGATGGTGTTTCGCTGTTGTTGGAAAGAATTTCTCCGGAATGGTGGATTTCAAATCCTCGCGAATTTGATGCACCGGATGCTCCTTGTTGATGTTCGGGGCTTAATATTAATTTCAACATTCAATTTGAGACATCTGAATTACTATAAAGCATCAATCCTTCAGATCTACTGCATCCGACTAATCTCGGCTTGACTGGCGCTTCTTTACGCAACTGTTTGATTGGTTTTGGAAGGAACACATGATCATATTTCGGTCCGATCAAACATTGTTCATCTTCGGTCTTCTCGAACTGTAAATCGACAAAATCAATAAGCATGTTCATTTTTGCGAACAAGGGAAACTACCATTGCGGCGGCGAACTTCTCAGCGGGAACTTTTCGAAGTTTCTCAATTAGCTGCAAATATGTATATTGATCGCCTGTTTCAAAATAAAATATAAACTTCTTTAGAGTCTCCATCATCGAAAACTCCCATTTTCTTGGCTCGAGTCCGACATGATGATAAAGGAGTATTATGGATGGCAAACGCGTTTGAGGCCGATCCGCCCATTGGTATAACCTTGTGGAAAAGATCTAAACAAGAAAATCAACATGTTTAGTGGATTAGATGCTATGTACCTCTTGAAACTGGAGAAATGCTGAGAAGATCAACAGAGACTCCGCCAGCCGATTGTCCCATCAATGTGATATTTTCGGCGTCTCCATTGAACGCAGCGATGTTATCCTGTATATCATTTCTAGATGAGAAATATTATAAAAGTTAGATGCGTACTCGAATCCATTTTAAAGCAAATGTCATGTCATGAAGGGCCAGATTATCTGGGAACTCTTCATCGCCGGTTGTCCAGAATCCCAAAAATCCTAGTCGATATTGAACTGTCACCACAACCACGTCTTTCATAACCTGATCCATTTCTTTATTATTAGACAGATGAACTGATTGTTACCAATCCTTTGCAAATACTCAAATCTCCATATTTGACCGCGCTGTCAATGACAAAACCACCGCCGTGGATGAACACCAAAACCGGAAACCCTGAAAAAATGAAATTAAGTCGCGTTGTGATATTCGTTGTAAAACTTGAATTTCGACATTGTTTTGAAAGTTATTTACAATCTCAGAACGACGATTATAACCTTGATCTTTAAAGGAAATAATCAGAAGCGGTGATTTATTCAATTTGAAATTTTCAGCAAATAAAAACTCGAAATATTGCCATCGCAAAAAAACCTCCATAATTGTGGACCATCGCACTTTTTCGAAGCGGTAATTCAAATTCGAATCAAATTCGGCTACCGTAGTTCGGATAAGCTGTGAAGCTAACGCACCGTTAATCGGCGCAAGGTACTCGTTTGCTTTGTGAATTTTATATTATATTTATTTATTTGAATGAATCTCCACAAATGGAAATTCACCAACAACGACAGAATTTCTTGCTCCGGGGAAGTCTCGAGACTCTCGGTGCTCAAAAGCACGGCTACGCATATTTCGTGGTGGAGTCTCGAGAATTTTAACTATGGGTACATAGGTAAAGAAATTCTCGGAAAATTCTCACCCGAGAGCACCCAGCGCTCATTATTCTTGACCATGATATTTATAGGGAAAAGCAAAATCGGTTTGGAAAAGCTCATTCCTAAATTTTTGGAAATGGAGGCTGTCTATTCATTAAGCGATAGAATTGATTTCGTTTCTATCCCTCTGAAAACCAACACGACTTTTTTGATATGCGCAATCGATCAAAAAAAAAACACAAAAAATTGGCCAATTCTAAATAAAGAACAAAAAATTGAAATTCGAATGATGAAATGAAAGATCACGGCATAATAATTGGTAATAAAACGAACCATTTTTGGATGATGGCTCCCAAACTGGCGTGAATACATTTAGTGATAGATTATCCTCTCCTTGTGGGAACTGCTCGTATTTCGATTTGTTCGCTTCCTGGTCAATTTGAATTCCGCGATTTCCGAATTTCTTCGTCTCGCGAACACTCGTCCATTTTTCATGAGCTTGTGGCAACTGTAAGCTGACATCATTCTATATTAGACATTCAATCGATTACCGCGAATCGGAGATCTCCAACCGGCGGAGCCGCATATGGAATCCCTTGGAATGCATCGACATGCCGATCTCCCTTGTAGATCAATCGTCGGCCTTCAATCGGTCCGTAGGTGGTGTTGACGCGTCGGGATGGCGGATATTCGTCAGACATCTGAAATAAGTCGATGTTTATTGACGAGACACAAAATAGAAGTGATAAGAACTGCGTCGTATTGTGCAAAAGTGATGCGATTTAATACTGGCGTAGTTATCAATGAGGAACCTTTTTTTTTGGGTGGCCGAGATGACAGCGAAAATGTGCTCGTTTTGATTTTGATTTGATGTTTCGAAGAAAATCGAATGATTGTCGAAAGTGGAAGCGACGAATCGAATGTGTAAAAATCGATTAGAAAAGGATGCGATTGAAACCCGATCAAATAATTCGCGTTCCTCAAATTGGCACAAAATGCTTCTCATTTTATATTATAGTTTATGTACGTGTAGAGAGACAAAAATAATTCAGGGTATGTTGAAATTTGCGCCTCAAGACACAATGTTTCGACAACATTGTTTTTTTTTGTGTCTCATAATCAAATTGTATTGTCAAACGTCTTCCAGTCATCATATGATACTGTAGTTGTAGACTACAAACTTTTTTTGAAGAAGCCAGACAGTCGTTATCTATTCAACAGATATGATATCAATGTTTACAAATACATAGTGAACGATAGGCGTCTGTTGGATGATGTTTGAACGTTATGCAAATTGGTGCAATAAGCAAGAATGCGGCTAATTAGTGCGTTTTTGAAAATCATGATGAGTTGGTGTAAACTAGAACAAACTGCCAGTGGGGGAGAATGTCGAGGTCGGAGAATCGATTGAACGATCGAATGAACACAATTTTCAATCTATGAATACTTATCTGGACTTTTCGATTCACTTCCACACTTCGCTTCGAGATACTTTCCATTGCTAACCATGCTCCGGATATCAGCATCACAACAAGGATCGCACGGATTCCAGCGGAGAAGTGAGCTTTGACTTGTCGAAGGGACTGAGGAAAGGAAACCTCACGGATATTCGCCAACTGGATCTGGCGTCGATCGCCGGAATCGACCGAACTCCGCACCAACACCATTAAAACGAACTACTAATTTTTGGTTTCGTTTTGCAACAATTGATGATAGACGCAGGGAAGTAGAGAAGATGGTGTTCATTATCTTCTCACTAACAAAATGACATTCGAATCGGAGAAAACAAATGGATGTTGGATATAAAACAATGGGAACCCAATATTTCAGATGATTCGAAACCGAAATTCTGAAAATCGGTCACGTATCCGCCATATTTAATAGAACTTCATAAATATTTGAGGACGCCTCCTATTCACAATGAAACCTTCAAGGAGCACTTTTCATTTTTTTCTTCTTCTCCTTCTCCCACTCTCTGTTTTGTTTGCTCCGAATAATAATGTAATATTTTTTTGAAAAAAATCATTTTCTTCTAGAGTTTATTTTATTCGGAAAAAAATCTTGAAATGTATCTTGTTTGGTGTGCTCATCATTTCGTTTTTCAAAACCGGAAATTGCGAGGTTCCGACATTAGGCTCTTTCAATTTTTTTTTTCTGAAAAAATGCAATGTTCAATGTCAAAACAATTCATATACACGATGTTTACTGGGGACAAACACACCGAATTCAATTTTCGCGTTTGGACGCCAAAGATTTTAATCGAAATGTGGAAGCCCTGTGCGTTTAATCGAGGTGACATTAAAGTGTACTCATTGGACCCCGGGTTCCAAACAATTATTTTTTTTGTGGTTCGGCTCCACACCAAACGCGGCTAGTTTGCCATTCTGAAATTAGCACCTCTTTTCTGTTTGTTGTGTGTCCTCACAATGAACGCATTCATCGCCAACTCATTTTCCGAGAACATCAACAGATTAGACATTCTAGTGTTCATTTTTAAAAAATGATAATATAGATCAACAAAAAACTCTAAATTTCAGATGGCACGTTTTCTTTTCCATTTCCTTTATTCCACATTCCGTCATTAGAATATCTCTTATTAAAAATTTCAAACTCGTTGGCCACTTTTTTGCAAAACACCGCAAATGGATGAGTCAGTCTCATCAGATTCCGCTGCGTCAAAGCGAATTTGAGTCTCTCCTATGAATATTTTCTTCAACACATCCTTATTTTTCGCACATTAATACTTGTCAGCCATGTGATTTTAAAATTAAAAAAAAATGAAATAGCATTTTCGCTGATTTTTATTCATCGCATATACATAATTCTGGATCAAATTCCCCGTTTTCGGTACATAGATTTCGCTATAATTTTTTTTCAAATGGGCGGCGCTTGGCACGAAATAGACTCTTGTCTAGTCAAGAATGCTGCTCAAAACATATTCAAGCCTAGCTCTAGGTAACTCTGGAAAATGAAAATCAATCGGATTCGAACATAGTTTTGTTTTCAATCACAATCGAATATAATTTAATCTGTTTCGAATTTTTCTCAAAATTTCAATCGAATACGATGTCAACGTTGAAAATGAGAAATAAATCAATCGGATTCGAAGATTTTTGACTCGTAACCAAGTTTTTAAATCGAAATTTAATTTTCTATCGAATCAGGTTAATTTATATTTCAATTTTTCTGCGATTCCGATTAATTTTCATTTACCTGAGTTGTCGAATACGTTTAATTTGCAATGACTTAATAGATCGCTTCCAAAAAAAAAACGGCTACAAGAGTTTTTCGTTGCAAGACCTCATTTACCCGAGTACTGCTCGTGATGTCTTCTACTAATTCCTAATCATAAGAATTATTCCTTATATAGCATTTCTTGATCTAGAGACAATTATATCCAAAATTGTGAATTAAAATACCGTCTAGAATCGCATGATTCCGCTTGTCAACCTATCCGTTCTCCGAACTAAACCACCGTTTTCAAAATTCGATTTTGCTTAATGTGAGTTTCATTTTCATTTCCGGCCAACGTTGACCTTTTGCTCTTTCAATTCCTTTTATTTTTTCGCTATTCGTCCCAAACCCAATTTCTTGTTTAATTTCCTTACTCTCAGATGGAACCGTTATTCGAGCCAATCACACTAGACACGATAACGAGGACCCCTTTATCATACAGGTTGCCAAAAATTGACAAGGTGTCCAAAAAAATTGCAAATGATCTTCCAGGAATAGGATAACATTTGAATGCTGTGTTCATGTCTCATGCGTCATTATCAACTTCGTTTTCTGCTTATTCTTCATTGCCAGGCCCAATTTATTCAATTCGTTCAAGGTAAATGGGAGGATTCAAAAATCGGAGAAAGAAAAAATCCGAATTCAGCCAACAATTTGCTTCGTCACATTCGGCACCTTCTTCCTCTCATTGCCGCTGTCAGCATTGCAACTCTATTTGGTCTTGAAGCTCTGGCTCGATCAAGAGCCTCTGTATACTGTGACAACGTGCACATTTGTGAAATGTGTGACGAGCTGCACTACGTCATGTTCGCAGGTTCTTCCGCTGGTAGGTGATTGAGGAAAAATGAATGAATGAACGTAATTAAGCTCAATGGAAGGGCGTCACGTAGTCCAAACATGTTTCAAACTTTAATCCCGCATAAGATATGACTCAAAATGTGGGGGTAAAAGGGCTAATTGAATTATTTCTTCAAATTTAAGGAAGTAAAATTTCTCTTTTGATATTTTGATTTGATTTCGTTTCAATTGAATATAATTAGGATTGATGGGCAAAAGTAGCCGAAATATTCCGAATTCGAGGTGTTGAATATTTAAAAAAGATTCTCCCCTTTTTATTTTTTCAGCCTGTCTCAATCTATCGATACCTGGTTGTGGTCAGGAATCGGAAAATGCCGACACGATTTGTCGTCGTAATTCATGCGGCAATTTGCACAATTTTTGTATGCAAAATAAAAATCTCATTTTGAGTTTGGGGAAATGTTTGATTTTCAGTTACTCATCGCTCTCCTCAATTTCCCCTTGGGCAGTTTTGAATTGAACGACCAATGCGAAATATTACGGTTCAGCAAAACGATGGAAGCTATTCGTGTGGGTGGAGATTATGTATTTTGCAATTTATTGAAAAAAAAACGAATTAAGAAAAGAAAAATTGAATGAGAATTGATTACAAATAAGAGTTTCCCGGAATAAAATATTCATAGAAAACTTTTTCAAATATCAACTTTAATGATTTTTTTTGCTACATTTGTTTCCATTTCTCACATTGATCTTTGATTTTAATTAACCAAACTAAACTCATTGTTTTCGATTGTAGGGCTAGATTAGAACCCTCACGTTTCACAAAAAAAAATGTTGACATGAAAAACGCTGATTACATGCCATTTGAGGGGAATATCTCAGCGAAAAGCCCGGAAATTGAAACACGTGATATTCGTACATTTCATGGGAAAGGTTATTTAAAATTAACGGAAACTAAAAGGGAAAAATTACAGATCTCTCTAACCCTTGGATTAAACATTTTGGCGGTTTTTATCAATTTTACGATTTACATGTTTGTAACGAGATATGATCGAATAAATATTGGTAATCTAAAAGAAATAATACGGTTAAGGCAAAATCAATAAATCGTCAGATGTACATCGACGAAGGGTTCAGCTAACCGTATCAATGCTTGTTCAATCAACAATCCCAATTTTGGTGTCAATTCCGCTGCTGATCGGAAGCTTCCACTTCTATTTTGGTACGTATCCACACCTGAAATTTTGTTTTCGAGCCTTAACAGGTGAAACGGCTCAAAATTGAGGCAATCCACAATATTTGCTCTCTAAATGAATAATAAGCAGGCTTCATGAGACAAAAATGATTGCAGGCTTCTCACTTCCATCTCATTTCACATCGCATTTCTACGCCACCACGTTCGTTTCGCCATTTTTCACACCGTTCTCATCGATGCTATCGCTTCAATCATTGCGTTCCGAGATGTTCGATGCTCTCTCGAGCTCGTTCTGCTGCACCGGAACTCGCAAAATCTCTAGCTTACTAATTTTAAAGACAAATCGCGGCACAAATCATCAGACGTTCGATTATTGTGTTTCATAATGAACCAACATCATATAGTCGAAATAGCCGTTTATTTTTAGTGTCAAATTTGACAAATTTCACGTAATAGTATTAGATTAAATTTTAAAACAATTTGACAGTTTTGTTTTAATAAAAAAGTTTTATTACGAAACTTTTATATACAAGGATCAAAGAATTGATTCATAATGAGCCTATTTTTTTTATGGAGAATTCGAACGTTAATGGTTTCGTGCCGACATGTTGCACTTTACCACGCCGCGGCTGCCCAAATCGCCCCGCCCATTTTTTTTATTTTCGCTCGTCGTCATGGTTAATATTAGTCATCTAGAATGAATTTTTCTGAAATTTTTTTTTGCGTGTTAGCATACTTGCTGAATATATACATTGTTTCGCACTTAGCAACTTTAATATGCCCATAGGGACCATTTTATTCTGTCATTTAAATTGTTTTGTACTGATTTGTACTGGTGTATTCGGTTCTAGTTAAATAGAAAGTACTGCATTCAATTATAAATACTTATTTTTATTTTTAATTAAATCGTTTTCTTTTTAGTTTACTTCTTAATTGTATTATTAATTTTTGTTTTTGAGTCGATTCAATCTGGGCGGCCGATATGTCATGGCGGAGCTGCGTTAATAAAGGAGGATGTCTATACGAAACAGTGCAGGTGATTTTCTTTTCAGGCTCCAAATTTCTGTATTCTAATAATTACAATTAAAAAAAAGTGCGATCGTTCTTTCTTCCACGGTATTTTTTTCGCAAAATCAGCATGATTAAAAATCAGTTTCTCATAAAATCCGAAAAAAGATTTGATTAGCTGACTAAAAATAACTTATTGATAAAAAAATTCGCAGAATCATGTAAACGTAATAAATTATTCCAAAAAAACATCAATGTTCATTTCTTATTTTACATGAAAAAACGACGTCGAAAAATAATTTTGATAAGTGAATAGAATGAATTTTCGTCTATGAAGATATTTCAGATCGATGAATTGGCCTCAAACGTGACACAAAAAGAGTTTTCAAATAGATTTCTGGGGGTGTTTACCGGAAAGTACTCACTTTCTGATACATACATGTTTCTTTTTACTTTTTTTCAAACCAGTAATACCTCAAACAATTTTTAATTTTGTATTGAAGGTTAGTTGTCGAAAATTTCTTAAATTATTATATGGATTTGGAAGGAATCTTACCAGTTTTATCGAACCGCTCGTTTCCTCTCCTCTCCGTAATATTTTAGTTAAGATATATGCAAAAATAGTCAAACATTTTTTCAACAAACCCCTACATGCGCCAAACAAGGCTCTCATCAGACGTTGACGTCGAAATGTTGCTTCCTCGTTAATCAATTCCATCCGTGAAAGGAATAATCAAAATGGTGGCAAGAAAAGTGCACAACAACGGGCATCATGAGCCAACCAAAAAAACCTCATTAGCGCAGATTGAATAACGCGTTGCGCGAAAAAAGAAGAGAGCGCGACGACGACGGGGCATCGAAATTGAATTTGAAACGCATTCGAATGATTTCAATGAGTGTTGATGGGCCATAGCGCATTATCATCATCATCATCATCATCGTCGCCGTCGTCGTCGTCGCAATTGATATGACCTAAATTGGGCGACGCGTCTTCACGCGCGCCACCGCAAAATATTTTTGGTGGTCTGCCATTCTTGCGCGCACGTCGGTGGTGTTTACCGATCGGTCTCGGTCCGCCTCCGAACAAAAAAAGAAAACACATCGCCACCCTCCATTTTTGGTAGTCGTTCGCCTCGGAAAACCCACTAATATTTCTCACTCCTATCTTTTTTCCACTCGACGCAATGTTTGATGTCCTTGAAAAAATCACATATAAGATTGAGGATTTGTTTGCCAAATATAAAGTGAGTTATTCGGCGATTCTAACAATTCAAAAGCATTAGTCAGTTTAATCCGCGGATTAAGTCGATTTCCTTAATGGATTTCCAAATCAAAATCCTAACGATGATTTCATGGCAAGTTTCGAGTTTCAGGCGATTCGATGGTTGCCTGTTCTTGTGGTGGCCGGCGCTTGTGGATGGGGTTATTATGCCTACGTATATGAGCTCAGTATAGGTAAATTTCCGACAAAATCGTCATCGTCCAACTTTCAAAATTACAGTAACGGTCACAAATTGGCCTCAAAGGATACTGTATATAGTGGGATTTCATGTGCTTTTAGTTCTGTTCGTTTCATCATACTTTAAGACAATATTCACACCACCATCGAAACCGCCGCCAGAGGTTGATTGTGATTTTCGGATTCGCAAAAAAAACCGACGTTCCAATTTCAGTTCTTTTTCGAGGGAGAAGCTCTTCAAGATATTGAGATGAGTCAAGATGACGATCGAAAATTACAAATGGTTTTGCAAAGATATGCACAGCAGCGTAATTTGCCGATTCGAATGAAAGGATACGATAATAGTGGGCAATTTGAATGAGTTATCCAACAAATTTCATTCATTTAGGTGTACGATATTGTGAGAAATGTAAATGTATAAAACCAGATAGATCACATCATTGTTCAATGTGCGGCCAATGTGTATTGTAAGTTTCAAGCATTATTTTTTTCGATTATATTTAAACCACGACTTTTGTGTTGTCATTCTCGAGAAAATAGTATATCAAGTTTTCAACACAATCGTATTGTTGCCGTTTTCAGAAAATTTGATCATCATTGTCCTTGGGTGAATAATTGTGTCAATTTTTCTAACTATAAATTCTTCTTACTATTTCTAGGGTACGTTCTTTTTTTCCTATTTTTACGATTTTAAAAACAATTTTTCTTGTATTTTAGCTACGGATTCGCATTTTGCTTATGGATATTCTTCACCGATTTGCCGTACTTTATCGATTTCTGGCGCACCGAGTTCTCGAATCAAAAAGTTGTGGTAAGAATTGGCGACGAACGATATAATTCAAAAAATATTAACCCATAAATAGGCAAACTCGGCGGCTTCTCATCATTTTATATATCGCGTAGCGCGAACTGTAACGCATAATATATCGGTTAGCGAAGAGTGCCTTAACTATACGTTGTGTTTTGTTGCTTTCATATAATACAACAAATATCCCGAAAATTGTAGTGTTTTTGCAGTCCAGCCGATTCCACCTACTGTTTCTCGTGTTTGTCTCTGGAATGTTCTCGCTATCATTATCAGCCCTCTTCTTCTATCATCTATGGTTGACAAGCAAAAATCGGAGTACTGTAGGTAATAAGACTGTTTTTAACGTTTGATGTAAATGAGGCTAACGCGATTCGTATATTCAGAGTCATTCCGAGCTCCTATGATTGACGGAAGATTCGAGAAGAATGCATTCAATCATGGGATTCGAGCAAATTACCGAGAAGTCTTCGGATCGCGGAAGGGATTATGGCTTTTGCCCATTTATTCCACGTATGTCGATATTTTCTTTAAAAAGAAAAACTAAAAAAAAAATGCACAAATGGGTCTCACAATGAAAATTCCCTCTCAAACATTTCGTAGATGTTCGTCTTCTGCTTCTTTCATTTTCCCCCTTTCTAGTTTTCGCGCACTTACACTTCCATGATTTGACCCATTATTCTTTTTTGCTCTCCCCATTAAACTCAACCCATTTTAATCATTTTCAGCCCCGGATCGGGTGTCAATTTCGAGATCGAATGGGCGCGAATGACGTCGTCGAGTGTGCCGAGATTGCCACGCATGAATGATGATCCGCCATTGGATTATGTTGATATTGAGCTTGAGCGAATCGACGAGACCGTCACAACTTCTGTTGATGAGACGATGACGACGAATGGCGGCAAACACAATGTCTAGCATGGTTCATTTTTCTTTATTTTCAATTTATCTCAAATTTAGTTGTTTTTTTTTATTCAAAATTGTTTGAGAGGGAACGTTTTGTTGAGAATTTCGAGATTCTTCTTCAACAAGTGTTTGAGAAAAAATTTAAATTTTTTTGCAGTCTCGGCGATGGTGTTCGCTTTGAGAAATGGACAGTGAACGAGGCTCTTGCTCATCAAGGCGCTATCAATTGTCGAACCGGTAACTCAATTGGTGCTCTCAGTTATAAATTATTGGCCCAACGAGAGGACGAAGAAGATGACGATGAGAAGAAGACGAACGATTCGGAATCAGCGACTCTATACAGCGATGAAGAGGATGATCTGAATATTCGCGTCGTTTGATCTACTCGTCTTCATTTTTCTTGTCTTCTTTTTTCTTTCCTAAACCTTTGATCCCACTACTTATCATTTCTAATTGCCATTCAGGTGCTCATTGTCTCGTTTTCTTTTCTCTCATTTTAATTTTCTTTTTCCAAATATGGGTATTCATTTTCTTGCAGTTTTATTTAATTAATATTTATTCGGTTTTTGTAATGTGATCGACGTGCTCCAAAGCCCTTTTTGTTGTGATTTAATTATGTGAATCAATCATCGTCGTCGTCTTTTGAGCGGAATTTATCGGCGATCCATCTGTAAATGAATCATCTGGAACTTTTTTTTTGGTATTGTTTCAATGTACCTTGTTTTGTTTTGAACTTCCTCTTGGGCCAGATTAAAGCACATTGCGAGCAGAGCCATTCCGAATAGGAGATAGATGCTAGTTATGACGAGCTTCTCTTGGGCTTCTTCTGTGTTGCTCACGGATGTGCTTGGGAATTTATCGCCGAACCCTAAACAAATCTGATGTCAAAAGAACCGAAGGATTCTTCGAACCTATAGTAGTCAGCGAAATGTAGCAGAAGTAGAAGCTTTCGAGGAATGTCCAACCTTCCCAGACCTTGAAAATGGTTGTGCCGACACCAAGATAGCCCAACATGGTGAACACCACAAGGGATATTGGCACTGTTGCACTTTCTAATTGCGCTGCCGCAGTTGCTCGCACCTAAATTAATTATTTTGAATCATGGATGTCAAATAAGACCTTTATTTTACTCGGGTAACTCAAAACCAATCGGATCCGACAAAATTCCTCTCAGGAATCATCCGATTAGAAATTCTTCGAATAAAATTGTCGGATCCGATCGGTTTTTTTTTGGTATTTTGTAATCCGACTGGATATTATTCGGATCAGTTTTGTTTGAATTTTTCATTTCCTATCCAATCGGATCGGTTTGATTCGGGAGCCGAATTTTGTCGGATCCGATTGGTTTTGAGTTAAATTTTTATTGTTCGTTTCAGAAAATCGGGGCCTTTCTGTCGGCGCGGTCATTCAAATTTCAATTTAATCATGGTTAATTGCCAATCAAATTCGTCAAGGCTTTCGTAGGTCCATTTTTTGAATTTCTGCCAATGCTTTGCGCGAATACGGCCAAAATGCGATGGCAGCGAAACCCCGAAGATGTCCGCAGATGTTTACAATGAGACTTGTTTTTATTTTTGAAAAAAAGTGCCCCATAGATTTTTTTCTTTTTTCTGTTGAAAAAATAAATAATTTAATTACCTCAAGCTCTATAAAAGTCTATAATTTAATTACCTCAAGCTCTATAAAAGTCTATAATTTAATTACCTCAAGCTGCTCCATTTCTACTCTAGCGGTTAATAAATCTTCGACGTCAGCGCCTCCACCTAAAATCACGAATTATTTTCGAAACCATTCAAACTTCAAAATGCTCTATGCTTTTTTTTTCTTACACAAACCGAACGAATCGACAGAAGAATCGGTCTTCACGCGATGTCCCCTTGTTAGACGAGACACCAGACTGTTTGCTCTTCGAATTTTTGCAGCCTTCAAATATTTTGTACAATTTTTTTGTCGTTTTTTTCTCAATATTCTACTTTTCTCTTTTTATGCCATAGAATGAGTCGAAATTTGAGACGAATCGATTGAGCGTAGAGAAATCTGAAAAAAAAATGATGAGACCTGAAAATGATAGCCACTCGGATCTTCTAGAAGATCGAATCGTGCTGACTGCGTGCAGCAAATCACCTGAATATTTTCGCCATCACATCTCCGATATTTGTCAAGAACAGAAGCATCAGAGGGATTCCGATGATCGCGTAGAGCATCGTCAGCGTTTTTCCAATATACGTTTTCGCTGCTGTGTTGCCGTAGCCTAAACGAATTCAATTCGAACTGAGCGAGTCGTCGACCGATCAACTCGCCAATCGTTGTAATAACTGTCAGACTGTACAAAAATGCTCCGGTGAACGTCCATTGCGCCTGTTTGCCGTACTCTTTGCCATCATAGCCTTTTCGAATTGATTGCATCACAATCGTCTTGAAGTGATTCACTTCGTTCATCACTGTTGTTCGCCATTGTTTCGAATCGAGTCGATTCACACGGAACGTCGCGTTCCAGACAACATCGACGGCTCGAGAACGGGCCGATTTGACTAGAGCTTGTATCTGAAAATGATGTAGATCAAAAAAAAAAGAAGAAGAAAGTTTCGGTTTAAAAGGAAATTGAGACAACAAGCGACCTCTGCTTCATGTGGACCTTCGACTGCTTTGAAAATGACAGCTCCGAGAAGGGCGTAGCCGACAACCTGAAACAACGAAAAAAGGAGAAAATCGAAATAATCGGGGGGGATTCTTGCCAATGCGCACAATCCGATATGAGAAAAGAAGAATGCGATGATCTTTTTGACAAGATTCACAACCCGCGTGACTTTTGATCGTCGATGTCTTCGGCTCATTCTAGCTTCTCATTTTCGAGGTTCTATATTAAAAATTGAGGTCGTCACAAAAATGAGCGGAAAAATTTCTGAAGCGGATGAGGAAGAAAGAAGCGAAATCAGAAGAGCGTCGGGGACATCATGAAAAATATGTCTCATGGGGGTTCGTTTGCCTTTTTTTCGCTTCGTTTTGTCTTCAAATGCCAGTGTGCGCCCTTTTCTCTTTTTTTTGGAAAATTTTTTGAAAGGCGGATGAAATTTTGGAAATTTCTCATCAAATTCTCATCAGAATGATATAATTTTTTTTGATTGAAAAAATCGAAGAGAACTGATTCCTGCCAAATTATAGCGAATTTTGTTGAATTTCAACGAATCGAATAATTAAAGAAAAGTTATGACGAATTGAGTAAATTTGAAAAATTTCAGAGTTTTTCAATTTTTAAAACTTCGTTTTTATTACATTGAATTTTCAAAAATTGAACACAATTCTCAACATTCTAAAAATAATAAGGTTTAGAATAAAAATTTATGAAAAAGAAATGAAATTAGGACAAACTGAATTTGATTTAAAAAAAACGCGAATCTGAAATGTGTTGTTGCTAGAGCCAAAATGAGTCGGATTCTTCACACAATTCGCGCGGCATCTTCCTTCCTTTCCGCTTCGATCATCGGCGTCTCATCGGCCTGCACACTGCCTTCTGCGGGTGTATCAACTGACGAAGTTTTATGAGCCAACGACTCGATTTGAGCCGTTGACGGCGTACTCGGATAAAAATATGGACGCGATTTGGTGGGGTTTGAATTTCGAAGACTTTTCGATTTCCATTTATTATTTTCTTGTTTGCGGCTTCTTTTTTCATTCAGAAATGCATATGCTCGTTGTTATGGACCTATTCATGCAGCTTCGATTCTTGACAATTTGCGAATTTCTGAATATTTTTCACTAATGGACCTATTCCTGCAATGAAAAAATTTTGAAAATCAATTTTTTTCATTTGAAAAGCACGCCCGTCGAAAATTACAACAAATTTGACGCAATATATCGCAATTTTCCGCTATTTATTTTCAAAGGCGCACAAGAAAATCTCCTCAGCAAACCGAGCGGGCGAAACCGTGGCAGAAACTAGCTGAAGGCAAAACTAGGGTGAAATTGTGGAACAACGGTGGCAGAAACCGCCGATGGCACAACTAGGGCAAAAATGGGGGCACAATGGTGGCAGAAACACTGCTGGCACAACTGGGGAAGAAGCGTGGCACAACGGCGGCAGAAAACCCGACATTTAAATCGATTTACGGTTAATCGAGGGCAATGTGTATTTGGAGTGTCGTACTGGCAGTGTAAAAATCATTTGAAACGAACGGTGTTTTTAACAAATTTTTTCAAATGTTTTTTTTTTCGAATTTCTGAATAGCGAAAAATTATAAGGTGTTGTTACTTGTTTGCTTTGATTGATTTTCTAACATTAAATGTTAAACACGTTTAGTCGCGAAAGTTGTTGGCAACTCCGATATTAATTGAACATTAATTATGGAATGTTTTGAAATAAGTTCAATAAACTACTTTCAGGTTTCTTCAATGGGTCGTTGGAGAAAAACTAGAGAAGAAAACGGTTTCACGATCATAAGAAATGCTTGAAAAATAAGGTTTTTTAGAGAGGAGGGTTGCAGGCTACGGATTTACAATCGTTCAGAACGATTCCAGTGAAATTGAAGATTTGGTTGTCGACAGTCAACAAGAGATTTATGATCAATTATCAATAAATTGCGATATCGAATCGCAAGCGGCGGTACCCCAGAGTAAAGGTAGATTTTTAATTCCATTATTAATTGAGAAATATAGAGAGCCAGTATTTGTTGGAAATATCGCGTTTGCTGTATCCAATGATGTTGTCGGCACCAGGGCTGTGCGGCAATGGAATTGCCGAATTGCCGGATTGCCGAAATTTGGATTTTCGGCAATTTGCCGAATTGCCGGATTGCCGAAATTTGGATTTTCGGCAATTTGCCGAATTGCCGGATTGCCGAAATTTGGATTTTCGGCAATTTGCTGAATTGCCGAAATTTGGATTTTCGGCAATTTGCCGAATTGCCGGATTGCCGAAATTTGGAGTTTCGGCAATTTGCCGAATTGCCGAAATTTGGATTTTCGGCAATTTGCCGAATTGCCGAATTGCCGAAATTTGGATTTTCGGCAATTTGCCGAATTGCCGAAATTTGGATTTTCGGCAATTTGCCGGATTGCCGAAATTTGGATTTTCGGCAATTTGCCGAATTGCCGGATTGCCGAAATTTGGATTTTCGGCAATTTGCCGAATTGCCGGATTGCCGAAATTTGGATTTTCGGCAATTTGCCGAATTGCCGGATTGCCGAAATTTGGATTTTCGGCAATTTGCCGAATTGCCGGATTGCCGAAATTTGGATTTTCGGCAATTTGCTGAATTGCCGAAATTTGGATTTTCGGCAATTTGCCGAATTGCCGGATTGCCAAAATTTGGAGTTTCGGCAATTTGCCGAATTGCCGAAATTTGGATTTTCGGCAATTTGCCGAATTGCCGAATTGCCGAAATTTGGATTTTCGGCAATTTGCCGGATTGCCGAAATTTGGATTTTCGGCAATTTGCCGGATTGCCGAAATTTGGATTTTCGGCAATTTGCCGAATTGCCGAAATTTCCGATTGCCGCACAGCCCTGGTCGGCACCAAACCTTCCGATAGTTTTTCAAGCAGCCGAGATGATTATAAAGAACAACGTGAAGGTAAGAACCCATTTTGAGCTACACGCTGTCGATGGTTTCAACATTTGTAGGCTAGAGATGTTGAAGTTTTTACGAACGACCTATATATGAATTGCTTTTCGCCGATAAAATCTATATTTTGCTCGGAATGCCTATCAAGTATCGACGAAACTTTGCATTTCTGCACTAACAGCGATTGTGGATCAAACGGGTTAGCTTACTTTTTATTTAATTAATATTGTGAACTTTAAAGGGAAGCATGCGTGAAAGGAAATGCTACAGAAGCAACAATCGTTATAACGTATTCCATAATGGCTCAGTTACGAAGCATCCTTAGAAATTGCGGAAGCGAAATAGTTAAAACGCACAAGTTTCTTCATAATGAAAGGGTTGGTTTTGAAAATTTTTAAAAAAGTGCACTATTTTGAAAAAAAAACTTCCAGAAAACAGAAAAATAGTACAATTCGAACTACTTAGTTACGACTTTGTTCTTACAGACAAAAAATCCAAATTTCGCCGACCTCCCCTTGTTCCCCATTCTCACTCACTGAAACTCCCTGATTCGAGCGACAAATAGTGTTAAAAATCAAGAGGATCCTGTAAGTCAGCCTGCATTTTATTTTATCTACATTAAACATTGTTTAGAAATGATAAAAGGAGTATGGAAATGAAGGATGTCATTGTATGAAAGGATGAGAATGGCAATCCAATCACGCGACGCCCGATCAACCTTCATGTTTATCTTTAGTGGTGGTATTTTTCCTAATTTACATTCATTTTTTGTTTGTATTTCGTTGTCATTACAATCGAATACGACCAATTTCGTGCAAAATTTTAAAATTATCGTATTCGAATATCACTAGGATCTGATGATCGTCAAAATTCGATTCGAATTCATTTTTATTTGTTTTTCGTATTTACGGGTTTCGATTACGGTCAAATTCGATTCGGACAGTTTCTATCGCTTATATTGTTGTATATTCGTTAAACATATTGTTGGATTTAATTAATAATAATGTTTTTAATTATTAAATACTCTTTCATTTGCTTGTTTTTGCATATGAAATAATGTAAGCGCGAATTACGCTAAACGGAGGGCTATAACGACCATACGCGCTTACATCTACTTGCTAGCAGAGTGGGGCAAAACGCGGGCAGAATTGTGGCTAAACGCGGGCAGAATGGTGGTAAAAAGCGGGCGTCTGTTACTTTTGCCACCATTCTGCCACGGTTTCGCCCGCTCGGCTTGCTGAGAAGTTGCGCTGGTCACGAAGCGAAGTCGGTACTGTAATTTTTTTTAAATGATTGTTTTTTCGAATTTTTTTTATTCTTTGAGCGTTTAAAACGTTTTTTTGGAAATCTGTAGAAGTATTTTGTTTAATCGACGTTAAAAATTCATCAGAAGCGTCATCGAGCGAAGTCTGCATCAAATCAGCACAAAAATCACTATTTCACATAATAATTGGTATCTAAATGACGAAAAATAGACTTATACATATTGTGGAATTAGATGTAATTATACCAATAATTGGTTTTTTACCTCGTTTTTCCATCCGTTACACATTTCCTCTTCAAAGCTTTCGAAAATACGAAGAACGAGCACACAGAATGAAAAATAAAAAATTACAGTACCGACCTCGCGACGTGACCCGCGCAACTTTTCGCGTGCGTCTTTGAAAATAAATAGCGGAGAATTACGATATATCGCGTCAATTTTTTGTAATTTTCGACGTGTGTATGGAATTCAAATGAAAAAAATTGTTTTTTTTTTAATTATTTTTTTCATTGCATGAATAGGTCCATTAGTGAAAAATATTCAGAAATTCGCAAATTGTCAAGAATCGAAGCAACAAAAAACAAGACAATTGAAAATTGCAGGAATGATAAAATCAATGATATTCTAAATACATATCTAATCATACTTGCAAATTTCCGGGTCGGCGCAGGTCAGTAAAAAAATTGGCCCCGCCCCGCCGACACCGCAACGACACTCCAAGTTTACAGCGAGGCTTTTTTTTAGCGTAATAAGAATTTCGAATTGCATGAGCCGAATTAATTGTTCTTGGAACACAAACTGCTCAGAAGTTCGCAAACAAAATTTATTGAACCATTTCACTGTTTTTGTTTCATTTTTAATTTTTTTGCGGTGCGGGAGGCGGGTCGGTAAAATTCACACCCTGACCCGTCACCCATTAATACATTTTGCAGGGAGGGAGTAGGAGGTCCGAATATTATATGAACATCGATTACTCAATGAACATTGGATATGATTGCTCATTTGAGATTTGCTCGTTTGGCAATTGCTCGCCATTATGTGGCAACGTCTTGAGCACGAGAATTGAGTATGAGCATCGATCGTGTTTCCATCGGAGTTCCCGAACGCCACGAGAAGGATACTGAATGGAAAACCCGGGATAGGAGGATGCCAGTTTGATGATCAGAGCGTCGACAAACACAAGATTGAGCTCATCGAAAGCCAATCCAATTCGAGGTCCTGGCACGCGCTAAATAAATGAATCCAATGGGTTAGGAGTTAATAATCGGAATACCTCAAGAAGCAAGTATTTCCTTCTTTTGGCATCATCGAAATACTCGTGACGTTTTGGGTGCTGTAAAATGATAAATGTCGATTTTCGGAATTCCAATATTATTCTACCATTAGATAGTACATTATATTTTCCATATTGAACCCGGCATTCATTATATTGCTCTTGATGACCGCCACAGCCTTGTCAGGCGAATAACGGAACGTCTCGTAGAGTTGATCAATGAGTTCTTTGGTGAATTCGCAATCGTGTCGGATCCTTCAAACGATCAATTATTTCAATAGCGTCAATTTATTTTATTTTTTTTTGGTACATTAATGTTCCATTGATTGGATATGGCACATTTTTGAGGATTTGAACAACATGTTCCGATCTCAAAGATGGAACGTCGAGGCTGAAAATCGATTATTCGACTGCTGAATTCAGCGAAAATCCTAACCCAATTTCGAGAAGAGCACTACAATATGCAACAAATTTTGTGAAAAGCTCGATGAGCTCGTTGTCGCAATTATCGTGTCGGAAACACACCTGAAATCGAACATCAATTATATACCATCGGAATTCTGTTTGGCAAAAACCGATCGAGGAAAAATTCCAATTTTCTCGGCATTTGGCAAAAGGTAATTGTGGAATGTCTGCGCTGCAACCGAAGTCAAATTGAGCACTTGCATCTCAAGATCATCGAAAAGTCCCGGTGTGGATATAACGGTTCGATAACGACCGGAATCCTTAATATTGAACGAGTTACAGTTTTGATTTTCCAATTACTTGATGGGGATCCAAATCAACTCGAACAAGGTGTTCCCGAACGTTTACTGAATATTTAGGCGTATGGGCAAACGCGAGTTTTCGCGCAAATTCGATTGGACCCCTGAAATAAAATTGTTTAAAATGCTCATGCTCAAATTATGGTTCTTACACAACTTGACAATGCGTTTCGATCATTTCATTGCAACGCCGACATACGAGCCGCAAATTCTCGAGATCTTCATGAGAAAGATAGGAGATCATATCGAGGAATATCAAGTTTGGTAGTTTTTCGAGCATCTGGAAAATATTGTTCCACGCATATTGATACGAAGGTGCGCTTGTTTTTGAATGCGAAGAAGGTGAATCGAACTGGCAACAAAAAGAAAGAGAAATGAGAAAAACGAAAAATGAGAGAGAATGAGGAGAAGAGAAACGATCGTGGTGAAAACGAGTTGCTTGTTTGATTTGAATTTCGATTTTTAAAATTCGATTATAAATATCGAGGGTAGAATTCGATGCAAATTCAGTGAAATTAATGATTTCCGAGGGTTTTGCACTTCAAATTGTTCGATAAAATTGCAATGATTGAAAAGAGAGGCTCCCGCAAGACGATCAATTCGAGCACAACGAAATTTAGGTTTGCTTCTTTCGGAGAACCATTTTATTTTTACAATCGAAATATGTACTATTGAATAGTGTTGGAAATGATGAAAATTGGCGAGAAGAAGAGAAAAATGACCGGCGGCGAAGCATTTGCATGCCGCCGGCCAGCGATGTTTGCAAAATGGAGTACGAGGGCACGCAGGCAGGCAGGCAGGCAGCGAGACGCCAACTGGATAGCGCAAAGACATGGTTGAAAACGAGAGAAGCGGCCGAATGTTATCGAAATATATTCATATAGACTATCGTAATTTCATTATTATTTGTTTTACTACGAATTTTGCAAAAGGATTTCGATTAAAAAATTGAATTGCAAATTCAAGAAAAAAAAAACGGTTGAAAGCATAGATGAGGCTTATACTTTTATGGATCGCCAAGCAAAATTTTTTTAAGCAAATTTTGTTGAATGACTCAGTAAGTGTAAATCTAATATGGGATACTAAAAAGAACCCTTTTTGACAACTTTTTTGAAATTTCGTGAAAATGTCATTTTTTGAAAAAAAAAATTTGGGGGGCTAAACTTTTGTGGAGCAGTGTGGAGTTTTCATGCGGGAAATTGATTAAACGTCAAAAAAAAAACAGTGGAAGTGGTCTTGGGGTAAAGTGGAAGTCTAGATATTTAATTTAATCATTAGGAGTAGGTTAAAGGCACACAATCAGACGTTTCTTTAATTTTTTTGGCATTTAGCCAATTTTCCAAAGTTAGCCGAACAATAAAAGTTTGACTTTTTCAGAAAAAAATTTCGATATTGTTGTATGAAAGCTATAAGGACAAATTGGTATTGAAACGACTCAAAACCGACGATTTTGAAGGTCTTTATTGTTTCTGCATTGTTTGTGAAACAATTCAAGGCCAAATGCGAGACCATATCAATCAACGGCGATCGATTTCAGCTATTCATTCGATCTTGAAAAAATGTTCCCGAATAGATATAACTCTAATAGATATTATGAGAACCGCTGCCAACAGGACAACTCGATATTCCGAATTCGATCAAAATTTTCACATGTCATTTATGTTTGATTGTGTTTTCATGAGAGTGGGTGATCAAATTTAATATGTATTATAAATTTGAGCATCATCATATCAGACTCTATTCATCACCGCACCACCGTCTAACAGTTCATTCCTATTTGGGTTATATCGAAACTGTCGAGGGAAGAGGCTACTATGGTTCCTAGTAGTAACTCACAGATCCGCTTCCGCTATCTTCTCGTATAGCCATAGAATACTTTATTGGAATAAGATATGTATATGACGACCTGGGAGGAGACATGAGACCTACTCCATAGGTAAAGGGAAATGTAGAATGAATATTGGTCCCATCTCCGGCCTGGGCGGAGTCGATCGGTCCGCATGTAACAATATGATAAAGCCAAGCAGCTGGCTTTCAAATTATTTTTCACTGCTTTTTTTACTATTCATTATTTCAAAATTTTGTCACAAATTTGAAAATTACTGTACTCATTTTATCAGTTAGTGTTATAAAAAAAGCTGTGTTTGATAAATTACAAAAAAACTAGTAAAGTTTACGTACTTTAAAAAAAAAAAATTTTTTTCGATTTTAAAACTTTGAATCAATTTCATTGAACTCGAGAATGTGGGATATGAAAATTGAGAAATTAATAGTGGAGAATTTCACGCGAATTGAAGAAAATGAAAAACGATTTGAAAATCATTTCATTTGTCGTCGATTCGACCAATTCCTCTCTGAGATACTGAAAAATCGCTAAAAATTATGTTCTTTTATTCAAATTTTCGTAACATTTTTCCATGGAATTTGTCATTTGGTGCCATTAATTTTACGACCGTTAAATTTTGTATATAAATGCCGAAAATGGTGTGAATTCACACACGCATAAACCATGTTTATTTTATTCCTTCTTGTTTGTTTTGCTTCCGCAAACTACTATCAGGTAAGTGTTTTTTTTTGCGATTCGAATTTCAGCCAATGGATTTTAGCAGGCTCATTATGACCAATACAACTACTACAATCGTAATCCGCAATACGAAGGGATGAGACCACAACCATTATCGTATCAGGCGTATCAAAAATCAAAAGGTGGATCCTACTACAATCCACCAACTCCATTCCCGCCTTACGTTCAGCAAACGGTAGCACCGACTCCAATAGTAACCACCACTACCACCACCACCACCATGGAAGCTCCAACAAGTGCGAGTCAAGTTCATGCTCGTTATCAGCCATTATTCAATGGGATCAGTAATATTGTTGGGTCCGCTCATGAATTGTTCGGATTTTGAAAATAAATGCGTTTTATTATGCGATGACATCACTTTGTGTGATAGCTCTATTCTTGAACTCGTTCGGATCTTTTCCGGTCGACGTCGCGAGAACACTTTCGAGCAGATCCGCCGTCGATAAATGCTCTTTCGAGCATTTTGGCGCCGATTGTTGATATTTACGGAATTCGCCGATCGCATTCCACGCCTCGTCCATATTTCCTTGATGGTATTCGAAAATTGCGTAATTCAAGAGCTGAAAATTGGAAATTTTTTTAGTGTGCATACACGTATCGATTAATACAAACCACAGATGGTAAGAGCTGCATCTCGATTGACTTTTTGTAAGCTTTTCGTGCATTTGAGAAATCTTTCATGTGAGAAAGAACAACTGAAAAAGGAACAATTGACGCTATAATAATTGCTATTCCTCAATTATTTTCTAAATTTTATAATCGGTTTGAAACGGTTGATCAAAATTCAAAAAATATTTGGCAATATGCCATGATGTCTCGAGTTGAAGAGAACTGTGCATGTCTGCGTATTCGCATTCGCGAAATTATAGTCTGTTTCCCAAAAAAAAAACGTGGGCACCATAATTATGTCGTCAGGCGCGTCGCGGTTCGTGTGCACATATAAAATGGAACCGCAACGCGTCGTCTCATCTACAAGGTCTTGCAGCGAAAAATGCTGGAATCCGTTTCGTTTCAAATGTTTAGACATTATTTTACGAGGCCGTAAAAATACCCTGATTTTGGTTTATTGGTCTTTTGAGATCGGCAATACGTGCGGACCATAGACACCGCGCATCGGCGACGCAACAAGCCGGAGATGGGACCAACATTCGATTAGGAACTATTGTAACCCACTTCTATGACATTATAAAGAATTCTGTTTTTGTTTTGCACGAACAAATAACACAGCAATTAAAAAAAACATATATACGAAGCGCGAAGTGAGCCATGCAATTTTTCGCGTGCACCTTTGAATCTGAAACGGCTATATTAGTCGACGCCCGGTGACTGCTGTAGATTTACGCGCATGCGCCTTGAAAAGGTCTCGTCAACGCTTATTTTGCTGTTTTCACGTGAACTGCTTCATTTTTTAAAATGAGTTTCGCATTTTCTTGGAATTTACAACGTTATTCGATTAAAAAAATTATCGAACCGACCCAAAAAAGCGAAATAACGAGTTAGTCCGTGCCAGACCAAGAAAATAAGACATGTGCGTAAATCTACCCCTCGTGCAGCAGCCGGCGGACGCCGGCGGACGCCGACTACATATGTATCGTGTTGTATTTTTCATTATTCGACACGCGAGAAAAATAAATTAAAATGACTAAAAATCAATGTTTTCCTTATTTTCAGTTCTTGTATAGGTCCAAAATAAAAAAAAGAAGCCATTTGAACAGAATAAATGCTTACCAGCCATTGCACCAATAATCTTCGCGTTCGGGGTTGTCAATTCAGAGGCGAGTTTCAGATAATGAAGTGCCGAGCAATTGAGAGACATCGATTCATGCAAGACACCCAAATTGAAATTAATTCTGAAAACAAATGATTTGTGGATAATTGTGTTCCAATTGTTCATTTGAATGAATATGAAATAGGTTATCTTACTTGTAATTCATTGGATTAATAAATGCTGCTTTTTTGAAGGCAGAATGTGCGGCTGCCAGTTTGTCTCTCGCCATCAGACCGACTCCGATATTGTTCCAAAGGCACCCGTTATAGTCACATATTTCGGCGGCGATTCGATATTTATTCAATGCTACGTCATGATCCGAATAGTATTGCATAATGGCGCCAACCGCCAGAATTGCCTGAAATAATCGAATTCATTTACAATTGAGACGACAACACAGTGTTACATCTGTATTGGTGGGATCATAAGCGAGACATTGGCCGAGGTTATGAAAAGCGGCGTCAAGATCCGATACTCTCATGTACAACAATCCCAACCGAATCATCACATCAGTGTTATCTGGCTGTAGGTCCAGCGCCTTGCGATACGCTGCGATTGCGCCTTGCACGTCGTCCAGCTCCTCGAGAAGTTTTCCGAGAAATCGTAGTAATTGAGTGTCGGTCGCAACGTGCGGCGAGCTTAGAATGAGATCTCTCGCCGTCTCCACCGGATTCAGCATTTTCCCTTTGACTTTCTTCGATGGCAAGTGATATACAGTACGCGCTAGCCAATATATCACTTTCGGATTGTTTGGATCAGCCAACGCGGCTTTTTCAAGCTGCTCCGCGGCAATCGCGTTTCTTCCAAGTAGAAAATTGACCCTTCCAATGTCGTAATAATACCTTCAATAATTATTTTAAGGAGCCCTCTCACACAAAATATCTATTTACTTATTGTTCTTGCCACTTGTTTCGAAAGCCTTCGTAAACCAATCCAAAGCTTCATCTAATTGCCCTTCAATTCTCGCAATGCATCCACGAAGATGAAGGGCAAATTCATTGTGACCGTCATATTTCGACATTATTTCCTAACAAAAATTTATATTAATGATTCGCCATTGAAATGAAATGACCCACTCCAATTAGCGATTTACATTCAACGTATTCCCCTTGACTATAATAATGGAATATCAAGGCATTAAATGAATTGCAATCGAGAAGTTCGATTCGTCTTGGAGGCGCGTGAACGACAGCCGATGGGGTGCCGTCATAAACCGCCTGGAAAAAAAAGCAATGAACAGCTTTTGCATTTTTTTAGTATACTTACATCAATTTCTCCGGCAGTTGATGATGTGTCTGGCGGATTCTCGATTTCACCAATGATTTCATCTTGATTGCTTTCCTCCATTTTTACGAGAAACTACGAACACGAAAGGCAGACATGTGAAACGAATGCGAATGAATCAATTCTGGTTGCCATAGAAACGTTGAACGCGCGATTTGCAAATAATTCAAAAATTAAAATATTTCAAACTAAAAAAATATAAGAGAGTGATCACAATGACATTTTTTAATAATCTGATATTTTGATAATCGTATTTGATATTTTATCAAACATTTATTTTGAGCGCTACTGTAACACACTGTAACGTGTAAACATCATGGCGAAAGATTACACAAAATGCTTATAGAATATTCAGTATTCAAATTTGTATTGAGCATTTTTAACGGTTGAATTGATCTTCGAGTTTTTATCATATATAGTCGGCGTCCGGCGACCAATATATTGGTGTAGATTTACGGGTGCGCCTTTCGTCATGGTCTCATCACGCATGAAATCTTGTTTTGTAATTTTTCACACGAACTGTTTATTTCTTTTGGTCAATTTGTAAATTCATTACATTTTTGATTCAAAAAAATAAAATATAAAATATAATCAGCAATCTAACTCGAACCATTTGGTCCGCGTGAGACCACGGCGCTCGTTAAATCTGCTCGCTCATTAATCGCCAGAGGCCGACAATAAATTACTTAAAAAGTTTTTTTGGTATTTCTATTTCCGTCATATGTATTTGATGCACACGGAAAAAACTGGCGTGAAAATTGTAAATGCAGGAAAAAGTCTTTGTTCCTATTTCTTTTTTCTTCATTTATATTTTCTGTTTTTTTTTAATTGCTCATATTTTTAATTTGCTCGCGTATTTCTCGCTGGCTCGATACGCATTTGAATAGCCCATAATTTTTTTTAAATTTCGTCCACATGTTTGACTCCAACAATAAAGAAATCATTCACATATGCGAAAATCACCAAAAAAAATTCTCACATTTGCATGAAGAAGCCTTTCTTAAATGAATCTGCGATAGTGCAAATCTTGAAGATCTTCGAATTATCTAATTCAATCATTCATCACCTTTTTCAAAGTGTGTAGCGCACTTTTTTTTTCATTTTTTTCGAAACACAAAAAATTAAAAAAAAAAACAATTTATTGAGACAAAAAACCCGTCGAAATCAAACAAATCGCGAATTGTTATTACGAGTAGATGAGACACCAAATGTGGAAGATCAGTAGAAAAATGAGAATAATGCCTTCCGGAGTAATATTGATCATCGCTCACAACTCAGCCAACAGAGTAAAAGCTTCGAATTTCGAGAAGCGGCCGCCAAGAAGGACGGCGATAGAGAGAGAGAGAGAGTGTGTGAGGTGTAGAGAGAAATAGAGCGGCTCGAGATGAGCACAAATACACACACACGGGCAAAGAGGGAAAAGCGCAACAAACACAATATATTATTCAAATATTTATTTGCTCATTCAATTTTATACGAAACAATATGGCAGATTTATGTCATGCGGATATCCTGAGGACGAAATGAATTAGGCAGTTGATGCTATGCAAATTTTAATAACGAAATGGTAAAAGACGAATTAATTGTTTTGTTTGAAACCGGTTTCACGAAAGAACGCTCAATTATTTACAATTTTATTCGAAACAAAATTCAGCTTTTCGAGTTGAGATCATCAAAATGTCGACTGAATCTGAAATAATTGGAATGATTGTTCAGAAAATTTCGAAGAATTCCCACCGGTTGTCTCCTTCGATAAGGCTCTTCAATTGGCTGAGCCATCGGTCTTCCATTCTGATCATAATTGATGGTTATCTCCGAATTGATTTGATATTTCTGCGGAATCGGCTGCCCGTCTGGACCGCGTTCACCTGATGATGGCGGGATCACAATATGTTGAGGTATTGTGATTCCACCGGATAATGGGAATGCCATTGGATCAGAATCGGGCTTCGATTCACTCGATTCTCTGTGATGCCGACTTCGCGGTTTCGCTGGAATCTGCGAGTCTGGCGGACTCGGCGCGCGCCTTCGATCCCTGTCTCGTTCTCGATCTCGATCCCGATCTCGATCTCTTCTGTGCTCTCTGTGGCTTCTTGTTGAGCCATGACGATGCCTAGAATCGAAAGATAATATTCAATCATGTCATGTCGCTCCCTTTCAACCTTTTCGATCTCCTCCTTTCCCGTTCAGCATCCGAATCGTAATTGGTAATTGATTCATCGTACTTCGGCCTGCTTCGATGGCGTCGCCTGCTGCTCGATCGATGTCGATGAGCTCTTGTGAAATCGGTTGCCGTTGGTTCGGTGTCCGATGAATAAGATTCGTATCCATGACGGCTTCTCGATTTCCTTCTTCTAGATGACCTCCTATGATGCCTCGAATGATCACAATCCCTATGCGACACCAGCGTTCCATCGTAAAGTGAAGGAACCGATCGCGAATGCTTAAAAAAAGGGAGTTGACTTTCAATTTGGGTTAAAGAGCATTAGAAACCTGCAGAGTAGTCGGATGGACCTGCTTGCTGATAGCGATCGGCTCGCTATTCACATCATTCGATCGGTCTGCAAGTAATGCTGAAAATGGTAGGAGAGTTACACACATGCAATTAGAGTAATCGGTGAAACTTAGAGACTGGGCTCGAACGAAGAAACCGAGAAGCAACTCAAAAAAGTCGACTCACCAAGCGATTGCTGCTCACGGACCCAACTACTAACTGGATCATCAGCATAACTCGACCGTTTCGATTTCGGCTCTTTCATATATTTAACCTAGAATCGCACCAAATTAAAAAAACGTCTCTCAACAATTAACGGACTTCATTTGGATCTAGAGGATATGGAGTATTCGCGTGGGTAGCTGGAAGTGGCAAAGGCGTTTGTGGCACGCCAGCTGCTGAGTACGGTGTTGGATACACTGGATACGGCTGAGCCAAGGCTAAAAATATTCAAACAGATTTCAAATTTTCTATTATTAAATTCAATTTTTACGTTTATAAGGCATTGGATATTTTGGAGATGGGCTTCGATTGATGCCTTCTGGAATCGTATATGATTATATGATTATTATAGAATTCCAATACTAACCATACGATTCGAGTAAATCCCTTCTACTTGTTCCATTCCGATTGATCTTGTACCGAACGCCTCGTCGATCTTTGCCTTCGTACACATCGGTCGTCGAGTTGATCCGTCGATAGTACACCATGACAATCACAACGCAATAAATCTAAATTGTTTATCTCATTTTCTTTCTATTCATTTATAAAATGAATAATTCTTACATTAATGAAAACAATAATTATTTCGATGATTGTAATGGCAAGCCAATAATCGCGGACATCTCCTGCCCACCACATAATACAGTATGCGAGACTCGATAGGATTGACGAGATCATACAAGGGAACCATGGCCAAACAAGGTATTTCGACCACTAAATTCAAAAAAAATTATTTCGCTATGTATGTGGATTACTGTAGGTACCGTATGAATACCGTAGATCAAGGCAGCCGAGGCGAATAATAGAAAGAAGGCGGCAATAAGGCAGAGCACTTGGATGACGAATAATCCTGAAACACACCACTTTCAAATCAGTATTAATTCCTCGTTTTCAATGAATCGCCGAAAATTGACGATGCTTTTATACCAGTGTAGTATCGTTCCTCGGGACTTTGCCAATACGATTCATAATACGACGGAACATCGAATCGGCCGTACGTGTTATAATTCGGAAGAAGCGTGTTCGCCGCGCGATCGCGCTCGTACTTGATCGCTACCATTTGCCACCCCATAATGCCCAATTGTGCAATTGAAGACACCTGAACGAATCACCCATGGTTGGTTATGAGAAGCACACGAAAAATGAAGAGAATGAGTTGCTGATTCGTTGGTTGGGTGGCAAACGGCGTTGGCGGCGCGAACACCCCCAGCAAAATTATGTCATAAACTTGCCTTCGATGATGCTCGCTGTGCGTTTCGTCGATGCGCCGACGCATGGGCAGTCCCATTCGCATTGCAAGTTGGACTGCGCCATCGTCACAGCGCGACAGTGGTTCAGCACACCCGTTTGCCACCCAAACAACAGTAATGAGGCCAGTGAATATACCTACAACTCTCACATCATTCCACTTTATTTTTCTTCAAGAGTTTAGATAAGCTTCATAAATGATTTTCTGTCTGCGGACAATTTGAAAATTATTAAATTTTGCATTTCTCGGATTCAAATTTTTAAAAATGTATTGGAAAAAAAGAAAATGTGTTATGAAAATGAAATGGGAAATTAACTTAAAAAAAAAAAAGAAAATTGGTTGAAACTGTTACCAATGACCATATTCCAATGGTAATTGCAGCATCCTTGCTGCTACAGCAGCAACATGTAGCGACACCCATTGAACAATGAATAACTGAATATTAGAGGACGATAGTTGATTGTTGTGCTCGATTCGATTCTTCCTATCCGGGTGAGAAAATCATAACCGCCAACGAGACGCTGGAAACCAAAAAAAATTGTTTGCGTTTGAATGGGAAGTCGATGACAATTAAAAAAAAACGACGAGAATTATTGGCATCGGAGACGAATAGACGTTGAAACAGTGAATAATAACAATAATAAATTTTTCGCCGAGCTCGCCTAGTTTCATTCTTCCATCGGGCCCGATGAGTCATACAATCTACAAATGCACACATAGAAATTCGTAATATTTGCCGCGCTGCGTCTCGGTCTCCCGAATGTTTCGTCGGCCGGCCGGCCCCGACCGTCTGTTGTAGTATTTGTCTTTCAAAAGGCCTCGAGAAACGCGTGGATGTACGTACATCGAAAATTTGCACGAATGCCGATCAAAAGGTCGGCCAAGGAATCGAAGCAAAAAAAAATAAAAACTTGATCAAATAATACTAATAAACTTTCACATCGAAAAAAAACGAAAAAAATTGATTCAGAATTTTCATTTTATTTTGGAAAATTGAAATTCAACCATAAAAATTGGATTGATAAGGATTTCGAATATTTGAGTGGCATAAAAATCAAAATCATAGAAAATAATGTGTTTGATTTCGAAGTGGAAAACAAAATCAAAAATTCAATTCGAAAAGGAAATCGATTTCGAAAAAAGAAAAAAATGGAATCAGACGAATCAATCGAGAATCGTGTATTAGTTCCATCTAAATAAGGAGAAATGCATATGATTCACAAGTTTTCCCGCTCTTCAACTGATTCATACAACAACAAAAAAAAATGGAAAATGGGAGGGCGATGAATCAGCGGTGAAAACAAGCAAAAATCGGGCGGTCGATAAAATGAATGTGTACAAATGAAATAAGATGAATTTTGATAGGCGCTCGCTCGCTCGCTCGCTGAACCGATCGTTATCAAAACGAAACCAGCCGTCGAGCCACCGGCAATGTATATCAATCGAGTGCGTGCGTGCGTGTGTGTTTACTATATCAAAATGAGTTGCTTGTGACCAATTTCGGATATTATAACAGAAGCTTCTTCGCCATCGAACCGAAGCTAACCAATATTTGTTTAGTATGCAAATTCATGAGTAAACATTTGCGGAAAACGTCAGGTTGTCGCGCAACGAAAATGCGTATATGTTTGAATGCATGTTGAATTCAGGTTCAATTATGTACAACTCGAAGACAAAAAAGAAATTATGTCGAGAATGGCAATTTCAGAACCATTCGATCGAATCGTCGGTTGTGTCCCACTCGAACTCGCAACTGTCGTCGTAAATCGTCGTGCTCTCCTTGAAGGGCAAACAAATCGATTAATCTGTGCAAATGATGATTGGCAAACCTTCAGAATACTTATCAATTTGTCGTAGTCCGGAATGTCGGTCCGTCGGGTCCGTTCAAGAATTTGCGGGAACAGCTCGAACTCTTGGCTGAACTTTCTAAACACCTCTTTTGTTTTTAGATATTGCCTTTTCTGAAATCATCGATTCACTTGACGCGATAGGTCTTCAAAAATAGCCGCTTTGCGACGCAGACTTCATCCTGATCGACCACATTTTTCCATGGAAGACCCTCAGAAAGCTCAACGAGCGAGTAGAAAAGCGACCACAAATCGTCGACAAATCCCTAGAAAATGTATGATTTTTGAGCAGACAAAAATTATTGAATTCAATATTTTTTTGAAAAATTCAATTCATTGGATATTTCTTTTTTAATATGATATTGTCGGCGTCAAACGACTGAAAGAAGGCGGGGTCTTCAAATTCGCGAAATCAGTGGAGATTTAATTTTTTCTTTGATTGAATATTAAATGCGCGTACGCTATAATGCAATGTACGCAATCTCGCTGCCTCAATACGCATTGGCAAATAAATTTTCAAATTTTATCAAGTCGTTTGACTCCGACAATATTCCCTCTAATAAATAACTGTTTAATTCAAAAAATTATTCTAAAAATCAAAATTTCAATCATTTCTAGATTCTTAATTCCGAGAATTATCGAATTTCTCTCGCATCTCAATTTCTTGCCAACCTGCTCTTTTCTTTCATGGGCGGTCACCGACACGTATCGGGTTGTACCACGAAACGAGGCGTACGCCCTTTCCGGCCGAAATTTCCCATCGGCACCTCTGATCTTGCGCGCCATTCCTGAACGAAAATTGTGTGTTTTCGATGCGAACAAACAATATACCGAAATCGACGACGTAGGCGACCCGGCGGTTCTCGCCAATTCCGATGCAAATGTTCGACGGTTTCACATCTCTAATTCAAAAATTTGTATCGCGGGGATGTGCGCGAATTTTTCGTGGCTTTTTTTTGGGGAGGATGGTTAAAAAACGGATGAAAAATGGTTTATTTATTTTCTCATTTTTTGTACTTTTCCCAATGGTCCATGTTTCTCGACACCATCGGAAATCGAGAAAATTATAAAACCAAGAAGACTGTACATGTTTAAAGGTGAATTCAGGGGAAAAATTATTTACAATATTTAAAATATATTTTCAGACTTTCCGAAATTCATAAAATAATAATTTCTCGAACATCACATTGCTGGTTTCGTACGAGGGCGGTGCGGCAATCGAATTTCCGAAATTTTATGTCAGAAAAGAATTGACGAAATAAAAACGAATGCCCATTGAATAGTTTGGGATACCGTGAAAATTCGGTGGTATTGTTGAAAAATGACAAATGTATCCAGGTGTCGTGGGATCCTGCGTTTTGTACGCAATGCTAAGAGACAGTTACCGTAATCCTCGCAGCGATTTACGGAGTCTTTTATTTTTTAATTTTCTTTCAATTTTTTTTTGCTGAATTTTCTAATTTTCTTTAGAAATCATATATTTAAAACCTGTAGAAACCGAGTTTAATTATTTATTTTTCAGAATATGCACTTTTCCATTTGTCTAGTTGAGTTGGGAATTATTGTGAAGAATTTTTGCTCTAAAAATTATTTTGAAAATGAAGAATACAAAAACAAGATAATAGAAACGCATACAAAGAGCAAAACACGATTAAATAATTTTATTAACGTCAAAAATGTTTTCTTTTAAATCTCTGCTGATTTTACCAAAAAAATATCGTCTAAAAGTGCTTATTCTGCTTGATAAATTATTAAACTCGGTTTCTTCAAAATTTAAATAACAAAATTTCGAAGGGAAATACGAAAATTGAGCAAAAAATAAAAAAATGAATATGCAAAATTATAAAAAAGTCCCCCGTAAATCGCTGCGAGGATTACGGTAACTGTCTCTTAGCATTGCGTACAAAACGCAGGATCCTACGACACCTGGATACATTTGTCATTTTTCAACAATACCCCGGAGTGGAACTCGGTTCTCAATAGAGCGCAATTGCATCATTGTTTTTGTTGATGGATTGTTAAACATTTTTTCTTCGCAATTTTGTATATTTTGCAGTTGTTTAGGAAAAATGAGAACTTTTAGAAATTGATGGCTACTGTATGCGATTTAAGAATATGTATGGAGGCATTGAACGGTTTTCCATTAAACAAAACAATGATGCAATTGCGCTCTATTTAGAATTCTATCAGTTTGCCGATTTGCCCGATTGCCGCACATCCCTATTTCGTACCTGTGAATATAGCCGAGAGAGTGAACTTGACGAAGGCATTCGACAACTTGAATTCCGATTCGAACAGTCTGAGCAAAAAGAGCAATTGATGTGAAATCAGAAGAAGGCGAACCGCCAAAACACTGAGAGATCGACTCCTCTGCTTTTTGCGAATATCGCCGACATTTTTGCCGAGCATTTGCATGATTATAAAATTGTATTCGCCGTATTCGCCGCTGCAATACTACAACAAATTGCGGTCTTCCCATTTTCATTTTTTGCACAACTCACAACTTTCGGTGTATGCGGACAATTATTCAACAATAATAATATTTTCAATTCAAGGACGAGTCGAGCAGATTCTGACGATTTCGGCTCAACTTTTACAGCGACCACAATTTTAGATTCCTGCAAAAAAAAACGAAAAAATAAAATGAAATATGATTTTACAAAGATACCAAGTCAATGGCTCGATAAATTTGTCCGAATCCGCCGCCACCCACCAATTTCTCAATTCGATAATTATTCTTTATTCCAATTACTGTGCCCTTTTCCATAAATGGTGGCGCTGTTTTTCCTCTCTATTATATCAATTTTTGACACGCAATAATGCGAACACACCTTTTCCATTTTGCAATAATCATTTTCTTTGTTATATGCTGGTATCTGAAATTAGGAATCGCAAAGATTTTCGGTCATCGGCCACTGATTTTTTTTGACGACGAAATTTCCATGGAAAACCACAAAAACTTAACGGCTATTATTTTAATGATACTTTCTGGTTTGGTCTTTTTAAAACATTCATGGTCAGCCAATTATGTAATAAACAACAATGACGATTTGGCCAATTTAATTTTACAACGAACACCACAAAAACCGTATTAAACTATGCAATTAAAGAATACCCGAGAATTTTCGAGATCCGAGAGCATCAAACCTACAAACTCGTGCACTTTTGAGAACATTACCTTATCCATTCTGAAATAACCTTCGAATACTTTGTGTTTGACAATTTCTTGAAAATGACTATATTTTTCTATTGACGTGAGTTTTTCTTTTTAATTTCACCATTAAACCTGTACTTTGTCATTTTGTCGGTGGCCTGTTGAGGCGCGAACCACAGCTTTTCAAGCTTTTCGATCACTGGCTTGGGTGGACCACGGGGTGGTTTAAGCTCAGTCAGCTGTTCTTATGGTGATCTTCTTCCGAAGCGAGTTCGACCATCTCATGGATGGGAGTCCTTCCTCTTGGCCGTGTCCAATTTCACGGCCGCCACTCGGTTAGTCCATCTTCCATTTGTTCTTCTAGCAACGTGTCCAGCTCAGGTCATCTTCCCCCCTCGTGATGTGATAGTATATACATATATAGTTGTTCTTTTCAATTTCAACACTAAATGAAAATGAAATGAAAGTAATTTATTCAACAAAATAAAATAAAAAGAAACACATGAATTCGAGATCGAGGAAGAGCATTGAATAATGTACAAGCAGACAGGCAGGTGGCTGGAGTGGGACATTGGCAGTATACATACAATTATATTCTAGATTCAAGACGATCGAGTGGGGATAATCATCGATATTATAATAATTAGGAATTAATAGGAATTTTGGTTTCGCTAAGCTACCCAATAGACTATGCGAAGTTGTTTATACATATGATTAACCGCTCTTCTTTTTTGTCGCCGCGACTTCATGCGCGATTTGGCGCTTCTTCTGACTGATCGACTTCATCTTCTGAAGGCGTTCTTTGACTTCCGGCTCGATTGCTTCACTAATCGATTCGCGGAGGCGTTCGCTTGATGGAATTGGGATGATCTGAACGTTGAATGATGAATTGTTGGCGTTTAACAAATTGTCAGTACTTTTCCTTTGTTGTAACATTGCGATTTTCTCTCAAGACTACATTTTCCGCACGATTTTCGGCAGTTCTCCGACATGAAGTCCGCCGATTTTCCGCTGCACATTTTGTCGTTTTTCCAGGCGCCGCAGTTGACGTGCCGATCGACGCATGGATCGCTGGTGTTGTACGAAGGAGTGCAAACGGAGCAGCTCGCGGCGCAGTACTGGCTCATGAATTCTGGCTCCTTCGTGCACTGCCCTTCTTTGGCCCACGAATCGCAACAAGGATTGCGGTTGTAGCAGTCGTTGAACAACGGCGCCGTCATTTTGATATTGATTCGCTTGATGAGTGGCACACGTTCGACTTTCGTGCTATTCACGGTGATCATGTTGGCGAGCTCGAGATCGACAGCGCTCGTTGTGTTCGTATTCTTGGCGCCTTTCATTCGAGCAGCGAATTGCTGAAAAATCGCCGCAATTGGATTATTCGAGAATGGAGTTCAAGCTTACAGAGTTGACGCATCGTCCCCACCAGCAACGAGAAGCGTAGCACGAATCGTATTGTTCGAATCCACGACAATTTCCATTCAATCGGACCTTTGAGACACAATGTGGGTAACTGAACAAGCAATTGATTTTAACAAAATTTCAATGCGCCATTTGGTACCCTCGAGTGTCGCAGAATAGGTATGGCGATCCACAGTTTGGATTCTGATGGCTGCATGTTGCTCGTGGAGCATATCTATACATTTGATCAGTGTAGGAGTTCGAGAGTCCTATAATTGTGTGTTGTGAGCATTTTCAGTTTTCTACTATCAATTGTTACCATCGCGATTCACCAAATATGGGAATGGACGCATTGGTGCGTAGCTGAAGTGTTGCCAGTTGGCGCATGTTGGGTGATCAGCTGAGTAAGCCTGCTCGCGGAGCCATCTGGGCTGTTGAAGCTGACGCCACAGTTCCCAAAGGTAATCAACAAACGAGTGATGCATGAAGAAGACCGGCTGAAACGTTTTTTTTTGGGATTTTCATTCCTGTCATTTTTCAATCAATACGTCATTTGAGGAAGTCGTTGGTGGTTTCATGTCACCGCCAATGTATAGATGGATGTTCGAGTGAGAGTATTCGATGGCTCCGTAGTTGTTCGGATATGGGCATCCTATAAGAAGAATTTGTTTTTGATCTACCGCAATTCGCCTAGTAAATTGCCACAATTGACATTACATTTGCAACTTCGCGACACCACTTTCAATTTTTTTTTCTCTCTCGATGATGAATGGCATCGAAGCTTCATCTATTGTGGTTAGCGCGAAGGTCGCCGATGGTCAATTGAACTGGTTTTTTTTGCGCGGTGACAAAACAAAAGGGCTACTCGCGACATAAAGAAGAGGCAAAAAAAAGTTGCAAATGGTTTTTTGAACCTACCTGGTTGCGGTGCCGTGTACGCCATCGTGTTCTCGATTGTATTCTGCGCCACAATTGTGTTCACTTGATTCTCATTGAACAACTGGCCTTCGGCTCCGAGATTTCTGAGAATCGTCGAACGGCCGTGAAGTGTTCTCCAATAAGCGAATGGACCAGAAATCACGTTGCCGTAGAAGTCAGTTCCGCCGACAAACAGGTCCGAGAAAAAGATGGAATCGCGCGGGTCCGGAAGATAAGAATCCATAACAGAATCCCAATATGGAATCGAGACAGTTGGGTCGACCATTCTCAACGCAATTTCAAATCTAGAATTCGATTGTATTTTTAAAATATTGTGGGTTTGGACACGGACCTCTTAAGGTATTCTCTATGCCATGGAAGGAATCCTGGTCCAGAATGCGCTCCAGATCCAGTTCCGACTTCAAAATGCTGCCGACTGATTCGATCGTATTCACCATTTCTCTTCAATGTGTTCAGCGCATTGTGCCATCTGCAAAAATATCCGATTGAGTTTGCGATTGTGTTTCATTGATCAACCGACCTTTGACGCTCGTCTTCGCTCATCATTCGATATTCTTTGCGCCATGCCATCGTAAGTGGAACTCCATTCGCAAGAATACATTGTCCATTCACATTGCGACCCTGAAAATGTTCGCGTTAAGTATATGTTGCATATAGTGGCTATAACGTGTTGCTATTAATAGAGCTGTCGTGTGAACTAGAATTTTTCTTTTAAAGAAATTTGCCCCCCTCAAGTGCGAATTTTAGTTTCGAATTTTCAACCAATTGTCAAAATTTGTCGTCGAACGACGACCTCTACAGAATTCCGTCGTGTTATTGTTGTGACAGTAATGCGATTCCTAATCCCTTTTGTGTCGTTGAACTTTGCGGATTAGTCTTGATGGTCTTACATTGAAGAATGGGCACAGACAGAGAAGAGTCATGCAATCGTATGGATGATAGGCGGCTTGACCACGAGCATTCGCCGGCACCGGAATTGGTTGCAAGAAGTTCGGCACTTGATTCGGACGGGTTTGGCGAATAGCCTGACGGGCAAGGCGACGACGTGTAGCCAAGTCCATTCGTCGAATCTGAACAATAAAATTGAAGGCCAAGTTTTTGAAGTTTTTAAAAAGTCAAATTACCATGAGGCATGTCTGCTTAAGATGTTTTGGAGCATCGGAGCAATCACGAGGCGGCTCTCTCCATCGATTATACTTCATTCGTTCAAGATTGCGGTTCGGATGCTTCTTGGGGTGCACGGCGACAGTGCCGCCGACTTTCTTCGTCGACTTCGCAGCTTCACATGTTAATGCTAGCAGTGCTAACGAGAATAGCAATGACCAGCGCATTTGTCTAGAAAAAAAAACGAAGGAATTAAATTCACATGCATACAAAGTTTTGGAAAATAGAGACAACGATTGAGAGGCGCACAAAAAAAAATTGAACAAGAGTCAAGGTTGCCCTCGACAAATACCAGCAAGCGACGAACGCCAAATTGTTCTGGAATTCAGATCGACAACAATTCGTTTTATAGTATTTTTCAGCAACTTTTGTCACATATTTTTCCGGCGGTGAATCATTGGAGAAAAATTCGAAAATGTCATCGGCTTGACTTCAGAAAATAATAGGAGAAATGGGCTTCTATTGTGTGTGTATGTGTGTGGGTTTTTTTTGGGTATTGTCACGAAAAATGCCGAAGAAACGGTTCCTCGAATGACCATTTTGGGTCGAACCGTGCCCTTTCACCTAGTCGAAACCCGCCCACCACAGCCTTCTCCACCTCCCAGCGAAACCAAAAAAAAAATTTCAGCAAACTGGTTGTTTACTCGAACTACTTTTGACCTTGCCTGGACACCTTGGTCGATGAGATTGTCATCGTAAAAAATGCAACTATTTGTTTTTATTAAAAATTTTTGGCAATCCCCACGTTTTTTCGAATGGTCTATACTTCGTGTTCCCCTATACTGTTTCATGTAGAGAACACTTTCGAAGGTTCCAATGGGTCCTTTAATATTTACAGAAAAACTCACAGAAGGCCAGGCTTAAAAAAATGAAGAATTCGAAAATTTAAAGGGGGATGGCTGACTTCAAGAAAATGCAAAAATTATAGATGTGGACCTAATGAATGGGTTGGGTGGAATTCCATTGAATGGAACTATCAACAAATATTCAATATTTCTCGACAAAATTCTTAACAATGACTAGTGTTGAATAGACAAAAGGAAGAATGGCAAACTGAATGTGATGAGTTTGTGTGGTTTGAGAATGACCCCGACCGGCGACTCTTTTATAGTATGCTTCAGTTTGCTTCTCGCCGATTACGTGATTCTCGCCAACGGCTACTCCCTCCCTCGTACAAGAAAAAAAGAGAGATGCCGGCCCTCTGTTACACACCGTCCATTGTTTTCTTCATGCCGCGTCCTCCAACTTCTGCGAGTTCTTCGACGTCGCCGCGTTTTTTTTTTCTCACGTTGACATGCTTCTACCTCTCATGACCCTTGTGTCTTGTGTGATTCCAGTCCAGCGAATGACCACGACGAGGCATTCGTAACACGCTTGTTAAAGATGATGACAAAGACAAAAAAATTCGAATTTGCCAGTCACAATCAGACGGTGTCCTGAAGCGAAAAAGAAATCAATCGAAGGCTATCGAATAATATCAATAGGGAGCCCACAGATTTTCAAGATTTTCCAGATTTAAATTTATAGTTGAGAGAAACGACGAAGGCTTTGAAATCGAGATGACTTGATATATATTTTAAGTTTCAAACGTGATCTCAAAATAATTTTTCATTATAAATTCTCCTGGAAAAAATCCCCCGCCGATTTACCGTGAGTTTGATTCGTATTCCTTCCTGAGTACGGTATTCGAATTTGAATTGCCGCCTCGAAAAATTGCGATGGTCCACAATTGCAAGGCTCTCGTTTTTTTTTCACATGGATCCCTTTGTTTTGTAGATTTCAATAAAAATGTAGTTCGAGCTAATTCTCCATTTTCGTTTTTGCTTCACATTCCGATCATTTTGCATTCTTCTCATTTTCAGAGAAACATGATGTCTTTTCAGTGTTACGTGAAAGTTCTGAAATGTACTTTTGTTGAAGTACCTATTCGAAATTTGCATTGGAATTCCAACGGTTGAAATCAGCGACTGGGCGCGAAATTAAGCACAGGCCACCCCCATTGTTCCAACAAAAAAAAATTGGTGTCCAAAAATGGTCAACGATTTCCGAGGCGATTGGGGAAGCATCAAAAATCACTTCATAAGCACTTGTTCATGTAAAGAAAAAGCAGCTTCCATCCACAGTTTTGACCTTTGAAACGGTTTCTTTTTAATTTTACGAGCGAGACAAAAATCAAAGTTTCAATTCCAGTACACAAAACAGCATTTTCGATTGAAGGGTTGAGAAAAACAAGGTATTGTCGAAAAATTTTAATTATTTTTTTTTGTGTGAATCAATCACATTATTCGGCGCGATTTTTATGACAAGACGACCTTCGGTTGCAATCTGAATAATGGGTGATCAGAAGTCGAAAAATACAATATTAATTTGAACCCGCAAATTCATCAACAATTTCTTTTTTTTTTCCATTTGCACGTAAACTTGTTAGGCGTGAAATTGTCATGTTTGCGAATTTTTCGAATATTTCTCGTTCGTCAACGACATATTTTTGGAAATTGTGATCGAATACGGGTTTCACGACATTTTACACATGGAATTACTTGAACCAATATTCAATTAATGCTTCTTCGCCAAACTGTAAAGCTATTTCATAGATATTAACAAATATTATTCTCGTCGCCAATTCCCAATTGAAATTATGCTTCGGTTGCCTTGAATCTGAACTATGCTGATGAAATTCAACAATAGGAATTGTCCTATACAAAAATATTTTTTGGCGGTCCATCATCTGGCTATCTGAACTTTACAGCATTCGACGTGCGGAAATGACCGTCACGACGTAAAAGGTCATCATTCGCCATTGTTATACGCTTGTCAACAAGTGAAAACTAATCAGCGTTCAAATTCGAATCGCAAATATTTCGGCAAATTTTGCCGAATAATTCTCAAACAATGGAACACGGAAATAGTCGCCGCCCCCACTGTTGCCAACACGAAATTTCAGCTATTGTTCGCTTCGATTTTCAGTTTTAGAACAACTAAATGAAAACTCGACACAAATTACTGTCGGAACGACTGAACCGAAATCTTCAAAAAATTTAGTCTATTGGCCAAATATCGTTGAGAAATGAAAAATGTATCCAAGTGTCGTGGGATCCTGCGTTTTGTACGCAATGCGATAAACGAGTTACCGTAATTCTCGAAGCGATTTACGGGAACTTTTTTATAATTTCCTACTCAGCGATTCAATCGGAACGAACAGCGGTTGTTTTTGGGCGAACCCAAAAACGATGAACGGCCTTCCCTCGGGGTCACACTGGTCGTCCCAAAATGTTCTGCGGGTTAACCCAAACGACGGGTGTACGCGCGGAGTGTTGTAATCACCCTTGTTTTAGCAGCTCATAAATTTTATTGGGTAATGCGCGTTTTATTTAAATAACATATTTATTCGAACCTTTCCAAAATCAATAGGTAACAAATAATGCAAATATCGATATTTAAAATAAAAACGTTGACAAAAAAAGAGGAAAGATTACAATAAAACATGAATAATTTAACATTTAGGATAACAAAAAAAAACAAGGACACTCTGCTAATTCGTCGAATACTAATGAATGATCGAATGTAAAAAATTTAGAATCAAATTCGTATTGCTCGTTTCACAATCGAACTACATTCCAATTGACTTCTAATGGAAATCGATTGATCATTTAAGATATTGCGTTGAATCGAAACAGATGAATTCTATTCGATTCGACGAATGAGCAGAGCAAAAAAAATTGGGATTAAAGCAAATCACCGTTATGTTCAATGTCGTTGTTGGCTTCATCCTCATCGACGTCTTCTTCATCCGAAATCGGTGTCGGCGAATGGCGGAAGTCGTTCGATGTTTTCTTAATAAAAAAAAGTTTTAGTTATTTCATGACTCTAGAAAACTGTGATTTCTATTACCTTTTCTTTCCTTTTTAATGCGTTTGGATCCTGTTCGAATCGTTTGCGCACAACTCTATTTTGACCTTGGGTTTCCACAATTTTTTTGTTCCGAAGATCATTACTGAATATATATAGCTTATTTCTATATATAAAGTGTTACAAAAAACTTACAAAACTCGGTGAGCTTTGAAATAAATAAAGTCCACCATATTTGCCACATCCATAATCAGCTTCTCATAATGTTGACTTATTTCCGCTTTATTGTCTCCCAATCTTGCTGCCAACCTGAAAAAAAGTAAAATAAAAGATTAATGGTTAATATACTAACCTCGCATTTTCATTTTGAAGATCTTCTACTGAATATCCAGGGAATTGCAATTTTACTGGATATCCGTAGCTTTCCAGAATGAAGTCTGAATTAGGTTCCATTTGGTATTGACTCTTTGATGATTACCTCTGATAGCGTCAATAACGTCCTCAGGGACTGGTTTCAGCCCTTCTTGCATTCGTTGACCGGGGCGTTTCGCAATCGAATAGCTTTGGTGCGCTGTTGGAGAGTCCATTATCTAGAAAATTATTTTTTTTAAAGTCACGCGGCTATACTTACAATAAGAATTAAATTTCTAAGACACTGCGCGATCTCTCGTTGTATACTTGTTTGAACAATCTTCATATTCCGCAAATCGAGGAATGCATGCTTCTGAATAATTATTTTTTATTTCTTTAGTTTGGAAAATCTCTTGTGCAAAAGATACATGTTCTGATTACTTTTCATTTATCCTTATCGAACAAATATACAAACCAATCCGCATTAACTACATGTGAAAACGTACTTTAAATGGCCAGTTTCCTTTGAATTCGCGCGTTATATATTTGAACTGAGGCTTGTAGTTCATTTCGTCTGACGATTTCTTGATGGGTGCATGCCTTTTATTCATCATCGCCAACTGAATATGTGCAGTTATATAGCATCGCGTTAGTTTTTTTGTATTTATATCTGGTTAACTTACATATAGATTATTTGCCAGCATATAAATTTCCATTGACAATGGTTTTATTACTGATCCATCAAACTTGGGTTCAACGTTGTACCGTGCAAGAGTTGTCGTCATGTCCTCAAAAAGCGAAATATGTTACGTGAATGATGTAGTTTTGTGGTATGGTTTAAACAGTTGAATGTTTTTAAAAACATTCTACATACATTATATAAAATCGAAAAAAAACGACCGGAGAGCTCAATATATCATAGAACCTACGTCGTAAGCTGCTTTGCTGAGCTTTTTCTGGGTTAAATAAACGTGAAGAACGCATCCCGCGATTCCGTGATCAAACTCATTTCGGTTGAACGCGTGCCGGATGTTGGCTTTAAAAAATTAAGTTTATTTCCCTTTTGTTTATGAGAATATTAGTGTGAAAAAAATTGTCGAAATAGCAAGTTTTGTGACAACCTCATAGTAATAATAATTTTACCGAAACAAGATTTGTTAGTGTCGATAGTTCGACAGTAGTCATATTCCGCTTTACTCAATTGGATGCTCCCTACAAAATAAATTTTACAAGTTGCGATGTATTATTGGATGGAATAACTGACCAAATGAATAAGCTTGTGCGGGCGGGCGACTGACCAGTTGACTAAATGAATGAGCTTGCGCGGGTTGACGGTCGACCAGCTGACCGAATGAATGAGCTTGTGCAGGCGGGCGACTGTCCAGTTGACCAAATGAATGAGCTTGTGCGGGTTGACGGCCGACCATCTGATGGTTTTGTTGTGGCTGCCTTTCTGGAACAGACTGATTGTGCGCCCGATATCGTTGAACTGGATTGGTTGCTCGTATCATTGGTGAGTAAGGATGAGCCGCTGTATGATGTGATCGTTGCGGCGTTTGCGAGACGTTAGCTGAAAACGTATTTAAGATGAACTTTTGAGCGATGAAGGCTGTTAAAATAGAAATATTAAACTTTTTTAGAGAAAAACGCTTCTTTGGAAAATTTTGCATACTAGAAATAAAATATGCGGGTACATTAGTTGATTGATTGCATGTTGCCTATTTAATTTTTCACAGTTTACTCACATCTTTGTGGTTGGTCAATCGACTCGTCATACAGATACTCTTCTGGGTAGTCAAACTCCTGAGTAGATGGTATCATTCTGAAATTCATTGTTTAAATACATAAAATGTCTAATCAGATATGTGAAATGGAGGAAACCATAAAGAAATAATCAAAAAAAGTTTAATGTTCACAGATAAGATGTTTATTCGCCCAATATTTAACAGGCAGTCATTACGTATTGAATTGATTCATATGTAAAAAAAATACACTTTTTAATAAAACGATCAATAGGTAAAATACAAGTTTCGCGTTTCTTAATTATCTTTCTACACCACGAAGATTCGTTTTTCAATAGCAGAGCAACATCCTCATTTCTAGAGTTCGAATTCACAGCATCATTGTACAGGTTCTCAGCCACATTTATCGTCTCATATTCCAGTACGAGTAGCATGATTCGATCTGATGTTTGTGCTACAGCTTCTAATGTTCCATATTCGATTCCGAATTCCGATTCGTAGCAAATTACAGTGCTCTTGTTGTTATTTCTCCAGCTGTTTGAGGATAAGAGATCTTGATGAAATACCACTCGAGACCTGTAATTTGAATATATGTGAAATTCTTTAATCATAGCTTAATACCATAAGTTGATATATATCAATCCAGGAAACATTTTTTTTATCCGAGCTTCTTTCTCATCGCCATTTCTGATTCTATACAGTTCGAGCGCAGTCGTAGAATTATCTAATTGAATTAAATTTTCCTCGCTAAACAATTTATTGTATGAGAGTAAAATCAAATTGCACCTACCTCTTATTTATTCTTGTATCAATATTCAACAGGAAGCGCTTCCCGAGTTCTTGTATTGATGTATTGGATTGCGAAAGATTTTTTGATATTAAATTGTGGCATTTTTCGAAATATGAAGTAGAAGTAGAAGATAAATTTCCATTTCTTCTGATGTTTTCAACCATGTGTTCAAAGAGCAACTGAAATTGAAGGAGAATGGTTGAAGTTATAATAAAATCATAATCGTATTCGGAAAAAATCATTTTAAGACCAATTTAACACATATATCTTTCAAAAAACTACTATATCCACATTTTTCCTTGATAGCGTTATAAAATTTTTTCCCACCTTCCGGTATGAATGTAACCTACATGCATTTTAAGCGTATATTTCTCCTTATTTAGAGTTCCCATTGCTATTTTAAGGAAAGAGCTGAGATCATCCATATTTTGTAAGTCAATCTCCGTTTTGGCCTCCAAACAGAGTTCGACGTAATTGATAAATGCAGAAAAGAAAATGCGGGTGTCGACGGTGTAAACGGGTAACAGCGACAATATATTGAAGAGAATCCTTGATGTCTATAACGCATAATTTAATTTCTGTGTGGTCTCTCTAGAGCTTGGATAAATTAACATAATTGTTTTTAGCAGATCCGCTTGATACATAAAGTAAATACACCTGAGCTCTCCGCACAACAATTTTTTAAAGGCATATAAAGAAGCGAAAAAATAGTACCTGTCTAATCTGAGCTCCTGTGGCTGAAGAGAGTTTTCGGATATCTGCCATCTCACAATTAATTCCCGGTGGTAGCTTTGCGTTGAAAATCGATTCTTGAATTTTTACGACGTTTCTCGGCAGAATTCTTAACTTTGGCAGAGATGACGTTGATGTTATTTGGTTGCTACATAATAGATTTACTATTGTATTTTTAACAACACCTTCACTAAGCAGGTGTAATTCATCGAATGCCATGTCTTGAGGACCAACCATACGAGACAAAAAACCTATAATGTTCGGCGTTAAAAAAAAAAACGTATAACTTACATTGAGCGCCGTTTCTCTCCATTAGACGGTGAATATCTTCTTTTGTACGTGGTTCTGACCTCTCGCTCGAATAAAAAGCAACCGCTGATCGCCCAACTCTAGTACCTGTAATTGTGCATAATGCACATCCTTCGAGCTTCTGCCAATTCGGAAGTGTATACATCAAACGAGCAGCCTAAAATAATATTTCAGTTTGCTTCAAATCGCAGTACATTTCAAACTTTCAAATCGCAATAAATTTTAGCTGGTTGAAAATCGATGTAGTAGATTTCATTATTATTGTCAATACGAATGGGTTCAAATCGAATCTCATCAAGTTCATTTATTAGCCTAAATATGAATTATATAATATGAAAATATTCATTCTTCATTTGGTCGGACTAGTTTAATACCTGCTCATGATAATATCACAATTCGTGTGATTTAAGCTGTTTGGTCCTGTTATTAAGGCTGCAAGAATAACAGAATCGACCTTTTCTTTTGATTTTCTTCCAACTCCTTCTAAACGAACGTATATTGGTGTTATTTCGTTTCTAAAATTTTCAAGTAATTGCAAAAAGGAACAAGAACATTTAGGGGAATACCTATTATGGTTAAATGGTCGAAACCCGTCCACCGCCAACGAAATAGGAATAGTCAAATGACTATTCTCAAAAGACTCGAAACTTTCGATATTATCATGATAACACCGCGATCGGTGAAATGAAGAATAATCTCGAATTGTTTCCTTAAGAAAATAAAACAAATTCGATTAAAAATATCACGATTATAATGTTGCAATAAAATATTACCACTGTATTTCTGTGATGGTAGCTGTGGGTTGATAGTAATTCACCAAATTGATTACTCGTAACTCGTTCTAATTGTGGGCGAACACTGTATGAAACAATTTTTAAAGCTTCTGTCTTCGTTCCTTTTTTCATATGTTTTCTGAAAGTATTTTATATTCGTGGAGTGCTATATTCATACCTGAAATTTACACAGATATTGTTTTGACAAGAATTTAAAGCTCCAATTGACACCAGACATTCGTTGCAGAAAACAGAAACTCTAGGTTTATACTTCGATAAGAAAACATTTTCATTTGTCTCATTTAAATCATTAATCTAAAATCATGCATCGTGAGTTTTTCTCTTAGCTTAGTTTTACCGTTAAGTTATAGCTACAAATAAAATGTGCCGCTAGCAGCACGGCTTCAATGCACGACTTCGATAAACAAAATGGATTGAGCAATTGATTAACCTTTGCAATGGCGTCATATCGTTGCGATATCTCATCATTCTGAGTGTTGAACCCCATATCATTCATTGAGTAGTTGACCGAGTCTGGCAGTGAACAATTCGAATCGTCTTTCATAAACGGCGGCTGAATTAGCAGCGACTTTTCGAAATTATGATTGTTTTCATTGCAAAATTCTTCCTTCATATCCATGAAGAACGCTGGTCTTGTGACACGTATGCCAAGATTTCTCAGCATTGTCTCTAGAAAAATGTGTTTATTATTCCATGCTTGCTAGGCTATATCTTCAGTCTCATATTTTACGGCACACTGGAAGAAGTGGAACGATCGAAGTCGAATGGTTAATGAATGAACAGCAAAAACATTATTAATGAATGAAAAATGATTATTTAGAAAATGAATCGTCTCATTAACGAATGGTTTTTAATTCGCGAATGAACGATTTTCGATGGTTAATGAATGGTTTTTTATTATTTTATGGTAAATAAATGGTTTTTTACTGTTTGATTGACGAAAAACCATTCATTTTTTGTTCCGCAATCATCGTTTTCACTTCTGCCAGTGAGTATTTAACATTATTTGACATACCATTTTCTTCAAACGTTGGCCTTCTTCTTTTCATTCCAATTGTTGCGTTACCGTGGATGACTGCGCTAGAACTAAAATTAATTTTTCTTTACATAATGATGAAAATTATATAGAAATTGAGTAAACGTTAAAAAATTTTCAATAATTCCAGTACGACACTCCAATTACAAACTGCCCTCCGTTTAGAGTTTGGGCTAAACCGTGGACGACTTTTGTTTTGACCGAGTTCAATGTTTCCCGTGTTTGCCCCAAATTGTTCCGCGGGTTATCCCAAACCCAAAAACAACCGCTGTTCGTCCCGATTGAATCGCTGAGTATTTTTATTTCTTTTTACGTTTCGCTCAATTTTCGTATTTTCTTTCGAAATTGTTTATTTAAAAATTTGTTTTGTGAATTAAAATGCGCAAAAAAAAGAAAACGTGAAAAAAACACATTTATATTCAGTCAGCGCGTAAATCTACACTGATTACGATATACTGAAGGCCACGCCCCCATCAAGTCGTTTGACGCCGACAATAACATATCACTAGGTTCTCCCCCGACCTCCCACCTGACCACAACTTTCTTTTACTTCAAGACCCATACAGTGATGCCGAAGATCAAAGAACGGCATTAAAAATTTATCCTCTTTATCATTTTTAATATCTTTTTAAAATTTAATTGTTGATCATAATCAAAAAGATTTTAAAAACAATTGTCGTTCAGCAAACTGAGTGAAGTCGTCTGCTTATTTGTCTTGACCGTCGGTTGGAGATCCATGATGAAAGCGATCGCTTTCGCTTCGGCTTGAATTTGATCCAATTCAGGCCAATCCGCAACGTGGCTGGCCATGACCCGGCACAGTCGGTCAAATTTACACTTGGGGGTTTCCTTGGCTTCCTCATCATTTGATCTGAGTAGCTGTTTTTTTTTATTGAAACCTGATTTCCTTTGTCCATCAGTCTTCGGACTATCCGAAGGTCCATGCCATTCAAGCAACTCAATACTTTCATCGCCGCATATGAAGGCACTGTGGTAAAAAATTACTCAGAATAAAAAAAACAGGTAAACGTACTTTTTCACTTGTCTTTTGTGTGTGACCCCATCTAAAAACTAAACTCAAAGATAAAAACAGTCTAATGTATGGTGGCACCTCCATTCGAGGTAATAACATCAAAAAAGCGGTCTGGCATAGATTTGAGAAGGTTTTAAACGTATTAGGCCGATTTAGATTTGAATTTTTGTTCTAACGTCTTCCACTGGACTACGATTTCGGTTTTGAGCAGTGTGAGCGCTCGATCGAGTATGATCGATCTTGGTAGCGAAAATCGATCGGGATCGATCGATCTTTCTAAAAATCGATCGAGCGCTCGAGATCGATCGATCCCGAGATCGAACTTACCTGTGCTCGATCGATCCCGGGATCGATCGAGATCGAGCGCGTTCGATCTCGATCGAGCGCTCGATCGATCGCGCTCGATCTCGATCGAGCGCTCGATCGATCGCTAACGCTCGATCGATTTTGGTCGATCTTTTGTGAGCGCTCGATCGATCTTGGTCGATCTTTTGTGTCTTTTTTTTAAACACATCTCATGAAATGTGAAGAATGCCATCATGTAGCAAACTTTTCGTAGATTCCGAATTTGCTTTCAAGACATATTTACTTAAACGAGCTACATTGATGCGAAAATTACGAAAGTCTCCATTCTTTTCCATGCTGCAGGTATTTCGATGACTAAAAAAGTTAGTTCTAGTTAGCAAATTTTATTGAGATTTGAACCGTAGTCTCTCGAGAGTTTTTCCTAAACGGTGAATGAAAAATATATATAGGTCACCGCGGAAAATGTTTAAAAAATTTATCTTAGAGTTAAAAAGTTTGAAATTTTTGGGTAAAAACTTGTTGGAAATAGACGTTACGAATGAATTCAGCAGACCCGAATGTAGTAAAATCTGTTTAGAAAGTTACCGTAAATGATCTGAAAATAGGCGAAATAGCCGAAAATGAAATTTTTTCATAGACATTGCATGATACTTGTCATACGTTTTGTCCTGACTCCACCCCCTTATTGCAGTCCCTGATTGGCTAAATACTACATTGCGAAAAAAACGAGTCCCGCTGCAAACACGCCCTAATGCACCTCGAAAACGCGACGCGTAGCGCGTTTCGAATCGCGAATTTGAAATAATTTTCGAAAACTTTATATAATTGCAAATTTTTCTCGCTTTAAGAGGCTGTTTCACATAAAACTCCGTAATTCAATGGCAGTTTATGCAATTTTTTATTCGTTGGATCGTTCTCAAATTTTTTTTAAATTGGAAACATTATTTATTATTATTTTTTTAGAATGACATCCATTGCGTGGGATTTTTTTCGCAAACCTACTGATCCCACTACTCAGTATATTAAGTGTCCAGTTTGCAAAGTGAATATAAGTTATAATAAAAGTACAACCAATCTCATCCGACACGCAAAGTCGCAGCATTTGGAAAAGTTTGAGAACATTTTGAACTCCAAGGTTTTTTTTTATTTTTTTAAATAAAACATTTTTTTAATTTAGAGTAAACGGGTCATTGAAAAAGAAACTATTGGAGCACCAATATATAAGGAATGGGAATTGGAAATCACGAAGTTTGAATATTTTCGTTTTTTTTAACTATAATATAACACATTCCAGAGCTTTTTGCACAGGAGGAATCCCTTTCCGTTTTGCAGCCAATCAAAATTTTATCAGAACTTACAAACTCTTAGATCAATCTGCTGTCGTGCCCACTCCTAAAATGATTGCACATCACGTTGAGAAGATATCTCAAATTTACTTAGATGATATGAAAGGCAAATTAAGAAATGTGAAGTCATTTACATTAGTGACGGATGGCTATGGCGAAATAAGAAAAGATCGAAACTTCTACAGTTGCCAGATTTTTTTCGTCTCTGAAGATTACAAACGAAAGAACGCCTTTTGTGGAATTCGTCACGTCGCTAAAAGCACAGCCGCCGATATTGCTGAATCGATATGCTCTTTACTTCAACGAGTAGGAATAAACTTAAGCATGTGCGAACTAACATGCACAGATGGAGCTTCGAATTTGCGCTCGTTTTCAACTGGTCATTTTCTCAAAAACGTGCATTGTGGCTGTCATTTTCTCGATCTAGCATTCGAGGAGTTTTCAAAATTGAAGAAGGTTGAACCAATTATGGGAAATGCACAAAATTTGTCATCATATCTCTCTCGAAATAAGAGCGTCCGAAGTGAAGTCAGAGAAAACGCAAAAGCCTTCCCGAGCACGGCACCCTTGCCGCAGTGTTTGTCACCGACTAGATGGGCTTCGATGTATCTATTATTAAACAGCTATCAAAAGAATTTGAAATCGTTAGTGGCAGTAAGGCAACTTCAAAAATTGTTATTGTCCGCAGCACAGCAAAAAGTTTTGGATGAGATTATCGATGTTCTGGAGCCAGTTTATATTGTTCTTCTTAAGGTAACCAATTATATTTGTATTCATTTATTTGATTATTTATTTAGTTTGAGCGCGAAAACTCGTATGCATCGGAGATCATCCCAAATTTCATAAAACTCGAATACAAGTTGGACAAAATGGGAACCTCGCTAGCTATAAAAATGGCAAAGATTCTGAAATTTAGGTTTTTTTTTTAAATTTTTTAAGCTATCGGGAAAATGAAGCCTTTACAGATTCGCGCAATCTTATAAGGAAAATGACGCTCTGCAGCTCGCTATGTTGTTGGATCCCCGCTTCAGCTTCGTGCCAAATCTAGAAACGTCATGGGATAAATGTGAAGAACTTCTTATCAAAAAACATGAAACCAGTGCTCAAAGAGACCTAAGTTCATCACAATCAAATGATTCCGATTCGGACGATGGAATGAACTCATTTTTGAAAAGAAGGCTTGAGGTGCGGTCTTCTGAGAAAACAATAAAAGTAATTTTAATAATGGAGTACTACTTTGGTAAAATATTAATTTTAGTCAGAAATATTGCATTACAAAGCAATACTCTCAACAAATCGGCCATCGGCCAAATCTGACCCGCTTTCTTTTTGGGCCGGTCAATCTGCTCATTTTCCCATATTAGGAAATTTCGCAAAGGTGTATCTGAGTTGCCCAGCTTCTAGTTCCTCAGCGGAGCGACTTTTTTCGTAAGTTATTTAGAAATTTTTTATAACTATTATCGGTGTCTACTACGTAAAATTGGCAAAATGCCAAAACAATGAAGAATATATGTGCGCTTTCAACATATTTTTATGCGTAATCCGTTCCAAATTTTTTTAATTTGAGAATTTTCAATAGTCGCTCAACGCCGACAATATGTATGTATGCCGATTTATTTTGCAAATGAGTGTTTACTATTACACCGATTATATTTGTCATAATTTCAGAAAATGTTCTGATATTTTGCGAAACAAAAAACGCAATCGAATGAAACCGGACACAGTGTCCAATATTTTATTAACTGCTGCTCTCGCGAAAGAGTAAGTGCAAAAATTTAGGAAAAAATTGATTTTATATTTCAGACATTGGGAGGATAATGAAGAAGACGTAGATTCAAACTATGATATTCTTGATTTCGCCATAGAAGACGACGAAAAAATGCAGGATGACGAGGACGAACTTGAAGACGCGCAACAGCAAAGGGAGGAGTATAGACAAGAGG